TTCCTCGACGTTTCTGTTGGCTCTCACGCCATGGGAAGGATAAAAATTGAGCTCTTCAAGCATATTATGCCGAAATGCGCGGAAAATTTTAGACAATTCTGCACGGGTAACTCCTGCTACTGCTGCTGCTGGTATTGTTGCTATCAATTATCATTTTGTTCGTGCACTGTAGCAGTATGGGGCCGGGACTGATCGTACTTTGTGAGCAACTCAAGAGAACTAATTGTAAGCAGAGTGTCGTTCGCTATGGCCTTCATGGCTTGGGATTTAGGATTTGCGTTTTTATGTCTTTAGGAGAACACAAGATGAACTCGGTGCCCGTTGGCTACAAGAACGCCAAGTTTCATAGGGTCCTAAAAGGCTTTATGGTCCATGTAGGATCCAGCAAATATGATTCCTTCTATTGCTGTTCATCGTCTTCGCTGTAGCTGGTGGTGGTCTGCTTTTGTCGGTCTCCTAGTGCTGCTGCGTTCGGATGATGCATTTAACTCGAGTATTACTACCTTCAGTCCTCCACCTCTTGATTCTTTTACTGCTTCAGGGCGGCGACTTTGTGAAGGGGGACGGAACGGGCAGCATGAGCATTTACGGCAGCAGCTTCCCTCTCGAGGCCCCTCCCTGCGCGGAGTCGCTTCAGGGTCTCAGCGGACCAGCAGCAGCCGCAGCAGCAGCAAAAGCGGTTGCTGCTGGCTCTGTGCCGCACTTCCGAGCAGGTTTACTTTGTATGGCCAACAGTGCCGCTGCCAGCGGCAAGCAGCAGGAGCAGGAGAAAGACCCAAAGCAGCAGCAGAGAGGAGGCACGAACGGCTGCCAGTTCTTCATCACCTGTGGCTCTTGCCTTTGGTTGGACGGCCGCAATGACGTCTTCGGGCAGGTTATTGGCAGGGACTCGCACCAGGTCTGTTGCTGCCTTCGGTGTTTTTGCCGCTGTTATGGTTGCAGGGAGCTGTTTCTGCTGCTTAAAAGGCGTGAATCTAAGCACTTGAGTCTCCCGGCGTACCCGATACGAATTATAGGAATTGTTTTTATGGTGCGGTTGCAACTTATCGTGCTACTACTGCTGTTGTGCTTGTGCAGGTTTTAAGAAAGATTGAACACGTGTCTACTGATGCCCAGGGCAAGCCGCGTGTAGACATCACCATCACTGAATGTGGCGAGCTGTAGGCAGTCTACCTAGCGCTGCCACTGCATGTGGCATTTATCGTCTGTGCAGACTCCTGACCTGTCGCTTACTCGAGCAGCAGTTGCTGCAGCGGTTAGTGGAAATGCTGAGGAACAAATGGTGCTTTGGGGTGGTAACCTACGGAGAGAAATTTAGATTGGCTGCAAATTTACGAGGCAGGGGAGCCACAATGTGTTCCTATAACGAGGCTTTCTCAAGAACCATGAAAGCTGTACTAGACTACCTCAAAGTTTAGTTTCTGCGGCTGCTGTTTCTCATGATGATGCTGCTATGGCCGTATATTATCCGAGTTACTGCAAGATAAGTGGCCTTGTTGCTTTAACAGCGTCCCAGCCACCATACCCACTGTTAGCCGCTGTAGTCACCAATCCTAGGGCGGTGACGTGCATGCAGTTGCTGCAGCTGCGGCAGCAGCCTTACAAAATGTTCAAAGAAAAACTCGGTGGCTGGCATCAGCTGCTGGAAACAGAAGACTTCTGTTGCCCACGGGGGCCGGTATATCGAATGCTTCAGTAGCAGCGACTTATATGTATCGAAGGCCGCAGCCGCCGTCATGTGCTGCTGCACCGATTGTCTGTATACTTCAAGCAAAAGGGTCAGGAAAGTGGAGACGGCTTGAGGAGAAAACTTGGCAAGGCGGCAGAAGGAGGTTGCAGCGACGAAATACTCTAGCACAACCGAGTAGGCTGTTGCATGGTCCTCCTCATCCAAATGCTGCTGTGAGCGTAGCAGCTGGTGCTGTGAAAAGATGTCTGCATGGGGAACATCAGTGGGAGCAATAACAGGATTCGTAGTTTCCCCCGTTACATCCAGAGTATCAAGGCTAACTGTAGAGTCTTGACCTGAAGTCATGGGCACTGAGTTGCTTTTAGTATTTGCTGCATCTGCAGAGTCGTCGCCAGGAAAGCCTCTCTCCGTGTTGCTTTTTTGAGAGGATGTCCTGCAGCTATTAATAGTCCTTGACGGCCTGGGTGTCGAGCTTTCTGCGGTAGAGCCTCGAAGCTCAGTCACGAAGGCCTGTAGCTGTAGCAGCTCTTCCAGCTCGCTGGCGAGTTGCAGTGGATCATCTAGCTGAAGTAGTGTCGCAGCGTCTGTAGCGCTGATCAGTGTATAGGTGAGAAATAGAGGCCTTCTAGAAGTGGAGAGTGCAGCAGCGATCTTTGCATAGGGTACCTTCCCAGTGGAAGCTGTACATGCTGGTGTCTCTACAGCAACACCAGTAGCTGGAGTAGACGGCACAAATTCCACGGGATCCTCGAAGGCAGAGCATATTGGCTTCATCTGTGTTTTCTCGAGGAGGTCTAAGTGTGATTTAGCCGCAGGGGGTGCAGCCATACAGAGTGGAGGACAGAGACTGAGGCCGCTGCCTAAAGTTTCAAGGCAACTCCGATGCTGCATGCAATAACAGGGCCCCCCTTTACCGGGGATTTTCTTATTGCTTAATTCATTGTTTTACGTGCAGCCGTATCAGTTCTACAAGGTTGGATGACTTTGAAGCTGGGGGTGCTATGCAGCGAGGGGCATCGCCCTTCGAGTGACCTCAGGGGAAAGATGGATTACAGAGGGAAGATGGTAGGGAAAAGGATCAATTACATCAACATAAAAACTATTCTGAGTGATTTTTCTATGCATCAAAAGCGGGCAGGAGAAGCAACTTACTTCGCCTCCGTAGGTGAATGCAGAAAAAGCCTTACCGAGATAGTAGGCGACTCGCGCATGCACCCCAGTCCCTCTACGGCAGAAAAGCCCAAATAATTGTACGATGCGGCAGCTTATGCGAAAGCTATGATTTGGGTGTCTTTTTAAAGACCGTGGAAATAAGTAATCTGCAAGGAAATGCTCGTGGGAGCAGCAGGGTAATAGGGACCAAAAGAAAGCTCCTGGGCCAGCTGCTCGCTGGCAAGAGATTGCGAGACGCTTCAATAGAGCAAAATGGACAGTCGCGTTAGTTCTGGATAGCATTCTTGCAAGACCGAGCTGCTTCTGTAGAAGTTCCCCACCCTAGGCCTCAGAGTCGAGCCCAGATTCGTAAAATTGGTGGCATAGAAGAAAGCCGGGCTTTCGGGCACAGAACCTCTCACTTTGAGGTTATTGGGCTAGCCGATGCTACATGATTGTGATTGCACCTGGGCTAAGGTGGTCCAGCCAGTGATACATCGGAGCACCTTCATTGTACAAATAGGGATACATGGGGATGAGATGCTAACAGTCATCATGCCTGTATGCTTGCAAGCTTGTCTGTCCCCCTATTCTACTTGTCTTTCTGCTTCATTTTCTCTCTCCTTGCCATTCTATGAGGCCCTCAGAGCATGTCACATTGCGCTGCTTTTTTCGTAGTGTTAAACTAGCCCCTGCATGCGGCTTTGTGAAGTACTCGATCCGATGCTTTGCCTGGGCTGTCGTTTGTAGCACGATCTGACGCACCTGTACCAGCTGGAACCTTGGGACTTTCTGGACTCATTGAAGGTGACTGGGCTAAAAGATGTAATGTATCTCTCTAGAGAGGACCCTCCAGTTTCAGTGCCTCCTCCACCTGATTAACGGCGCGCAGATAAAAGTACAATAAGCCTTATGCGTAGCAGAAGCCAATTTGGCTGTTATACAAGCCATACTTGGTTTTTCAATCCACACTCAAGGGCTAAGGACTAGGGGCACCAAAAAAGTTGTTTCTTGTTGTAACTCCTTTACCAACATGTAAACATCGAGGATTATGCTGAGAGCCGTAAAAAGCTTGGAGTAGCATTTTACGGTTCTCAGTAAAATCAGATGCCGCCTAAATCCTTTCCCTGCACGAAAGAAGGGAGCTCATCCTCGGCCAAAAATACTGTACCGTACAGGCCACATTTTAGATCATTCAAAAGTCGTAAAATGTTCTACAATTTTGAAACAACTACGCCTAAGTTGCGAATGTGTGCTTCCTGTCAGCCTATTGGCGAAACACAATTTTCAAAAGCTGAAATGCAGGCCTCAGAAAAGTCGTCAGTGCCCAGTTATCCGTACGCCTTAGGCGCATAGCTATGTAGAACGAATTATGTATTTTATGGACTCCTAGTGGTTGGAAGGCTTGGAGCACTTGAGGAAGGACCTCTTGACCGTTTTGTCAGGGCATAGGAAAAAGTTTGTAGCCGTGAAGGTTCTCGAGTTGGTACTACTACGACGACAGAGATAGTTTTGGAATAAATACATGTGTATTTTGCTGCACTTGAAGCCATCGCAGGTTAGATGCTGGTCTAAGCGCCGTAAGGCCTCCTCAGTGTTGGTGGCACTGGTCGGTACTACAGCTGTCTCCTGTGCGGGACCCCACAAGTGGGGAAAGTGTCTCCCTGTATCGACTCATAGTGCTGTTATCATCCTGGTTTGCAGAGAAAATAAGCCATAGTCTGAAGGCTAGAGTCTGTTTCAATATACTGATTATGCTCCTCCGTAGTTACACCGGAGTGCGTGCCCTCATCTGTGGCTCGTCCGGGGGTTACGCCCTTAGATCCTGACTTCCACAAAAACGAGTTACTATTATTACCGTTTTTATCCAAAGTTCAACAACTGAATTCGTAGTTCTGTGGCTACACCACTGTAAGGTCACTCCTCTCGAAGGGGCACTTCGTGCAGCAGGCGGATCCTGGGTTTCAAGAAAAAAGCCATCTGCAAACCATCGCCTACCATCTTCTAAATCCAAAAGCTTCAAAATAAACCATTTTTCTCACAGGAGATACATTATTTTCATAAACATACGTGTAATCCACGTTTAGCTGGTCCACGCAGACTCGGTAGTTACCTTGTGGTCAATGCTTTTCTCGGTGGATTTGCCCGAAAAAGAGGAAATGAGACAAAGATTCAAGGGCTTAGAGTTTCGCAAAGCCTACTTACATGTTTTCAGGGAGGCTGGGAGGTTCTCTCGCTGGCTCGCTTTCCGCGAAGTAGGGTGTCCATTAAGGCCCAACTAGTGCACAGTCGGGTCATACTACGGCAAGTCCACAAAGTTCATTGAAACCTCCATATAACTGACTGAACGAAATAAATTAAGACTTTATCAGCTTTTTCAAATGATTTGAGTCAAAGAGGTCTGCTTACATCGGCGCGATCAAGCCAAACAAACAGCTTTAACTGCCGAGGCAGCCACACCACCTCGCAACCGCCGGACTGCACCGGCTGTTCTCTACGGGAAGAGGCTCCGAGGCTCCTGAGCCAAATCGTTTGTTTTGTAATGCATTATGCATTCCTTGTACTTTTTATAACGCTGACAATTGTACTGACCTAAGTTTTTCACGTGCCTCCCCAGCAGCCCGCTGTGTGCGCTCTACGCTGCCGCCCCATCGCAACCGCGCCTGCCCAAGATGAAGCACCCCAGCAGGCTGCTCAGGGCCTGGCCTCTAGTATCTTTATTAGCTTCGGCTCTCATTGACAGCTCCCAGATGGCTGCTGGGAGACCCGGCACTAGCAGTAGCATTGTAGACAGGTTGGGCAACAGACGAAGATCTATTGCGAGCAGGGACGTGGGTCGCTCAGCTAGGATCCGTTCTACTACTGGGACAGTCTCCACGGTGGATAGTGTTATCGATAGCGGTGTGGTGACAAGTACTTCAGCCACCCCCTCCAACGGGGATCTGCTACTGCAGTATCTCAATAAGAAGGCCAGCACCAATGGCAAGACAGCGCAGCAGCTTATAGAAAAGTTGATATCCAAAAAGGGCGGCATTGAGGAGCCACAAGTTGCATCGACTGCTGCTCTACTTGTAGAACCGGAAGTAGAGGAGTCAGGAGATCTTGTCGAGGTGGTTAACACGCAGGCCTGTGACGATACACCCGTCAGCCAGGCCTATGACTGTGTACAGAAGGAGTTCAAACAGACCGCCTACTCCTGCAGCATTGATTTTTATCCTGAGGTTTGCACGATCGTAATAAAGCCCATGCAGACATCTTGTCCCAAAGACGTTGAACGGACGATCACATACCAATGCCCCAAACTGAAGAACAAACAAATGTGCTACAACATTCCTAAAGCAGTACAAACTGTCTGTACTGGCACTGCTAACCAGGCCAAGGAGACAGACTGTCAGCGTGTGAGGACGGAAAAGGTATGCAGCATAGTGGAGGAGACGATTCCATGGACTTGCCTTGAAACAAAACCACTGACCCTTGACTATACCTGTAGCAAAGTTGAGCCGACCACCGACTGCTCCCCTAATGTGGTAGCGGTTGACGATGATTGCACGCGCGAGACCAATGTTCCTGTCGTATATGACTACTACGACGTGGAACCTCAGACAGAGTGCCATACTGAGCGTAAGAAGAATATGTGTCAGAAGAACGTGAGGTCTGTCAACCTGTACTCTTGCCCGGAAACATACTATGAACAAGAATGTACCATGGTCACTGTGCCAGTTACGAAGATGTGCGACACTCCCGCCACTGTCACTGAAGAGTATCCGTGCGAAAAAACCGAAACGAGAGTGTTCAAGAAAGCATGTGGATTTGGCCAAGGAAAGAAGTTTCTTAGGATATCCGATACTGTAACCGATAATGGCACAGACAACGGCAAGAGCCTATGCGACTACGAAGCGCCAGTAAGCTGGGCTGTCTCTCTCGCTACTGCTTTGACCCAAAACTTTTCCGTTGTCGTTGTTTATTTGTATCTATTTCACGCGATGGCTCTATCCTCCTCGAAGCATATACATGCGGCTCTCTTAGTCTGTCATTGCCCGTACCTCCATGCCCGCTTCTCTGTGTCAGCCCCATATTCCCCGTTCATGACATTTATTTGGCCCTTTCTTTAGTTCCTTCCTATCCTTTTAGCTAAGCCTTACTGGCCCTCCTCTCGAAGACGTCCACTTGTCCCGTATCTCCCCCTGTCCACAGGTTACCGTCTCTACTACTTGTACTCGCGAGGCTACAGTCGTGAAACAGGAGCCCTGCACGGAGACCGAGCAGCAAGAACAGTGCGAAATGGTGGAGAAAACGCGGGAGAAGTCGTGTGAGACCCCCACGGTTCGCTCTGTCGAGACGGAATGCGACGACTGGGTAGAAGAGGAGGTTTGTGAAGAGGTCAACAAGACTGTCACCAAAAAGGGCGTTCGGTTTGAGACAAAAACTGAAAGCTTCCCCTGCACCAGTACATACGCCAAGGAGGTTTGCGTTGAGGTACAGAGCCTCGTTGATAGCACCTGCTCTGCCCAACTCCGGGAGACACAAGAGGTCTCTTGCACCCGCTCATACAAGAGGCAAGTATGCGAAAACAACAATGTCTCAAGCATCGAACTCTGCGCAGATGTCAGCGAGGAAGCAATTGAATATGACTGCCAACAAATTACGTATGAGGAGGTAAATCCAACCCCGAAATTTGAAAGCAGAACCCTTGACACTCCAAACTGAAAGACTCGTACAAGCCTTAACAAGCTGAATCTAGGCCTCACTTGCTTCTACAACGGGAAAAAACTGATGTGCCCGTGCACCTGTCTTGTTCATGTGTACGTTTCCCTTAACTATTGCCCCTAGCTCTACCGTCTAAGAATGTGGGTGTGTGCCTCAGAAATGCAGTACTGTGCCGTATTACGAGCTGGAGGACTGTGAGGTGACACTGGTTGAGACGGAGCTGACACCTTGCGAAGGGGACTACCAGGTGACTGAGTGCACTCCCCAGGAGAGCCCCCAAATGGGCACTTGCTTTAACGACGAGGAGGTTGACGTTGCCTCGACCTGCTACCGGATAGAGAGCCAGAACACTTGTCAAGATGTTATCACCACCAGGGTAATAAAGGACACTGTCAACTACGCTGCCTCAACCGTAAGCGCCAGCCCGACAGAGAGCACCAAGTCCTCCATTGAACCGACGAAGTAGTTCACACCTGTAGTAGATGCATCACACTGGTATTTAAAGTTGCTGTCTTAAGGCACGGGCACAGCCACACATCGCGCTGGAGCTCCGTTAGGCCTAACACAGCGATACCTCATGACGGCCTTTTACAAAGTAGAGGAGGGCCCCGCCCTCCGCAGGGGGCCTCAAAACCCTTGCTATGAGCTAAGATGACATCAGCAGAGCCTAGCTTTTAAATAACGTAATCGGACGTTTAATGGTAGTCCTTGCATAGGCACGCCGGCATTTAAAGATCGAAAGTTCAGGGTTTGGAATTAATGATAATCAGGGGCCTCTCTGTGGGTTCTCTGAGAGTACACAACACCAGAAGGAGCAGACAGGGTTTGTGTGAAAAAGGGCATGTTGCCAAGAGAGCATCCGGCGGCGTAAATCGGGGGCTGGAGGAAGTGGCCCCTGTCTTGAACTGGGATGTCTGCAACTCAGGAGATTGTGCAAAAATACACAGAAATAGCGGCGTGCAAAAAATCCGTGGGCGGCCCTACGTAGCGACAAACAATCAAGCCACATTTTTTCTAAAAAGAAGTGCAGCAATGGCTGCACACAGTGATGCACAAAGGCACACACGCTGCACGCATACAAACAGCAACAACCATGGGCCACAATATTGTGTTTGTCCAGCTGTGCAGCATGCATTTGATAGATAGAGGGGAGGTTTGTCGCGAAGAACAATCGATTCAGGTTTTGAGTCACACTAGACCGACGCTTAGCGACTGATGGCCAGTCTCTAATTCTGCAGCCTTCATGGGCCACGATGAAGGCCCCTGCTGTGGTTTCCGCTCAACTGACTTTCACGGTCCGCCCGCTTGGCAGAAAAATATGTCGCTACCAGTCCAAAAAGCAATTTGGCCATTGCAAAAAGTAGGACAATCCTGCTGTTGTGTCGCATCAGAGTCAGGTGTTGGATGGCGGCCTGCGGATGATCGCCGGACATCCAACGTAGGCTAAAAGAGTTATTGAATGAAGTTCTCTATAGGAGACGCGCATCTGTAGCGTGCAAAAAGACCAGCTAACTGGCTAGTAGGTAGCTATTCAGGAAATCCGGTAACCAAAAGGGACATAATCAGTCGGGCAGCCTCGTAGGAGTCACGCCAGACCGACCGGTAGCAACTTACGGCCCCTCTCTGGCCCTGCAGCCTTCAGAGGGCAGGAATGAGAGCCCCTGGGTGTCTTCTTGGACCCTCCCAGGTGTTTAGCACACAATCGGGTTTCGACGATTTGAATAACCGATAGAGAAGCTGTTGGAGCCCTTAAAGAGAAGAACATCATTCCGAGGGATTTCCTTAGTACAATATGCCTACTCCCTGCCTCCCTCCCCCTTACGCATTCTGGTACTAGCTAGCGTAGCATCCTGAACGTGAGTTCAGCTACAGAGACTAAACTAGCCCTTGGCTCCAGCACTTTAGCATACAGCCAGCACAGGCCTTTGTCCGCAACCCTGTCCCTATGAAACACCAATATAAAGTATTAGGGAGTAAACAGGTAAATAACGTTCCAGAAGCCCCCTATTCTTCTCGCCTAGAGGATCCAACTGTCCCAAAAGCTGAGATAGGGGCCAATGGGCCGAGTGGCCACTCCGAAAGTGGGGTCTTCTTGATATGAAGACTGAACATGTCCTGCACACACCTGTAAGGGACTTGCAAAAAAACTCTGTGGTGCGTGTCCCCACTCTCCATGTACGTGATTAGGTGCCAGGCGTGAATAAAGGAATCAAGAGCTTTTTTCAGTCTCGGCTGCCGAGGTTGCTGGCTGGGTGGCTTCTTCAGGGTCACCACCTGGCACTAAGATGCTGATATTGTTGCCGTTTAGAAGTATGCTGTCAAGATGGGTCTTCTTGACACCTTGAGCCGTAAACGAATACTCGGTCACATCGTCCAGTACCTATAGAGGCAGTCATGAGATTCTGGGGAGGTAGAGATGTATAGGGGGTGGCGCACGGGCCTGAAGGGAAGTGAAACTTACTAGAAAGCAGTAACCCCAGATCCAGGAAGAGCAATAGGTGCAGGGAGCTGCAGTAGGAGCTTTAACGGAGGAACAGCGTGACACGGTGAAAAATAGATGACAAGGGGGCACTGGGTATTAATCGCGAAAGCACGTAAGCTGGTAGGGTCTAAGTAAAGACGATGGGGGGATGCGATGAGAACGGCGACAGACGGCACACGTACACGAAGTATGATTTCACTAAGGTCGCCTACAGCTAATCAACAGCAACAGGAAGTCACTGTGAGTTATTGGTCCCCCTCTACGTCAGTTAGAGCCTTATTTTTTATCCAATTAAGCTTGTTCGCTAGGAGGCAACCCAAAGCAAGGGGTACGCGGAGATTGCCGAGGATGTGGAGGTGGCAGATGGGCTGTGGGCTAGCGGGTCACAGGCGACTGCGCCTCAAGAGTAGGAGTGCCCACCAAGCACTGCACGATATAGTTAGATGGAGAACCTTCTCACAATGAGTGGGGAGATCCATGCAGTAACTGCAATAACTTATGGGTAGGGCTCTGCTCACCATGTTGACATAATCGTCGAAGCCGCGGAGAGTACCGGCCAGCTCTTTATCTCCCTTCATGATGACCCAAACCCTTGAGCCCACGCATTTGTCCACTAGGGCAAGGGGCAAGTAGCTAGGGCCTCCGCTGACGACACCTGCGGTGCCTAGGCCCCCAGAGCCTCCTGCTGGTGCTGCTGTTGCGCTGCTGCTCATTATGCCTCCAAGTGTAACGACTGAATCTACCTGAAAAGCTGAAGCTGCTGGTGCTTGTACTGCTGACGCTTTTTATGTTGTTCTCGCTGCTGCCCGTGCTCCTGTGCTAGTACCGCAGAGGCGGGGACCGGCTGTCAGAAGGCTGTGGCAAAACCACCAGAAGAACTGGCATATGCATTCTTCTCTGGGTCCCTAGCGTCCACAATTGCTTGGAGGAAGCATAAACGCAAGATACACGGTCACCGGGAGCCCCTCCACCAACACGGTGTTGCAGGGGCCGCGGAAGGGGCCCCCCAAGGCCCCGGCCAGTGAGCTGCTTGCGGCAGCTGGAGCCTCGGATTTCGCGCAGTGTACACCGGATGGTCTGTAGATATTGATTCAAGGATGGAGCAAAATAAGATAAGCCAGTCACTACTTTGCGGATCCTAGTAGAGGAGACCTCTCTTCTCTGGAATTGTGCATGCTTACGGGAGAACGTGATGGAGGGGCCCCTCGGAATGGATCCTCCGTTTCTTCGTGAGGCCTTAAGCAGCACATACACACCTTTCGAGAGAAAAACGCTCGTAGGGACTACTCCAGCCAGCAGCTACCAACAAGTTGGGGGCCCAGAGCCCACTTTCCCGTCGGGAGTCAGGGCGAGCTCCGCTGGACCGCGAGGTCACTAGCAAGACTTGTGCCGTGTAATTGAGTGTATCCATGACTCAGGGGTTTCGCAAGCAAGCAAAGAGCACCTTAAATTGCCTGGAACCCCGGAAATATCCGTGGTTCCAGTGTAGTGCAGAGGAGGAATAGGCACTCGAAAGCCTCTGTAAACTAAGCTTCTTAGTGGCCTTCCGTAGACAACTCTAATGTCCTTTCTTACAGCTGTGCCACGGGGACCCCCATGGAATTCCCTACTGAGGAAAACGACTCGGTGGAGCTTCCCTCGCCAAGTGCGAGACACCTCTAACAATGCTGCCGCCTTGCAGACACGTAGAGACACAGCGGAAGCTGCAACACAACCACCAGCAGGTGGAGCAGCTCATGCAGAAAAAAATGAAGCAGCGGGAGGCTTGTATGTTGCCACGATGACTCCCTTCGCCCTAACTCGAGGCATCCTCAAGGCAGCACGGTAAGGCACCTCTCGTGACTCCGCTTTCACAAATTCTCTCTTCCCAAGGGACTTGCACCTATATTTGGCCGTTGAGCTACATGAACACTGGCAGATGGTGCATGGGCTCTCGTAGGTTCTGCTTCTTGCATTGCTCCCTAATAAGTCTTTGTAATTATTGGTGGAAAATCTGCCACGCTACCGTTCCACTGCCCCTGCCCGTTGTTATTGTGCCTGGATTCAGGTCCAACCAAAGGGATTTATTGCTGTGGAAAGCCTTTGCGCGTCGCGCAACTGCTCTTGCTGATGTGATCCCTGGAGAGGACATGGCACGCCTCCTATCTGCCTTTGGGGCCAACGGTCTCCGCCACGAGCCACTGCTGTCTGCTGCTGCGGTTGCGCTGCTGCCGCAGCTGCATCAGCTGTCTCCTGCTGGGGTGTGCCGGATCACGCAGGCCTACGGCCAGCTACTGTGCATACACCCCGAGCTGATGCAGCAGTTGCAGAGAGAGATTGCACGGAAGGCTATGAGCATGACAGTCAACCAGGTGGGGTTTGTATTTTCTTCACTGGCGCGCCTGGGCTCCCCCCCGGGACCGCTTCTGCGGGTTCTAAGGAAAGAACTTATAGTGAGGCATCAGCATTTATCACCTGGAGCTCTCATTATGTCGCTACATGCTGCTGCGACGCTTCAGCTGCAAGACAGCAAATTGCTTGCTGCTCTCGCTGCTGCTCTCTGCCGCTCAGTGGGAGCTTTGGATCCCAAGGGCCTCGCCCTAGCAGCAAACTCTCTCGTGCGGCTTAAGGTTAAGAACCAGTTCATGCTGCAGCTGCTGACGGCTGCAGCACAGCAGCGTCTGCTGCTGCAGCAGCGGCAGCAGCACATGCAACCGCGAGACCTTGCAATGCTGCTGCACGCGGCAGTGGCCGGAGAAGCTGCCTCATCATCCTTCATTAAGGAAGCGGCAATGGCAGCGGGAAGACGTATGCAACTTTATGACCTGCAGGCTATGTGCCTTGTTGCTGCGGCCCTCACGAAGCACTACCGCCAACAGCAGCGTCTGCCACAGCAGCAGAGCGGGGAGAGCCTGACACAGGAAGAGCTGTTTAAGATTCTGGATAAGATAGGGGAGAGAGCTGGGCAGTTATCCAGCCAGCTTACTCCCCTTGCTGTCTGCTGCCTCGTTGATTCGTTTGCTTCTGTTCGATTCCGTTGCGGGCCTCTCCTCTTCCACGTCCCCCGGCACGTAGCTTGGTGCTGCCAAAAAGAAGTAGCAGTAATAGCGGCAGACGCAACACCAGGAGGAAACACCGAATCAGAAACAGTGCATAAGAGAGTATCGGACACAGAAGAAGCTACGTCAGCAGTAGGGGAAGGGCTGGAACCATATTCCGTGTGCCAGCTGGCCATCCTGTTGAGGGCTTTCAGACGGCTTGGAGCCAGTGCATGCGCCTTGCTGCCATACGCATTTGCCTCGCTACCGCCACTACCACACGATCAGTCTGAGTCAGGCCCTCACGAAGCGACAGATGCCTTGCTCAACGTGGGGACCCTTTCCACGGACGCAGCAACAAAAGGTTCTGACAGGGAAGCAGCAGCATTAGCCTCAGTAACAAAAGCAGCAGGAGTAAAAGCATCGCCGCGCGCTCCACAGCCTTTGCCGCATTCTTTGATCTGGATCCTCGAGAGCGCTGCTGCTGAGTCATTTCTTGATCGGCAGGTAACTTTTGCTGCGCTGGCTTCCCTACCACCGTTGTTGCCGATGCCCCATCGGAAGGCGCTCCTACGGTGCCGAAGTTACTGTTGCTTGTTTCAACCTTGCTAAACTTCTTAATGTACGTACACGAGGAAAACTGTGTGACTTTTGATGCGACGTAGGGCTTGTCCCTGCTGTATAGGCACCTGGCCGTACGTGCCGATGAACTGCCACCGTACGCATTTGTTGCTGTTTGGGACTGCGCTTCTCGCCTGGGCATTTGCACATCGGAGTTACAGCTCGCATTACAGCAACAAATGCAGGTACATCCAGATAATTGCGACTGATACACTTTCTGCAGGTGCTGCGCCGCAGCTCAGCGTCGCCACCAAGAGCAGCAGCAGTTACCAGGGTAGTCCTCTAAACTGACACTTTAACTGTGTGTTTTCTGCGCTTTTAGGTGCCGCGGAGAGGTCTGTGCTTTACGCAGAAACAGCTGCAACGCATGCATCAAGCTTTTCTAGATTTGGGTTTGTCTCCTTGGTCCTTTGGTGTGGCCAGGGTACCGTATGGCCTCCTCCCTAGCTTTCAACAGCAGCAGCTGCAGAGTGAGCTACAAAATAGGCATATTCCACCTTCAGTGTATATACACATAGCTTTGCAGGAGCAAACAAGGCTGAAAGAAGAGAATGGCGAGCTGCTGCAGGCAGCAGCAGCAGATGAAGCAGCAGAAATGGCCAAAAGGGCCTGTGACTTTCGGGCAAACGCGACTTGAGGTTCTTCGGGGGATCCTTTGGACCTACCCCGGCAGAGCATCATTAGAGAGTTACTGTGACATGCATCTTTTTAAGGTGTGAGGTCATGGTTTTAGGACTTAATATTTGTTACTTGGCCGTTGGCGTCTCGGGCTTTACGTATGCTGAGGTCGTCTATAAGAGGACTGTAGCCGATGCTGATGAATAAGTAGAATCAATGTTTCACGGCAAGAGGTCTTGCCTTTAAAGTCTAGGTTGCTTTGCTTTAGACAAGTTGCGCTACTGACACGCTCCATCCACCGTCTTCGCAGGGAGACATTTAACTCCAGACTCCGTACAAACTTATAGAAGATTATTGAATGAACCTAAAAGCGTTCTCCGTTTCCTGCTCCTGCCCCTCAGAGCTCCAAAACAAAGGGGTGGGGAGAGCTAAGTAGGCGGTCCCGTGCCCCACAGGTACTCCCAGATTTCACAGCTAGTTGCACGTACATAGTGTGCACGCATGCGACACTGCACTTTTATCAAATATCAACACTACTCTGGACTAAATCATGTTACGAACAAACAAACCAGTTATTCTCTTCCATGTTGATTTTTAGTTACATACAACTAGTGTAGTGAAAACTGTTAAACTGCAACGCAGCCTGCTAGAACTTCCCTCTCCATCACAAATATACGCCTTGATGTTCCTTATCTGCAATTCGAGACTAGCTGCATGGGGAACAGCGGAAATTTCCAGCGCCCCAATTTCCCTTCCCAGGCATGCATAATTGCAAACACAGTGCAAAGAAATTAAAAAGGCAAAGGTATGCGTCAACCAATGAAGAGAAATCGACGGAAAGGAACACATTCTTGCTAAAAACGAATTAGGGACCAAACCAGCACGACCGCGTCAGTGAAAGCGCTCGCTGGCGTCTACGAGAGTACAGGACCACACACTAGTCCCGCAGAGCATTCATTCCTCAGAGACCAATCTATGCGTGAAAATAAAGCTGGTGCATGCAGTGTGGTATGCTTCCAATCCTTGAAAAGAAGCATATGGAAGGATATCGGGAGAGCATATTTCAGAGGGCCTCGTGGGAATCTGGGTTTAGAGAACATCGTAACGATACGAACCTGGGATTTTTCAGGCAATAGCCATACAAAAAAGTGTTTTTAGGCGGAACTCACTCTGGGGAAGGATATTTACCAAGCGCGGGAAATAATGCGATGAACTACAAGCGTGTTTCATGCATAGTGAAGGGGTTGTACTTATACAAACGCACCAGGTTGCAGTCTACACTTCAACAACTAAACGGCCCAGTCCTACTGAGCAAGCGTCGGAGATGCCAAGTGGATAAATATAACAGGAAACCTTGAGGCTGCAGCTCCGGGGCTGGACACTGGACAGCTCCATGCAACGGAGCACCTTGAGGCTGGTTCGCAGATGCACTGGAGAAGGTTCCTATGGAGAGAGGATTAAAAGACAATAGTATAGCTCAAAGGAGATGTTAATTTTATTATACGGATGGTCCACCGGAGCACGGGATCATGAGTCCCAGCATCACGCTGACATTGCATGCGAGGGCCAACCCGTATGATGCCTAGGTAGATCCAGAATCGGCCTACAGAGGGCTGTGCAGATGATCCACGGCGCAAGAGACTGACTGCGTATTGCATCTGGCGTGTCTCTGCTTTTCCTGCAAACGCTGCCCATGGCGACTAGCGTTGTTAGCCAAATGAAGCTTCAAATTCTCCCGCTGGGAACGAAGCCCGCAGCGGCTCCCCGGTCAGCAGTTGGAATGGACAATTCTAAACCCATTTCACTGGCAAAGCCCTAATCTTTGTCCTCCGCGTTCAACAGCAATAAAGTCCAGCAGCATTTCTACGGCGCCCCTTGAATCCGCCACCTCAGCACGTTTCCCCTGCCTGCGCGGTAATCTGCAAAGAATTTGTAGAGTTTGGAATACTCTTTAGAAAGACAATATGAACAGTCCAGTAAAACCGCGATCACTTGTGCACCATTTTATACTACTACTTGCTTAGTAACAGCTGACGGTGATTTAGGAGCTCTTGAGCATGTCGGCTGTAGACTGAGCCATCATCAATCTGGACAGCCACATTCAAATTGCTGATTCTTTTATTTGTTCAACAATTACAGCCTATAATCCAAAATTTAGGGGCTAATGTGGCTACAAGGACCGTTATTATTCGCCTTGTAGCCCCTGTGCTAATCGCACTGCCCTATTATAAGCGCCATTCTTCTAACAACCAATGTTCGTGACGCAGCGATGAATGCTGTTTTCTTGTTCTCCAAGACACCAAAATCCTGTTTTCCATAAAAAAAATAAATTCAGAAAGACCTCACAAGAGTATCCAGTGTGGGTAAACGAACTTTGTGCGATGTGTTGGAGCGTGGAAAAATGACACCACTATGTACGTAGGGGTCCGTTTGCTGTCCAGACTTATCTTCAGTCTTACTCGACCTTGCAAAAAGCCCTTATAATTAAAATAGCCGTAGAGTTGTTCTCTGGATTTGGTGCCTTTGTAGTACGAATTCGCAGTGAAGTATTTAAAGGACACCATGAACTTTGTCGCCAGCGGGACCTCGCGACGCCCTACCAATTCGCTTTTGTGCAGCCCAACCACCCCTTAATGTCATGAGTCAAGCTTTCCACCAAATGCGTGTGGGATAAGCGTTTGTCAGACCTCTATCCATTACTACTGCCTTAATCCAAAATGGCAAGAGGGTGAAGAACCGTCATGTTGAGAATGGGTTGCTGTAATTCAAAACGAAGCGGGGACTCGGTCGCCTGAACATCCCGATTTCGCTTCGCAGTGCCGTTTTACGAATAGCAAACAATCGCGCTTCTTTTGCGTCATAGTAAAAAGCACACTACAGTAAGAAAGTTCCAACTCTTCTAGGCGGCGTGGGATGCGTCTCGCGGCATAAGAGTATCCACAATGTGCAACTTGCCAGCTGCTGAAACCGCGCGGCTCTTCTAAATCCGGCTTCTCGCGCAGCCTTACAGTCTTTATAGATTTAAATCGATATCATCATGGACCTTCTTGTTGGACTGGCCGACGTCAAAGGTTAGGATAGCAACTACGTCGTGGTCGTCAGGCTCAGTATATACGGACGTTTCATCTCTTGATCCACCAGCTCTGTCACGGCTCAGGGGTCGTTCATTTTACTCCAAAATCATGTGTGGAGGCTTCCTCGAATCAACAGTACAATTATTACGGATAGTGATACGAGTTTCGTAATTATATTCTGGCGTGCCCGTATGACCTAACGCATTAACCAGGACATTTCCGCTGTGAATCACCTGGAGGCAGAGAGACAGAGAGAGTGACAAGCTTTTGCATGTCGGTGAAGTACGTAAAACTCAATATCCACAAAAATTAAAGTGTTGCCCCTTGACTTCTTTGATAAGTAGGTTTTGAATACGACTTTACACCCCTCTACCCGCTGCTTTGCCCATCCCTGCATAACGCTGAGCCGCCATTCACCGGTTCTAGTCTGATCCCACTTTCATTGAATCAGTAGCCACTTACAAAATCAAAGCATTTTATGGAACAGCTGGCTAGTGCGCGACATTTATGGGCACAACTCAAGAGAGGTAAAAATTGGGGAGCTATCGACGGCGATAGGCTGTTTCATTATAGCCTCGAAGTATTGGTCTTCGTGGGTCGGTAGGCTTTAAGGGTCCACCAAATACTTGACCAAACATGTACTGCGAGGTGGCTAGGGTCATGGCGATTATCTCAAAAAGCAATGCTGCCTCTTAAACAATTCCATAGAAAGCTAGAGTGGCCACTTAACTATCCATATTGGCTTCCTAGAGAGTATTCAGAACTCTACAAATTCTCCGCGGACTACCGTGCAGGCAGGGGAAACATGCTGAGGCGGAGAATTCAATGGGAGTCGCAGAAGTTCTGCTGGCTTTTATAATTATTGAACGCGGAGGACTCAATTTATGGGCTTGGGCAGTGCAATGGAGCCGGTATTGCCAGCCTCAATTGCTGACTTGGGAGTCGCTGAGGGCTTCGTTGCCAGCGAAAGAATTTGCAGCTCCGTTTGGTTAGCAACGCTAGTTGCTGTGGATGGTACTCCTCGCGTTCCTTAATAATTGTCCTTTCCTCAGGGTTGTTCTCAATTTCAAGGGCAACCTTTATCTACGGGTACTGCCTGAAACGTCTGCAATTATTGTTGCCAAGGTGTTTATTGCATTCAGATAATATGCGCAGGCAATCTCAGGCACCTTGTCCCTCTATTCTTCCTTAAGCTTCTTATCGGGGCCTGGAAATGTGCAATGCGGCAAGCAACTACTGTACCGGCATGCATGAGCTATTCCAGAAGGTGCAGGGCGCTAAGGTCGTGAGTAAGTAAATTTGTCCACACAATGTACTCGTCTTCTCAGGGCAGAGAGCCTATGCATTGTAGCGCTCCAACAAGACCTACTTGTTTTACCGCTGCTGGCGTGTTGCTTGCTTTACTCTTCCGCAGTTGACTAGCGTGTGTAACGTTCTCACTTCCTATTTCCATTTGCGGGCAAAGGCTCGCTTGGCCTTTTCTCGCGCAGTGCTTTTTGAGTTTCTGTCTGCCCCACGAGCGGAGGACGGTGCGGTAACGCCCAGCTTAGCTGTCATTCTCTCTTCTTTTTGGAGCTCTGCGAAGGGACGGCAGAAGTAAGGGGGTGACATTAAAAACGCATTCAGCAAAATTAAAAGGTTTTTGTGGAATTTGAATTCAGTCGTTTCCTTACTGAGATCGGAAATCAGGCGCCTCACTTTTATTGTTTCCATTTTGAGAGCTTCCGCCCGCAAAACGTGGCAGAACGTTTCAAAAAATCCAAGTCATCGATTAAAGAAGCCTTTGCATCTCTTTGACCTTTTTCAAGTGGTCTTAAATAGGCAGGGAAGAAGCGAATATGGGCTGCACGCAGCTGCTTTCTCACAGCGCTCTACACATGCAAACGACACATATCACCTGAGCACACAGGGGAAGAGCCTACCTTCTTATAATGCGCGTGTACCCGCTTTTCGTTCGGCTGATAGACTACACGAACAACCAGAATCGCCCGTCAATATTTAAATAAATTTTAAATAAGTATATTGGGTGTGGTAGACCTTGCCAACCTGTAGCCTGGCCGGTCCATCTTTCCTTGTATTGTTTCTTCGTTCTGCGAGGTAATCTGCTGTTTCTTTAGCTTTGCGTAATTAAATTTGTTCTTGTGTAGGAGACTAGAAAGCATGCAGTTGATTTGCTGGAAACCCAAAGTGACGCATGTCGCTGTGTTGATTGTGCCTTCCGTCATCGCTTTCCGTCCAAGACATACCAACTTTCCGCTCTTTTTGTGAGTAGGCGAATTCTTGTATAAGAGAAAAGCACTTGTTCATGCTCTTGGCGCAATATAGCCGAATGCTTCTCTCTTTCGTAATGCATCTACTAATTGGTGCTTTGTCTTGTCTTTCTCGATGTACATCTTGCAGAATGTCGATGAATTAGAAGTCTACACAAATGCCAGGTGTTCCACCACAGAATAAGATAAAATAAGGTTTAGGCACCAATATGTACGCACACCTGCGTAACTGTTCATACCAAAACCTGCTTGCATCTTTCCTCCCGTTAGTCAGTGCTGGATATCACTGACACTAGAATTTTTCTTTCATTAGAGGATTGCCTTAAGAGGAGAATTCCAAACAATCTTTATAAGATTTTCAATAGGGAAATTATAGCAGTTTTGTTCTTGAAGTTGCAAATTGGAACATCCAGGCAAAACGTGCCCGTTCCTTAGGGCTGCTCCCTTGTGCCCTCCACTTACTATGCTCCCTCCACACAATCAGAAGGTCAAACATTGCGGAAACCCTTCTTAAGAGCATGTTGACTATATTGAAGATGGCCCTATAAGGTAATTGTCGGCGGGTTTCCCAAGCCTTAAAGCAGATGAACGATGGTCCAACCTCAAACTAAACGATTATACGAGGGGTGGCCGAGACTAGTGTCTCAAGACTAATGATCTAATTCTTTCCTTTCTTTTTAACCATTTTTATATGCTTTCAGGGTCTGTTGGGAGATGGCTATCTGTTTTTGTGTTGTGGATCAGAGACGGTAAGCCAATGCTTGCACCAGCATCCAGCATGTGAAAGAAGCTATATAAGCTGTATTCTTAGTACGTGCCTCCTGACATCTTCTTTACCCTGATTGAGTCTTAAAGGTTTACCACGAAATACAACACCCGTGTTCACATGGACAGTTGGAGGGGAGGGGCCTTTGCAATTTTGCGGCCAAGCACCTGTTGTTGGGGCAAACTGAACAGAAGACAGCAGATTTCCCCTAGTCTTGGTGCTCTGAGTCCTTATATCTATTTAAAAACTCTTTCTAGGTACTTGGAAGTGGTATTTCATGTAATGACAGAGAATAGCTCCAGCAATTCAGTGTGTTTTTCTGCATCCGCTACACCCGCACGAAGTTAGTCGGCGCTGGGTGTCGTCCGAGGGTACGCTGTTTGGTTCACGTGCGGAAATAGATCAGAAAGCCTTGTTCAATAGACGAAATCATGTTGAAATAAAGCATTGGTACGCTAAGTTTAGGCATGTACGCAGAGGCCTGGAGCAGAGTTGCTGCAGCGCTAGGAGGCGGGAGGAGCCGCCGCCCGTACGGCCTCTCCCCCCAGCCAAACCGGCCTGCTGGTTTGAGGCCACTTCTGCTGTCCTTAGCCCACCAGACAATTTTACGCCGAATCGCGCTTATATGAAGAAGCGGAATAATCGAATCCAATTTTCTATAGAGTCATAGAGCCCGTGCTGTAGCTACCGCCTGTCCTCTACCGCCCCCCCAGGGGCCTCGGTGAGGGCGGCCGCGTCGTTACTGAGTGTTACTTCATATCCTTCTTGTTCCGCTTCTTCTTTCTTATTTTTGTATACCTCTATCGCAATCTTACTCAGCGGCCATTCAGCCCTGCCCTCTCTCTATGTCTCAGGCCTGTTGGTCTCGGGCTGAATACTCAGCTGCCTTCCAGCACCCGAACGAGTGCCAGCCCGTTTATTCTACGCACTTGCGGTACACAGGCGCGTCTATGCCTTCCCTTAAACTCTTTGCTGCAGGTTTCAAGGAGAATTGGCTCCACTTCTCCCGTCCCTCTGCTACCGTTAAGCCAGCAGTCGCCGCCGACTCGGCCGCCCGCTCTTTAAATCCGAATATTCTGGGATAGTTCCACCGCGCGAACGCACTGTTGCTTCTATTTGGTAACTGCCAGATTCACTTTAAGGCCACCCGCCTACCTGAACGACAATTCTAAAACATCTTTTTACGTCGGCCCCACCTCCATCGACCGGACCACCACAAACACCAGCAGCCTCAGGGCTGTACAGTGCGCGTCTCCGCCTCTCTCCCGCCTTCTTCCATATTTTTAATCTGTCTCGTGCAACTATTTTTCGCCGTGTATCCACTAAGCACGGCCCTTCTACTTCCTGTGAGATCAGGCCAGGCCCTTTGGTGTGAGTCTACTGCAGCAGCAGAGACAGCAGCACGTGCAATAGCGCAAGACGATCCTTCATGTGCGCTTTTTATAATTACAAAATTGTTCGAGGGTTGGGGGCCAACAGCCAACCGAATATCAGGTATTTTTTCCATGAATTTCCTCCATCTCCTTCCCCCAACCTGCCCTCGACCTTCTGCTCGCGGACACCGCCTCCACAAAGTTCCTCTTCCCCTCTCGTCCCCGCTCTTTCCTGGTATTGCTGTGTCTAGGTATCAAAGGGACTTTCCAGTACTTGGGGTCTGTAACTATCGAATCTGAATAACTGTCTTTTAACTGCAAGCCTCCTCTGCGCGCGAAGCGGCAGGCAGTTTCGGTACAACAGCATGAATTAAGTCAAACCGTGCTCTCTGGAACTGGCCTACAATCCTCTCCAGAGTTCCTCTCGTACAACAACGCCCACCCCAGCTACCTGTCTGCTGCAGTGACTTGGCTGTATCTAATCGGTTCGCTCCCGTCTGCAGCGGGGCAACGCACCAACTAACCCAGCAGCAAGCTGCAGCACTGACCACACAGGAGAGCACTGAAGCCGTGCCAAACAGCAGCAATGATAAGTCTTCACCAGCTCTTCAGAGTTCTCTCTAGAGTTAGCGTAGACCCATCTGCCCCTTTCTGCCCACCCTCGCTGCACTCTCCTGTAGCGGGGATACCGCGGGGAGTGGGCGCCTCCAGGGTGTCCAAGGAACCCTGCAGCCCCCTCAAAGCCCAACAGCCGGCGTCAGATTCAAGCCTTATCACAACATGCACAAGCTCACCTCCAGCTCAGTGTGCCTCCAGCTCGGCGGTTTGTGGCCTCGAGGAGAGCTTATTTGACGAGGCTGAATGCACACCTTTCTCCTTCAGCAGCAGCACCAACACCACTGCAGCAGCAGCAGACCTAGATAATGCTGCTGCTCCAGAGGTCTCCGAAGGCTTCAAAAGCCTACAGAAGCCATTGGCAATCGCCGTTTCCAGTACTCGACAGTCTTCTTTGTGTAGCAGCAGCAGCAGCTCGACTGCAGGCTCGCCTCTTACCGCCCCTTCCTTCGATGCTTCGTCTCCTGGATCCGCATGCACCGTTGCATGGTCTTCGCTTCCTTCAGAAAGGACTTTGAGATCTTCAGAACGTCCGCTCCCATCCCTCGCATTGGATGGAGTGGGTGCTCCTTTGGCCATTCAAGCGCTTCCCCATGGCCACCAGGTGCCCCATAAGGAGTTAGGCCCCCAGTTCTTTGATTCAACTGCTTCCAGTATAACTCTTCTTGACGCACAAGGCGGGGTAGAGGAAGATTCGAGAGGAAGTGCCTACAGAGCCACCCGTCGGCAGCGACGAAAGCTATGGCCTCAGGAGGCACCTTGGGACTCAGGCACTTGCAGCAGAGCAGCAGCAGGGACTAGTGAGATTGCCTGGATGCAGAGGAGAGCACAAGACCGCATTCAGACTCGTGGAGGAGCAGCAATAGCACAGCAGCACTGTCCATTGCCCGAAAAATCAACAGACGTGCTGAGCGTCTCTGGGCAGGACTCTCGCTCCAGCCGACGCCGTTCCGTTGCCTCCAGGGGTCATCAGCAGGTCAACTCTGCAGTAGCGACGGTGCCACAAGGTGACTCGATGTGTGTACCGATCATTCAGGGGGGCCCCGGAACGTGCCTTGTGGGGATTTCAGAAGGACCTTCACGGTTACCGGGTGTTTGTTTTTCGCCTCCCAAGGATGTCTGGAGGGCCCGCATTACCGTTGAGGGAAAGCAGTTCGAGCAGCAGTTCTCCGTGAAGAGGCATGGCTACGATGGTGCCAGAATTCTTGCCGTGAGATGGAGGGCAGAGATGGAACACGCACGAATTGTTAGGCCTCTAGCACATCCCTAACAGTAACAGCAATTGCACGGCATGTATTGACTATCATGAAGCCCCAATGCGCCCCCTATGGCAACCAGCTGTAGCTACGCCTAGCATGCCCCTTTCGCTTAGAGCGGTCCGCTAGGGATACATAGATCTGAGCGAGTCGAAATGAAAGGCAGGGCTCCATGGTATCCCTGTGCATTCGTGACAACAGTCCACTTGCACGCTGGAAGCCGCAGAAGCCCCTACGTTGGTCCCGCCTTGAGGATCTTACAAAAAGCCCAAGGAGGCTGAGAGATAGCCCGCAGGGCCTCTCGCAGCCGAGAGGCCAAATAAACCGTCTAAAGAGCATACTGGGTTGTTGCCTAGAGGGAACTGGTAGCCCTCGAGGCCTCAGCTCGGATCTCCGCTTCCCGAGCGCTGCGATGGGGGCTCATACTGAACCGTTGTCTGCTGTCACACGTAGCAGCAGCCAGGTTAAGGATTCTGCTTTTCGTCCTTGCAGTCCCAGCAGCTCTGCTGCAACGACAGTAGAGCACTACATGCCGCAAGTAGCAGCCGGACACAAAACCTCGCCGCGAAAAACGACGCCCCAGATGCATATTGGCGCTAGCAAGGCCACCCGCGAGGGGCAAATACAGTTGCAGCAGCCCGAAATGGTAGCAGATGGGAGAGTCAGACGCGTTTTCCACGGCTAAACTAGATGACCAATAAGCTCCTTATGTAGAATTACAGCTAATGCTGATGTCTGCACGAGAGCAAGTAGGGGAGAGTCCTACGAAGGCACGTTCCTGATGCCTGTATCGCTTTTGGTGGCTGTTGCAGCATTCAACTCCCTAGACTGTCTGCCCTTATGCTGCAGTCGCTGCCTGAGTGTTTGCCTAACAATCGTGGCTTCCCTTTGCCTCGCCAGTCGCCTGGCGATCCGCCTGCAAGAACGCATCCCGAGCACAAAATGTGCATATAACCATTGAAAACTCTCCAAAGTAACCAGTGTGGGAGCCTTGCACGTGCGGGTCGATGCTTAGCACTAGAGCAAAGGACCAAACGGATGGTGGCTTCGTACCTGCGAGCTTTAGCAGAGGCCCCAAGGGGTGGGTTTGTCCCCGTGCGGCGCTGAAGGCTCCTGCGTCTTTCCAGCTCCTCTCTAGTGACATGCTGCTGCTGCAGTACTGGGGGAAGAGAAGAGAGAAAGCTCAGCTTGAGGCCTGCTTGCTTGATTCGCGGGGCCTTCTTGAGGTAAGCAGCAACCGATGGTGGTACATCTACAACAAATCCTTCGCTGCAGAGTGCTATGCGCCCCAGAAGAGCCAACTGTTGCTGCGAAAGGACTTCCCTGAGGAGCTGCAGAAGGTCACTCCGGGTTTTTAATACCTTGCCCATGGGGTCATAGAATAGGATGGCTACGTAGTTTTGCCTCCCAGATAGACATGAAATCCAAGAGATGCGCTGCTGTCTCTGCAAGAGCAGCGCCAGACCAGCGGCTAGCAGCCGGGGGCCCCACTGTTCTGACTGAACTGAAGCGTACTGCAACAAGGGCCCCAAATCAGATGCGAAAGGAAAAGACACGATGTCCGCTTCTGCAGCACACAGGAGCAGCAAGCCCGCAAAGGGAGATCACACCACCGTCAGGGATGTGAATTGGCGGCATCAACAGCAAGGAGACAGCACCCAGAAAGCAGCCTGCAGCAGCATAAGGGAGCTTCACTATCCTAGCGTTAATAATACACCTAAGAAAGTCAATAAATAGAATATCGTATGGCAATCCCATGAATTCTCAGGCGGCTCCAGAGGCATTCACACTGCACATGCCCTACCTAACCGGTCTAAAAGTTGTTTTCTGACTTCTTCCTCCGACGGCGTCTTTGTGGGTGTGAATGATATTTTCAGCTGCCTCTCCAATCGCCTCAGTTGCCTCCTCTGCGCCTCGTCATACAGTACGACGGCGTCCCCTTGCTCTCCTCCTCGGCCTGTACGACCCACACGGTGTATGTAAACCTCAGGGGAGAGGGGTGGTCCCCACTGGAGTACCAGTCTAACCCCAGGAAAGTCAAGGCCCCTTGCAGCCAAGTCAGAGGCAATGAGGACAGAAAATTGCTTTGCTCTAAACTGAGAGACTGTATGTCTCCTTAGTTGCTGCGGCATCTCCGCGTGAAGGGGCCGTGCCTGCTGCTGCTGCAGCAATGGATGAGCAGCAAGCAAAGACACTTCGTCTCGGCTGCAGCAAAAGATGATACACTGCCCTTCCGGGGGCAACCGCTGCATCAGTAATAATGCTGCACGCCGAGCTCTCTCAGCAGGAGCACGAGGCACACGTGCAGAAAAATGGGAAACAGAAGGGGACAGTTGCGATCCCGAAGAAACTGTTAGGTCTATCAGCACAGCCTCCGCGGACTGCTGCTGATGCTGCTGCTCTTGTAGCTGTTCCTGTTCTTCCTGCTCCTTCTGATCCTGCTGCTGTGCACCGAAAGCATCTTGGATCTGCTTAGAAAGCCACTTCGGCATTGTGGCAGAAGCGAGGATGGTCTGTCTCTTTGAATTAAGCTTTGAGAGGAGAACCTTGATAGGTTCCTCAAACGAAGGCCCCACTAGTTTGTCTGCTTCGTCCAACACCAGGCATTGCAGCTGTTCTAGGTGCAGCAGCTGGCCAGCCTCAGCCAGAGCCTGCACTCTTCCAGGGGTGCCTATAAGCACGTGGGCTCCCCGCTGCTGCAGTAGCACCGGCCCCAATGGGGGTCCCCCTCTAGGGCCGCCCACGGCCACAACGACATGACAGTCAATATTCCCGCGGAACCTGTAGCGTCATCAGAAGCATCAGCATACCGTCAGCCCGCATTGTCTTTAGGCTGTGAAACACATGGATAAATATGAGCAGATGCGGCAGGGCAGTCGCAAGCAGAAAGACATGCCGAAGCAGCACACGTTGTCGCACAAATACCTGTAGAACTGGGCAGCAACTTGTTCGGCAAGCTCCCTGGTTGGTGTGATGACAAGAACTGGCTCTTCACAGGGCCACCGCTGCTGGTGCAACCGCTGCAGCAGCGGCAGCACATAAGCCAGAGTCTTCCCGGTACCCGTAGGAGAGCGAATTAAGGCGCTCCGCCCTGGTACACCAACAAAAAGGACAGTAGCAGCAACAACAATGAAATGCTCAAAGCAAAAAAAGAAGCCAGAAGAGCCTCCTTCGCACATAAAAGCCATCATGCAGCAGTACCACAATCCGCAGATTCTGGACTCGACCCGGCTGGCTGATGCTACTAATGTGGAGTTTCTCACCCGCGACAATATGTGGAAAGGCTCGGCGCTGCACTTGCGTGAGGGCCCCTAATCCCTGATCGGCAAGAGATCGCCTTAAGGCCTCACATAAGAAGCCTTGCTTGCTGCTTCTGCTTCTGCATTCACTAGCCATCGTTTCTTGTTGCTCCTCTGTGTAAGACTCAACTGTTTGTGGTTCCCCTAGAGCGTCCTCTGTTGGAGCAAACTCCTCTGATGATGGCGCTACTCCAATACATGCCTTTCCTTTTCCCCCTTTTCCTGGTGCGTTGGAGCCCTTTGAGGATTTAACAGACCTTGATGGTACTGCTGCTGTTGCTGTCGCTGCGTTTGCATTCTCTACCGCTGGCACTGCAAAACGCAACAGTTGAGGAACACCTCGCCTTCTACAACCCTGAACTGCAGGGTGAAGGTATACATCCTGCTTCTGGTGGCTCTGTCCATGATGAGGACCTGGTTTTTGCTGCTGCAGCTGCAGGTGACGGAAATGCGCCAGGACAGGCGGCCGAAGAAATGTTGTTCCTTTTGGAATACTCTGACCAGGCACTATAGAACGACCGTCAGTGTCACCATTGGTGCTAAACCTTCTGTAGCAACCGATAATGCTCGCCGCATAATGAATACAAGAGCCCCGCTCTAGTCGAACGTAGCGCTCCATCAGGGCCCGTCTTCTACCGTTTCCCGGTATCACCCAGCTTAATGCCGCCCACAAAGGGGCCGCTCCTGTAGGCGTTGCTGCTGGGGAAGCGGCGGGTGTTCCGATTGCAGAAGAAAGGGTTGATGCTTCTGCTGCAGGGGAAGCGATTGCCGCTCCTGCTGCTGGTGAGCAACAGGCCGCTGCGGTGGATCGGAGCCGCTGGAGGGCCTCTCTGTGGGCTGACGAAGCGGCAATCGTCATCATTGTTTGGGGGAGGCCATTTTCTTTGAGGTTCGCTCATAAGCTCCCTCTAGGGGCCGTTGGATCGGTCCCGTTGGGGGCCAACCGGACAGGGGGCCCCGGTCCACGCACAGCTACCTCTATATAGGCCGTCCTCCAGCTTTCATTTCATGAAGCCCCCGCATCTCTAGGCTCCAGCATAAACACTGGTTCTCGCCCGAGTCTGGAAGCTTTCGACATGGGTGGCCCGAGGGGGCCCTCTCAGGGTCCTGGACGTTGAGGTGAGGCACTGATCTCGACAGGATGTAGACTTTTAGGGGACTTAGCCGGCATTAAGTGGGACTCTTGTGAAACAAGAATGATCTGAATGCAAAGGAAGTCGGTTAGGGGCCTTTGGGGGTGTCTCTGCTGTGGCATGTAAGGGGCTCCCTTTTCAGTGGCCCTTAGGGTCACTCTGCTGGTTGCTGGATCATACACTTATGCTATTCGTTGCCAAGTGTATTTTTACGAGCTACTTCTTTGAATAGCTGGTATCCCCTGTTGTACTGTGTAGTTCTGTTCCAGGCTTCCCGCCGGCCCCCCCGCATTACCACCAGGCTCGTGTCATTGAAGCCTTCTTTACGTTGACCACTGATACTCCGTTTCTCCATGCTTGCTAGCTTTTACTGCACCTTTGAGCTTGCTGGATGACTGATGTAGCGGATGCTTGCAAACAGGCTGGTCGGCTACTTTTGATGCATCTGGCGGCCTCCGTACCTGTGTTGCCATGAGTCCGTTGCTCCTTGGGAACCATGAGAAAGCCTGTCGTTGAGTCGGTTCCTTGAAAGCTTGCAGCAGGGATTGCTCTGAATAGCGCGTCTGTGTCCGTCTACTCGAACCTTGTGCCCATGATGGCTGTAAGGGGCTAAGCTATATGTAAGCAGTATCTGATGCACTGATTGTATTTACTTCGCACTTGGCAAGCAATTGGTTAATTTACCTCTTTACATACTTATCCTAGAGTAATGTTTACCCGATTGATGAAGACGCAATCTTACGTTCGTTTGCGCTAGATGCTGTATGCAACTGCCTGTAAATGCTAGAGCTTAGAGAGTGCTGTATTGCGCACCCTAGCGGTCACTCTGCCCTCACGCAAGGAATTCTGTGGGTTGGCATCAGGGGCACGCATGATTCAGTGCAGCTGCTCCCTGATCAGCCACTGTGTAGAGCTCTACATAAGATCTCCTCAAGGAGATAAGTTACATCATACTCAATACAAGCTTTATCGAAGGTGTTTGAAGGTTTTACGAAAGCATTCTTGTCCCTACCTACTCGCGACCCCCAAGAGTTTCTGGCATAGGGGCAGAAACAAAACTAGGGTGCGCGTTGCTGCACTCTCTAATCACTCCAAGCATGCACTGCTAGCTGTACATGGCATTTACCGTACAGGCATACAGCATTAAGTCTTCCTGTATCAACGTGCTCTACAAAAAATCAGGTATACGAACAGGCATTCAACAACTCAGCTCCTCACTGATTCTTAGTTAGAAAGAGCTAGCGGGCTGGAAATTTTTAAAGTGTGGAATAAGCCCGCTAAATAGTTCCCTCTTGATTTGAAAACGGACGACCTCATATTCCGTACCTGTGCGTTAAGATCAGTTGCATGCGTGCCAGCGGGAAAGCTCGCTGCACTGTCGCCGGTCTCTACGCAGGCAGAAGCGCGAAATGGTGCAACTGAGAAAGCAAAACGTGTGCACAGCCGCTAAAGTGGATTCTACGGGAGAAAGGATACATACACTACGTGGGACCAAAATAATACAGCCGTGATAGTGGAAGCGCTTGCTGGCTCCAGAACGCTGAGATCTGTGAGACTCCAGCTGCAAGAAATCAGCAGATAAGTAAAATGTGTACAGGGAACCAAACTACATACTACAATAGCAGGGCTCCGTGCCTCGCGAAGCAGTATCTGCATTCAAACACAACCGTCGCATGCAGAATAGTCGATGTTAAAGCCCCGAAAGAAGCATTAGGAAGAATGTAGGGACAACATAACTGGGAGTGACGGCGCACAAAAATCTGACTATAGAGTGCACGTTAACAGTAACAGCTGGGAACTAGCATTTCATGCACGTCATGCGCTGGGGAAGAGCAAAAACCAAGAAACTCGAGGAATGCCGTCCATGGCGACCAGCGTTGTTAACCAATCCGAGTCTCCAATTCTCAAGCAAGCTGCGAGTCATGCAGCTGCTCCTTCGTCAGCCAATGTTATTGGCGTTCCCAACGCCACTTCACTATGAGCTTTCGTCTACTGTGTCGTTGCCATTCAACAGCCATTAAATAGAGCACTTGCACGGCTTTCTGCTAATCCTCCACTTCTCTACGGCGCACTTGACGGCGAGAGAAAGTCGACGAAGAATTAAAGGAGTTTTGGATTTACTTTAGTAAATCAATACTAAGAGCTCTGTCGCACCTCCAGCTTTTAGGTAATTCGAGAAAAGGTAAAAAAACTCTATCGAATCATTAGTGAATCGCAAAGGGTCTTAGCCTCCTCGCTGTAAATGTATTCATCTCGTCACCGACCCACCAAGACCAGTCTCCAGGATTGAAAAACGTTGTAAGGTCAACCAAGGGCTGAAGGTGGGTCGGGACACTAGAGTTACGCCAACACAAAAGGTGCTAGCACGTCCGAACGTTCCTTCACACCCTACAGAGCTCTCTCTTACGCCCTGAGTAGCGCTGCTCGATATTCGGCGAGGTAAATAAAATGGTATACAGTAACTGGTGTTTAGTGAGAGCCCCTATCATATAAGGGGAACGCTGCATCCACTTCCACGTCACTAGCATCGGCTGTTACAAGGAAATGGTGCTCACATTCAAGCAGGGTGACTACGTAAGAATCGCAAGACCGCCGATAAGCTTACTCGCTGCAGCCTTATCCCTCACGTCACAAGGCATACTGCGTTCTCTTAAGTAGATCAGTCAAAGGGGGAGCGTTCTGAGTAAAACCAGGACTAGAAACTTAATAATACGATGCGAGTCCATCGTACTTCGCAATGTTCTTGCTGGTGCTGAAAGGCAAAGCCCAGGTCCTGATTCATTTGATTTTACCAGACCTTGCTCAATTCTTGTGGCCAAACACACACTCCTGAAAGCACAGTAGCTCTAATGGAAAAAGAACACTTGTGTGCCTTCACGTACCACCCATCACTTCTCTGGCAACGCCCGAAGCTTAGGTCGAAGTAGCTGTACGTGCTCTTAGACGCTTCAGCTGTAGACTACGGCATCGTCCATATAGATTGCCATACCCCCGTCTTTAATAGAATCATTAATTCTCCCAGATTACTTGACCTTCCAGCTCAGCTGGGGCATTCACAAGTTCAATCGGCATACAAACATAATTGAGTCTGCGAGTGCGGGCCTGGAATGATAGCTTTATGCCGGTTATCAGCATACTGGGGAGTTTTCATAAATTGATTGTGCAGTCATTGTCGAGTAGACTGTTGATTTATGTATACGGTTGTCAATCGATTCGTCAGTATGATGCATTGGAATCACAGTTAAGCAATAAGCATTTTTTGGGCTCAAAGTTAACATGCAGCAGCAGCTTTCTGTCTTCTCCAGTACCAACCCCGGGCTATGCCCAAAAGCGTAGGTCGAGCCCTGCACTTTGCCTTAGTGTCATCCCCTAGCGCTCAATATCCTCTCCATGAATTCGGGGTTTCCGACACCGGGGAATATATCTAAGGGCTGACTTGAGGATCGACTCAATACTGTTCGCCGGATGACCCGCAGGTGGCCATCCTGCTTGCAGCTCTCTATGTTTCGCGCTAACGAGGACTTCTGCTTGATCATTGACCAGTCCTGCTGATCCTTAATTACATTTTCAATCAAATCTCCTAAGAAAGGGCCGGCTGCAGAGCTCCTAGTACCTGATTCTTGTAAAATCTTCTCTTACCGCACTGCTGAGCCACCCGCATTCAGACTCTACCTTACCTTACTGAAGTACCGACTCCACTTTGCTCATTATAAATGACATGCACTCTGTCCAAAGGACAAGGAGCTATTGTGTCTTAGTGTACTGTAGGACACTAGCCTCCGCAGTGCACATCGGTAGCCGCACGTACGCAATATATTTGGTCAGCCATTGAATTCGTATGATTAAGTCATGGTTGCACGGATCCAACATCGAAGTCACCGCCCATATTGCTCGGACTTCACTTCTTCTTGAAGCTGCGTTTGGCTGCTTTTGCCTTAACAGTTCTTGCGTTCTGCCGCATTTCAGCAAACCTTAGTCTCAGGGACTGCCCTAACCAATAAAAAGGGAGAGTGCAGTTCTGCACCATCTCATTGGTAAACAGATCCACTTCATATCTGTTCTCAACCGGCGCTGGCAACATTCGGCAATTGATGGGAGCTTTCACTAACGCAGAATTCCGCTTTGGTGAATTTCCAATCGCAGCTCTAATCTGTGTTGCCTCCTTAATTGTGCCGCAGCCTATGGGCGTGTTCCGTTTGCCTGTTGGGCCTCCTCTGCTCAACAAGCCGCCTGCTTCCGCTGGAACCAGTAATGTTGCTCGAGTTCCTCGGCTTCTTACATGCGCGCTCAGTTCTGAATTACATGACCCAATCTTCCACAACCGATGCAGCTGCGCTTTTGGGAACCGGTGTGTGTGACGACTTTGAAGGACGAATCGCCTGGCTTTTTCCTATTCACCCTAGAATGCTTGCTTGGGTTGGTTGCCACAGCCCTGACATCCCCTAGGTCGTAACTCCCAACGTGCTTCTTTCTTATCAGAAAAAAGCAGGTGCGATCATTTGCTTCCAAAACCTGAAATGGTCCACTACTTGGGGAAGCTCCATCGTCCGATTGCTTTGCCGCTGAGTCCCTGCCCTGCACCCACCGGACTCCATGTTCCAGGTAGCCCCGAAACAAGCCAATGAAAAGCAGCTTTTCGCCTCTTTTGTGCCTTTTGCAGACCAAAATATTGTGCCTCTCAATATTGCTATCTATAAATGGATTCCCCGCTTTCAGCCTTCTCAATTCTTCCAAAGCCTTTTGCTGAGCTGATCTAGACATGAAGTAGTGAGTCCAAGCGCGTGTAAATGCTTGAAACACAGTAATCCCGGCAGGTACAGTGCTTGCTTCGTCTGTAAGCATAGAGCCACCACTGAACTGTTTCATTCTTCACTAAGTATACCACAGAAAGCACTCGCCTTTTATCATACTGAGAACCAATCGAAGGCATACCTGCAGCAGGCCGATGAAATATTCAAGCGCTTACCTAAACATCGCTGACAGCACGCTCTACTGGTTTTTCTGACCTCAGCAGCACATCTATAAACCTTAAATCGGCGGTAAACTTGTGTCTTTTTATCACCTGTGGTGCAACTGCGTTCAGCTTAGCTTTCATGCTGGCCTCTACTGCCGCAACGGGCACTCTCCCACACTAAACCTTCATCTTCAGATTTTTAATAGATGGTGCCAAAAATTATCATATTGCTACTACTACGTAGGTTTGCCCAAATCCGGCAATTCATAAATGAGGAAGCCTGACATCTCATTGCACCCAGGGGCAGGTGATAACCGAAGAACACCTACATCAAACCATGGGGTGCTGATAACTTTAGAACTCTATATGTGGTCTCCCTAGGAATTTTTTAGCTCCATACCCAATACAAGCTTTATGTTATGGTACTGAGTGTATCTCGAAAGTGCTTTCCCCTTTTCTTCCCTGTGCTCCTCAAAGCCCCTGACGTACGGGAAAAATAACCGTTCGTGTGCGCGTAGCTGCATTCTCTAACTCTCCAAGGGTTCCCAGTCAGTTCCACATTGCTTTTAGTGCCAATTGGGCGCAATATTGCACCTTCTTGTGTCGAAGGCAACCATTCTTTGCAAGAATAAGATATACGAACAAACAAGGCAATAATTTAGTTCTTTCCTCCCAATTGATTGAAATTCGTGTGGAAGAAATTTTAGACTTCTACAATGCTGCTGCTCCATAGGCTTGCCAATAGCTTCTAAATTCTGAAGTGCCAAATTTAACAATGCAAAACGAAGAACCTAACAATCCCAAGGAGTTGCTTCAACACGAAATGCCTGGTTACGACCACAGAGAAAGGCTTCGGGTGATTAGAAGGCTCCATGCAACGATAGTGTTACCACAGTAGGCGTTTAGTGTTTTTCGCTACATTTTTACGGTGTTGAGTCTCGTATTGTGAAGAAATGCACTGCCACGCTTTCTGCATGCTCATAGATAGGCGCAACACGCACAAACTTGGGAGGCAGTCACGTGCTCACCGATGCATGTAGTAGGAGACAAACGGAAAAATGATTACGCAAATACCAAAGACACAAACAACGACCGACCACTGCTTGACAAGAAGGGCCTCACGTAAATCAGGGGACTGTTGTCCTCTTTTTCCCTGGGGCCTTCATTTGCCGCTTCTTTGACATGTTTCACTGATGGCTGAGCACTAGCTCAGGCGTGTCCTCACCCCTTCACAGTGAGGCAACGAGGCACTTAGGCGGATTACCAAATAGGAAGGCTTCCCATGGACAAGTAGCATGGCGTCGCTAAATTCAGGTCTACAAGAAATCTCAGAATTTGCCGGGCAAAGGCCTGTACAGTCACTTTAATAGTTCTTAGGACGTGCTGCTAAAAAGTGGGACTCTACGACATCACTTCATCAGATGACGTGATATAACGCCTGAGGTGCTCTTTGAGGGCTTAATACTGATCCTAAAGGACCACACAGGAGTAGTACCACACTTCGCGGGGCACATTCCGGCCAGCGTTTTTCCTGCAGTGGTATTATGGCTTGATATTCGCTTTCTGCTGCATACCCACCACTTTCCTTTCTCTTGCCACAACCTTAAACCACATACGAGCCTTAATTTAATTCACTTGGTGATCAAGCAAGTATGGTGTTCCAAGCGTGGCTCTAATGGTTGGTGATGCTGAAGGGGCCGCCTTGAAATGCATCGAGCAAGTCCTTCTCTTCGTCTGTCTAGATAAGAGCCTCCAGTCCCGCTTTTACCGCCTCTCTGTGCCCGTCGAGATCTAGCAGCTCCCTTATTCTGAAGCTCCATGATGCTGAAGCGAAGCAGGTTAACTGGCTGTCCAGGGATTCGGAGGGTTCACATAAGTCCCTGGACTAAAAGGTTCAGCCGCTATTCATGGGTGAACTTTCCGAGAATATTTTAACACAAACTTATCCTGCAGTTGTGTGGCATTGTACAAATGATCTCGCCCCATGATCATCAGTGCCTATAGGCCCATTGTGCTACATGGAACCCTGCTTCATCCCCGTCGTCTGCAGGTAGATATCTTCTGAAGGCTATTTTGAGGGCTTACTAGTGGCCTGAATATCCTGATTCAACTAAATCACCTCATGCGCTTTAAGGCCATGACCACAGAACTTTAGATATGGAAGCGAAGGCAGAGCAGACATGAGAAAAAGCTGATGCCACCATTCTCCACAGGGAACGTAAGCTTTGTCTCATTATAGTTCCATCTTGGAAAATGAGAATTTTGTTTTTCTTGCCTCTGGCTCGTGCAACGATTTATCTCTTCGTGATTACACATGGCGCTATATTATGACCGGACAACGTCACGAGCTCTTCTGGCTCTGTAAGTTCATCATGAAACGTAGGATCTACAAGGTTCCACACGTTCCTTTGCCTAGAGGTTCCTCTGGCGCCTCAGGACTCACGGCACCTCTAGAAGTCTCATGCGCCACACAAGTCACACCCCTCGGGAGCTCTCATCGTCCTGCTTACCTTACCGCTCGCATATGGTATCTCCTACCAGCGCTCCTTGCTCATGACCTGTACGCATGGAGTGTTGACTGCTTGTGAAACCTATACTAAGACAACTGCCAAAGCCAAGGTAATTGTTAGACAGGAAAATTTCAGCGGTAAGATCTGCAGCAAAGTGCTTTTGAACGCACATTCAACTCGAAAAAGATCCTCTGTACATTCCAGTGTCCAAATTAACTGAGTCAGACTAATATGCCAAACGAGAAACTGGAAAGAGCATAAGTGAGGGAATCGAAGTTTGCAACAGTGTAACTTTCATTAGACGCCGAAACCCCACTTGTTGCACCCCAAAGGGCATCCGCCGTGGAAGTCTTCATTTCATATTTTGGAACTTCAGCAAGTCTTGGACAAGCTATGAAAATAATGTAATTGAAGGTGTTTCTTTGTTAGATAGAGAAACGCTCCCCGGCGATTTTGAAAAGGGCTATCGACTCGCCAAGCACGCTCCACAGCTAACCAGCAACTCACTGCAAATAATCTCGGAATTCCATCAATTCTGATCATGCCCAGGGCAGCTTGTACCCCAAAATCCTCAAATAGGTGTATACACTCCTGGGGGACCGATCAGGATCGATTGCGCCGACTAGAGTGAAGCGCTTTTTTATTAGCTTCACAACATGCGCTCTGCGCTGGTTATGCACATGCGACTCACCAAATCAATATTCTACGTGAAGCACTTTGGTAGACGCCACCTACAACTACGTTTGCACACGGGACTTGAGCGCCCAGCAATCATGTCAAAATGCCTCGATTTCTTTCAGCTTCTCCCGGTTATAGGTATCTTACTCCTCCAGACTCAGCCGAAGGCCCCATGAGGCGCACCACCCTCGAAGTGTGGTATATCAATTATCTATATGCCTATGCCCAAGAGAGCATAGCCTCAAGTTTTGCTGCACTTTTGAAACCAACCGGAATTTTTTCTAGCCTTAGAAGCACTCCGGTGTCTTAAGAAATACTGGTGATCCTTTCAGTCTCGCGAAACTCACTAGAAAGTATTCATTTCCCCATATCCAGGTGTGCACGCCCGCTTAAATTTAGATCGTTCCAGTCAAATGTCTGTCGAAACCTCTCTACTATCTCGGTCTAACTACATAATTTGAGAGGTTAGAAGACCTATGACCACTATCACTCTTAGGGCCCCTCCCGCGCTTACCAGCCAGACGGTCGTAATGGCCTACACTACGGGGAAACTGACAAACGGGATGGTCTCGATGGGGCAAGTGCTCCCTTAAAAAACCGACGAGGGTGGGGCGGGCGAAGGGCCCTAGCGTCTAGTGCCCCTCTTCCGGCCCATAAAGTTTCCACAGCTCCTAACAATCCCCTATCGCCCGTTCTCTGTACTGTTGGTCCATCCCTTTTAACCCCGACAGAGCAGGGGCTGCAGACAGATGCCCTTCCCATGCGCCAAATCTGAAACAAAGACTTACGCGGGCAGCACCTCACCAATCTGCGGATGCAATGTAATTTGTCTGCAATCAAGAACAGAGTTACGATAAGCTTGGATTCTTCGCCCCAGCCTCTGTCCTCTTGTGCTGTTGTAATAGCCCTGTCACTGCTACAGCTGCATCCCTATACACTGCGCAATTGTATGAACATCAACGTACATCCGAGCAATCGGACATGTACATACACAAATACGCATTGCCCTGTATATATCGAGGCGTAGACCTGTGTTCTTGAATAAGCTCACTCAAGCTAAACGTAAGGGTGTGCACAGTTGAATCTGTGGGATGCGGTACTGCAGCGAACACAAAATCTAATGCCAAAGGGAGTGAAGCATGGCTGTAGCCGTCCCACTTGCCACCCTCATGAGTCAAAGATACCCGAGTCCCCTCGAGGGTTCACTCTGCCCCTCAGCTCTCCAGCCGCCCTCCTTGGTGTTTGCTGCACCTGCAAGTTGCGTTCTTCCCCCCGCTGATGACAATGCAAACCCGGATCTGACATAAGGGCGATAGCATCTGCAGCCCGGCGCTCCTTGAGCTCAGCGAGGCTTATTAGCTGCCGCTGCTTCGCCCCGGTACAGCATAGGGCCTTGTCCCGGCATAGCAGAGCCTCTTTTCTTAACTTAGCTGCCTCCTCTGCTAATGCTTGGTCAGCCTGAGCACCCAAGACAGCGACCTCTTCACGAGAACATAGTCAGAAAGGCCTTGAATCGTCCTCTCACAAGGGGATAGCTGCCCTACAGGATATGAGAGACGTGCTGCTGCCGCAGCCTGCCGGTGTTTTGAAGACTCACCTGCGAAGGCATAGAGACTCCAGTAGTCATCGGTTTCCCCATGAGCGTCGCGTGCCCCTCGAATTGCTCCCTCGGGGTATCTGATATCACCTGCTGCTGCAGAGCGCCATCCCGACCGATGCCCGAGGCTTCAGAGCCCCTGGCTGCCTCCCGCTGGTATGCCTGTGGAAACAACACAGAACCAAGCATAATTAATTGCATCTCGATCAGCCCATATGGGGCGTATCTACATTTAATGTTGCGGCTGCTACTGCTTTGGGAGGTCCCGACAACCATCGGAGTAACGCGCTTACACATACATCGCCGTACACTTCCTGCTGCGGAGGATGCTGCTGGTATTGTTGTCGCTGCAGGTGCTGAAAACAATCCCACAAAATCTGGACCACGCTTAATTGCCCGTTCGCATGGAAAGTCATAAACCTCCAGAGCAGAAAAAGCCCAAATGATCTATCGCACCTGTGTGCTGTAGGAGGCTTCGCTGCTACCCGAGGGGCGGCTATACAAGGCCGACTCCCCGCGTGTGAATATGGGTTCGTCAGACTCAGCATGCTGGTGCTGATGTAACTGCTGATGCTGCTGCATCTCCGGTTCCTGCATCTGCTGCTGCTTCTGCCGGATTGCATCAGCAAGAGCTTGAGCCTCAGACTCGAGTCGCTCAGCCATGGCTAGCAGAGCCCGCTGCTTACCACCCTTCACACAGGTTGCTTTATCCCTTCGTTCTGCTGCGGCAGCTAGCAATTCAGCTATACGCCCTTCGTTTAAAGCTTCCTGCCAAAAAAGCCGCAGCGATATCCCACTCGACATGCGCCAAGAGATACGGAAGCTCAATTCAAGACAGCGAGTGGTATTGCGCTACTATATCTCGTGACTCTGTGGCCGCAGTCAACGTCTGTTTATGTGAGGCCTCTGCAGACTCACGGCTCCTCTAGGGCTATGCATATTCGGGAGAGACGCTATGTCCGACATGAGTGGTCCCCTTGCTGAGGTCATGTTCGCATCGCTGCCTGCTGGAGAGAGGGGTCCCACCGAACCCGCCTGATTGACTCCTTCGTCTGCCGCTTCGGCCATAGCCAGCAGCCTGGCGGCCTCTTGCTCTCGCATCTCCGCAACCTTTAACCTGAAGGACTGTTGGGCCCCTCGTACACAGGTGGCCCGGTCCCTGTTGAGCAGGGCCTCTTGCTGCAACCTTCTCGCCTTCTCCCGCAAGGATGCGGAAGTACTGTCCTGTGGTAGCAGCACCAGCACCAACATCTGGAACGAATTGTGACGAGCTACGACAAGTGGGGCGTCCGCAAGGTATAGGATCCTGGGGACCACTTGCGATTAAAAGGCAATAAAATGCAGCATCAGCTGCCGGGTGAAGCAACAACATTGCGACGGGCAGCTTGTCCAGCTGATCGATAATAGTCACTGCAGCTCCTAGTATGGCACGGTGGAGGCCTCGAATAACTTACTGAGGAGTTGCTTAATGTCGAAGAGTCTGAGCGGAGGACAGGTGGGCCCCCTTGCCCAACCGCCTCAATATGCTGCTGCTTGAGCTCTGCTTCACCGCTAGCAGCGGCTTCGTCCCTTAGGGTGCGCTGCCTGCGCCTCTCGTCCATGCGCTCGATCTGCAACAGAAAAGATGACCATAGAAATCTAAAGCACAGGTCCAGACACTGGGCTTCAAAAATCCATACCCAATAACAAGACTTAAAGCATATCCATCTGTTGAATGTACACATTTTCATCTACGACGGGAACCAGCGCATACAGAGAGCGACCACAAAGACACCGGGGAGTGCGAGGTTGGGAGCGGAGTGAGGGCAGTTCCTATGTAGAGGTGGAAGAGGAGGGAATGAGAGCTCACAAAGCCATTCATCTTGAAAGAAGGACTTTAATTATGAAGGAGAAAAATGGAATAACCCTGCACTGTGGGAGCAGTAAGGGCTACTGAAGACTGTTGGGGGGCCTGCTGCGTTTTGTGCCGAGGCCTGAAGTACGGAAAAGTTAATGAAAAAAGTAAAAGGCACAATAAAAAAATAAGAAAAAAGCGGAAGACAATCAGCACGTCCCTGTGGGGCGCCCCACGTCGGTGTGGTTGCTGGTTTGCTGGTACACCCACTTCCCGCAGCTGGTGCAGATGTGGCTGCTGTTGTCAGTCGAACCAGCAGCAACACGTCTAAAGATCTGTCGTTCTTGCCTTAATCACTGATTTCTGACTATTTTGCCTACGGGAAGGACCATCGAGAGCCTTAGCGTCCTTGTGGTGAACCCGTTGAGCACGTTTTTGTGTACTGCTTGTCTTCTAGGGACCTTCATTGCAGCGCGCCGATGCTTGAAACACTCAACCAACTACACAAGCACGCAAACGTCCTTGCGCTTATTGCAGCGACGCGAGCACAGCTGAGCTCTCTTCTCCCTTCTCACCCTAACCCTAATCCCCATGATCTTTTGTAGGATAATAAACATTTGTGTATCACTGCAAGCTCCACCTAGCCCTATTCTACTAGTCATCTTCAATAAAGCTTAGTAACCAATTGACTACTTGGCCTGTCTTTTTGTTCATTTCCTCGTAGTGCCCAAGTGTGAGCCTCATTTCCTTACAACAACCGATGCTAGTGACTTCGGGCTGGATGCGACGTTCGCCCAAGATGATATGGGCCCTCACTAAACACCAGTTACTGCTTACCATTTTCATTACTTCGCCGAAATTGCGAGCAACGCCACTCAGGGCATGATAGAGTACTCTGTACGTTGTGAAGGAACGTTGTAAAGCTATTTGTGTTGGCGTAATTCTACTGTCCCGACCCACCTTGAGGCCTTAATTGACCTTACAACGAGTCTTCAGGACTTAGATAGCCTAAGAAGTTTCCGCTGACTTTGGCGCCTCCCGCAGTACGACTTTACTACGAAGTATATTAAGGCATCGTTAGCTTGGTCGCCAACGCGCTCTCTTGAGTCCCACCAGCTGATTATTGTGCAGCGCAACCACACTTGCCTATAAGAATTTACTTTCTTCCAGATTGTTTATGTCCTGTGCTTTTCACGTCTCTGCTTCCGCTATTATTGCCAAAAATCTAGAATGAGAAGAGGGTTAATCCTTGCCGGGGGGGAGGATGGCTTGCTGTGCTTCAAAACAAAGGGGGGCTTTGCTGCTTGTACATTTCCGACCTCACTTCCCCGGGCCTTTACGTGCAAAACACATAATCATGTTTTCTTGGGTCACGATCGAATTTACACTACAATGGAAAGCTCACGTGGTCTTTTGGTGTCCTTTCTCGCGGCAGAGGAGTATGGAGTGTCGTGCCCAGATTGCCAGCCGCTAAAGCCGCGCCCCTCTTCTAAATTAAGCCTTTTGCACAACATGCCAGTTAATGCAAGAGTTTGGACTGGGCTGGCTATAGACTATTGTAGGACCGAACGAGGTTCAGGGTCAGAATAGTATTTACGTCGTTGTCGACAGATGTAGCATATATGTCCACTGTATCGATTTATCCAACTCTTTCACTGTTCAGAAAACTCTTCAGCTTTTTGTTACTTATACCTTGGGGATCCAAAGTTTTCTCAGCAGCATCATTACGGATGGGGATCTGAAGTTCGGCAGTGCGTTGTCGGCTTGTATGACCCGCCTACATAGCGCACAAGCCGCATTCTTCACACGCGGTTTCGAATCTATGCTTACAAAAATCGAACGGCTAGACTGGATTGTCTTCTGTATGCTGATTGGGTTCATAATCGAACTGTGCACCTGCTTATCCATTGTTAGCCTGCAACCTTGTGTGACAAAGAGGAGCCTTTCTCCGATTCGAATCTCTACCTGAGAGTCGGAACTCAGAGAACAGCTCGCTAGCGCAGGCGAATGCTTGCGCAAAGTTCAAGAAAAACCTGCAGGGATTGTGATAAACAGCACTCGGCTATGCATGTCAATCCTGGAGACTGGTCTTGGTGAGTAGGCACCATTTAGAAGGTGAACCAGAGTGTGAAAAACTAAACACATTTGCAGCCAGGCGGCTGCTATCATTAGTGTTCATTTTACAAGAGAGCGCTACCTTTGATTCTATTAACTTCCCTATAAGCTAAAGGTGCCACAGGGCTATCAATATTTCCTTCCTAAAGCGGCTTCGAAACTCAATAATTCTTTGTGGACTGCATGGTACAGGTAAGTGACTGATGCAGAAGCAGCTCAACCCAACAGACCCTTGAGGCTGCTGGACTAGAAAACTGTTGAGCACCGATGATGCAGTAGACAACGGTTTTTGGTGAACTGGGGTTCGGAACACGAGCCCCTTGGCTGCCAAAGGAGCGGTTGCAGGCTTTTTTGCCTGCGCAAGAATTTGCAGCTTTCTTTGATTAGCAGCTCTGGTCTCTATGAACGGCATTGCTCGTAGTCTATGGTATTTGTCGTTTCCTCGAGCTTGTTCTCTGACTGAAAGGGCTGCATCCATCGTTGTGTATTGTTCTAAAAATTCCGATATGGTATTGCTTGAAGGCATTCTCTGAGCTCATGTTTATTAATATTAAGCTCTTGGCTACATTTGCTCCATACTCTATCTTATGTCTCTTGTGGGCCCTGAAAATAGATGCTGGATTCACCACCTGTACATGCATGCAAACATATCTTTGAGCCGCGAAAGCACTGCTCAAACGACGTGTATTCTGGCAACCTTAGCTTATTTTACTTGTCCCTGTTTTCTAGAAGTTAGATGCTTACACATTTCAACGCTTTGACGACAACAAGACACCGCACCGCTGCCGTCGCGTTGGCCTGGTCACCTGTTGGTTGCTGCGTGTTGTGTGCAGCTTTTTACCCCTCGGCTTTTCTTAATCAGATGATTTCCACTTATTGTTCTCAGGTTGTTTTGCGAGCTTCTTCCTGCCTGGGGAGTGTTGATAAGGCGGAATGAATTTCGATGCCCTAAGGGAAGCCTGTCCTGACGGACTGGCACGGAAGACGAAGGCCTTGGTTTAACGTTGGAAGGAAAGAAATGTAGCTGCTGGTGCTACCCGACCACTTTCCACTGCACTGTTTATATTTAATTAAGACATAATGAATTTACCTACACATTTTGCAGTTCATGCATGATATTTGGTGCGGAATAGAGTCCATTAATACAACAGCGCGCACTCTGACAGGTCTCCCCCTCAGACAAGGACCCTGGAAAACCAGCACAAGAAAACAGGCGAGTTCATATGTAAGAAAAAGCTACTACCACTTTTTCAAATTTTCGGTTGAATCTCCCCATGGAGGCCGTACATGGGGAGATACATTGAGGGCTCTTAGCTCCATCGAGACCCTAGGCTACAATATGTAGCCTTTCTACAAGCTTTTCTTTCAGCATGGGCTTTTCTATCGTCCACTTACTAATAAGGAGTAAATAAGGTACAAAAAATTGGGCCACGGTAGCTGATGAGACTGCAGGCTGGCCAGAGAAGAGCGGCGGAGGGGCTGTTCTGAAAGCCAAAGGAGAGACTTGGGAAACTTGTATAATAGTAAACTAAACATACTCATTATACAATCAGAAAAGTAAAAGCAATGGATTTCAATGTTGTAGACAGGCCTATGGGAAGTAGGTTGGTGGTGATGCTCTATGCCGCACAAGACTGCTTTGGAACCTGCATTCATCTGCCCTTGAGCGTGCCCGGCGCGATCGTGTAGGAAAACTTGGCACTCAGCAACAGACTACCAGCTGTAGCTATTTGGAGTGGTTGTTATTGTTGGGGATCATTTCTGCCATGGGCCTAAGGTGGTACTATAAGGAATAGGTGCTAAGGCTATCGGAGGGACCTAATGAACTCTTTGACAGTTTTCGTGATCCTCGTAAGTCTAGTGTTTCTTCAAGGTGGCGATTATTGAAAAGGTGTACAACAGGTTTACTCTGTATATAGTGGCAGATAGACTCCAGAGTTTTCCGCTAACGCACGAAACTAGTGACTTACGAATACAGGTCTCCTTGGTCCCTCTACAAGGCGGATCGGCAGCTAATGCGTAGCTGGGTACAATGCAAATCTGATCTTTACAACAAAACGGCATGCTGGGTCAATTTATACAATCAAGGTCGCTCAGTCGCAATCCCTAGGGGGGACGATTTAGCCTAAAATTCGCTTGCTGCACCTTGATCATTGCTGATTTCTTTGTCCAGTTTAAGCGATTCAGTAAAATTCATAGCAGCAGGGGCTGAAAGACTATCTCTCATTGGTCAGCTCAACATCAATTACGCAGCATCGATAGATCAAATCCAGGCAAAGGTCAAAGAGGGGAATTCTTGAAGCAGCTTGCCAAGGTGGAAATAAGGGCTACTATTTGAACAAAAGGCGCAGCGCAAAGGCACAACAGGCAACGCTCGATTCATGCGAACTGTGTTCTGTGCATACTTGCCCAAGCGGATGGGTACCTGCGCCACAATGGTCCCGATGGTACGGAACGCATCTCACATTAATAAGCAGTGACTTGTTCCGCTGTACAGCCTCTATTTCGCTGCACTAATAGCTTAAACGTCTTGGCTAAAGTTAATTAGAGTATGCGCTACTTCGTGTCTAAGCTTGCCTGCTCACCAGCCTACACACGGTTGGGCTTGCACGGGGGAATTCGGTGACGGGACATCACAGGGTTCACAGAACTTGGAAACGCCTTTCCCTTCGCCTGCTCATCAGACGTAAGCACTGAATTAAATCATTTTGATTAATTCGCTATCGACAGTTATTGTGAAACTAGTTACTAGGGATCGCTCCATATCCAGAAGGCAAAGGTTTTCATCGACAACCTCCATAGCAGATAACAGGTCTGGAGGCCTTGGTGAAATAATAGCTCTTGGCTTCTTAATGACCCGGTATTTAGCATACTGAGTTTGTATGGAGGCACCCATGTCATTAATATTCTTATAGGCTGCCCTAGTGTGTCCAGGGCATGGCGAGGCACACCATGGCCCTCTGTACACGGAAAACAGCCTCCCTGTAAATTTATAGGCTTTCTGAAGACCACATCATACAGTACAACAAGCCCTTCACCAAAAAGTGGCAGCCTTCTTCTAGGTTTAGCTTCCTTGTCTTCCTAATAGCGGTTTAAGTAATGAACATTTTTGATTTGAATACCGCTTCCTATTCTATGGGTAGAAGACAAGCTTCTGAGTAGATTTTAGCCAGCTTACACGCCTGCCCCTTTAAAAGCCGTCTATTCTCCCTTCCAGTGTGGCGTACGCTTACAAAACGGAGCCGTGTAAAAGCTCCACAGAGAGACCATCTTCATGTGACTCATTTAAAAGGTCAGCACTTTCGTTTAGTTGTGATGCTGCTGTGATTCAATTATTTTATCCTTATTACAGACTCTTGCAGCCAGGAAAATATGTCTTAAAATTGCTGTTCTCTGCTTTGTTATTGGAATGTCCTGTGAGATGCGGCCTAAGACGTATGAGCTTGCAATATCAGTTCAGGCATTAGGCCGCTTTGCCCTATGTATTTGTTTTTAAGTTAGGAATACTGTGAGTCCACCCTGCGGCATTGGCCCAAAAGTAAAAAGCCAGGCCCCCTGAGTCGGGTAAATATTTCTCATTTAGAGAACTTTCGTGCCACTGGCTTTTGTAGCTCACAACGCCTCCAACACTATAAGTTACATTGTCGTCTTGGGCTGCTAGCTCGTAAAGAGGCTTGAGGCGGGGGAAGGTGGGCTACGCGTGTTTTGACCAGCTGCCTAGAACGAAGGCCCCCATGAGGCTCGAGATATACGGAGGTGCGTGTTGAGACTCACTGCCAAGTAAAAGTCAGCTCGGTGGAGTAGAACATACAAGTTTGCCACCATAATATAACTGCGTTCCAGAGCTGGTCATGTTGCACTTTGGGGCCTCAAGGGGCACGGCATATAAGGAATTTTGGCCTTACTTAGATCTGGGGGCTCAACATATAAGTACATATATACATACTTGTCCATTCAGCCGTGAAGCTCAGGTATTAGGAACACTATTTTAGTTTTGTCACCATCAAGCTCATCTTGGTGAAACAACAGAAAAGCAAGATTCATTGCAGCACCAGCCCGTATGATGAAGCTACTTAACAGCATCGACGTCCAACTGCGCGCGAAAGCAGCAATAGGACCCACATAAGCAACAACGTAGAAATCTAATGTAATCTCTTGTGATTAGTGGCCCCGATTGCCCCACTTTTGCCGCTAAATTGTAATAATCTTTTGTTCCTCCCCATGAATAATATGGAGTACACTTTTTGGCCTCCGAGATGGATTTATTTGGGCAATACACCAAGACAATATGGAGGAGTCAAAGTGCACAAGATAGGAGAGTTTTTCGGGGCTTTCTGATGCAAGATGTCTTTGTCGTACAAAGTGAAGCTCTCACTTTGATGAAATCACCACAGGATAGAACAAGATCTCAGAACATTAATTCCCTGCTCAACACCCTACATCAACTCATCTTCGAACAAGGTTGGTGGCATGTGGTCTATTGGGATTACAGAAGCAGCAAGAGTTTACAGGCCAAGCAAAATCGCCACCGCGAGACCAAGATAGGAAAACTGAAAACGCATTTATAGGGGGGACTCTTCTCTATTTTATCTACTGACGAATGCCTGTACTCAGCCCTTTAATATTACAATATCGAAGTGTATCTTGACTGTTCTTTCTTCCCCTCCGGCAGCAGCAAGATAATGTGAAAATGTGGAGTTTGAATCGCTTCTGCCAGTTATCGGGTGTTCACTCTGGCCTAGATGCAGTGAGCACAATGCTTCGGTCTCAATAGAGCTATGCGTATCACTTACGCCCCCAGCCTGGAGGGTTGGTTCGCACAACGCTCTAGGCAGGGAAGAAGTCGATACCCGATTCTTGATGGGAGGGACAGACACTCACGACCCACTTGCAAACCCACTGCCGTAGAAGCTCTAGCGGTCAACCAGAAAAATTGAGAACTAGCGCACTTCAAAGGCCCACTGTGCTCAAACAAACTATGAAACAGAGAACGTCAAAATGGTGCCGCACTGCAGCAGTGAGCTACAGAAACGACAAAAATCCAGCATAATCAGCCCCTTTGCCTCCGCTGGCCGCATGCTGGGTAACCAGCATATACAGAGTTAGCTAGATAGTCAGCTTTCTAGCTAGGTATGTAGGGTGAGAGCCTTCACTACTAGAGGCTCTCCGCCCAAAAAGTCGCAAACATGCAACGCCAGCGCTACGTTGCTCCCGATTCCAGTATATCGGGGCACTAAATCAATCTATATCACGAACAAGCAAGCTTGCTTGCTTGAAGCACTTTTTAACCATTCGCTAACTCAGACCGAAGCCCTCGGTCCCCCCAATCGCCCCTCTGAGCTTGTCCCTCAATTCTTGTCGCGTATTATAGGCGGGGAGTTTGAGGAGATTGACGCAAGTACTGCTGGTTGGCAGACGGGACGTATCTGGGACTCTGTGGATGGTAAACGGGGGCGAGAGAGATCCGAAGCCTCGAAGCGGCGCACGGGAGCATGAGGTTACGAACATCAGGAAACTGCTCCGCTCGCTGTCTGCCATATCGCCCTGATGAGGTAACAAAACGAAGGGATCTAGCGCGCTGAGTGTTAAGGTGTGTTCAATTCACCTCTAGAGTAGTTGAGGCGACAATCAGCAGCACTCAACGGCTTAATTCAGTGTGAGTGAATGAGTCCTCATAGATTTGTAGGAACACATTTGAGTAGAATGGGTACAAACAAGACGAAACAGACGCATGTGGATGCAGAAGAAGCATCGAAATTGCCACACGAGAGAGAGGCACCAGGAAAAGAAATTGTAGAGTCACCACTGGCAGACAGGAACACCATACACGGAGGCCCTAAGAAGCAAAAGCCCGTACGCATCTAAGCACCAGCAAATGGATAGAAAAAGCCCATAACTGAATGACTAGAGACATCTAATGTGTGAAGAGAGATGAAAAAGCTAAAATACAGAGCGAAGATACCTTACCAGCAGCTCCCACAGCCAGAGAACAGGCGGAGATGACTCTGAGAACCCGCCGCTGTACGACGCGTGAGAACGCAAGTCCTCAACGTCGAAACCTGAAAAATCCACAACACAGAAAAATGAGATCGCATGTGACAAACGGAGACTAAGCAAATGGGCGGTAAGAGTAGCTCCACAAGGACTAGCTTCGCAGATGTGCTGAGACGTTCATACAAATAGATGGCGAGCAAGACGCGTAAATAAAGCACTAGGGAAAAGAGACACAGAACGAGCAATAAACAACGTATCAAGAAGAGGCTCCCGCATAAACATCACGCCTAGTAGCCTTCCAGCTAGTTACGCAGGCTCAAGAGGCGGTCCTAGGTGGGGTATCTTTTCTGACCTTCACTGGTGCCGCTAACAAGGTGCTGTAATTCCTCAGCAGAAAACATCTGCAGCCACTGAAGGGGCACCGCATAGCTTAAGCCCCGCAAGAAGGCCTCCGTCTGGTGTTGAATCTGCCGGACGCACTTGTACTCTGACATTAACTGTACATACCGCAGCTTTGAGCCGCTGAAAGTCAAGCATCAGACCGCAAGCAGCACGATTTGATACCCCATCTAGAGTGGCATCACAGCAGTAGGCGTTTAGCGAGGAGCAGCGCTGGCAGATGGAGCAAGAGAAAAGTTAACAGCAGCAGCACTGTACTTGGTAACGGGGATATTGCGCCCATTGGGGATGAGGTCTACTTCCTCTTGGCTTCCAAACTCGGAACGCATAATAGAAAACGTCAGGGACAGCTCCGTAGCATCACCCGTGTACTTCTTGAGCAACATAAGGCTCCGATGTACAGAAGGGTCAAGGCTTTTGATATCGTCCAAACGACAAGGCCGGCGAAGCAACAGCTTCAAAAACACACGGTTCAACTGAGGCTCTATGAGTATTCCTTCAAATACGGCCTACAGCAGAACGCACGCACAGACAAGCCTGTATATTTGGTGACCCATTGTTCTATGAGGCCTTCGAGGCCTCTCTGTTGCGCCAAACAACCGCTACGTTGGCGTGTCTTCTGCATGCACGCGAAGTCCCCACGAAAGCTACAGAAGGTGCAACAATTTGCGGAGGGGGTATACAGGCAATAGCAACAAGTAAGAGCTCTTCGAACTCTGAATTAAACCCCTTAATACTGGCACATGAACCATCAACGGTAGCAGCAGTATCATCACAAACAGCACCTTGCCGACGAGTTTCCCCATTGCGACAAAGAGCTCTGCAAAATTGGAATGGAGGAGCTCCACAGAGGGATTGGGGAAGAGGGTGTTGTCCGAGCATGTCTGAAGAGACAAAATGAGACACCAGGGGACGAGCGTCAACGCATGGATCTGTTTAAGCCGCCAATTAGGCATGCGATCAGCTTCATGTAGCGCAGATCCTCGCTACAGATGCCTCCAGGTCAAGAAAATACATTGCCGCTGTTCACGTCCAGATTCCTGTTGGAGGCTTGAACGCAACAGGAGCGTTAGAGAGGAGAGAAGACTACAAAGGCATACAGAAAGAGCCTGGGGAAAAAGGGCTAGAAAGGAGACGCTGACTGAGGAAACGAACGGCACCAAGATGGAGAAGATCGGAGGAGCTGGAACTTACATTGAAGAGCCCGTAAGCAGGGTCGAACGCACGTCGAGACAGCTCCACCTGTGGCAAAGAGCAGCAAATCATCAACAGGAGGTGAAGTAACAGCACAGCACGGATAAAGGAGGAAGCAAGTAAGTAGAGATATTCAGACTGCCAGTGGAGCGACAGGCACAACCACGAGGGGCCACGAACACTTGAAGAAGCAGTACAAGCACTCGCAAGGGCAGGGAGGAGCAAGGATTGTAGCCTACTATAAGCTCTTTTAAGAGCCCTCCTCCATCAATGCCAGCCTCAGGGGTTCCTTCGGCGGTGATAAACTCCACCTGGAATCCCCGCATTATATCTGCACAAACTCGAAGGCATTCAGACGCTCATCCACAGCCCCGAACAACGGAAGCATCGCACCAGCCCATGGATTTCAACTCCCAGAGTTGCAGTAGCCTACGTAGCAGCCAATGCAGCGTGGATTACCTCCATTGAGCAATGCAGAGAGTCCATCTTCAACTGCGCCAAACGCCACAGAGCAAACGTAGACATTGCAGACAGTGTATGCCGTGTACTTCGTGGCTGCAACTGCTTTCTTTGATCACACAGGCACGAAGGCAGGCAACACAAGAGCCATGGAAAGCAAATAACCCACAAAACCAGCAACGGATAAGAAATCATCACTGCACAAAAAGGGGGCAGAAGAGGAAACAGATATGGCAAAGACAAGAAAATCAACAAAGAAAACTAGAAATAAAACCAAATGAGGCAAGCGGTTATTGGTAGCTGCTGAAAGGCTCACTGTGGCATAACAAGAGGTTATTTGGCTAGATAAAAGTAGGCAGACGGAATAGAGGCAGGAGGGAGAGGGAGGTGGTGGTGGCTGGGGTTTAGATCACCGGAAGTCGACACATCAAAGCCAACTAGACGCAGATCAAAGTGTGGGAAAGCGGGCAACATACGGCAAGGGGCACGAAGAAGTATGAGAAGCAATAGGCGGTCAGATAGAGACAGCGAAGGTCCTAAGGAGAGACAGGTAGACCAGTTGCGACAGTAGAGGTAGTGTGGGGTTCACCAATGTGCGTTCTCCTGATCTGAAAGCAGCGTCGATGGAGAAATGCAGAAGAAGAGTCCCCACGTTCGAAGGCCAAAAGCTGATAGAACACCTGCACATCACATCCAGCGTACAGGGCGGGAGGGACATGCAGAGGGGAGGATGTCGGGTGAAGAGACCATTAAAAAAAGCATGCACGCGAAGAAGACAGATGCAGACGCGAAAGCAGGTAGAAACGACATATAGAGCAGCAGAGGCCTCGCGCGCACCGCCAGCCTATCCTGGAAGGCAATGGTATGAGGCACGTAGACCAACGATGAAGCAAGGAGCCTCGTGGGGAGATTTGACAGGCGGAAGCTTGGAAGAGGCATCTCGAGGTGTCCTCGCCCTGAGGGCGTTGTTGCTCCGGCCGCAGAGTTGCTGCTATTGATGTTATTGCCAGGAGAGGCAACAGCAGCTGCTGCAGCCGCGTCTCCCCCCCGCATGCACCACACGAGGCACTCCCACAGAGCAGGAAGTCTCTGCCCTCCAGCAGCGGACATAATCAAGGAGGCAGGACCATCAGGCAGCACCAGCTCCTCGTACGTCACCAGAGATACCCTCCCATTAAGATCTAGCAGCTCCCGTAGGACTCCAGGAACCAACTGCCACAACCGGTCTCGTCTACATCCTCGCCTTCCGCTGCTGCTGCTCTTATTGCTGGCTCCAAGTGGAACGGGAAGGAACGCTGAAAACTCCTGCTTTCCCTGCTGCTGCTGCTGCTGCGGGCAAGCGGATGCGCACGCAGCTCGCAAGAGAAGCCAGGCGAGACGATTCAATGTCAGCAACAGCCACCGCAGGTCGCTGCGCCTTAAGGAAAATCCAACGCTGCTGCCGCCGTTCCCAGAGATGATCCGATCCTCCCCTGTTTCCTCCAACAATTCGGAGTCGTCGGTCATCTGCATTGAAAAATGAGGCCAGAGATGAGAAAAGGCGCACAGAGCGCGCACATGGTCCTTTCAGCATACACGCCAGACCAGCAGTGGCTTCTGCACGAAACTGCCTACCCAGTTGACGCGGAACACCCCACCTTTTGTACGAGAAGTATTGCAGTAGCTGCTGTGTGTCACTGGGGAACACTAGCACAAAGAAAAATTGCGCATCACAAAGTAGGTGCCACTTTGCTACGCAAAGGCGACAACAGCAGCTTGCCTGAAGTTTATACTTGAGGAGAATGCAGAGGGACCTGAGAGCTTCTCCCCATTGGCTGTTAAACTCGGGGGGCTGTCCAACACACCCGAAGAAGCGGTCGACCGATTTGCCACACCTGCATTCCAGCTGCACCGCCAATAACAGTACCAGAAAAGCAGCTTTGCAGCTGCTCAACACGCTTATTTCACAGCCGCAGCTCCCCAACGTGAAGCAAGGCTTCTGCTCGTGTGGCTGTCTCGCTACTCTAAGCAGCGGCGCGGCAAGCTTACGAAAGTCTTGATGGCTCGAAGAAGCCTCAGGGGAAGCGGGGTACTAACGGAGAGAGCATTCAGTATAAGCCGCTCAGCACCTGCGGTGAAAAAAACGCGCCCACAAGCGGCTAGCTCTGGTGGGGTGCAGCACAGGCCGTCCTACAGCCGTGAATACGCATGCGCAGCGGGTGCTGGGATTCCTGGTGATTCAGGACCACTGGAGGCGCATAACATTTAGCTGTGTCCTCACCCCACTTCAAGACACCATAATTCGTAGCGTGAAGCGCCAACTGACCTGAATACTTGTGCTCCCAGCAGTGACTGTGGATGTTGGCGGTGCTGTCTTGATCCTCTGCTTCGCTTTCAGAGTCTGATTCGAGTTCTGTCGTTTCTTCTGCTGTTACTCCTGCCACCTCTGATAATGCAGCTGAGCGCTCCATGTCCGGTGGGAGGTACAGCTGGAGCAGGTCGGAAAGGCCTACGACAAAGGGCATGTGCAAGGCAACTCGACAAGCCACTAGTCGCTGCATCGCCATACGGCTAGTTTGGAGGCTAGGGAACAGCAAAAGCTAGCAACATAAGTGAAGACAGACGCACACGCGGCGACTGCCGGCCTGCTTGCCATCCTGTCAGCTAGCTAGACGGCTATTCGCTAGCTGAGCGCTCAAGGAAGCGCGCACCTGTAGGAGGAGCAGCTTGTGCAGCAGTGAAGAATGCATCGACAGCCCACCCTTCTGTAAGAACAACCAACTGGCGCCTCAGCTGCGGCGAGCACAGCAAAGTCAGCAACTGAAGAGCGTGCAATGAGTCCTGAGAGGCGGAGGCAAGACCGCGCGTTAGCAACTCCCCCCCCCAAACAATGCCGCGGACATACGACCTCGCGAAAGCAGCAACAGCAGCAACGGCGAGCGCGCTTACCACCTCATCCGGGGGTGCTGTGCTGGGGGGAAAGAGCTGCTGTGGGAGCTGCTGTGCCCGCTGCTCCTCTGGGCTCAATAGACTGGAGCGCAGCAGATCGAAGGGGCACGCCCAGCCGCAGAGACGAAGGGATGCCAGAAACCACAAGGGGCATGAAAAGGAGGCTGCTGCCCCTGCTGGAGCGGCACTGGCAAGTCGCTGCCGCCGAAGAGAGAGCATAGACAGCAAGTTTCCAGCCACGCATACGCCAAGCCTCATTGAGGGGGCACTTGCTGCTGCTGCTGCAGACTGCTGCAACGGGTAGACGCGCCTCAAAGCCTCATACAACGAGTTGAGTTGGAGAACCTCGGCGGCGCAGTGCTCCAGCAGTTGACGCCTGTGTGGCAGCTTCTCTCTTTCTCTCTGCTGCGTACTACTCGCTGGCACCGTACGTTCCTGGACCTGCTTTTCCAGCTTAGACCGAAGAAAAGGGGCTTCCCGATGCAGAGCCTCAGCAGCACTTGCTGCAGACACGATAGTGCCAGCACTTCGCATTGCGGGGAAGGCTGCGACTGCGGGAACGGCAGTGGCTGCTGCAGCAGCACTCCGATCGGTTGCTGCATCGGCAGCGCTGAAGAGGAGCTCCTCGAGGGATGCAAGGGCTTCGTCCTGCAAGAGCACCTGCTGCTGCTGCTGCTCCTCTTTCTCCCGCTGCTGTTGCTGCTGCTGCTTCTCCCCCCCTCCAACAGCAAAGGAAGGCAGCAGCAGCGGCCAGCCAAACATGTGCAGAAGGAGCTCCGTCTGCACCAAGCTGTCTGCAGCAGCAACGACAAAAGAAGGGAACTCCAAAGGGTCCACATAGATGCAGACGCCAGGGATCCGTGGCGCAAGCAGCAAGACCAGCGGCAGCGAATACACAAGGGGGGAAAAAGCAGGCGTCACAGAATCTGCGGTAATCACGGAGAGAAACAGCGGCAGCAAGCCTACCAGTGGCGACGGCTTCGGCGCGGAAGAAATGCCGAAGCAGCAAGAGAACGTCCTCAGCGGTAGGACCTGCATCATGTCGTGCTGCTTGCGTTGTTGTATCTGGATCTTCAAGCACTGCCCTTGCAGCTGCAGGTGCAATAATAGCAGAAGCAACGTAATCTCCAATTTGCGCTGCAATGCAATGGCCTAAGCCGAGAAGTCGCCAGAGTGCGCTGTGGAAGACGCTTTGGCTCTGCTTGTGTTGTAGTCGCTGCTGCTGTAGGTCAAAGCGCAGCAGCTGCAGCAGCAGCCGCACTGTCTCTGCGGCGCATGCAGCCGCTTGCTGCCTCCATTGAGGGCTCCCCTCCACAGGCAGCAGCGCCAGTGGCAGTCGTCCTACCAGGGGAACGCTGCTGCTCGCTGCCTCTGATACTGCATTGGTGTTTTGAATCCCACCGCTAGCAGCAGCGGCAGCTGCTGCTATCTGTCGTGTTGCTCGAAGGCCAAAGCGCGCTTGACCTGCGGGGGCAAGAGCGCTGCCGCGCCAGCCGTAGCAGAAGCGCACATCACCATCGACGAGCAACAAAGGAGGCTTTTTCTGATGTCGGCGCTGCTGGTTATCCCCTGCTGGTGTGCTGTGTTGCAGCAGCACCAAATTCCTGTAGTGTAAAGACAGCGCGCGCAGCACTGCCACATGCAACGCACAGGTAGAGGAATCCTCAGCGGTTGTGCCTGCTGGCGGAACCGCCGTGGGTGGAGGCAAGATTGCAGCAGCGGCAAGAAGCCGCTCTCCATCCCGTGTGTTGTGTGCTGCACTGCATGGATCGAAGCAAAAGGAAATCCGTCTCGCCTGCACTCTGTGCATCCCATGCTGCTGCTGTTGGTGCAGCACTTCGGCCTTCGCTTGCTGCTTCTCGTCCTGCAGCAGAAGCAGCTCTTCCTGCCGATCAAACTCGTCCCTGCATAGCTGCTTGTGGTGTTGCCTACACCTAAAAGCCCGCCATGCCGCAGCGATTCGCTGCTGCGATTGTTGCTGCTGTCGCTGTCTTCCTCTCTGCTCCCTCCTTTCCCTCGTCTGCTGCAAGAAGGCTCGACGACCTACTGCTGTGCTGCTGCGGTATCCTCCAGACAGGTTCACATTGCGGGTGCTGGTGCTGCTCCCCCAGTCATACATCGTCTTCTTGTTGCTGTTGTTGCTGCTGTGCTGTTGTTGTCCCTTCTTTATGACTATCCGTGCAGCACGGCATAGCAGGATGCCTTGTGTCGCGTATTATTTCTAGAGGTTCACGCCCACCGTGTAGCAGCAGCAGCAGGTGCTCCTGCCGCAGCTGCCGTTCCTGCTATGGCAGCCCTGACCGGAAGACACCACAGGTGCCTTCTGTTGAGATGAGTCTGGACAGTCGTCCTTCAATAAAAGAGACTCGAAATAGTTCTAGCACATGAGGGCGGCATCGCAGTGATTGCAGCTGCTGCTAAACGCGGGGCTGTGCTCCAGCATCCGATGTAGAAACAAATGACGAGCCAATAGAATCGTTTGGACTGAAACACATCAATATTTTGTCGCTACTAGCTATAAACTTTCATCTTCACTACTGGGGCGCTACAATGCTTCTGCATGGAAGCAGCCCTATGCACTGACTGGAGCCACAGCAGTAACGGTAGCAGTAGTAGCTGCAGCGCAGCCCCCTATTGGACTTGTTAAGGGGGCCTTTCAAGATGGACTACGGACTTCTTTCTGTTGCCACTTCCTGGCTTCCGCTTGGCTCGCTGCAGGATTAGCGTGTAGGCTTCAAGTCCACGCCAGTAGCGTAAGCAGCTGTCACCGCAGCTGGAGCAGCGCTGAACATGGAGAGTAAACAACGCAGACTCGCAAGCAAGGGATGCATTTCAATGATCAACGCGTAAACCGTATCATTGTCACCCTCCTTAGCAGCAGCGATTGCTGACAGAGCAGCGTCAACGCGGGGGAATATCGGCTGCCGCAGTGCAATCGCCCTGATAGGCGATGCAACGCGAGTAACACTGACTGCCGCCGCTGCACAAGCAGCGACAGCAGGTGCACAAGACTGTCTTCTGGGCTTGGTGAGACCCCCGGCGGTTCCACGGGTTATTTTCAGAGGTGGCACCACATGCAGCGGGAGCAGCAGAAGCAGCCTCAACAGCAGCATTGCGTGCACCAGCAGTCGCGGTGCAGGATCCATCGCCTTAGCCGTCTCCCTTGCTGCAGCGACAACGCGCTTAGGAGTTTTGTACACAGCGTTTGTGCAGAAGATGAGCAGCGACACCTGCAGGGACACCACCAACCGCACTGGCGGCAACGTAGAGGCAGAGGAAGCTCACGGTTCTCCTTCAGGAGAGTGTCTGGTTTGCTTTGACGACATAACAGAGGAGACATACTGCGAGTACAGAGTCCCTGGAGACAGCCGGTGGCACCCCGCGTGTTTCTGTTACCCCTGTATCCAGCAACTGCAGCAAACACAGGTCAACTGAACTTGAAAAAAGAATTAGCGCTTACTTCCTGACTGACCCTATCTTTGTTCATCGCCTGATTGCTTCTATTCTAGGCTCCTGTTACCGTGTGGCTGGGGCTCTTCTTGCATTGACTGCCTCACCTTCATGGACGTCTCGGCTTGTCTACCACTGCGCTGACTCTGTTACTTGCCTTCTCTTGCACTGCTTTTCGGAACCTCGTTGCCCTTCCGCCTACCTGCCCTTACGCGCTTTCAAGGGCCGTGGGCATGAGAGACTCCTTATCGTAGACAACATCGCAATGGCATTCATCCTTCAATCGCTGGTTCTAGTCCCACCGCTCTCTCGCCTGCTGTCGAAGCCCTAATCCATCCTTATTCTTTGACCCCGCTTCAATAAATGCCCTTGTTCGAATTCTGCTCGCTTCTGCGCCTAAAATTGCACCGCCAAAGTCTTCTTCCCCGCCTGTCTCACCGCGTCCGGGTATTCCTCTCGTTCCTCTCCGTTGGCTTCTTTGTGCTGTACTGCGCTGCGCGAAGCTCTCATTTGTACGGTGCGCATTGCTGTTTGTGGCGAATCTGGTAGTTGCCTTCATAATTAGGCCTCGCCGTGTGTGTGCACATGTGCTTCCCTTTCAGTTCAAACGGTACTGCGATGGAGTCTCGCACTCCACGTGCGCCAAGGAGCAGAGAGCGTTGCTGCACCGGGGGCCTCCCATTAACCTGTCGGATCCACACGCCTTCCCAGTGGCGGAGCGCACTGAAGTGGAGGCCCTCTGGATCGCTGCCACCAAGCAACAGGCGTCTGCCAAGCTAGAGGGTAGTCTCGTGAGTTGCAGCACATAGGAACGCACATACACGGACAGCCAGAAACCGGAGCTAGCAAGCAGTGATGCACAAAGATGGGATGCCCGAGAATTCGCACAAAGACAGAAAGAGACTGCTTATATCTACCTGCCCCCCCGATTCGATGCGCACCTGATTGTTGATGTCTTGCCATCAAGCGTCATACGTTTTTTACTTGCTTTGGGGGCTTTGGAACTAGGGTTTCGACGTTGTTACATGTGACGCTGCGCCGCAGACAGGCGAAGCCCGTGAGAAGCTGTGGAACGAACTCCAGGCATTTCTAATCAAAGATGAGCAGGCGGAGGACTCAAGGGACATCTAAGAATCCCTGTGTGGGCTTGCCCCCCACTTCTAAAGCTGCGGGCTGTTAGGCAGAGGAACGCCCAGCGGCAGATGCGATGCATCCACATTTCTCCACCTCCAACTGCTGTAGTAGCAGACTTCAGCCACTAGGGTTTTTCGTCCTTGTTTTGCACGCTAGTTTGCCAAACAAACGGATGAATAGCTAGCTGGCTCGCAACCTAGTTTTTCAGCTAATAGGCTGTCTATTAAGTAACAACTGTTGGTAAACATATTTCCACTAAACAGCACAGGTCTGTGATCTCTGACCTTCCCTTTTTCTCATTCATGCAACGATACGGTGCCTTAGCATCGTTACCGCTCTTGACCATGTGAGTGGGCTGCATGGGCTAATGGGTGGTCGTAAATCTCTCTTGGCCAACCTTTCCTGTATGTGCACCGCAGTCGTAAGCTGCTCAGCTGTAGATTCGTTAGTTTGCAAGTGCATATGGTGGCGGCAGCTGTGTAGCAAGGTTTCGTGTTGTGAGGAGGCATCACAAGGTCCAGCTTTATACGAAGGTGACGTTTTGTCCCACGCCATCTATCACCAAAAGGCATGACAATCAGTGGCAACCAGCTTAAAAGAGATATGCAGCTTCCTCGCCTAATGACCTAGGGGGAGCTGAGTAGGCGTAGACAGCAGATGGAGCGGTCATTTGGAAAGATTGCAGGTGCCACCACTGCAGCTCGATTGCAAGTTCGCCGCGCCGCTGACTCCTTCTAAGGCGTCCCGTCTGCCGCAGCTTAAATGTAATTGAATGCTCTACAGCAGCGTGCGTTTGAGACCAGCGCCTGCTTGCCATGATCATTGTGCTCAGGCTACCCGCGTGAACAAGGATCAGCGCTGTCAATTATGGTTTTAGTGGTGCCTACCAACAACTGGTAATCCATTTCGTTCATCTAAGAGTACATCCGTTTCTTCACATCCTAGCGGTGTGTGTAAGAGGCTGTGTTGTTTATGATGGGGCAGTCGAGGCTTAGCCGCCTGGGAGAGCTACACGCAGCAGCAGCAGCCAGCAGGCAAATTTAGCTGCCACTGCATCCGCGGCTTCGCTTAACCTTCTTTACGTGGTTTCTGGATATGGGAGGTACCGTACCAAGCTTTTGTCAAAGGAATAGGAGCGGCAATGTGAAAACTACCAAATAGCCCGCCCTTTTGCCTCTTCCTAATCGGACTACGTGCCAAGCGTTCACCGCTTTAGTTCTAGTGCTCAATTTACCGTTGCTGACACTATTGACATAACTTGGGGCAAGCGATCGAGCTGTCCTTGAAATATTGAGCGGGTATGAAAGCATGTGGGTTTAAAAGGAGAGAGCGCGACAACAGAAGCAAATCCAAGTGCTACAAAGTGATGCTACACTGTTGTTGCCAGATTAGCAGCACAATCTCCTTGAGCCCTCTGCAATGCAACAACGTCGGGTATTAAAAAGCTGGAGGCATGGTACTCTAACGCCTACTCGTGGCGGTGCTGTTGCCGCTTCCCACCATACGGGGTGCTCCCCTTCATTTGGTCTTGCGCCCCTTGCCTACTGGGACAGGTTTTAAGGCAGCATGCCCTTCCTTCTTGATATGGTTGAAGAGAGCATTCCGTGTAGGGAAAAAAGTCCCACAAACAGCGCATGTCGTTTCCTTTGCTATTCCCTCTTTCGAGCCCGTCGTCTTCCCTGAGTCTGTTGCGCCTCCTGCTTCTGCTGATGAAGAGCAGTCCGCTGAAACTTTTGTTGCCTGCTTCCGCCTGCTGCCCTTCGGGCTGCTGGTACTTTTAGAATTATTGTTTTCTGCTTTACCTGGCAGCTGCTGACGCCGTGAATGGCGCTTGCGCCCTCCTTTGGGCGCTTCTACGCCGTCAGGCTGCTCGTCTTCAGATTCTTCAGTAGCTACTGCTGCAACAGTCTCACCCGGTTCCTCGAGCTCTCCCCTACTGCAGTTGCTGCTGGTGCTGTCCCGACGGCGGCCCTTTGAGTGCCCCCATTGCGCTGTCCGTGAACCGGCTAGGCGCAGCAAAGCTTCGTCTGCGTCCTCTTCACTGTCGCTCTCGTCACTGCTGCAGCTGTCGTCACTATCGCCGCTGTCACAACTGCTGATACTCTCATCGCTGCTTATGTGCGGCAGATCGCTCCTGCCTTTGGAGGAGCTGGACACAGGAGAGCTGCTTCTGCTACTGCTGATTCTGCTCGCACCTGTTGCAGACGGTCCTTTGGTGGCTTGAGGCTGATTTCCCGAAGATTGTTCGCATTCATCTTCTGCTGATACAGCTGAGGTTCCCTCCTCCTCCTTATCGTGCCGCTCCTCTTTATCTTGCTGCTCGGCCTCTTGCGGTTTCGGTAATTCGTCATACCCCGCATCAAGACCCTCTAGATCTGCTTCCAGCTGTGCCGCGAGCCGTTTGACATTCTTCTTGTGTTTGAGGGACCGCGCATGAGCTTCGTACTGCTGCGCACTCCGGAAGTCCTTCTCACACACTTCGCAGACATAGATCACCTTCACCTGGCTGCTGTTGCTGCTAGTGCCCTTCTGTTGCTGCTGACGCGAAGCTTTATCAGCACCAACCACTGCTGCCGCTGGTGCACAGTCCGTGGTGCCGAGAGATCCAAGGCGGATGGGGCCCTCTGAGGGCGCCACGCTGCATGTGGCGTACCATGCTTCAAGAGCCTCATCGTCAGTTCGTTTCCTCCCCTCCGGCTGCTGCTCTTGATGTTGCCTCTCGATATCCGCCTCTGAGTCAGACGAGCCATTGTCGCAGTTGCTGCTGCTACTATCAGCAAAGGCGTAGCCCTGCTTTCTCAGGGCACGCCGCTCAGCCTTTAAGGCCTCATAGTACTCCTGCTGCTGTTGCTGCCGCTCTTGTCGCAGCAGCCGCTGCCGCTCCTGCAGCTGCCGCTGCTCCTCTTCCCGCGAGCGCTGCTCCTCTTGGCGTTGCTGTGCCTGCAGCCAAAAGAAGCGCATGCCACACAAGCTACCCTCGGTAAACTCGCGGCCCCAGTGGCATCAGCAACAGCAGCGCCAAAAGCAGCAGCACTCAGAGCACCCGCACAAACAGCTGCAGCAACGAAAGACGCGGCAGCAATTGGGACATACCAAAACGGCTTGTCTAGCGACGACCCTCTGGTCTTTTCTTCGGACGTGCTGGACTAGCCGTCTAACGGTTTCGTTAAACTCCTTCTTCGCTTCTTTCCGCTTCTTTTGGTTATCTCGCTCCATCAACCGTCGATCTCCCCTGCTAACCCCTGCAGCAGCAGCAGCAGCAGCATTAGCAGCAGCGAAGTAACAGCAACACGCCCTTACCGGATCCGCCCTCTGTTTTACCGCTCCTAGAGTGTCTGTCATCAGCACCCAAAGAGCCTCATGGCAATGCGGCAGCTGGCAGAGGGAAGGAGTCCAATCGTGGGGCACCTGCTAAGTCTTTTGGAGACCACTCGTCAGCCTCGGCGAAGTCCCTCGCAGAAGAGAAGGCGGACCAGTACGCATAAAAGGCGCCAGTTGTCTCCCAACTGCTGGCACCGCTTCCGAAAGAAGGCGCCTTCAACGCAACATCAAATTGCAAAGACAGGGAATCAGGGTATAGATAAACAGTACATAGAACCTAAAATCCACAGAAATCCCCATATATGTATCCTTCCAGATGCAGCAGTCGTGACGCAGCGAGTCCACACACGCACACACAGACACACATATACATGCATACATATACATATATATACATACATATACACACAGGTGGCCTGCCATCGAAGTTATGTAAAGAAGCATCATGAAGAAGTACAAAAGTGCTGATCTTGACGAGTACGCCGATCTGCGCTTGCGTCTCCGCTGGCTCGCGTGTCCCTTTCCGCACACCGCTGCGCTCCCCGCGAGTCAGACTCCCAGCATCGTTTTTGTTTGTGCCATGGCCTCTACCCTCCCTTTCATGCACCATCTCTCCAATGACTGCAGCCCTCTCCCTGACCCTCTCCCTCTTCCCTGCTTCTTGTCTGTGGGTGGTATATCGGAGTGAGGATGTACCTCGTTAGGAATAGGCTGCCTCCTTCTTTGGCAGTACTGCTTCTCCGCCTCTTCTATGTCTTTAAAGAGCTCCCTGTACACCTGGTAAAAAGCCCCATCCTCATCTCCAAAGCCTTTAAAACAGCTGGCGGAGAAGTATCCAAATAAGTTAATCCCAAAACCCTCGGCTCCAGGGGCCTCCTCCGCCGCTGAAGCTCCCAAGATCTTATCCCTGTGAGCGTCGTACCAGGCCCTCTCCTGCATAGGTAAAGGAGAGCAGCACGCAGCGTGCGGACAAGGTAAGATCCGTTGGAGGTGGAAAAAAGGATGAGGATGTATATGGCCGAAGGCAGCGCAGAGACTCGATGCACAGGAGGATAGATGCATCTCAGTATGGAACGCAACGCGAACTGACGAAAGTGTTGCAACTGCCAACAAACGCAACGTAGGCAGCAAAAAGGATCACGCTGGAGGAGTCATGAATCTCCTCCAGTGGCTTAAGATGCAGAAGCCCACACGGACGGATGATAAGTGGTAGCACAAAATATCGGAAATGCAACAAGGCATCGGCTCAAGTGCGCAGCCAAGAAAGCAATACACAGCGATAGCTTTAGAGCTACAGATACTCCACGTGAAAGAGACTAAGGCGAAAAATCTTTGGGTCCGAAAGAAACAGACAGGCACAGGTGTGGGCAGCACAAAGGGCGCATTGGAGAGGCAGAGATGTGGGCAGTAAACGGAAAGCAATGGCGAGCTAGAGAGGGCTTCAGTGTGCAAGAAGCTGGTTTGAATGGCAGCAAGAGCTAAAGGTTGCCCCAAGGGCCCTTTAAGCCTCCCAAGTATAAGTAGCCGCTTCAGAGGGGAACCAGTGTTCCTGGGAGACATCGAACAGCAGTGAGGAAGTGAGAAGGCTGCCTGAAGCCCTGAACCGACTTGAGGATCGCTCAGGCACTCATAGGCCTCCTGCAAGATCTGGAACTTGTAAGTTGCATTAGGATCATGAGGATTCTTGTCCGGGTGGCGCTCAATAGCACTCCGCCGATACGCCTTCTTTATTTCCTCGGGGCTCGCCGAAAAATCTATGCCCAAAATTGAGTAATAGCACTCTCGGGGTGACGACATCCTCAAATCCTCCACAATGCACCACTGCGCCCTCGATGGTGAAACACGGAAAAGGACCCCAAAGTTATGACGGCTGTCCTACAAAGAGGAAAACGAGTACAGGCGCTGCTTCAAACGATGAAAGCTTGGGGGCCAATCAAGCAGATGCGGCATGAAAGACACTACGGAGCAGGAACACGAGAAATGCCCCTGGGGCCCCCAAGTACAACCCTCTCCGCCCGTCTTCCTCCGTTGGTCTCTGATGATTTCAAAGATTGGGGGGTCAAAAGCTGCTCTTGAGAAGAGACATTGATAGAGCAACGACCAGGAAGGCCGTGGCCGACCTGACGGGCACCCAAAACCGGCAGCCCCGAGTGTCCTGCGTGAAAGGATCTAAGGACTGTGCAGGAGATACACTAAACATGTTTTACTTTCCACATGCACTGTCCTTGAAATATCTTCCGTCCATTTAGCAGTCCGAACAACACCAATAAATGTTACGCGGAGGCCCCCAGTGGAGGGCCCCCACGGGAGTCTTGGAAGCTCCCTTCAGGAAAGCCTTAAATGTACAAGAGTAAAACCCTACCCTTATGGCCCTATAAAGTATAGTGCGTTCTAACGTTAGTCCTAAGGCATGCAGACTAGAACTTGGCTTGCAAGTCTTACATAAACGCTCGACCTTCCAGGCAAAGGCCACAGATCCCGGAGCCCTCAACTCTGAAATCGCTCAACTCGCATCTATATGCAAAACTGTTCGTGCTATCAGTAAACTACAATGCACTTGCTGGAGAAAACAGGTGTCTGTGGAGCCCCACGGGCGCTAAAAGTGGAGACGCCGTAGCCTTCGCTGCTATGGGGAATTCCGGAGAGTAATGAGGCTCCTCCAAAGGTGCTGTGCGATGCAGCAACTGCTTTGTAAGGGACACATATAGCAGTGGTTGCTGGTCGCCGAGATCTGTGGTCCCCCCCTACACATTTGCCTCGCCATGGATTGGGGGCCCTGTGGACGGTGTCGCCGATTCATCTGTTTGAGTCAAGAGACAGGTCTGCACAGGAGCCCCCTTACCCAAGTCCGATGTTCCCACGGAGGCCTCTAAAGAGGCCTTTTGTGGGGGCTTATAGCAAACGCCTCCCCCATAGTTGTTTCTTAAGAACTGATTGGTAGGGATATCGTTTTCCTGAACAGGGTGGGAGTCCCCCTGAGGAGCCCCGCATGGGCCCTCATCTCCTTCGTTGTCTTGTTTAGCCTTTATCATTGTCGTGGAGTTACCGTCCGGTCCTTCGCCCCTTCCGCTGCTGCTGTTCTTCGCAGGGGCACCCACAGCTGTAGCAGGGAGCCCCCTATTAATAACATACCGGAGCTGTCTCAGTTGTATCGCCTGGCAAGCGAGTTCCTCTTTTGCTTCCTGAAAGGCTTTATACAGCGCCCTACACTGAACACACCCTGTGGGGACATAGACAAATGGTCGCGGCGGGCCCCCGGAGGAGGCCCCAGGAACACCCTCCACGGGGCAATTGTTAGAGCCACCAAGGCCAGATGGAGCAGCAGCAAGTGCCGCTGGTGCTGGTGCGGCATCACTGGAAGACGCCTTAATGTAATGTCTTTTCAATTTTGAGGCCCCCTCCTGGACCCCTGCCTGGACGACTGGGGGCAGTTTGCGGGCCCTCCGAGCGAACATAAGGGTGGCAGCTGTCTGTCTGTAGCACACTGCCCCCGGGGCGCAGAGACAAATCAGCGAAGTATGACAAGGGCCCCCTAAGCAGTCACCCAGAAGGCGAGTTAATTTAGACTCTCTTAAGCCCAAGAACTGGGGTGGAGGCCGTTGGCCTGTCCCTGCGCTTCCAGGCACCTCCTCTGACAGTCCAGAGGGCAGTGCTGCGGTTTCTTCCTTTTTCTGCGGATGCTGGTACTGTTTTTGCTGTTGCTTAGTGAGTGCCTTAACCACCTTAGAGAGGGCGAGAAGACTGCGATTAATAGTGCCCCCTTCCCTTTGAGTTTTGTTGGTCAACCGGCCCCCAGAAGTGGTGTTCCCACTCCCCTCAGATCCTGCCAGATCCACCATACTAAGAACTGAGGGCCTCCAGGGGTTCCGCGAGAGGAGCCTCCCACTTTCTTCTTTCAGAGCTGTCCCCTCAGCAACAGTGGCAGTACCTCCCGCTGCAGTGGCTATTGCCGTTGCTGCCGCTGGGGCAAGGACGACTCGGAGGACCGCATGGGAGCGTGAGGAACGGGCATTGGCCGCAGTTTCAGCTGCATGCCTCCGTTGCTGACCCCTCTTTACTAAGTCCAGGGCTTCAGCCAGAGACGACACGCTACGGGTAGTCAGGGATCCCATGTCCAGGGTACCTGAAAAAAGCAATTTCTACAGCTGAAAAGTTTCAAGCGCTTGAAGTAAATCGGTGAGCGTGCAAACATTTATGTGCAACACAGAAAGCCATGCCGAGGATTAGGCAACAAGACTGCATTTGGCGTGCGATGCAAGGCTTAGGGTGTAGTCTGACCGTCAGCTTTTTCACATAGGGCGATGGGCCTCTTTTGCCGTAGATCTGAGGGTGCCTCAGCTTGCGAAGGCCCGCCAGGAGACCTTCCAGCGGTCCCATGCAGCAAATCCGTTACTGCTTCCTGGTATACTTCGAACATTGCGAGAGACACAGAGAAGCGCTCCTCTTCCCCCCTCTGTTCCCTCTCCTGGAATATATCTTGCAATGCCAGCTGAATAATACCCTTATCAGTTTGGGGTACCCGTTGGGGGACCCCCTTGCCACCGGGGGAACCCTGCTGCGGACTTCCAAACATTGTGTGGGTCTTGCCGCTGGCTGTTTGGCCATAGGCGAGGACCGTCGCGTTTGTGCCCCCCACAGCAGCAGTGACTAGCCTTTTGACTAGGTGAAAGTACACTTCTGCATTGGATGCCTCAGGTCCAAATACGTAATCTGCTTCATAGCACACGTCCTTGTATCCGTCCCACACCCTAGCGGGGACCCTCTGTCGAACCTCCTCGTTTGAAGTTCCCCCATCTGAGGCAGAAACCCGAGGAGCACCCATGTCCAAAATCCACGGAGGTGCCAGCACCCACCCCTTCGCATCCTCCGCCTTTAGAGCCCACTCCGCCTCTGTGGGGCCCCTGCGGGCCCATGGAGGTCTCCTCGGGTCTCTGCAGGATACCGCTCCCCCCTGGCCTTCAGGAGGACCAGCAAGAGACGATACAGAAGAAGAGGTTATTCCCCCCTCTCCTAACGATGTGCCTGTGCTTTCAGAGGCGCAAGAGGCTGCCTGGGGGGCTCTGGGGGGTTCCCCGTGGGAATGGCCCCTGGGTGGATCTGATGGGGCTACACAATGTGATGAAAAGCGGGAGTGCGGGGACACTGTCGGACGAGCAGGGGGACGAAATCGAATTCCCACGAGTATTTGACGGTCCATAAGGGTACTACTGCTGCAACGATTGTTCACAGTGCATCTGCTGATACTGCTGATGCTACTGCTGGAACCTGCGCAGTCAGTCGCCGTTCTGCTGCACTCACTGCTGCTGTTGGCGTTTGGCTCTTGTACGCGAGCAGTTTTGTTAGTGGGATCGAAGAGAACGGGTGATGCGGAAGAGCCCTCTTCCTGGTGGGTGGGGTCGCACGTCATTTGGGACATATCCAGCCCAACATCGTAAGTTAGAACCCCAAAATCTTAGGTTTGAAGACCTAAGCCTGAACGTGGATGCCTTCAGAGGGCCGTGGGGCCTCTTGAATGCGGGTCGTAGAGGTAAGGTTCAAGGGGTCCTGAAATTACAGTAGAGAATGAGCGGCATGCAGACAAGTGTAGATCGTTCATGCAGGAATACAGTTGAAAACACTGGTATCTCATGAGCTTTAGTGGGCTTTTTGGCTCAGAGTTTAGTCTTCCGGGGGGTCCTTGACCAGTGGGGTTGGTGTTATGGCAAACCTACCCTACACAAGAACGGAATAGAGGAATCGAGATGGTTTTATTTTCAATGTACATTGAGATACATTCAAATCGAAGAGTTGCACCAGCTGGAAGGATACAATTCATGATACTACACCTAACGGAGTGTACACAGTGAGGTACCGCTTCGAGGGCGTCTTGCTCAAATGGTAGAGCGTTCGCTTAGTAAATGTTGCTTAGGACGCAGTAAAGACCGTATCGGCCTTTGCGCATCCCTCATGTGTTCCTTTGGAACTGCAGGTGCCCGCACCCCCGAAACTAGCCAGCAGGTACTCGACTTGAGGAGATTGGAGCATCCGGAGTCCACCACACAACCTGATCAATTAAGAAAGTGATTCGCAGCGTATAGATAAAGATCGTGCACACATATTTATCGATCACCCAGCGCAGCACAACGGGCTCCCACGAGCGGCTCAAAATTTGCATTCATTCAAGGCATGTAGGAATACATGCGTCCTCTCGGGGCAGCTAAGATACCTTAAATATGCTTTTGATAGCCTCTCTACACCAAGTTTTCGGCGGTCCCTACAGGTAGTGTAAGTCGTTTGTGCGTAATTTGCAGATTGCTGTTTCTGTGTCCCTTACGGCAACATTTACCATCGTAATGTAATGCATGCACCATAAAGACTTCCCGCTCCATTGCGGACTAATTTTGTCGGTGTAACACGAAGGAAAAACGCCACTGCTCGAAGTTATCAGGTAGCACAACAAAGATCATGCGCAATTTAAGGTGCTGCCTTTTAGTTAAGCTCAAGCAAAGGGCACAAGTGTTCACTAACTCTGTACCTCGAAACTTCTTGAGAAGAAAAGCTTTCATTGGTCATTCCATGACGCTATTAGCGATGAACAGAAGAGCTTCATCTAAGAAATGAACCCACGGCTTGGCTTTGCCCGCCGCGTCATGCTGAACAGGCACCGAAGTAATACACGACAACCGCTTTTCGGTTTTTGTCTACACCCAATCTCTGGTCTGTATTGTCGATCAGATTGGGACTTGTACTGTTGTTGAGGCCACCTCCAGGCAATAGCAACTTCCTTGAGCCTTGCTACTTTCACCTCGTTCTGCTCTCCTGGGCGGAATTCTCTCTGCCAGGGAATTATTATTGTTTCCTAAAAGCACTAGGGTGCTGCCTTTCTACAGTGCATGCACCTTTCTATTCACTTTACAGTGAAGAAGGAGTGAAGTGCTTTGCCGTGCGTCCGGTAGATCTTCAGAGATATAGAATATTTCCGCCCTCCTAGCTTGTAGCTTCCAAAATGCTTTTTTCGTTTCAACTTATTTTACGGGCTCAGCGAAGAGAAGGCTGCACGTACTGTAGAAAGGCAGCGGCCTAGTAGTATCGAGGAACAGTAAAGTTCAATGGCAGACAAGCTTTCGCCCAGAAGAGCAGATGGAGGTAAAAGTAGAATGATGCCAGTGCAGACACCGCAGTTGGGCAGGGCACATAGTTTCACCTTTTCCTTTTGCACCTGTGTACTATTCCGCTTATGCTACGCCTTACCACCATAAATCACGAAGCTGGGAAGTTGGCGTGGCCGCTAAAACTTGGAATGTGAAGTTTTTTTGTAGCAATGTAGCAGGAAATTTCGCATTATCTCGGGCTGCAAGTATAACGGCAGTGGTGTAGGGGTCCAACGTTGGCTTTCGTCAGCATGTGCAGAAGCCGTCTCTCCAGCTTTCTCTTCCTTTGTTGTTTTATGATCCGTATTTAAGGAGGAGCACTGCTTTTCACTTGAATTTAATGAATGATGGCACATTTGCCGCTGTTCTACCACATGCAGACTGGCAGTGAACCAAACGTGCGGCTTTCCCTCAGCGCACGCAAAAGCCGCGTTTGCCTCTTCCTGGTTGCATCCTTGCAGCTTAATCATCTTTTGGATGGCGCGTTGTCTTCGTTCAGCCGCAGTTAGCATATTTTGTGCTGGTGGATGCTGCTCTAGTGCTGCACATCTTGATGCACCCTTTATAATATCCAAGGCTCTACTGTAAATCATCTGCAGACTGTCTTGCAAGGAGGGGCCAGCTGGATCCTGACTCTCTGAGGAGACCGCTGGACAAAACTTTGCAGGGGCTTGTGCTGCAGTAGCACCCGAATCACATGCAGCAGGAAAAGTGGCCACGCCCTTGCCGTGTTCTATGTTATCCTTTCTATGTTCTGATGATACGCTACTACCATCAACATCTGTCATAATAGATCCGATGTCAATAGAAGGCATCCGATCGCTCATGCCCGATGGTGCCATTCCTGCCCCAGTTGTATGGTTGGGGGATAACGCCTTGCGGAGAGCCTGTAGATCCTCTCTGAGGCGCCCTTTCCGCATAATAGGCCTGGGAACGGCGAAAAACCCTTTCATTTCGTCCCTGCGAGCTTTTTTTGGATTGGATTGTGCGACGTATCCGCTCGGTGCACTGGATTGTTTCCCTTTTCCTGGTAGTAAACTTTCCTCCTTGTATTCCCTGCGCTTCCGCCATTGATTGTCATGCTGCTGTAGAGGTGCTAGTCTTACTTCTGCATGAAATCCGTTTGTACCATTGGTGACAACCCCTTCACCATCAGCATCCACGTCCTTGTCTGCATGATGAGAATTCCCGGTAGCCCATTGGTCTGCATATTTAGGAGACCCATATTGACCTCCCTTAAAGTGCTTTGCGGGCGCGCTAGGATGCTTGAGACCAATGCCACCAACCTCAGAGAACTCTTCCTCTGGAACCGTAATTGCCACGGTTGTGTCAACTGTCTTGTCTGCATGCTTAGAGCGGGCACCACCGTTTGCTGCTTTGTTTGGCTGCTCACCTAGTGCATTCCTAGCTCTTTCTTGCTGCTTGCAATAAATTTTCCCCGCGAACTTGATCGACTGGATGTCACAGCACTTAGCTAGAGCCGCAGGGTCTTCCTCGCTGCCGCAGGAAAAAGACTCGTGCTTGGTTTTCCCCTGAGAAAGAATTGTAAGGAAAACCAACAAGAGATGCGCTGAGGTTCCGCACCTGCTAGAAAGTGAAAAATAACTCAGAGCAGTTGGGTTAATAAACTAAATTAGCAGAGGAAAAACGCTTGTTCCCTTTTCATGGCATCCGATATTAAGAATTACTGTCATTCTGCATATTGCAGTTTATTCACTTGTAGGTCGTGCGCCGAGGTAAACTACTTTTTTGTAAAACTCATCGGGTACTTACATCTAGGAAACCACTCACTGATCCCAAATATCTGGTCTCCGGGGCTACGGTACCTCTTGTCTTAAGTTCTGGTGGTCCATTCACGGGTGTTTTCCACAGTGGTGTCTCTTCTGCTCGAGGTAAAGAGAAAACTGAAGCCTCGTCAAACCTGGTTCCTTTTTTCGGAGGTTGATATCCTTGTCCCACCCACAAAGGGATGGGCAGGCTGAGGCGATCGGCCATCAGTTGCCCAGAAAGGGCTCCAGAGCAGGCACTCAGTATGTTATGTTCCACTTCTTTATTTGTGGTATAAGACGAGCCACTTCTGGTGCTTGAGATATCCATTGTGCTTTCGAAGTCCTTGGGGTGGAGAGGATGTAGATCGAGAGAAGAAACTCCCTTGGTCTGTGTCTTGTTGTAGCCCATTAAGCCTTCTGGCTTATCAAATGAAGGTCTCTTGAGAAGTGCACAGGGACACCAAAGTATTAATAGGCAGCACTAAGAATTGGAAGCTGCAGGCATTGCTTTCTTGCTTTGCTGAGGTCGCTGTGTAACAGCTGGTCAGTTAGTCAGGGTTATGGCAAAGTAGTGACCGACCTCGGAACCTTGTGCACTCCCTGTGTCAGCACGGGTGAACTTACGAGAACCGGACAGTGCTTTGGAAACACTTGTCTCTTAGTACTGAAAAAATGTACTCATTAGCATCGTCGTCTTCAAATGTCAAGAGGCCAAGTTGTGAGAGCCTGTTCAATGTGTGAGAAGGCCCAGAACGGGGAGAGCTCCGGTCGGTTGTGGTCCGTTATTCCACTTGCCGCCCGAATGCTAGACAAAGTGAAAGGGGAACGTTCTTTGTTGTACCTGAAAAAAATTAAAAAGAAGAAGAAAAAGCTTAACATGGCAAAATGCGAGGTTATTATTGAAGGAAAACTCTTTCAAATACGTGGTGAGGTCACTTGGGAAGCGGTTCACCAGTATTGACCGAAGTGGGAGCTCCACTTAAGTTACAAGAGAATGCCAACACAAGATTGCTTGCCTGAGCTTCGAGTTATTTATTCACCTTGTTTAAGTAATATGGATCATTCCCCCTGATTCCATTAAATGTATCTACTTGGCTCCAAGGACCAAGAACGCAAAAAAGAGACATAGTGGTGGTGCGCTACTTTTACTGTCAAATTAAGCCGCTTTTACTGAGCTAACAGCAAGCGCTTTGACACGCGCTTGCATAAAACTCCAACCTAGGCAAAGGCTAAGGTAGAAAAGCTGTGGAACAAAGGGGAGAATGAGCAGTGGTGGTGAGTGCTGCCAGTCACGGCTCGCATTCAATGTGCCCAGCTAAAGCTATTCGAGCCCCCGTAACCATGCTTTTTGTCCTAAAATCTAAGCCAGGAGTCAACGGCAAGGGCCCTATTAAGCCTTTTCTCGGGCTTTAGGGGAACTTGACAAAGGGCAGGGGCAACCATGCAAGATATCCATCGCCATACGTCAACACATAGAAACTGTTCATATGCTGGCAATGCTTGCAGGATAAAGCTACGAGCATTCCAAACGTATATAGGCAGTAGCTTGCAGAATTACCGACAAAGAGACCTGAATTGTTAGCCTAGTGCTTCCTCCAGTTTCACCACTACAAAGCAGGCATCGAGTTGTGGTATATTTTCGTACGTTCGTGGCTTCTATTGTCATCCAGAGCAGAGTTAGTGGCTGGCTGTCTGAGATGACCAGTGGCAAGAATTTAATGCGGTGGTGGGCATTCTGATTTCCGTCGAAACTCTGTGCAATCAGTATATTTGCATTGACTAGGCGCATCTTCTGTTTACCAGCAAATATTATGCGACTTCTGCGTATACCATTGTTTTCAAAGGATTGAGCTGCTCAAACGTGTAATGCAGATCATTTTGAAGCACGCAAGTGCACGCAAACTGCTGAGGTTTGCCTTTCCCAGCTACACTGGTGTTCTGGTCTTCAGACCCTAAAAGAGTAATCCGTACATGTGCGCACTGCTAGAAGATAGTGCCTCAAAGTTTTTGGTACATGCACCTCGAGGTGCATACAATAGAGCAGGCCCCAGGGGAAATCATTACCTAGATGATACTTTGCATCCGCGGCTATCCGGTGTGCAGTAGTGCAGCAGTTCCACAGTCGCGCCTCGCATATAAATTAAATGAGCCTCCCAGTTGTAAGGATGCTGACAGAACACGCTTTGTTCAAACAATTCCGCTGTTGTTTCTGCACAGTTATTATTGGTAATTCGATAGTTTCATCATTCGCGCCTATTGGATTTAGAGTTGACGGCTCGATGTAAAGGTTAAATAAAAGCCGAGCTACTGGGATGCTATGCGTTGTATGTTAATGGTTTGGCCACTCTCTTCTGCTGTCCAGGCGTTAATACACGTTGGAATGCGTGAAACCTAACTCTTTTTATTGTGAAGATGAACTTACGAAAGGTAACTCTGTGTCCTCCTCGATATCCACCATTCTAAAGGCCTCCATGGAGACTTCTGCTCTTCGAAGACTCTCGCGGAGCTCTCCTGGAGCGCAATACTGGCCGTCTTTCGCCGCATGAACAAATCGCATGGGCCCTTTTGGTGGTGCAGAGTGCTTGCGGCCATTGCGCGTGGTTTCAGTCTCCAGCTGTTCCCCCATCAGCTGGCTCGATGAAGCCCTCCGTACAGGAGCGCGCGCAGCAGGAATGATTTGGGTGCCACTGCTGCAGCTTTTGTAATTACTGCTGCTGCGAGGGAGCGGGTTGGCTGAGAGACGAGTCGAAAGGAAGGATAGAGATAGAGGATAGGCAGGGGAAGCGTCGCCAAGTGCTATGGCAAGGGCCACTGCTGGATCAGTGCTATATGGGGAGGATGGGCATGAGAGTGCAGCGAAGCGAGCCCTCGCAGCTTCCCTGGCAGTTTTACTCTTGAAGCTACCCAAAGTTGCTGCTTCGGCAAGAGCAGCAGAAGCAGTACCACTAGCAGTATCGTCGCTGCTGCAGCTGAATAGCGGAGAAGCAGGTGTTTGGTGTTGAGACACAGATGATGATGCAAACGGGGAAGCAGGGAGCCTTCCAGCCCAGAGCGAAAGCCACACGTCTCTGGGAGTCCCTCTCCATGGGTGCAGCGACTCCTGCCAAGCATCATCTCGTGTATCTTCGTTTTCCTCGTTTGAAATAAGTCTGGATCTAGATGTCATTGAAGCTCCGTCTGTCGGAGACTCTGCAGGAACCTCCGTGGGTTGACAGCTGTCTCCTTCAACCATATGAGTCGGGCCATCTCTTCCTGCTGTGTCATCGTAGGATCTGTTTGCCTGTCCGCCTGGAGCATCTGCCCCTTTGGGACCTGTGTCTGTATCCTCCTTCTCTTTAAGGTTTCTGAAAAACACTGCATTGTGGGCGGTCTGCTGGCGCAGAAGGGAGTAGGCCCTGTCTAGGGACATCTGTGGGGTCAAGACCGCCTCTTGGGCATCCACAATCAAATCCACCGAGAAACAGACATCCAACAACCTGTTAGCGCAAAGCGCAATACATACACGTGTATTTCACCAGAGGAAAAAGCCCATACGTTTATTAGCATGTTGTGGTAGAGGTAATAAGTCATTCCACGGAGCACCAGTCGCAGCATCGGCAACCGCAGTGAAAGCAGAAAAGGTGCAAAAGAATTGAGTACGTCTCAGTTGCTGATGATATTTCTACAGCCACCGCCACCTCCACAGTTGCATATGCTGCCAGTTTTGAATACTCGCTACTAGAATTCCAGTGGACGATCCGAAAACCCCACAGAGGCAGCGGGGCGAATCGCGACGTAGGTAGCATCATACGAAGCGTTTAGCCCGGACATTATCGGTATCAACAGTTGCTTTAATGAAGGCATACGCGTGCATCACAGAAGGCGTTTTGGGCTTGTCTAAGTAGGCGACGTTGTCTTCGTCTGGCTCAGGGAGGTGTTCAGCGACAGGAAAGCAGCGCCAATGCATCACACTAAAAAGCAGAGCCCAGATGTTCATTAGCATGTTGTGATAGAGGTCCTGAGCCACATGAGGAGGCAGCAGTTGCAGCAAGGGCATCTATAATGAGGGGGTAAGGGGTACAAAAGGATTGCCGACGTCCCCCAGTTACCGAGTAGGAGTTTATCCCAGACACGACGCCAGAAAGGGAAACGGTGGTAACCGAAGGATCAGGCCTTAATGAAGAAGAGAGAATTCCGCAGCAGGAATAACGGCAGCGAAAGTATTATCAACATTGGCTGTACGTCAAACGAGCAGCTGCTCACAATACCCTGCTGGATATCAATGCCAGTGTCGCCCCCGACGCTAGGGAGAACTCCAAGCAAGGCGAGGATGCCAATGATGAGCCGTTGCCAGCTGTTGGTGAAAACAAGGAGCTTAATAAGGAAGAATTTGTTTTGGGGATTGTATGGCAGCAGATATGGTTCAGTGATGAGATAGAACTGAGACAGGGAGAGCATGGAAGTGAACATGGACAAAGATAATAATGTTGCAAGCACAGCCTCAATAAGCACATGAGGAGACGGTCTAAACACTGTTTCACTGTTTTCTTCTGCATCCTGGCCCAAGTCGCCTTTCCCATTTACAGGGAGTGCTTCCTTTCCGTCTGATACTAATGAGGATTGAACTCGAAGGCTTTTTTTACTTGAGGTGGTTAATTGAGCTTTTTGTTTGTTTGCATCTACTGCGCCGCCTCCTTCTGAGCCCTGCCTTCGCGCATATGGGATTGTTGCTTTCACCCCGGGAGGCATATAACTCCCCCCAAACCCTGAATATTTCCTCTGTGAGGCTCCTTGGTCTGATGCTTTCTTCTTCAAGACGTTTTCTGAATCTGAATTGCCGACTGGCACCCACGGGCTTGTAGCAACAGTATTGGTGCGTGTAGAATGGTGCGTGCTTGGTGCATATAGGCGACTCTGGTCATTTGACACGTTTTGATCTGCAAGGAGCCTTGCAGCTGACCAGAGGGGCAGTACGAAGACAAATTGCATAACTCCCAGCTTCAGGGATCGGAGGGCCCGGGGATTTGGGAGGAAAGGAGGCAGCCAATATGAAAATGGAAATACAAAGGGGACGGCATGGCCGTCGCACCCCAGAGTCAGAGATAGGCACCGGTAGCCACCTGAGCAGCAACAGACGAAAAGCGTAAGAGGACATTCACAGTCAAGATGTAGCTTAAGTAACAAGAGAGGAGAATGGCACATGGTAAATTGAAAAGAAGACAGATAAATGGAAGGGAGAGATTCAAGGCTGGTAAGCTCACGCGACAGGCAGCTTGACACACGAACTATAGACACAAGGCAGAGGCACGGCTAATCGGAGCCAGAAAACTGCCGTCCTCTTGGCCCCAATAACCTTTCTGAGTGTTCTCATGAACGCGTTGGACTTGCACAAGAGTAGCTATCCACCTTTCACCTGTTTGCGCTGACAGAATGACGACTAGGGAGGAGTAGCAGGAAGAGAGGAAGATGTAGGACGAGGCGGTTAGAATTACATACCAGAGCAGAACAATGGGACAGATCGGTTGCAGAAGAGGAGAGGCACATGAAAAAAACAAGTAAACGAACATGAAGATACAACACATATATGTCAAACAAAAGTGACTCCCACCACATATGTTGATCATTAGAGACGAGAAGGAGTACAGGGCGGTACTCTGCACCAGCTGCTTTCCCAGCTCAAAGAAGAGCTGCTGCTGCAAATAATAAGATTCCCGGGTAAAGGCTTCCTTATGTAGAAGGGGAACTCCAGAGGGGTCCTCTGCCGTGTGCTCGGCTGTGGAGGAGGGTTTGTGAGACTCTGGCGGTGAAACCAAGGAGGAAGCCAGGTGTAAGCCCGCGCGGGAACTCCTTTGCGGTGCTTTAGCAAACGAGACTTCTTCCGAGTTGGGTGAAGACGCGAGTTCCCTTAAGGGGGCCCCCCACATAATATGGTCTATTCCATCAGGTCCTTGCATTGCCAGTTCGCGGTTTGCTTCTAAAGACTCAGCAGTGTCCTGGACAGCTGCAGCTGCTGTCCAGGTGGGTACAGTCTCAGGTTGAACGACTCTCAAGGGGATAATGCCTTGGGGGGTTCTCGCAAGTGGATGGGAATCGAAGAAATTCACCTGAGAGACCCCCAGTTCTGTCAACACGGAGATACATGCTGCGGATGAAAGAATGGCAAATAGAGGCATGGCGCACCCAATTCTACAGATCATGCGCTGCAATTTGGGTTCATAATAATGGGAAAGGTGAGAGAAAAGTGGCCACAAAAACGTCAGGAGAGACCCTAGTAAGCACAAGAATGATACGCAAATCAGCCACTGCACATAGGCAGGAAAGTTCCAAAACTGAATCCTCGTGTAGCCAGAAAACAGAGGCACAGACAATCGCCACAAGGGGCCATCCAGTGTTTTCGCGGAGGAGTCTGCATTTGTGGACTCATCAGCAATAGCGGGAGTTTCAGAGGCACGGTTTAAGAAAGATTTTTGCAGCTCTCCTTTATGAAGACCTTCCCATAGGGGTCCATAAGCACTTGCAGCTGAGGCCATATCCGCACGGCTGGCCATGGTTGGAGGGGTCTCCGAGAAAAAAAAGAGGGAAACAAAAGCAGCAGTAAAAAACCTGTTAAGCAGGGATGCCCTCAGGGGGTCCCTGATAATGCTCAGAGTCATTTTTGCCATGATGATTGCCTGGATGCTCATTCCGTCTCTCGCTGTCTCTTCATGTTTCCGGGTGTCCCCATGTGACCCCCAACTGGGGGGCCCATTGAGTACACCAGCGATTCAAACACAGCGACCACAAAAGCAAAGCAAGTGACCACAAAAGTACACATGCAGATGTCGTAGGGGCCCCATGCTGTTGTGATTACTGCTACTGCTGCTCGGGAGGCGAGCAGCACTGGGACGCCTCCAGCCTCCGAGGCCAGAGGGGCATCTTCTTTTGTGGCACTAGTATACAAAATCCTTATTGTTCTGATATTTTTAAAAGTTTAGTGATGTTATAGTGCTGACTAGGGACTATGAACTGAGGATTTGGCGTCTTTGTGTCTGTCAGGTCACCTCACATATAAGGCGCTGCTCGACGGCGGCGTGCCCGTGCACACTACACCTAAACTTTGATCTCTGCTTTCAATGAGGGCGAAAATAAGCTAGTGGTGATGCCAATAATGCAAGTTAGGATGTATTTTTACTTCTTTCTGACCCCATGGGGAAAATCAGGGACACAATGCAAGAACCTCCCAAGCTTCATTCTGTGTCTCCGGAGTGGATGAGCACACCACTGGCGAACTGCAGAGGTGAAAAGGCTGACAGATCGAGCGATGTGCTGTCAGTGCTTGATGATGCCCCAGCTGGAAAAAGCATGATTACTAAAAGTTAAAGGGACAAGCAAATACCCATCGAACGCGCAACAAAAAGAAACGGGTGAAACTGAAGCATACGGAGAGAAAAATGCAAAACGGAGAGGACCACAGATTCAGAGTAACAGCGAGTCAAATACTAATGGAGCAACTAGCCGCATCTAATGATTCCGTCTGTTCGAAAGAGTTACTACCCGAACACCCGGGTGCACACCGGGGGAACCTGTAGGAAGCTACGCCGCACTTGGACGCTTTCTACTACAATGCTTATATGTAACCAAGAATCAGTATAGAATTCCTTAATTGGCCAGCCCGCTGGTAAATCTCAAGGTTTAATGCGGAGTAGAGTTATCTGGGTACAACAAGAGAGAATACTATGTGCTTGTACGCTGAGTGCCACATCCAAGTAGCTGTGCATTTTTGAAGCGTGTAGAGGTCTACGTACGCGCACCTTCGCTGCCCTTATCCCCTCATATAGGCGACTCTGGGGGTTGCCAGTAGGGATAAAAGGGGACTTTTTTGAGAAACACTCAATGACTTTCTATTCTGCGCTGAGTCTGGAGCTGAGTACCTCTACACGATGACGCTGAACAGAGCGTTAGAAAATCCCAGGACGCCTGGGCCCCCGAATCAACACTTGCTGCCTGAAATTTTCTGCCATTGGGGGTTCTCTAGCATCACGTGGCGGGTTTATTGTTGCCGGTGCATCAACAGTGGCATTGGGTTTTCTGGGCCATGAACACTGGGAGCCCATCTCGAGAACTACAAAAGCACAAGTGGCCCGTCGAAGGGGTTACGAAGGCAAACAGTGCAACGCAATAAGTATAAAATTACGATAATTTTAATGGTTGGCCCCATCCCTTGGCTGCTCATCTTTTATTTGTTGCGTAGAAAGACTAACCCCGTAGCTTTAGGATGTGGGCGGTGTGCCTGTGCAGTAAGTTTTGTATATCCGAATGAGAATTCCAGGTGTGCCGTGAAAGTTGAGCTACTCAAAACCTCAGCTAAGCTTTCTCTGCTGGGACCAGAAACCGTGAAGCGAGGAGGCACAGATAAGAGTTCTCTCAGATGATATGTCAAAAAGGAATCCCTCAAGTTGGGGTAAGCTTTGAGGTATAACGCTGTCCTCGTGTAGTTTCCAAAAGTGTTGTACAGTATGCCTTTCGGAGTCCCACGGATTTGCAGAAAATTATTGGGAAGGTTCTAAAATCGAATAAAGGACCACTTTAGGGTCACCTGCCGAAAGCCACTGACGGCTGCAATGAACAAAATATGATATTGACATGAGCTAAAGATACCGGCAGGTCCAGGTGCAAGGTGAGGTAGTCTCAACAGCCAGCTCAGAGAGATGGGTCCGAGGGCCATCAGCAGAGGGACATAATAAAGAAATGACGCCTTTGGCAAGCGCGCACCGCTAGTTGTAGGCAATGCTCAGGTTGTACCATTATTAGCAGTCCTAGAATGGAAATGTACAAGGTGCAGTTCTCCTAGCCATGGCAATAGAAATTCCAGAAGGATTACTTGCATCGGCTACTTATGCTTCATTGCGGGCTCTGTAGGCGAACGCTAGGAGCAGCAATGGCATGAAAGGGACCCCGATAAAGCAGCGGGGTGTTGAAGAGCAGCAAGTCCCATCTCGCTGTTACAGTATGCTACTTTGGGCATTATCTTTCTATATTTTTAGACTATCCCATTCCGCAGGCTGCTTCTTCGTGGATAATCCTCATCCTTAAGCCACTTGCACTTTGCGGCACGCCACCAGTAGGGCGCAGCAACAGTGGGTCGGCGGGGAGTGGAGCCTGCCATGCAGGCGCGCATGACGTCTAAGCTGTAGACTCTAAGGCCTAAGCCCTGAATCGTGGTCGTTGTCTCTTGATATTCTGGTGATAGATCCGCTGATTTACAGATTTTGTGTGGTCCCTGTCTTAGAAGGACGTGGGCCCCTTTGTGCCGCTTCCAGGGGCCTCCGTCGTCAGGCTAGTGGGAGGCACTCCTAGCTTTCGTTGTCTTTTGTTCTACTTTAGACATATCGAGGCATAATGTAGCACGCTTTTGATGTATGATACGCTTCCAGCTGTAGTGACTTGTCTCAGCAGCCTCAGTAGCAACAGTGCCTCGCTGTTCCCTGCTGCGACAGCTGCCACTGTAGTCTGACATGTCTCTTCTCCTCGCAATGGCGAGTTTAAGCTCGCACAATCTGTGTGCAGCAACATCAAGGCAGTCGGCAGCCGCAGCGGCAACACCCTGCGCTGCAGCATCAGCGGCAACAAAAGTGTCGACAAATCGGGATCTGTTTGATGCCCTGTGCCTCCTATCTTCACAGACAGCAGCAGCAGCAGCAGCGCTGCAGCTACTTCCTACTCCACCAGGCCCCCTCTCCGCATTTCAGGGCCCGCTGGCAGATGCGTGGTTTCTTGGCTATGAAGTTCATTGCTGCCGCTTGTCTTTATCTCCATATCAGGTACAGCAACGCCTGCAAGGCTTACTTGGGACCTCATTTCTAAGGGCTTGGGGAGGATCCGCTGCCTTTTATTTCATGTCATACGGAGAGAGTCGGGTCTCCTTGCTACAGCAGGCCTTCCCTCACCAAAATCCCCACTGTATTGCTGCTGCGGCAGAGGGGTTGAGGGGTAGCAATTTACCGGTCATAGATGCTGTGGGGTTGCTACTATTGTTGCAAGTAATGCACCGGAGAGCCTTACAGATTTATGCCTTATACGAACAGGGGCCCCAGAAGCCTCTCTCACATCAGTTCTTCATCGATATCCTGCTGGGGGCGCTTTCGCCTGCAGCTGCTGCCCGTGCTACTGCGCTAGAACACACGTTAAAGAACCAGCAGCGCTTCGTAGATTTATCATTTGAGGACTTCGGGACTCTACTTTTGCTGGCCAGCGATGACCCTCTTAGGGCTCTGCCCCTTCCAGAGAAGGTACACCCGTTTTACGAGGGGCTTCTGCATGAGACTTGTGCGTTGCTGCCTTGGCAGCCGGAAGGACAGAGGCCTCCCAGCCGGAAGAGATCCCACGACAGAGGTGCGTTATTGTCTTCGGTACCAAAGCGGAGAGGTCTATATTGTGCCGGCTAAGAGCCGCATGGAGGGCCCCAAGGGGGTATTAAATTGGGCCTTTGGGGGCATTTTTGTGGCTGTTGCCACTACATGAGTCTGGAGAAGGCAGACTGAGGTTCCAGAAACAGCCCGATTAGCTGCATCCACAATAGGACTTATCCGGTTTGGCAGAGAAAAAAATTGTTTGGATATTGGGCTCCCTTGTTGCCATTCAGAGCCCCTGGTGCTTTCAGCTATACAGGGCACGCAGGCTTGAGCTACAGGTATGCCTGGATACGGCAGTCGAAGCACTATAGGGCATTAAAGAAGCTGTTTTGGTCACTCAGGGGTGGAAACGCAGGCCCGTTATATACGGCAAGCATCGCCGACACTCAGGTTCCTTGGCACGAGGACACACATCTCTTTAGATGTGTTATGGGGCTGAAGCGGGGGAATCTCTTTTCATTAGAAGACTATTTTAGGGCGTACCATGGCTCCGTAAGTTGGTGGGCAGATCATGGGTCTGCGAGAATCCAGTGTGGAGGCACCGGTGAACCAGCAGTTTTCGACATTATGCCACGGATACGGCAGTTGGCCAGGAGGAGAATTAACGCCCCTTGCCTGCGCTCTGCTCTAAAACAGTGGGTCCGTGTGGGAACGTTTGGCGAGGTGGGCACAGAGTCCGAGTCCAACGTTGCGTGTGTACAGAGTCGTCTACCATAACGTTTTAGGGTAATTATGGTGCTCCCGTACAGCCGGAGCCCGGTTCTTTCAGTGGGTAACCAACAAGGGGACCTTTTACGCGGGTGCGAGAGTAGAGGATGGCTTCTGTTACTGATTGGTAGGGGCCTTCGCGATTTGAGTGACTAGCAGCCCGCACGGGCTGCACAGACGCTCCCGTTTTTCTAAAGTAAAGCATGCCACAGGGAAACGTCCTCCTATGCTATACTAGATTGGGCAGGCAAACCCCAGGGGTCCTCTGTGAACAACCCTGCATGTGAAGTAGTCAGGAAAGGAACTACTGGGCTGTACGACCGAAGCTATACGCCACCGCCACCTCGCTGCTCAGTTTCCTGCAAAAACGCTGCACTGTAAAGACCCCTAGAACGCCCACGTTGCATGACCCCTTGTACAAGTATGGCTTCTGAGACCTCCTCAAAGGCAAGTCCTTTAAGGCTCCTGAGGATGCCATCAGGCATTGCGAAAGCCTTTAGGGGTTCATGACCTTGTGCGGTCTTGCTGGCGTCATACTACTCATGGCAAACAGGCGGAGCATGCCTCAGTGATGTCTACTGTCTATTACTCATCCTCTAAGTGGCAGAGGTGGGATGTAGGGCATTGCACGCGAGGTCCTCGCTACAGGCCCTCCTGGGGGGAGGCCAATAAACATTTCGTCCTCAGCGCTTTCACTTGAGTCCTCTACATCGGCTACTTTGCTGCTGGCCTCGGGACGGAGGGAGACACCCAGGGGCCGACCGGGGGTTTCAGAAGGGGAAACGACTACGGGGGTCACCTAGTGAAGTAGTCGAAGCAACTCCCTCTTGGGGATTATCCACGGCGCAAAGACGACCTGCAGTTCCCTAATGAACACAGAGCGTAGGGCTGTAGGGTGAGTCAAACTAGATATCCTTCGGCATAAACTACACCAGGGATCAAGAACCCTTTCAAGAACTCAACTGGAAAAATGGGAACCGCTAGTACACCAATAGCAGCCTTCCTTCGTTGCCATTTTGAAGGTCTTCAGGTGGCATTCACATTCACCACAACCGCCCGAGGCACAACATATTAGCACAGACGCGATAGGATACTTGGCTGCTTCCGCCTTGGGAAGCCTCGACCCAGGCGCAAGGACAACTCATGAAAATGCAGCGAATACCTTTGGCAGGGGGGATGCGAGAACGCTGTGGCTCCGGGGAGGACTTCGGAGGCCTGCCTTTGGTGGAGGGCCCACTGGCGCAGTTGCATCAGATGGCTTTGGTGGAGGGCCAGTGGGAGGCTGAGGTGGTTTTGCATAAGAATTGGAAGGCCCGGCCTTAGGTGGAGGACCAGTGGGCGGCTGTTGTGTTTCCGGAGAGCACTCCGAAGGCCTGGCCTTGGGTGGAGTGCCCACCGGTGGAGTTGAAGCAAAAGGCTTTTGTGAAGGTCCAGTGGGAGGGTGGTGTGGTTATGCAGAACACTTAAGAGTCCCGGCCTTAGGTGGAGGGCCCACTAGTGGGGATGCAGCAGAAGGCTTTGGTGGAGGTCCAGTGGGAGGCTGTTGTGCTGCAGAGGACTTGGGAGGCCCGGCCTTGCGTGGAGTGCCCATTGATGGAGATAAAGCAGCTGGTTTCGGTGGAGGGCCAGTGGGAGGTTTTTGTATTCCTGGAGAGGAATCGGAAGGCCCGGTCTTCGGTGGAGGGCCCATTGGTGAAGACCCAGCAAATGCCTTTGGTGGAGGGCCAGTGGGCGGCTGTGGAGTTTCCGCAGAGCCCTTAGAAGGCCCAGCTTTAGGTGGAGGGCCCACTGGTGGAGACGAAGCAGATGGTTTTGGTGGAGGGCCAGTGGCAGGCAGTTGTGTTTCCGTAGATGACGTGGGAGGCCCGGGTTTAGGTGGAGGCCCCACTGGTGGAAGTACAGCAGCTGGCTTTGGTGGAGGGCCAGTGGCAGGCTGCTCTGGTGCGGACTGGGAAGGCACGGCCTTCGGTGGAGGCCCCACTGGTGGAGACCCAGCAAATGCTTTTGGTGGAGGGCCAGTGGGAGGCAGTTGTGTTTCCGGAGGGGTCTTGGAAGGCCCGGCCTTGGATGGAGGGCCCACTGGTGGAGATGCAGCAGCTGGATTTGGTGTAGGGCCAGTAGGCGGCAGTTGAGTTTCCGTAGAGAAATTGGAAGGCTCCACCTTAGGTGGAGGCCCCACTGGTGGAGATGAAGGTGATGGCTTTGGTGGAGGGCCAGTAGGCGGCTGTTGTGTTTCTATGAAGGACGTGGGAGGCCCGGGTTTAGGTGGAGGCTCCACTGGTGGAGATGAGGCAGCTGGCTTTGGTGTAGGGGCAGTGGGTAGCTGTTGAGTTTCCGTAGAGAAATTGGAAGGCTCCGCCTTTGGTGGAGGCTGCACTGGCGGAGATGGAGGAGATGGCTTGGGTGTAGGGCCAGTGAGAGGCGGTTGAGTTTCCGTAGAGGACTTGGAAGTCCCCGCCTTAGGTGGAGGGCCCACTGGTGGAGATGCAGCAGCTGGCTTTGGTGGAGGGCCAGTGGGAGGCTGCTTTGGTGCTGCAGGGGACTTGGAAGGCCCGGCTTTAGGTGGAGGGCCCACTGGTGCAGATGAAGCAGCTGGCATTAGTGGAGGGCCAGTGAGAGGCTGTTGAGTTTGCGGAGAGGACGTGGGAAGCCCGGCCTTGGGTGGAGGTCCCACCGGTGGAGATGCAGCAGCTGGCTTTGGTGGAAGGCCAATGGGAGGCGGTTGAGTTTCCGTAGAGGACTTGGAAGTCCCCGCCTTTGGTGGAGGCTGCACTGGTGGAGATGAAGCAGCTGGCTTAGGTGGAAGGCCAGTAGGCGGCTGTTGTGGTGCTGCAGGGGACGTGGAAGGCCCCGCCTTAGGTGGAGGGCCCAGTGGTGGAGGTACAGCAGCTGGCTTCGGTGGAGGTCCAGTGGGTGGCTGTTGAGTTTGCTGAGAGGTTGTCGGAGTCCCGGGTTTAGGTGGAGGGCCCACCGGTGAAGATGAAGCAGTTAGCTTTGCTGGAGGGCCAGTAGGCGGCTGTTGTGTTTCTATGAAGGTCGTGGGAGGCCCGGCCTTGGGTGGAGGCTTCACTGGTGGAGGTGCAGTAGCTGGCTCTGGTGTAGGGGCAGTAGGCGGCTGTTGAGTTTGCGGAGAGGACTTGGAAGGCCAGGTCTTAGGTGGAGGGCCCACTGGTGGAGATGCAGCAGCTGGCTTTGGCGGAGAACCAGTAGGCGGCAGTTGTGCTTCCGTAGAGGACTTGGAAGTCCCGGCTTTAGGTGAAGGGTCCAACGGTGAAGATGAAGCAGCTGGCTTTGGTGGAAGGTCATTGGGAGGCGGTTGAGTTTCCGTAGAGGACTTGGAAGTCCCCGCCTTTGGTAGAGGCTGCACTGGCGGAGATGAAGCAGCTGGCTTTGGTGTAGGGCCAGCGAAAGGCTGTTGTGTTTCCGTAGAGGACGTGGGAAGCCCCCCCTTGGGAGGAGGACCCACTGGTGGAGATGCAGCAGCCGGCTTTGGTGGAGGGCCAGTGGGAGGCTGTTGTGTTTCCGTAGAGGACGTGGGAAGCCCGGGTTTAGGTGGGGGGCCAACTGGTGGAGATGAAGCAGCTGGCTTTGGTGGAAGGTCATTGAGAGGCCGTTGAATTTCCGTAGAGGACTTGGAAGTCCCCGCCTTTGGTGGAGGCCCCACCGGTGAAGATGAAGCAGCTGGTTTTGCTGGAAGCTCAGTGAGAGGCCGTTGAGTTTCCGTAGAGGACGTGGAAGGCCCGGTCTTAGGTGGAGGGCCCACCGGTGGAGATGCAGCAGCTGGCTTTGGTGTAGGGCCAGTGGGAGGCGGTTGAGTTTCCGTAGAGGAATTGGAAGGCCCGGCCTTAGGTGGAGGACCATCTGGTGCAGATGCAGCAGCCGGTTTTGGTGTAGGGCCAGTGGGAGGCTGCTTTGGTGCTGCAGGGGACTTGGAAGGCCCGGCCTTTGGTGGAGGCTGCACTGGTGGAGATGAAGCAGCTGGAGTTGGTGTAGGGCCAGTGGGAGGCTGTTGTGCTTCCGTAGAGGACGTGGGAGGCCCGGCTTTAGGTGGAGGGCCAGTGGGAGGCTGTTGAGTTTGCTGAGAGGTTGTGGGAGGCCCGGTCTTAGGTGGAGGCCCCACTGGTGGAGATGCAGCAGGTGGTTTTGGAGGACGGCCAGTGGGCGGCAGTTGTGCTTCCGTAGAGGACTTGGAAGTCCCCGCCTTAGGTGGAGGGCCCACCGGTGGAGATGCAGCAGCTGGCTTTGGTGGAGGGCCAGTAGGCGGCTGTTGAATTTGCTGAGAGGATGTGGGAGGCCCGGCCTTGGGTGGAGGACCAACTGGTGGAGATGAAGCAGCTGGCTTTGGTGTAAGGCCAGTGGGCGGCGGTTGAGCTTCCGTAGAGGACTTGGAAGGCCCGGTCTTAGGTGGAGGCCCCACTGGTGGAGATGAAGCAGCTGGCTTTGGATGAGGGCCAGTGGGCCGCTGTTGTGCTTCGGTAGGGGACGTGGAAGGCCCCGCCTTAGGTGGAGGACCCACTGGTGGAGACGAAGCAGCTGGATTTGGTGGAGGGCCAGTAAGAGGGTGCTCTGGTGCTGCAGAGGACGTGGAAGGCCCGGTCTTAGGTGGAGTGCCCACTGGTGGAGATGCAGCAGCTGGCTTTGATGGAGGGTCATTGGGAGGCCGTTGAATTTCCGTAGAGGACTTGGAAGGCCCGGCCTTTGGTGAAGGGCCCACCGGTGGAGATGCAGCAGCTGGCTTTGGTGGAAGGTCATTGGGAGGCCGTTGAGTTTGCGGAGAGGAATTGAAAGGCTCCGCCTTAGGTGGAGGGCCCACTGGTGCAGATGCAGCAGCTGGCTTTGGTGTAGGGCCAGTGGGAGGCGGTTGAATTTGCGGAGAGGAATTGAAAGGCTCCGCCTTAGGCGGAGGGCCCACTGGTGCAGATGCAGCAGCTGGCTTTGGTGTAGGGCCAGTGGGAGGCGGTTGAATTTGCGGAGAGGAATTGAAAGGCTCCGCCTTAGGTGGAGGGCCCACTGGTGCAGATGCAGCAGCTGGCTTTGGTGTAGGGCCAGTGGGAGGCGGTTGAATTTGCGGAGAGGAATTGAAGGGCTCCGCCTTAGGTGGAGGGTCCACTGGTGCAGATGCAGCAGCTGGCTTTGGTGGTGGCACCATCGATGGGGACGTTTGGGTATGTGAATAGAGGGTGTGCTGGGGCTTCGCTTGGGTCGAGAGTGTCTCGTCTGGGGGTGTGTCTGCGGTCTGTGTATTTTGTGTGCGTTGTTGTTTTCCTTGGTGTGAAGGTGCCGTTGTATTCGTAGTCTGAGATGTATCTGGGGTTTGGCGTTCATCCCGTGCAACATACTCAAGGGCTGGCGCACATGCAGCTGTGGCAACAGTTGCCTGCCTTCTTGCTACGAGGGCCTTTGTGTCTGTTACACCTGACTGGAAGGCAACAGCCGCTGAGCCCATGAGGCGACTTGTGGAAACAGGAGGCGCAGATTTGGGGGTCTTTGAGGGGCCGCCCTGTTCTAGTGTCGTCGTTGCTTCTGTTAGTGGTGTTGGCCGCCCGACTGCCGCTGCTGTCGCACCTGCGTCTGCTTCTCCTACGATTCTCATCTTCTGTGAAAGTGCTTCAGGCAGGTTATCCTCTGCTTCCTTGCTACGGGTCGCTTTGGCGAGAATATCACAAGGCTCAGTAAAGCCTTCAGGGTCGTCCACCCCTTCTCTGAGGGAACCCACTGAGAATTTTGCGCATTCTACTCCATCCAGCAATGGGGCTACAGTGGCTGCTATACGGTGACCCCGCTCAACTAGCGCAGGCTTTTTCACATCAGGAGGATGTGAACCTTGAGCTTCCATTGTAAGTCCCTGAGCCCCTTTGGGAACGCGATCTGAAGAGCCCACTACACCTGTTGGAGACACCAGTGCAGCAGCACAAAGATCCCCACTAGGAGAGGCCTCCATTTTTGCTGGTGGGGGGCTCCTCGCGCAAGGGTGGTGAAAGACCTCTTTAGTGACGCTTCGACACTCAGAAGGCGTTGATGTGAAAGTTCCCTCTTCATGGACATCGGTGGTCTTAGGAAGAAGCGTGGTGCACTCTGCATCTGCTTCCAGAGATATTCCACAGCTCCATTTTGAAGACGCTGATTTTATCCTTACCAGTGGGCTACCGGAAGCCTTCGGAACGCTGCTCTTCACTGCTGAAGGTCCCGTACTCCCAAGTTCGGAACGTCCCATCTTTGAGCCCTCAAAGGTAGGACTGGGAGCCTCTGTTGTAATGAGGCCCTCAGAGGGAAGCATAGGCCATGGCTCTGTCTCGCCGTTTTCTGAACAAGACTTCTTTGGTGACCCGGTGTTGCCGCTCTCGGAAAGAGGCTTTGGTGTTGGCCTTGTCTTGCCGCCCTCTATAGAAGGTTTCAAAGGTAGGCCTGCTGTGAGGCCCTCCTGAGGAAGCTTAGGGGGATACTGTGTACCTTGAGCGAATGCAGGAGCCCGTCTCGGCGGAAGCGGCTTGCCAACAGTATCTGTAGATAATCCTTCAAGAAACTTTGGTGGCCCTAGAACTGGCTGCTGCTGCTTGTCTTCCTCTAGCATTAACCCGTTTCCTGGAGCCTCCGATCTACGCTCTTTGGCCAGTCGGGTAGGCTCACCGGAAGACTTCATAGGGCTTACAGCGCCTTCCTCTGAGCTCCAAGAAGACTGCCGGGAGGTGAGAACATTTCCTGCAAAGATTCAGCCACACGCACAATTACAGAATTGCACTTTGCTGCCGCATATGCTAGTATAGCAGCAGCTGCTGTTGCAGGTGGAGATGCTGCTGCCTATGCTGTTGGTAACGGGGTACCCCAATAAAGGCTCAATGCAGCTCTTCCGCATACTCACGTCCCGTCGGGTCCGTTGCTCCCTCACTGAGTTTATCTGGATCTACAAGCGATTCGGTGAAATCCCCCTTTCGTGGCACTGTAATCCGGCTCTCCTTGTCGCTTCCAAGCTTGCTGCGGTGAACGTACACCACAGCTCTAGCCAGCGCTGCATCGGCAGACTTTCGAGCTTTCTGCAAGTTGTCGCTGTATCTTCTGCTATGCGGGCTGCTGCGGCCTGTGTTGGGGGATCCCATCGGAGGAGATGCTCCGGAACTGCACGTTGCGCTGTTTCCATGTTGCGAAAGAGCCTCTTCCAGAGCAGCTGCGCGCTGCTTAGCGCCATGCAGCTGGTTCCGCAGGTCTTGCGCTTCTTTCTGCCTTTCTTTCTCTTCTGTCAGTGCCTGCAGTTCTGCTGCAGCACACCGCAGCTTGAGGGCCTCTGCCTCTTCCCGCAATGACTGAAGCAGGCTCTCCTGCTGTTGATGCTGCTGCAAATGTTGTTGCTGCTGCTTCTGTAGCTGCTCCTCCGTAGCAGCGATACGCACCACGCATTGCTGCAGCAACCCCTCCAATTCCTTTGCTCTCGCTCGAGCTTCCTGTGCAAGAACCTCAATGGCTGCTGTGTCGACTAGTCTCTCCTTTAAGCTATCCAGCTGGGCCTGGGTAGCAGCGAGCTCCGACAAGGCATTCTGAAGGCGTTGCTGCTTCTCCTCTTGGTGCTCAGCTGCAGCAGCAGCAGCCTGTGCCTCCAGCAACGACATGGCTTGTTGGAGGGCCCCCGCTCGCCCCTCTACCTCTATAAGACGTCTCTCTGCTACTGTCCTCTGCTCTTTTTCTTCTTTAGTCTCCAGGCGCAGTCGCGCTTCTGTTGCAGCCAAAGCCTTCCGTTGTTGCTCTGCTGCGGCCAGATCGGCCTCAAGACGCTCCCGTTCACTCTCCAGCACCTCGATGCATCGTTGCCCCGCTGTAGCTGTCTCCTTGGCCTACAAAGTCGCCAAAGGATGAGTCAAGTAGTCTGATTGCAGCAGCAACATTTTCCACGACATGGCAACAGCCAAGGCACCCAAAGCCATCAGCTGTATTGCTACAACCTAAACAAAAATACAGCTGAGACTTGAGAGACACCCGAGAGTGGGCCTCAGCGGAGAATCCAGCTGAGGCCGCTAAAAGGCCATTTAAAGCATTCGCCTCTAATTTTCAGGGTGACCCCAATCAAGTGCACTTACAGCATCCGCTTCAGCCTGGTACCTCTTGAACGTCGCAGCAATGAGCAACATCTCGTCGCTGGCAATGCTTGCGCTGCTGCGGCCCCTCTCAGCTCGGAGTTCCATCATGAGTTGCGCCTTCTCCCCAGCAAGCCGTTTGCTCACTCGGATGGCCTCATTAAGCTGCAAACACAAAAGTTGGCCTGACCTGACGCGCAACAAGTCTATAAACTGTAGTGTTCCATAGCTAGGTGAATAGGCAGTGCCCACCATTGCTATGAAGAGAGGAGACGCTCATGCTTCTAAAGAATGGCATTCCGCAACAGTATCAGAACGAGAACGAGTGTCGACAGCAAGTTTAGTAGCGAAAGTCCCAAAGAAACATTGGTAGTGTCAGCAGGGACATAGGCAGAGTTTAATGCAGCGCTCTGTTGAGGGGACAACGCCACGGGGTTCCCATAAGGGCCTTTTGACTACAGAGGCCTACAGGAGCTCCAGCAGCCAAACAGCCAAGCTGAAACCCCTTTATAAGATTTCCCGGTGCACTGAAGCTGATGCACCTTCTGAACGAGGGTAAACACGTTAGCCTCGGCCTCGAGGAGCTGCTGCTCGGTGTGTTTGCGGGGATTCCACGGGCAAGGGACCACCTCCATTAACTTTACGGTGTGCTGTAAGTGCGTACATCATAGATCAGCAGCATCGCAACAAAAATCTTTGGATTCCAAACCCCGAACCCTCCATGCGCGTGTGCATGTACTCTACCATGAGCACTAAGCGCCCTGCACTCGCCTTGCGGGGCCCCCACAAGAAAAACCTCTGCCGCACGCGAGGCACTACTTGAGCCCCTATGCTCCTGTCTGCTATGAAGTGCGCTAAGAATCCTGCCCTCTTCTAAATGTAACTCTTAAATAGAAAAGGAGTGGGGCTTCGATTTTCCGTACTTGGTGCTGTTGCGTACCTTTAGTGCCCGACACTCCGCTCTTAGGCTCTCCAGCTGCAGACAGATGCTCCACAAATGATTCACATGTCCTGTCTTCTCACGGCGACTTCATTACATCTAAAAGGAACAGAAGGCCCCCAGCTGAGTTCCCTTTCTGGATAAAAGGAAGGTGCGACCCCGTGAAGTAGAGATAGAGAAACGAGGAAAGAGGAGGAACGTTTGTCTTTCCTGTACTGCAATACCTCCTTGCAGCTGGGACAATTCCTGTCAGGCGTTGGCATCTTGACGTGGGCTCTGCTAACTTCCTAAGTCAGGGCCCTGAGGCAACCAGCGGGTGGGTAAGTCTAGAATGGGTTTTCTAGAGGAGCCTTTGACTCCTCAAGGGGAGGCCCCATGGTACCGGCATACCGTGGAGCCCCCGTTGGCACAAGGGAACGTACAGGGAGAGGGGGATACCAGCAACTAGCTATCACAGGGGGCCCCGTCGGGGCCCCGTGGGACTAAACACAGCTCCCTGTCAGTACTGGTCTGCACGATAAAAAGGTCCCATGTTGGCCCCCTAGGCAGCTCCAAAGAAGGACTTCTGATGGTCTTCGATAAGCATGTATTCGGGAGAGCGCGGGTCCAATCGAGCGGATCGAAGTCTCGAAGCAGCGGCAGGAACAGAGGCAAGAGCTCGCTTCTGACCGCAAAAGAAATGAAGATTTACTCATAGCAATACAGAAAGACAGAATGCCTCACATGTCTCCCAGGGGCCGTATCTCTAGCCCTAAGGTCACGCGCAAGCCCAGCTGTTCCGCGTCCGCTGTAGAAGTAAAAGCAGCGCAGCGGCACCCGATAGTGCTGCTTCTTTTGGTATTGCTGCAACAGCTGCTGTCGTACCATTAATGAAGCGGTAACACCATTTAAAAAGCAGGAAGAGGCAATTTGTTTGGAAAATTTAAGCCATAAACCGTAATCCCTCTTGTGTGTGACGGGGGGCCCCTCCCGGCGCTTCGTCAACCCCCCAGCAGCAGCACCGGGGTGTCCTCTAATACGGGGCTGGCACTGTGAGTGTGCCAGTTAACTGGGTAGGGCTCGCACTCCTGTCTTTTTATCGCTACATTGCTGCGTCTGCCTCCTTATTTTGGCGGGGGTTGCGCTTGTTTTTTTGCTGAGGCATCGCTTTTCCTCCGCCTGCTGCTGCAGCCGCTGCTGCTGCTATTGCTGCAGTGGAAGACTTTGGTGCCCGTCAACCGCCCTTCACACAATCGTTTGGCCCCAAACCGTGAACTACAGACCTCATTATGGGTTCTGCTGAGGAGTCGTCGAGTGGGTTTCCCTCTCCAGACCTCGTGGGGCCCCCCGGTGGGGCACTGGGTGAAGAAGGCTCTCCAATGGAAGCATCTGGGCCCCCAGGAGGTCCTCATGAGGAGGACACCTGTAGCGAGGTGAGCTCCATGTCCGGAGATGAGCCTCTCTCTGCCGAAGAAAAGCTGGCTATGGCCATATCTCTGAAGGATGCCGGCAACGCCCTCTTTAAGGAGGGGCAGTACGAACAGGCGCTGCAAAAGTACAAGGTAAGGCCATGTAGGCACATAGATTGATGCACATGTGCAGCGAAGCAGCTGTGGCCGCAGCAGCTCTAGCCAGCACCCGGCAGTCTCATTGTTAGGAGGTTCTGTAGCGGGAGGTAGACCAGCGACCCCTGCATGCGCATGCTTTTCTAGAACGGTAGAAGCAGTTGCTTCCGGCAGCGTGAATTTCGAGTGCTATAGTCGCTAGCTGGGACTTGTTGAGGCGGGAGGAGCAGCACGACTGAATGTCAGAAAGCCGGGAGAAACAGTGGCCACTGCTGCAGGAGTAACGGCAATAGTGCCAGCTGATGCTCTGAGGAAGCAGCGGGGGTTTGGGTGTTGGTTAAGGGTGAAGCCGGGGACAGCTGTTTTCTCTTTGTACTTCAATCCCTGCAGAGACTTGCCCTTTGCTGTTCTCCGTTCTTATTTGTGGCATGGCTGCTGTTGGTGCATCTGCAGGAGGGGGGGAAGCGGGTGAAGGGTTCGAGCAGCTCCGAGGCAATCGCTGTGTCAGTACAGCTCAGCAGCAATAGTTGCATGTGCTGTTTGAAGCTAGAAAAGTGGCAAGAGGCAGTAGAGGCCGCCAATGGAGTTCTCCAAAAGGAACCTAAGAATTTAAAGGTAAGAGTCGTGCTGGAGGGGCAGGCAAGAGACTGGGTGGTAAAAAGCCCGAGCTACGCGAGCTGGTACAGTCCGCTCCAGGACGGCGTTCAAGAAGTGGTCAACTATGGCATGTAGGATTTCTCCTTTAGACCCTTTGAGATGCTCAGCGGGGGGATGCAAGCGTTGCTGCTGGTACTACTGTTGCGTCTGCTGCAGGCCCTCTACCGCCGTGCCCTTGCAAAGAGCAACCTGGGCAGCTTGAGCAGTGCCAGAGACGACCTGATGGCCGTAAGTTAAGTTGCAAGTGTGCATTTACAGCAACAGCAAAACAGCAATAGTATGCGGCGGCATCAACGATGACTTAGCCCTGTTTCAGCTCCGTAGCAACACAGGCAGTAAACGTGCGGGCTACGGCTTCATTCAGGTCCTTGCTGTTGATAAAGCGAACGCGGATGCACGGAAGGAGCTACATAAACTCCGAGAAAAGATTCAGGCAGCTAAAGAGGGAGACAAGAAGGTCCGCAACGACCCACATGAAATCCGGTGGCCGAGCTAGCTTTGTCTAACTCTGATGTTTTGCTTCCCCTGGTGCATTTCTTGCAGTTGTGACGTTGCTGCGGCTTTTACGTGATTGGTCGCTACAGGCGTACAGCGGTTTGTTTAGTAGAGCAAGTGGCTTGTACGATGATCGCGAGGCTGCTCGAGAGCAGAAGAAGAAAGAGGAAGAAGCAGAGAAAGCTAGACGCAAGGCGGATTGGGAGAAAGAAATGAGTGCACGGATGGGTGAGTGGCTTACTCTTGTTTGTGCAGTGTGTGGAGTGCAGCAGCTGCTGCCGGTGTGGCCTGGGTTCGTTGGTACTGCGTGGCTGTTGTACGGTAGTTGATGCACATGCAGGCACCGTGCCCATAATACCGATTGCACAAGGTTTCGGGGCTTTCTGGGTGTGCATTGTCGTGCAGAGAAGGGCGAATCAGAGGAGGATTTCGATACGTGGCTTACGAGGACGAAAGAGGCGGAAGAAAAGGAAAGAGAAGAAAAGCAGAAGCAGCAAGCCAGTCAGTCGCTAGACGCGTTGTAGCACATCGAGGCCGTTTCAATATGCTCCAACAGTCCGTGTCATCACTGACTTCAGTGCTGCATGCATTTTCGTCCTCTGGCGCGACTCTTTTTGCAGAGTCGGGTACTCCTCTGGGCGGCTTAAAAAGGCGTGGCAGCAAAGACGGCGGGGGCAGTGGCAGCAACAACAGCAGCAGCGTGATGGAGGTTGATGAGGAGGACGCTGCAATCATCAACGAAACAAAGAAGATGGGATACTGCTATTTCCGTCGCAATATGACAGAAGAGGAGAAAAGGCTCAATGCGCAGAATAGACCGACGAAGATCCAGACGGAAGCTTCTTCACCTCAGACAGCAGTAGCCGCAGCGGATCAAGAGAAGGTAGGGAAGTGGCAGAGCGGCTGAGTGGTATAGGCCCTGTGAACGAGGTGTATGGGGACTGATGGGGGTTTGGCAAGACACTTTGCGAACTTGCTGCCTGGAGCAAGACGGGTGTTTAGGTGCATGGCGCTTGTAAGGACAGATAGCTGACCCGGGGGGGAGTTTGCATCAACAGACTGCCGGAGACAGCACAGGCAGCGGAGCAGGAATAACAGAAAGCTGCACGTAGCATTGGCGGTAGGGACAGAGAGAGCAGGGTGAACCGTCAGCTGGGCCACAGTAGTGGCGTAAGGGGCACCAGAAAGGATGATCCTGGTTGGAGCAAGAGCTTGGGTGTGCAAACCCTCTGGTTAGGGAGTCTGCTTCTAAAAACAAAGCCTGGAGAGGGAGCTGCTGCACATAATGCGCGTGTGCTTCTGCAGTTGCCAGAAGGGAAGAGCATCTCGCAGTGGAACTCCAAAGGAACCACCTACGAGGAAAAGGGTGCATATAGCGTTGGAGACTGCTGTTTGAGATTGGTTGTACTCAGTTTCGCTTGTGCTGTGCAGTGTGTCATCTGGGGGCTGCACTAGTGCTGTGGCTGCTGGCACCGCCATTGTTTGTGCGGCATAGCTACGTTTTTCACGATTTGTATGTCGGTCGTTGTGGTGCAGCAGACAGTAATCATTGGTTGGCTGTGAGTATGTATGTATATATGCCTTTCAGACGTGAGTCCATGGGCACGCACGCGTTTCGCCGAGAGGTTGCAGGAAGCAGCAGCGAACTGTGGTAGCGCTGGTATGCCGTCTCCGGAGGCCCTTTTAGAGGTGAGGAGGCAGACACCCAAAATTAAGAGTTTGGGGTAAAGGATACAGACTATGCGATTCGGGGAATAGCGAAGGGCAATGGGTATTGGGGTTTTGGTTGCAACAGCTGGACGTTTAGCGTTCTTTGTTGGAGGTATGGGCACGTTTATAGGTCTGCCGCAAAGCAACTGAGGCGCTCGGATCTGGTGGAGTGAAGGATGAGCAGGCGGTGCAAGATGTCCTGAAGGGATGCTATTCCACCAAAATAGAGGTATATTTCAGGCATTTGGTGTGTATCCTTTTTTTGGTGGAAGGTTTTGTTCGTTGCTGCTAGAACGTGTGGGATTTAAGATAAGTAACCTAAAGCCAATGCCCCTCCCTGCCTGTATGTGTTTTGCGTGCAATCTGTACTTCAGACCTTGAATGTTCAGGACGTATCTGGGGATGCGCATTTAGCGGTTGTTAGGGGCAGCAGGAGGGTTTTCTTCGACATGAAGTGCAGCATCAAGCTCAAGGTCTCCTGCTCTAGCGCAGGCCCTCTGGCTCTCCCTGGTGACGATAACAGCGTTCTCAAGGAGGGAATTGGAGGATATGAATCGAAGGGTGAGGCGATTGCATATCTGTTGGTAATATGAAGATGAGACTCTTTGCGTGGTATGGATTGCTGGTAGCGTTTTCTGCTCCTGTTGGTTTGCGATCTGCTGCCGATTGCCTCGGTATATCTGTGTGTATTGCGTCATGTGCTAGGGACTTTGACGCTGCCGGATGTCAGCAGCGCTGATGGCAGTGGCATGTCTTGGTTACAGGGGTGCTCTGTCTCCCTCTCTTCGGCCCCCTCACCCCTCTTGAAGCCATGTAAGATGGTGCCTTCGTACTCTCTAGGATACTTATCAAGTAAATGGAAGGCTTTTTGGTCAGCTAAGCCGTGCTTCGGAACAGGCGATCCTCATCAAACCAGTACACCTGATTTGTGCTGCTGCTACTGTTGCAGTGGTCGATGAAGCATTGGCCATGTACAAGGAATCTGTGGCGGAGAAAATTCAGGCATTTTTGGACGACTGCAAGGCCCTCCCCTGAAAGGGTATCCAACGTTGTCTAGCTAGCTATCCATGTAGCTACCTAACTGTTCAGTTGGCTGGCTGTTTCAAGTTGTTTGCTGCGCAACTACTTGTTGTGGTAGCTATATTTGCAGTCAACATCTAACAAGCTACCTGCTTTAAGTCACAACCTGACACGCACCGCGCCGTCGGCAGCCTAATGTGTGCCGACTGAATCGTCCGGTATCTCGATTTCGCAGTCAGGTGCAGCCACACGCTGCTGGGCAGCAATGGCCACCTCAGTGGGGCTAAAAACATGCGGCAAGATACTTCATTAGCGCATGGGGTCGCTATTGCTGGCTGCTGCGGCGGGATGCCCTGCTGCCGCGTCGGGACGCGGGCTTAAACAGAGACCTGTCTGGTGCTGCGTTCGCAGCACCACGGTGCTACAGCCGTACGGGGCCATTCGGCCGGCTGATACGTAGCAACATCTACATGGGACCGTCCTTGTTACTTTACTAAGTCCTCACGACGCAAAAGGGAACACTCCAGCTAGATAATCGTGAAACTGAAGCGGACAAACCAACGTAGGTGGGCGGTCGTTACCTGCAATCAGCCCAAGAGAACCAGAGTGAATTCAGTCAGTCAGGTTATGAGGGGGCAGCTGCGAAAGGGGTAACTGCGGATGCGGGGCATTTGTGCTTTTGGAGCTGCCAGGAGGGGACAGGGGCCGGAGGCCATGGGGAGTAAAATGGGCTCAGTGACGTGGAGGCGTTGTGCGTTAATGCTGCACCTGATAATTCATGGCTAAGGATAATTTAGTTACAGGTGAACTGGATCTAGAAAACAGTGGAGGACAAAAGCCCATCCGTTAGGTGAACGCAAAGAAGCACTCTGAAGGGGGCTATACCGCTCTCACTTACTTTCTAGTATATCACTTATATCGTTCAAGAAATGGGCCCTATTGTGCCAGTTAGAGCATCCTACTTATCGTAGCGTAGTTTAGACACAACACAGCAGGATGCAACGTTGTGTGCGTATTTGCTGGACGGTGTATGCAACCACCTGTAAATGCTCAAACTGGTTAGACAGTGCAGCTACGCGCACTCTGAGTGTTCCTATCCCCCTGTGTCGGGACTTCTGAGAGGCTAGGTTACCGAAAGAGGGTGAATTCTTTTTGGAGGCACTAAATAATCTCCTATAAAGTTTATATTGATTCGTGGGTAATGTGCCTCCATACGAAGACTTCAGCTTGGGAGTTAAAGTATTCCTTTTGTAAGCATCCGAATGTAGTAAAGAAAGCAGCAAAACGGAAGTCGAGCTTGTGCAGGTGGAGAGAGGGTGGACAAATGTAAGTGCTCGGTGTCGCTGGCTAGCACGGTATCCACCTGTCCAATACATATGTCTAATGGATATCATCACTGTTAGTTGTGTTGGAACTCGAATGGTATATAGAGACCCGTGAGAATGTCAAATTTATCCGCTAGCCGGATATCCAGGGCTTCAAACCGCCACCGGACAGAAGGCAGTCATCTATTACATGCCAGTTGCCACCGCCGTTTCCCCGCGAGAAAGACCTTTGAGGTGCCTGCTGAAGTCATAGACATAGATCTCAATGTGCGGAGGTAGGGGGGACGATCCAACTGCTCATGCAACTTTTTGTGGACAAGGGGTGGCAGTGCAAGGATTATGCCGAAGCTGGCCTTGAGGAGTGCAGTTGGTAGAGGTTTAAAAATCCATACTGCACAGCAGCCAAAGCTGCCATATCAAAAATACACCTGCAGAGTGGCAGTGTATGTTTACAGCTCAAGTCGTGGCCTATACAGCGCCAAAAGGGCAAATCACCACCTCCGTTCAGCTCGTGGTGCAGCAATGCATCGAATGCCACTGTCCTTAAACGGCAACAAATGCATTTGAGTGAGGCCAGCCAGTTGTCCAGACTGTTCATTCAGCTTGTGGTGTAGCAATGCATCGAATGCCACTTTCGTTAAAAGGCAACAACAGCATCTGAATAAAGCCAAGCGGTTGTTCAGACTGTTCTCCTGGGCATGTGAGCTTTGCAGGGAGACCAACAGCGCAACCCATAATGCAGTCATCCACCTGGTCGGTTGTGCTCTTCCATTGTGGAATGGTGGGCAGGGGCTGCATCAGAAGGGGCATCCATGCTTTATGCGAGGTGAACTCGGTGGTAAACTTGATCTCCGGTTGCCTTTATTGACTCAAGCTGCAAGTGCTTGGCTGACTAACGGAAGGCACGAGGAAACGTATTGTAACATACCTACCTAGCCAAAAAGTTATTCAAAGACATTGTAATGGACATCGCTGGGTTGCAGCCGTGCTTGTGTCGATCTACCACTGGCACTAGATCCTTCCATGCCCTTCGCAATCGTGGGCACAATTATAAAGCTCCACGAAGATTTGTTATTAAAGCACAGTACAAAGTCTAGCCCTCCATCTAATCGCCTTAGTCTGCTTCTACAGTAACCGTGAAGCCTACATGTGATTAGGTGCCCTGCTCGTCATGCTATTCTTGAGTGTTGCATGAGGATACCCTAGGCCCCAAACGTAATGCTATGCCAAGTGTGTCCGTGGGGAGCTACCATTCCACATTCAATACAAACAAGGGATTTCTAGGGAGTCCCCTATAAACTCTCTCGCTATCCTGCCTGCGCTCCTCAAAATTATTAACACGAGCGCAGAGGCATTGCTGAAGTGTGGGTAGCTGCACCATCTCCGCAGAATAAGCATTCACAAGTAGATGCACAGCATCTCGAATACAACCATGTACCATTGAGACTTCTTGTATCATGCCAACACTTCTCTAATACAAATAAGAAGTCCTAACAGAAAAAACCAAATTACTGGTTCTTCACTGATATTCAATTAAACAAAGCAGTGTAAAAGCAGTGTGGTAGAGAAAAACAAGGTATAGCATGGCCCGCTAAACCGATTCCCTGATCAGGAAAGTTATTCAGTGTTTCTTCGAAGAAACTTCCTCTTGTCCTTGATCTTCGACTTACAGAGCCCTGGTGTAATAAGACAGAAGGCAGGTGAGATCAATTTCGATGGGTTTTCCGAACACCCCAAACAAACACACATGCCTGCTCCGAGGAGGTTTATGCGCACGCACACATTCTGATGGTGTGAGACTAGCTTTGTTCCGTAGCGAAAAATCGGCATGCAGCTAAATTACAAAGATTGTACAAAAATAAGTCTCAAGTGTTGGGATTGCCGAGATGGTGCGCGACCCACTGCAGAGATCCGTTCTCCCACATTTAGTATACGGAATCACGAATCATCTGTTTTCTTTTGTTCAGCATGTCGCTATACAGCTACGAAGCACCAAAGGGACGTCCCATTGATGCATTTCCATGAGGCAATGCTAGGGGTTCTAGCAACTGTAGGCAAAGCAGTTAGTCTGACTGGGTTACTGTCTTTGAGGAGAGCTGGTTTTGTCATCAGTAGCAGGAAGGGGTACATAAATGGGGCAGAAAAAATGTACAGAATGTTCTCTGGTTGTATCTTCTCTGTTTCTGTCGCTGTTAAGGCAGGATACCACGACATCGATAAAGCACTCTTCCCGCTCACCTATGGAGCCTTTCCGGTCATAAAATCTGAGCACTCTCAATAAACATTGCGTTTCTCCTTCTGAATGCGGTACGAAATCAGAAAGAAGCCCGTATCATCAAGTACAGCGTGCTTCCAGTCCATCACAAATTCTTACTAGGCCCTTCGCTCTTCAGAGGGCCTTCCTTTGGGCGAGCAGCTGGGTGGTGGCTGGCATGTTGAGTCCAGGATCCGTTAGGGTTGTTCTTTTAAAATATTTGATAATTCGCCACTTTATGATGTCGTGATTTAGAGGAGCGCAAGCCCTTTGTCGAGGAGGCAGCCATTCGCTGCTGTTTTTCCGCACACCGCACTAGTTGAGGCCTGCTGTGTGGCAGTAGCATCAACAACGACGGCAAGGAAAGCCCTGGGAGCTAAGGCAAAAGCCCCGCTGTGGCTCTCTGACTTGTTTAAGTGCCCTAATTTCTCTCTCCGGAGATCGGTTCCTCTTTATAAGCGCCCAGTGTGGACTGGTCTCCTGCACAGTGAGCTCGCACAAATCGACGGCTATTATAGGGAGGGCGAAGTATGGAGTGGACGAAAAGGGAGCGTACAGTTTAGAAAGCTATCTGTCTGCATTTTCTCTTATTCGACCGATCCCCTGCTTCATTCTCATGAGAGCCTGCTCTGCAGAGCCCCCGCAGTGGTCAACGGCCATTGTGCTACTGAATAAGTGTCTCATCTTTAGTTTTAGTCCTCTTTGCCTGAGCCTAATCTCCTTGCGCGCTGCGCTTTTGTGCCTATCCCCGTTGTAGGTATCTTTCTGCCTTGTGGGCGTTCTACGTGCAGCTTGCAAAAGGCCTAGTGCCCCACTTCAGATTCCGTTGAAACCCTAGGGCGTAGGTGTGCAAGATCCCTAAGGGCCCCGAGCCAGCGGCCGACTTTTTCTCTGCAATGAAGATGGATGAAGACAAGGTGGAATCTCGACAGATGGGGCCCCGGCCCTCAGTGTTGAATGTAGGAGGCCAGTTCAGTACCATCGTGTTGGTGGATGTTAATGGCAGGCCCACGATGAACCTCCATCGAGTCCCTCAACACGTTTGTGTGGGTGACGTCAAAAATAAAATCTCAGAACGGCTCTTGGAAGTCGGCCGTAATCTACCACCTGACCTCATGTGGGTGAAACCCTACACGGCCTACGGGTTGAAGCTTTGGTGGAACACTGGGTCTGGGGAAGACAAATAGGGAGTGCCATGTGGGGAGATGTCTGCAGAGGACTTGCCTTGAAGCAATGGCCGAGTAATTGGTTTTTACGGTTGCGGACTCTGGCATGTTGCTTTTCGCCTGTAGAATACTGAACTACGGAGAAAACGCCGATATCGAAATGGAGAACTCCGCCCCTTTAAACAAATATAATACCATGGGGCTCTCGAAGATTCAAGTGCAGATCGTCAAGAGACACAAAGCCGAAATTAACGTCGTCGTCATCAAACGTCCGATAGGATAGCTGCAATTACTCCTTGTCCTGTCTCCCTTTCTCGTGGTCTCGCGATTTTTCTCGTTGCCCACAGCCTGACCACTGGTCCGGTATCAAAAATAGCTATTGCATCTTCATATGCTCTTCTTTTCCGGTGCATGTGTGTGCTGTAGCTGAGAAGCAATGCCTTTGTATCAAGACTTCTTCCCGAGAGGAGCTTCCATTCCAGGTCCTCGTGCCTGGCAGCTGCTACATCAAACAGCTCAGGGTATAATAATGACACATCTTCATCCACAGAAGCAGTTTAGTAGCCAATCGGGGTTACCAGCTGGGAACCCGAGAGGCCCGCTGCATAAAGTTCTACAGGACGCTCAGGCACCTGTAGGGCCCTCACGTCGGGCTTTCGAATCCGTTCCTCAGTTTCACAGGTTGTCGTACGACCCAGAGAGTTTCTCTGAAGGAGCATAGCAAGGTGTTTGCCCCGGTTTGCGTAGAACCTGCGATCTTGCTGTGGAGTTAAGGATTTTGTGTTCTTTTTAGATGGAAATTGCTCGTCGAATGAACTGCAACATTGACCGTCATAGCTTGGAGCTGTTTTACGATCCTAACTTGCAGGTACACCCGGCACCTTGCACTTGCTGCGTGGGATGCTGTGCCCACACGTCATAGATTCACCTCTGCTGGTCATTGCACCGTTATTTTACTTTGACACAGGAAGAGGGTCTGTATCGTTCCCCTGTTTGTGTTAAGCCGTTTTACGCATTCTTGTGCTCTGCTGTTCTAGTGTATGGCTGCTTTGGCTGAGTTTATTGGACTGTGCAGATGCACGTCATTGTGGAAGGCACATGCAGGGCCAGCGGGATAGTGCATGGCTGTACAGTGTACATGAAGCTTTACCCCAACTTTGATGTGAACAATCTGGCCCCCTTGGAAGCTCCAAGAACTCCTGCGGCTGGGTCCGGAGACAAGAAACAGGGGGACGAAGCTGCAGAGGGAGAGCAGAAGGGCGAAGAAGGACTTCTGACAGAAAGCACTGAGGCAGAGGAAGTTAAAGAAGCTCCCAAAAGCGCATTGCAGCTTGACTTTGAGAAGAAAGCTGGGGTAAAACACAAAGTCAACTATACGAACACCTACAGCCCCATCCAATGCCTAGTTTTAGGACCGATTCAGTTTTATATGGGCATCACCCGTGTTTTCACGTCGCTTCCCGTGTGCCCCTTTTTGGTGGTTTGCTCTCAGAAATCCCTGGCAATGCCTGTGACTCAGGCGGCGGAGTTCGCCAGAAAACTGGTACTGCACGGCGTGCAAAGAGGCTGTACTCTACACCCTCAAGCACTGTTTTTACTATAGAGACAGCATTCCAGAGCGGTTATTAGGCAGATGAATGATCTACTTCTAGGGCCAGAAGAGCAGAATTCTTGCTAGGGAAGGCTGCAGGGCGACAGCAAAAGGCCTCTAGGAGATGCAGAGCGAGAGACATTGTTTTGGTCATTGGCCCCTCTACTGCTCAGACGCGGATGTGGATGCGTATACATTGCGCGGCAGCACGCGTTCATTTCTGCGTCTTTCTAGTTGCTGTGCCTTCTCCCTGTGCTTCTCTGCATCGCTCTCAACCATTTTTAGTCGGGTCCTCCCGCGCTATGGCCGTCTATTGCTTTTGTCGAACTTTGCCTATAAATGTTCCCCGGTTTTCTGTGCTTCACTTTGTCTCGTAGGGTTACAGCCCCGCACAGAGTGACCTCGTTGGGCTACCAGGCCAGGTTGACTATAAGGGATTTCAAACTTTTCTTACGTGCTCCCTCCACGCAGAGGACCTAGCGGAATCCTTCCAGGAATTTTTCAGTACCTTCGACATTCAGGTATGCACACTTAAGTTTAGTGTTTAGGAAGCCAAAGTTGCGAGGGGGGGCTTCAAGACTTCAAGGCATGACCTTGGGCTTCACGTTGCCTTTTTACTAGCAGCTCGGGTTCAAAGACTAGATTGCAGGACTTTTGAAGTTTGTGTTGCTTCAGGCCACTGGAGACTTGACCGCGAAACAACTCTGCAATATTGTCCAAATGTATGGCGACGAGCCGCTCTCCAAGGCGGAAGCAGAGAAATTCACAAAGTTAGTCTGCCTAGGGATCGATTGCTATGGTCTGGAGTTTTAGGTGCTGATGTCTCACGCATTGTGGTTACACTCCTGCTTTTAAGCCTTCGGTGTATTGCCTAAGCCGTGCTAATGGCCACCTTGAGCCTCTAGACTTCTGCGCTTGGGTTTAGGATTTACGGCTGACGCGTTCAAGCATATGGTTGTGTTGATTATCGGGGGAGCCAAGGCATACATCTGTGTCACTCTGTGTCTCATAACAAACTATATTTATTCCCTCAGTTTCGTGCCACCCTAGCAAGCATTTCTTGGGGTTCAGGTTGTGCAGTCGGCACGGCAAAGGTTGTGGAACTTGTGGAGAGATTAGGATTTTGAACGCATAGATAGATTTTGTCCAGCAAGGAGAAGAAGAAATAGGCAGGGTAGGTACTTAGAGAGTGTGCCTGCGGTTGCCGGTATTGTGTATTTTCAGAATCATCATGCAGGGCCATTCCGCGATGCCAATAAGGGTTGTCGTGGACAGGTGAGCTTATCCGTCGCTCCCTGACTTGCTTAGAAATATGCTGCACGATGTATTCTTGTTCATTTACTACATGAGCCCTTCATGCACTCGCAAAGGCTTGGCTATCTGGCCCTCCAGATTGAGTGATTCGGCTGAGGTGCGGCTGTTCCTGTTGTTGGTGGGTTTTTGGCGCAGGATTATGGAGGGCCAGATCTGAAGGATGGGGTGTTGCTGGGTGTCGAATGAGTTAATGGCGGAGACAGGCCAAGACAGGCCAAGGAACAGTTGTCTTGCACCTTTGGGAAAAACAGATGGCTATATGGGGAGGTGCGGTCTCGGAAGTGATCGAAGAGACTGTTGAAATCGATAAATGACCAGACCTTTCCATGTTTCACCTAAGAGGGCATGCCCATTACTGATGTCAATCTTTATTGCCTTCGTAAAATTGGCTGTGTTTCCTCTTTATCTTCTCTTTACGGTGTTCCTCGTTTTCTTATTCCCCCAGTATGTGCCCATGTCGTTATTTAGGGCCTTTGTCGCAATGGAGGACAGTCAATTTTTGAGCATTTAACTAGAGTATCCATACTTTGTGAGTCTCATGTACACCAAGGATACGGAGCGTGCGGATAGGGCCTAGGCCTTATATATAGGGGCAAGGGATGAGAGCTAGTCTGGAAATGTAGATGCCACACTTGCCGGGGAGACGCTTGGCCAGCTGCAGGAAAGAGAAACTCACGCCAAGGAAGACCGAGGCCAGGAGGCTAAATTACAAGGAACTGCCTGCCGCGTTTCCTGTTTGATTTCTATTCTTGTGCCACTAAGGCTTCTGTTCTAACCCTACGGAGGCCTACCCTAGACTTTTGTATCTTTCGTTGTTAACCGTAGCTCTGCCTTCACCCCGGAAACAATGAATGACGCCTTACAGTGGACGGCGCATATGTAAAGCTCAACCATGTTTGTAAGAGCCAAGCATTTGTGGTAGGCATTATTAAAAACTGTGTCGGTTTTCACGAGGGAATCCGCCTCCCGATGTAAACGTACACCCGGCTGCGAGAGATACGGGGCCTCTGAACAATGCGCTAGAGGCATGTGGCTACTCAGTGCTGTCTAGACCTGTTGATTTATCGTTTCGAGCACGAACCCGAAATGTTCTTGCCTCTGATGATAGCCCTGACCTATGGCAATTTTTCACTTCCATGCCGCACACCACAAGCAGCACAGCACAGCTTGGAGGAGGACGGAGGGTTCGCACCTTCTTTAGGGCTTCTCATTCGTCCTCTGGTGGTACAGGAGGCGGAAGCAGTGTACAGCGTGCTGCGGACACTTCGCTGACTGAGCGGTCTTCCTGATATGCTTCGAGCGGTACGAAGTGGTTGTTTTCCTTGGCCGATACCCCTCCGCGTCCTTCACAGCAAACCCTCGGGCGAGGAGGGCGATTGGTGAAAGCGCAGAGGAAAAAACAGATGAAGGGAGGGCCAGGAAGTTTGATGCTAAGGGAACACGGGTTGGAGCCTTCAATTGCAGCAACCAACAAAGAGACGACATGCATCACGAGAGTAGAGGCCATGACGCTTAGCTTGCGGAGTGGAATGCAGGCGGCGAGGTAGGAGGCCAGGTGGTAGAGATTCATGCCGTGTACCAGAACTCGGCAGTGGCCATCCAAAAGAAAAGCACAGCCAGCTAAAATAGGGCAAGCGATGCTGGCGCAAAGATGCCAGTACTGATCCTGTAACTCAACTTCAGTTTTTGCTGCTTCAAGAAACTGCAGAATCTGTTTCGAGCAGTAAAACGCCAAAGCTGGCAAACAAAGCAGATGCCAATCAGAAAATAAAACCCCACGCCAGGAACTTTGGCGGACCCACAAATACTCGTACACAATAAGCAGCAGCAAATGTTTCTTTTGCTTCTGCTGCTTGTCCCGACGCTCGTGCCACTTCTGCAGGTGCGCCACCGGCTCGTGGTGCACCGAGCGGCCGAACCGGGTGATGGTATGGCTACTGGATCCTACCATAGCAGCAACCTTTACACATATCCTCATTATCGTCATCTGTAGGTGTTCCCCCTCATCCACAGAAACCGCAGCTGCTGCAGGAAGATGCGTTCGCTCTTCCTGCACAATACACGGGGTCGGACAAGTACTTTTGCTGGTACATCATGTTTCCTACTAGAGTTTGGGTCTCGCTATCTTTCTCTCTGGATGAAGAATGAACTGTAAGTGGCGCTCGTAGCTTTCAGCTACGTCCTCCTTGTTGAGGGCTTCGGCCTTTGTGGACTCAAGCAGCGCACGGTAAACGTCTCCATCATACCTGAGAATGCAAACACACCTTGTCGCCATAACCCCGAAGCTCACGCACCAGTCTGGTGAGTAGGACGCCCAGATAAGCGCCTGAGGCCGCAGGCTTCATGAAAAGCCTTGAAGCTTAGAGCTTGCGCATGCCTCACGGCCCACTGTAACTTGCGCTGGGCACTCACCGTCCGAGTGCGGAATTTAGAAAGTTGTCTGTATGTCTGAAAGAGTCTGCAACAACGACAGCCGTTTTTCTTGCTTCTTTGCATGAAGCAGTGAGGGCTTCCTTCACCGCCTCGTGAGAGCTAAGGCCTAGGGCACCTCCAATAAGAAACTCGGCCAAGTGCTCGTCCATCCAAGCTAAAGCCAGGCACCGAAAAAGCACCAACAACACGCGATACACAGGCACCTCTCCCGCTTTCTTCAGGGCTTCTATCTGGGAGAGGAAGGCGCGGAGCACTAAGAGCTGCGCGTGGGAGACTGTCAGTTTCGTCAGATCCACTTTTATAGCCTCAAAGGCCGAGAGTGCAGCGGGGCCTCCTAGAGACGCAAACCGCTGAGCAGTTTGATACACCATCACCGAGGACCTGCACGCGGAAAGCACAACGCACTGTGTACGCAGATGACCCCTCTGAGAGGACTCCAAGGACGAAAAGATGCCATGAGCAACCAGAAAAGATACGGACGAGTGGCAGCAGGCCCGGAACAGACAACATGACAGCAGCCTACAGCAAGATGAATAGATAGTTCACAGCTGAAGAAGTGCCTTTAGCAGCAGTAGCAGATGCAGAAGCATAAATCCGAAATGCTGTGTGTATCCTGATCTTTTTTTTACCTCCCTGTGGAATGGGTATGTGCTCCTTTCCTTCTGTTCGTAAAACTCCCCCGCCTCCCGGACGCCACCCTGGTCTTCCCCTCTATCTCACCTTCTCTCAAACGCCTTCACTAGCCAGTACGGGCAGTGCAGATTCTCAGTCGTTACGTCCTGTAGATCGTGAGCGGCAGTCGGATCGAAGTCGTAAAGATGCCGCACGGATGATTGGAGCCCTTCCTTGAGAGCTCCCCCCGCCATTTTGTTACCTACGGCTTTCAGCAGCAGTCGCCCTGCTTGGAGAGACAAAATAACAAAGTCTCCCTGCGAAAGATGCGGACGCTCGCATGGCATTTCGAATAGCGACACCTCCGCGGCACCATGGGGAGCATAATACGGGAGCAGGGAGAATCAAAGTGGCACGGGAAGGTCAAAAAGAGCTGGCTTCTTTCTTGATACGCTTTGTGCCTCAGTGCTCTTAATACTGCCCCCGACAGTAATTATATCTGTTTGAGTCCGCTACCTCATATGTGACTTGAGGAAGAAAGCTGACGAGGTGCAGAGACACCCCAGATGCCTGCATGTACCCGTGACCTCCACAAGCCCTCCTGCACGTTTCGATCCCTTCAGCAACAGCAAGCGTCATGTAGGCCTTCAAGCAGCTGGTTATCAAATGAACCTCCTCCAGCCCATCGAACACGCCTTTTTCCCCCTCCTCCTAAGAGATGAGTGAAGGAAAGCGTACTGACAGGGAGATAAGGCGACAGTGCCTTTGCACACGTCCAAACGAGGAGGGCACCCCCACAGGAGTGAAAGCGTCAGCAGGCATAGCTCATGAAGGTGGAGAAGCGGCAGTAAGGCATATATGTAACTTGAGCCGCAGGTAGTACAACAGTGGCATGAGTGCATGCGCCTATGTGCCCTGCTTTATACTATTTCGGGAATATAAAGTTTTGATTAGGGTATACACTATAGGGTACATAGCTTGTACTTTAAAGGCTTGGTAGACGCTGTCTGTCCATCTGCCGGTGTGGATGAAAGCAATCGCCATTCCTAGAAGTGGCATGATGGCCCTCTGGGTGGTGCTGTAGGAGAGAATCTGCTGTTCAGAGGCCCCCGGCTCAGTAGAGGAGGCGAACTGTCGCCTCACAGCGGTATATCTACAGAGAGCACAGGTACAAGACACACTTAAGGCTCAGATGGGGGAATCCAACATGTGTTTGCGAACCGCATGTGTGGCGGGACCACCAGCAGCACGCGAGAGGCCATCAGCACAGCATGCCTTAAAGTAATAGCAATCACTGTAACAACAGTAGTATTCCTGTCAAGATACAATGACTGGACCTGATGGCGACAACAACGCTTCGTGAGAGGTGGGCCCCCGCAGAAAGGATAATCTGCTTCCTGGTAAAGGTGAGCGTCCCGTAAAGCAGCTTTCTGCTGCCCGTTGTCTTGTAGTAGCCCTCCTTGGAGACTTCACAAAACCGCATGAGCAGTTGCCTTCTGGGAATCCTTACATCCTGCAAGTGAAGGCTGCCGTTGTCCATGCCCTGGTAACCTATCTTCTGACCAATATGCAACAGCGTGACTCCTGGCAGCGTCCGGTGATGGTGAAGGTCCCTCACCTGCGGAGCACAAGCATTGTGCCTACAAAGACTGCAAACCTCCAGCAACCATGCGCCTTGCACTGAGCGCAACGGCGAACCCTCACAAAGGGTGGCAGCTGAAAGGGCATGCCTTGCGTATACATGCCACCACGTCCATAGGGGTTCCCTCCTTGGACTGGAGGGTCACTTCCACTTGAGTATGTTCGTCCCAAGGGGGACCCCAGGGGGGGAGGTATATTGCGTACTTGCAGAATAAAGGGATGAACGCCGTAATCCGTGCCCTTAATCTTGAGTCGCGCCATAAGAATACAGTGAGTACAAGACTTTGCAAGTCCCCCTACCCACCATTTTCTTGCTGTTAGGCTTGGGGTGTTGAGAACCCATTCATCCGTCTCTTCATCAAAGACAGCCTCTGTCTCCAACCGGCTAACATTGGACCCGTGGCTCAACTCCGTCTGGGCGTAAGTCCCCAAAATGCGAAAATCGCGGGCTAGTGGGACCCAGTATTTGGCCTTTGAGGCAATGACACACAAGCAAAGAAAACGAGGAGGCAGAGATGATATCCCGCGCGTGGAAAACCACAAAAGCAAGACAGATGACCGACAATGGGCCTCAAGGAGAGAGAAAAACGGGAAAGTACGGACTCGAAGAAAAACCGAAAGGCTCAAACAGAGCACAAAAGCGATGGAAAGAGCGCACAGGAGGATGGCGAGAATTCGATAAGTAGTCCGGTAGACCAACACAAAAATATCACAGAACGAGGAAATGAGAGTTCTAAGAAGAGCGACACACAGTACAGCATTCAACTATACGGAGGCGTAACGGCGCCTATTGGGGCCAGCATCAACAATACTTGAACCTTGTACAGAGGCTATTGCCGAAGATCGTGGAATCTATGGTAAATTCAGGGTCTGCTGCCTAAGGCTTAAGTCGCACTTGTTCTTCGTTACACATAGCCTCGAGCGTGGAAAGGAACATGGTGAGGTGCAACAGGAGAAACATGTCTTCCCCAACCATGACTTGCAGCGCGCCTATTATCTGGGGGTCGTCTATCAGCTTATGCTTGCGAATCAGATAAGCCAACTCCTCGCCAATTCGGCAAGCATGGAGGTACCTGAGGTACACATGCACGACAAAATACGGATGCACACAGGCTAAGGTAGAAATGCAGTGGGTAAACAGACCGAGGAAGCGGCTGCACCCTCAATGTGAGATGCTTCGGCTGCTGCCTGCAGCTATAGAAGATAATAAAGCCGCTAAAGTAGTGTTTGCGTGAATGCACATGGACGGTCTACACCTGCTACGTACACATTAAGAGCCTAGTATACATATGCTACATGTGGCCACTTCTACGTTGCATGCACACATGTGCAAAAAGAAAGTTGGACTGATAGGCATTAATACGTGTGTGACCAGAGGGTCTGTCCATGTACTTATGTTCGTAAAAATACACAAAAGCAAGTACACATTTGCCCCTATATGCGGAATGAATGAAGCGGCACGAATCGTGTTAGCCATTTGGCCCTGTGGTTCAACAGAAGTAAGATTCACCTGGTTTTCGCATCACAGGACCAAATGTGGCGAAGGCTAAGCCTGTCATTCTGTGCAAAGATGCTCTGAAGCCGCACGAGCTTGGGGAACATATCCTTTCCATAAATGCCGACTGAGAGGGCCTCTGGATCAAATGGAGGCGATGCCCTCTCCCTCTTCAGGTCTTCATTAATGTATTTGCTCTCCATCTTGCCCCCAAAGGCACAATTAAACCCCAATAACCCTACAAAGCCATCAAGCAACAAAAAAAATTTAGAAAATAAGGCCGCACACGGGTAGGTGACCCGGCGTCGAGCAAACACATGTGCACTTCAAGAGCTGTATTGCCGATCATTACACTCGTGGCCACCGGAGCAAGTCAAGAAAAACAGGTAGCGCTCTATTTTCTCGAAGCAAGTCATAGGATACATAACCAAATTCGCGGACACACCCAGCAATAATGCAGCGAGAGCAGTGTACACACAACTGACCACGAGCTAGGACTGCTCCTTTTTCTGGCGTCTTTCCGCTTTTCACTCTCTCCTTCTACCAACTTTCCTGCTGCGTCCTTCATGCCAAAGCAAAAATTAGTACGCAAAAATAACAAAACACCTATTCTCGTGTGATCTCTCCTCCCGACCTCTATCCTTCCTCAGAGCCCGGCCTGCAGGAAGACCAACGAAGGAAGCCCCAGGGACGACGCCTGTGGAGCAGGAAGGTAGAATTATTTGACACTAAATATCCATTATATAGATACACTGCAGCTGTGAAGGGGCCCCCGACAGGAGTCAGTGCCTTTTTGCTTTCGTTTTCTCAAAGCACGGTGCTAGCAGCACAGCTGAGCCCTTTAGCGCGGGCAGTGGGAGTCTGTGAAGAAGTTAGACTGTCTCCCAGCAGGACCCTTGCAAGCGTTTTAGTCCATGATGTTTCTTCTATGCAGCCACCGAGACACATCCACAGACTGGTAGACATACCTGGATGCTTCAGACTAGACCGGCAACAAGTTTACATTCTTAGTATCTCAGACAGCTCTACGGATAGTTTAGGATCGCTATGCCAGTGCTACTCCATCCAATGATTTACGACTCTATCCTAGTTTAGAGAAAAGTGGAAAAGGTATTTCAGGTTTTGCCAAACCCATCTTCCCATAAGTGGCACACTCAGGGGACAACGCCGCTTATTAGCTCCAAGCTTAAGAGATGTATATGCATCGCAAAGGCACCTGAAGAAGTGATGTATCTGACAAAGGATGTGATGGGGAGCTCAAATTTGGGCCCTTGTGTTCTCTGGTTGTCTGTCTCTTCTCTCAATCCCCCATGGCATTTTCACTAGCCTGCCATTTCCTCGGTCCTCTGCAAGATGAGGCTTTAAGACTACCGTAAGCATTCATAATTTTAATAGCGCAAGCTCAACTGAGAGAGCCAAAACCAATATCCAGAGCACCTTTCTAGTAGCCCTAGAATAGCGCCGATAGTGTATACAACAGATAAGAAAATACGAGGACGACTTAGGGCCCAAAAGTCCTAATCTCTCTATTGCGATACCTCCTTCAGGGTAATAATCCAATGACTCTACGTAGAGAACAAAAGCTTCAGCCTGAAGCCTTTGAATTTCGTGTAGCCTAGCCGTACAGGGAAAAGGTAAATTGGGGCCTTTTTACTGCACTACCTCAAAACACAATCAGTAAAGCACCAGCAACATGGTTTGGCTGTTCGTGTAACTTATTAGTTGCAAAGTAGAAGTTTCTGACTCGGGTAAAGATCAATGTTGTGTTCCGGTGCGTTAGAGGTTGCTGTATACAGCCAGCTGTGTTCACCCGCGATAATTAAGCGTGCAGCAACGCGCATGCTAATTTTCCCTCTCACATTGTTCCCAAATTTCGATGAATGAATCGTAGTTTGCAGTGATTTGAGGCTAAGCGTGGTTATTCATGGAGAGCATTGAGGAGACAGCTACACTAGGCTTACATTATTTCTTTTCCGCTTTGTCAGTGCGGCCCCCAGATTACAGGCGGTGTTCACTGTTGGCCCTTCTTGTGTCTGAAATGCAAAAGCTCACTCCAATTTTGCGTGGACCCGTGCAAGCAACTGCGGAGACAGTAGGGCTCGGGCTAAAAAAAGACGATGGAGAAAGGCCAAACAGAATTAGTGATGCTATTACACCGAGAAATCTAGGTTTCTGTAAGTGATGGCTAGACGCAACCCCCCACTTCCTCGCTCCGCTAATAACTGTTGTGCATTTACGGATCCTTGACTTCTACCTTTTTAGCGCTCCTGGTCGGCTTGACGAACTCGGTTCTAATAACAACGTATATAGAATATGTCAGTTGCGAATCGAAAATTCCTTATGATCTCGCTAACCAACTTGCCATTGTAACGTATATATTGCTTTCAAGAGTCTAAACATTACACAGGAATACTCATTTCTGCGAAAGCAAGTCTACATCTCCGTTTTCTGCATATTATCAGGGTGAAGGTGGATTTGTGAATAAGCCGTCTGTTAAATGTTGAGTGGACTCTTGATCCGTGTAATTTCTCCAGTAAATCAACACAGGTGTACACTGCCAACTTTGCTTCACATTAATCTTGTCGAGAACGATTATAGATTACGCACATGTGCCACGCTTCACCCTATTCCAGCACCGACACCGAAGATGCCCAAGAGCGCTAGTTGATTCCTGCATTTTGTTTGTATTCAACAAATATTTCGCCTGCCGCTCAATCTCTTGCTTGCTGTAACAGGGATTTTGATGCAGCTGAGTATATCTTGGAGCTGACTTAGGGCCTGCATCTTTACGGTGCGTTGGACCACCAGCGGATGGCCAGTGTTGTGGCGACGCGTCATTATTGAACACATCCGTTAATTCTGCCATGATATTTGCTCTTTCCTGCGGTCCCTCAACTTCAGGGATGGTCCGATGCATAGATGAAGAACTAGGTGAAGAGTCACTTACACGGAACCCTGCTCAGAATCATTTTCTGTTACTGCGGTGCCGAGGCGCCCTCATGAAGACGCTGCCTCACCTTGCTGTGGCGCCGACCCTACCGCGGTCAGCATATATAAAATAAGCGTTTTTCTTGGGGAGACCAGGAGGTGCTTTGTTCTCCTAGTTCCCCGTGCACTTGCCTCCACAGTACGCGGTTGTGGCGCATGTGCGCTATTCGATAGGAGTTAATATCTCGAGCGTACTAATTTTCAGTCTATTTATTTTTGGTTTTTGTACAAAGCATAACCCCTTTTACCCTGTGCCTGCTACCATTATGTGCCATGCATCACTTTCTGTCTCACCAAGCTGAAGCTATTGATTACGCAACAATACTTGACTGACTTCTTTTCACTCCTTCTGAATTGTCGAAATCCAATGAGAAGGCGTTTGCCCCTTGTGTGGCAGCATGCGGCGGAAGAGTATGTTTGGTCTCTCATATGGCCAGCGTGCGGTAGAAGAGTAGAGGGTCAGTGCGGGGATCAGGGCAGGGTGAATAAGGAGCATGGAAGATGTGGAATGAAATGAAAGTGTTTTAAATAAGTCTTCTTGCGTACTAAGTCGATCTAATGAATTTGGAGGGGTCATTTTGTCACTTCTGGTTTTGTTCGTGCGCGGTAAGATTACCGCTCTGGGTGTGTGTGATGCACCGCTCAATCGGCTGGTACTACTCTCGAAAGTAGCTGCTGCAAAAAGGATCCAAATACCACCTTTATGTAGCCTATCGCGTCTTTTCAGCTACGAAGGAAGGGTAGATCAATCAAAAGGGTCTGATTTAATGTACAGAATTTGCTCCCTTATTGACCGACGCGAGGCTGCGGTCCTTCTGGCTGCCACATCTAAGTGACCGTGGGGTGCGCTTGTGGCTCCGGCGACGGAGAATGTCAACAAAATGCCATTGTGCAGGTTTCAATTTATTTTGAAGCCTTGTCTTCGTGTGTATCCTTAGCTTGCTTGGGAGATCTGACGTGCGGCCCCGGGATTGGGACTTGGGACAACTACCGCGCAGATTTTAAAAAGGCGGAAAACTCCACGATAAATAGCTGCTTAGCTTCTCACAAATAATTTCAGTGTGTATTGCGCACCCATGAGCAGTTCCAGAGGCTTATTTAGGGGAATAGCAGGACATCAGGCATCGCTGTACTGCCTGAGCAGGCTTGCACAAGTCCTATGCTGCAAGCCGTAAGCAGTGACAATATCATACACAGACCCCGTAACCAGGCTTCTTTTATTCCAGCTGTAGAACCCCCACGCAGACAGCTGACTCTCAAATTCCTACTATGGGCAAGCCGGTACGACGCCTCCCACAAAGTGTGGTGTAGGTAGTTGAGGATGAGTGTACCCGGAGAAAGAGGAGGAGGACAACAGGAGACTCCCGCGGTAACTACATCTGCCTCGATCTCCTCTTGGATTCGTCAGGCAAAGCGCCTGACCCTTGCCCCCGAATTAGAGAAGGCAGCCACCAGCAAGAATGCGCAAAACAGTAAAACACTGCCTTAAATGCTAAATCCCAAAATTACAAGTCAAGATTCACTGGGATCTACTTGCTTCTTTCAGGTGGAGCTAATTTTTTCCCTACGATCTCTGGTTCCGTTGTCCTTAGTGGCATGATGCTCGTTCATTCCCCTTCAGCGTGAAGGGCGTGCGAATGGTTTCTTTTCGCATGTGCATGCAGCAGGGGCACGTGCAGCTATTGGCACTAGCTTAGAAACAAACACCGTGGGTGGTAGCACTCACACTTCTGAGGGTCTCAAGAGTCGGCAGAGCTCGCATAAGCCCCGCGTAGAGACTGTCCACGCGTTGCTAAGCCAGGGGGGGTTTTCGGCTCCCCGTATACCCAAGACCAATCAGGATGTAGCTTATGCCATCGAGGGCTGGGGCAAAGAGCAGGAGGCCCTCTGGATGTGCGTGTTGGATGGGCACGGGCCTGCAGGCCACTTGGTTGCCTCGAGGGTCAAAGAAAAACTGCCCTTATTCGTGGCGCAGAGCTGGCTAAAAGGAAAGGAGCTGCACCAGGCACTTACGCAAGGATACAAGGCAGTGCAGCGGGACCTGAACAAATCAAATATTGATATTCTGTGCAGCGGCACAACCTGTGTGTCCTGTGTCCTTCACCGGAGAACCCTATACGTGGCAAACGTTGGGGACAGCAGAGCCATTCTGGGAAGGGAGAGCGGCCTTCAGGGTGGACCCTGGACAGCTCTACCTCTCACGACGGACCACAAACCCGAAAGAGAGAGTGAAAGGCAGCGAATACTGGCCGCGGGAGGCAGAATTAAAGCGCTGCTAGACGACGATGGGTCCCCATGTGGACCACTCAGGTGAGAAGAGGGAAGAAATTAGGCCTGCGTTGTGGCTGGCTGATGCAGACAGAGAATGCCTATGTAATCATCCTCGTGTTGCTCGGCTCCATCGCTCATAACCGCTCTCTAAAGCTCTCTCCCGTCACCTCGGTTTTTGTGTCTCTTTGTCGCCGTCTCCATTTTCCTGCTTTTGCGACTCCACTGGCACGAGAACCGCAGCTACTGTACCTCTTTTTGAGGCTGAAGAGGCCTGTGATGGTCTCGCGAATGCCATTGATCATGCTGCCTCGAAGCTCGTAATGGAAAATTTTTACTCTTCCATTCTTTGCTGTTGCTAACCCTGCAGCAATTAAGGGAATGCTACTGTTACGGTTCTTGCACTTGCATCTAGATATATCGCGTCTACGGCTACTACTATTAATCCTAATTCTACGCCACAACTCCTACCACTGCTTTGCCTTCTACTCCTTATCATGCACTAGTACAACACCAGACACTATTTCTCCTCCTACATCTAGCAGTGCTACCACTACCCCAACTGACACCCATCCTACCCGTACCGCTATTACCACGACTGCTGATCGTACATCTATTCTTACGAAGTCTCCGGCTGCTAATACTCCCACTGCCCATGGTACTAGGACGGAGTGTCCTGCCACTAACTGTGCTACAGCTAATAGCCCTACTTCTCCTGCTACTACCGTTGCTACTGTACTACCACTAATCCTGCTACCACTACTCTTACTTCTAGTATTCCTCCCATTACTATTACTAGTGCGACCTCTACTGCTGCTACGGGTACTACTACTACTTCCAGCGCGACTAATTTTGGCCGCATGGCCCTTGCTGCTATTCATACTCCTATTCACAGCTGCAACTAGTGCTACGACGAACGGCACTACTACTAACCCTAGCACTACTCCTAGCGCTGCTTTCACTGCTAATCCTACTCTTGTTTTCATACTAGTGGTACAAGAACTAATCCACCTGCTACCAATACTATTATCAGTGCTGATGTTGGTTCTGATGATCATGGCGCAGGGTCTGGCTGCCTAAAGAGGACCTGCCGGGGCTTGCAATGTCTCGTTCTCTCGGGGATACCTTGGCCGGTAAAGCAGGCGTAATCCCAGACCCCGAGGTGGGTGTGCACACTCTCTCCTCAGGGGACAGGTGTGTGTTGTTGGCTAGCGATGGGGTGTGGGAGTTCCTCAGCAATGAAGACGCCCTTGAGATAGTGCAACCCTTTGTTGAGAAGGGGGACGCAGCTGGAGGATGCAGCGCCTTGGTAGCAAAAGCCCAAAGCAGATGGCTAGAGGAAGAGGAGGCCGTGGATGATATCACTGCCTTACTGGTTATCCTGAGGTTTTAGCACCCAGGCACAGCGTGTAGTTGAAACAGGTTCTTTAAAGCAGGTAGAGGGGCGTCGAGGTAGAAAGGCACCGGGAATACACAACTCGAAGAGGGCGACGGAGGCAGAGGGAAAAAAGCTACAAAGCTTATGACCGTCAACAACGATACTTGCCTTCCTCCGGACTACCAACAGATAGGGAAACGAGCGCTCTTGCATGGCTACAAGAAGCCTGGGGACCCTTAACAACTCAAGCCAGAGTGTGGCTGGCTGAGTTTTGGGGGCTCCAAAACGGCGTATCAGACCTATTGGGTGCTAATCGAACTTGCGCACCCAGGTAGACTCCAGTCTCCTGGTTTATGTGTCTTACAGGCCTCTCGCTAAAGGCGCGGAACCTGCGGGTATCGTGGATGCACGCAGGATTTTGGGATGTACCCACAGCAATGGATCCTTAAATAGACGAAATTTACCTACTTCTTGATGCACACGAAAGTGTCATGGCAAACCGACTGTTCATCTAAACTGGCATCTCCACAGACCAGGCAAAAAGACAAAAATAAGGGTTCCCAATGGTTGGTGCGAGTTGGGGTGCCCCTTCAAATGTAGGTGCAACCAAGGGAGGCCCCTGTAATGGGGTGTATGTGCCGCCTTTACTGTTAAAGACCCTGCACCATGAATAATCTTAACCAATCCAAGAGGGATACACGCAAGACTTACGAGGGTTACGCGCTCTGTTCGGAGGCCCCTGCGTAACACATAGGAGCGCCCTATCACCTTTGTCCAAACTCGAAAGTGATCCCCCCTGAGAACCCTGAAGGCACTTGCTCTGTACAACTGGCCGCCCCTTGGAGCCTAATAAGGAGGGTATAGCCCTTGAAATAACATCTTTCTGTGCCTTCCGATGTGTAACTGGTGGGGTACGGAGTAAAACTGATGGTTGGATATGCATCCCATAGATGGACTGTTACATAGGGCAGGGCAGGGGCCCTCTTGTCATAAGGTATCGGGGCCCTCTTCTGCCTCTTGCTGCTGCTCAGTAGCTACAGCCGGTTGCACCAGCACTCTCGCCTCTCCAGCACCTCCTTCCGTGTAGAGTGCATAGTCCTCTTCGTGCAGGGGTGGGCCCCTCCCTCGAACCGACCCAGGGGCCTCCATCATTTCTGGCACACCTTCAAAAAAAACGAGGTCTCCTTCCCTCCCTTCGTCTGCAACACCGTCAGAGGGCAGGCCCTCTGGGGCTGTCGCCTCAGCATGTCCATGCAGCACCGCAGGTAAAATCCTCCTAGCAACGGAGGATGTCGCTAAAGCGCCTTGGGGTCTCCCCCGTAGCTCGTCTTCCAGAAGGCCTGCATCAGCCGGGTCCGTGTTAGAAGGCAGATCCCTTTCTGCTCCTACTTCCTCCTCTTGTTCTCCAACGGGAGGCTCTCCAGAGTGAGAGGAGCTTCTCCCCAGATGCATTCGTCCAACGCTCCTACGCGTCCTCAGCCGGGGGCCCTCAAACACAAACAACCGGGGGGGCCCCTCCGCTGGAGTATCTCCAGTGGCCGGCGTGACGAATGGCTGCAAAGGAGAGCGGCCACACATGCCTTTAAGCCCTATCAGAGGAATCCACATACTCGGAGACAGCAGCAGCAGCAGTAACAACCGTCTCAGCACGTGCTTCTCACCCCTCGGTGTGGGGCTTCTAGCTGGAGGGGTCGGGGTGCGCGGTCCTCAGCCGCACTAAGCTGGAGTTGCTGCAGCAGCAACAAATGTTCGTGGTGGCGGTGGTGGTGCTGCTGCTGCTGCTCGTCTTGCTGCTGCTCCTGTGGTCGGGCAGGACTAGAAACAGGTGGTGCAGGAGCAGCTGCGTCTGTATCTGGAGCAGCGGCAGTCACAGGGGTCCTGCAGAGGCGCGCAGGAACCAGCAGGAGCGCAGTGCATTCGAAGGGGGGAGAGAAGAAAGACGGGCTACGGCGGCAAAGAGGATCAGAAATTCAAGCAGCAGTGTATACCAAGAGATGCGGGGGAGATGAGGAGCCTTCTTGTCTCTACCTCAAGTACTACCTGTGATTAGATTCCCTCGAGGGCCTCTGGTCCAGATACGACGGAGGTGCTCCACTGCCCCATAAGTTGAAGGGGCTCCCTGCTACCGCTGCAGCCGCTGCGGCTGCCGCTGCAGACGGCGGGGGAGAGGGGCCCCCTGGGGCCCCCTCCTCATCGTTTAGAACAGCACAAGCTCGGGGTCGCCCCCAGTCTCTCTCCTGAGGGCCCCTCTCTCTGAAGGGTAGGGGAGGCCCCTTCCGCCGGTGTGCTGCTACCTCGTAGCTGTCTGTATAAGGCGGAAGGGAAAGGCAACAAGGGCAAGCCGCAGGGCTGGCCCTCTGGGAGACTCCGACGTGCAGCAGGCAGCTGTGAAGGCCTCTGGACACAACAGTGAGAGGGGATACAATGTGAAGGCGAAACGATTACAGGATAAAGAGATACAGAGGTGGGGGTTGGAAGAAGGATTTACACATGAACACATGTATCTGATACGCTGACGGTACGCAAGTAGACACACGAGAGAGAACCAGGAGAGGATAGCAAAGACTCACTGCTGTACCAAATCCATCAAGACAGCTCCTGCTGCAGAGTCTGTCTCTTCTTCTTCAAGCTCGTTACGTAGCTGGTGGGGACCCCAGGCGGAGGGGCCTATGCCTTCAAGCGCTGAGACACACCGCACTCCACAGGCCCGTTGAGCCCCGACGTCGCGAGCCTATATCGTCGGAGAGAAACACACGTTCTAGAGTGCTTGGCGATGCGAACTTAGGGTCCGACTCTTACATGTGTTTGGTACAGACGAGGGGGCACCGGCGGCAACTGCTTCTCCCTCTATCATATCCACAAGACAGAGAAAAATCGCGCACATACACAGGCAGTTCGAACCACCTCTGAGTGCCTCTCGGCCTCTAGACGCCTTTAGCTACAGAGGAGCAAGTATATCGCTGAAAAAAATCCGCAGGATCCATGGTCTAAGCTTTACCTGGGCCACCTGTTGCGGCAGTCTGGAGCCAGAGCCTCTGAGAGCGCTGCTGTTGTAACACCCGCCGCTGCAAGTGCGGTAGGACGAGGGTTGGCATTCCTCCGCTCTCTCCATTTTCACCAGGAGGGTCCAAAGAAGGAGCGAAGGGGGCATGGCAAGGGGGGCCCCCTTCGCTCCATGTTGGGCAAGCGATCTCTCGATCCATGAGTAAGAAGGAGCTCCAGAAGACCCTTTCAGATGCCTAGGCAATGTGTGGCTGCTGCGCTCTCCCCTCCCCTCAGCTCCTAGGGGGCCCCTGAGAGCTCTCTCCGTGTTGCTCTGGGGGGCCCTGCAGAGGGAGGGCACCAGAGAAAAGGTCACCAACCTGAAGCTTACAACTTGAAATCTCACCTTTAGTGCCAAGAAATCCCCGCTTAACACGCGTCAATGCGTGTGGATCCTAGTTCATTGAATACGCGGCCTGAACTTGTTCAGGGGGCCCCCCTTGTGAACTCCACGGGCCCCTGGATTGAGGGGCTCCCAAAAATTTGAAGCAAGGCCCCGCCTACGACCAAAGTCAGGAATACTGGGCAATTTGTTTCAGAATGTCAACCTGGGGCCTTTAATACCCATGTGAAACTTTTCACGCACTTGCGAGAAGGGGGCCCTGGTACTGCGGGTTCTATGGACAGTAGGAAGAACCCTAGCGCTCGTTTTCCGTATTTGAGTTTCTTCTCCCCGCCCCTTCAAGCCTATGAGCCCTCAGATGAGACCAGGATGGTTAAAGGCCATAGCGGGCCTTCCCCGAAGCTTCTTGAAGCAATTTGTCGTTCATTTCGACATCCCCAAAGCCGGCCTCACCACGCCATCAGGGGCAAGTTTCTTGCCTTCTCTTACCTTGAAAGAGGCATTGGCTCTCACCCGTTACCGCTGGTCGCAGTGGATTTTTCCTCCAAGGGCCCCATCGGGATCGCCCAACACGGCCTCGGGGGCCCTTACCGGCACCCCTGTTAGGGAAACCCCCTCCTTTCGTCCCCCCTCTCTCTGGCCTTCTCGCCTCCCTCTACCAAAGTATCCCCCTCCACCGCATGCGGAGGAAGTACCAGAGGGCCTCCTGAGGGTGCAAGCCATTGGCCATGGCTCCTTCCTTCTCCAGACAAGCGGGTTACGAGGAAGTCCTCTTCGCCCGCTCAGCATTATCACGGATCCTTTCTTTTCAACACATGCAGGCCCCTGGGGTCGCGTCGGAGGTTCGTCGAAGCAGCAACATGCCATTACTGCCTCAGCACGAAGCAGCAATGGCAACATGGCATTCGGCACACTCCCGGAAGGGGGCCTTCTCGGGGATTATATCATTCCTTCCTCGCAGCCCTCCAGTTCTTCGCAGGGCCTGTGACAGTTTGCCTCCTTTTGTGATGCATGCATGCGTGTGCTGCCCCTGCCCTGTATAGTGGTGTATGCGGTTTCTGTCCTTCGCTACTACCTTCGATTGCCTCTGCAGACGCACTTCCCCACAGGCTCGCTCTTCCCCACAGGCTCGCTCTTCCTTTGTGCATCTATGGTTTCGCAGTCCGGCGTGTTAGCCAGCCAGGGGTGTCCATCTCCTTCCTCCCATCCATAGACATTGTACTCCTTACATCGCCTTCGTACGATTCCATGGATATGAAGACCCTCAAGGAGCTGCAGTCAGCCTTCTCGCCCGTCATAATAGGGCCTCGAGGCACAGTAGGGCCTCTTTACCTGCCACCCAAGCTCCGAGGTTCGGCGTATTCTCTTCAGTGGGAAGACGAGCCGCTCAAGCTCGGCGGAGCCTTCTTTTCATTGCTTCCTACTGCGGGAGGTGCTCCCTCACGGTGGGGACTTGACAAGGGTGTGGGGGGCTGGGGGGCCTTCTGTGTGTTGCTTGGAACCCATCAGGTGTACGTCGGGGGGGCCCAGGGGTACAACCCGGCTCTTCTCGCTGCTGCGGCAGCCACAGCGCAGCAACAACGGCTTGCTGCTGCGCTGAACGAGCAAGAAGCAGCAGTGAGGGAGAAATACGAAGCCTTGTGGGGGCCCCTGGAGGCGGATGATCCGACGCCTCAAGCCAAAGAGATGGCCACAGAGCTTGCAGCGGCAAGACACAGAATTCTCGCACAGCAACCCCAAGGCCAGCATGAGGGGGTGTCTAAAGCACCAAGAGACTCACCAGGCATCGACTTAGCTCTGCTACCTATCGGGGGATATGAACCGACACAACTGCTGCAACGGTTCCACATGACGCCAGAGGAGGCTGTGGAAGTAAGCGGGACTCCCCCCCCTTTCCCCACGTAGAGCCAGTCTGCCTATGCCCCTCCCTTTCTACACATGTTTATTATTTCACTTTCTGCCCTTTTCCCGTGGAGTATACGCTCAGTGAGTTTCACGGGATAGCTCATCCCTGGGCAAGCAAACAGCTCTCTCTTTGCTCCTTGTTCACGGTTGGTATCGCTGCTGCTGCAGGCCCACCGTCTTTTGGGTTGCAGGGCCACTATAGCGTCGCGCTTTGATGTACTACCCCTGGGAGCAGAACCCTTTGGAGAGGCTCCTCAGCGAGCTGCCGCTGCTTGTGTGGAGCGGGGTGTACCGTTTAATCCTCATGCAAAGACTCAGGGAGGGCCCTCAAGCAAGGCCGATCCAGGATTCTACACGCTACAACCAGGGGAGGCGATTTATGTGTAAAGCTTCCGGCTTACCGTCTTCACATCGCAATACCAGGGCTGGGGGAAGGAGGGGGCTCGACCAGCCCAGAAGCAATGGGGGTTGTGCTGAACCTTCCTAATCGCGTACATGATGGCTTAAAGTGCCTTGTAGTGACAGAACTTGACTTTGGGACTTAATCATGAGCGTTGTGAGAGGTGTTTGGCGAGGTATCTTCCTGCCGAACCGTACAGTTTCGTATTCGGTGGCTGCAGTGGCGTGTACCTAGACACCCCGACCGATTACAATCATCAAAACCTGTCCGTCTTTCGTTACACAAACAAGATCTATCAGAATTGGTAATTCAATATGGTTCCGAGCAGTAAAGCTACACGAGATAACACAGCCAGACCCATCAGCTTCAGGAACTGCGCCCCGATGGGGAAGCCAAGCAATGGCTTCCGTGGGGAGAGCCAAACATGCCATTAATGGCTCTTAGTGTTCAGCCTTAAATGATGAACATTAAGCTTACCAATCAGTGGATAGACTCACCAAAATGATTTTCGCAAATAAGATGCTTTGCCTGCATGCAGAGAGGAATGACAGAGGCCCCTGCTGTTTACCGAGGCTCAGCAGCAGCCAGCAGTCGTAGCAGCAGCAGCCGCCAGGGCAGCCCCGCAGAAAGGGGGGTCTCTTAATGCGGAAAACACCATTTTTCCCCTGTTGCTTGCTGCTGTTTCTCCCCTGAATTCTAGTCGTTTTTCGGCCTTACGAACGCTGCAAAATGGGGAAGGCAGGCAAGGGTACCGGCTCATTTGGTAGGAGGCACGGGAAGACCCACTTCCTCTGCCTCCGCTGCGGGCGCCGTGCATATCACATTCAGAAGAAGACTTGCGCCTCCTGCGGTGAGATTTAGCTATGTAGAGCCTCAGATATGGGGAATAGATTTTGAGCTGTGGCTCCCGAGAGGTTTCCAAGACTGGGGCGTCATGCGGGTGCCTCGGTCTCTGTGGGGTTAAGGAAAAATATGGCAGTCTTCGTTTTATTTCGCCTTTATTGTGCCAGTTACGCAATCTTCGTCTTAATTCTTAGTGGGGGAGTGCCACATCAGTGCTTTGTCCGCTCGTCAACGTCCCCGACTGCGTCCGTTGGCTGGGAGCTACATGCGCCTGAAAAGCTGGCGATGGGGCGTTATACATTATTTGGTGCTGCTTTCTTTAAGTCCTCAAACATCTGTGGCTCCTGATTTCCACGCATAAATCCCGCAGTGCTTTCCTATGCCCCTTGTCTGCTTGTCGGTATGAGTGACGTGGAGGGGCGTGCCGATAGAATGTTACAATAGGGGGCCTATCTCTTTCTCACCATATCCAGCTGAAGTATTCTGTGAGACTGTGAAGCTGCAAAGCAAGATACGCACAGGCAATCATCCCAGGGCTCCAAGGATTGTCGCTTCTTGGTTGGCCACAGACGGATTGTGTCGTCACTCCGAGTTTAGTATTGAGTTTGTGCCTGCATTTCTGGGGTTTCTGGTTCAGGATATCCTTCTGCAAAGAAGCGCTCCTACAATTGGTCAGAGAAGGCGAAGCGCAGGCATACCACTGGAACTGGCAGGTGCGCCCACAGGTTTTTCAGAGTAGGGGGTTTGTGGTTGGTTGATCGCACTAGACCCCAACATGTGTACGTGATTGCAGTTTACAATTTTGGCAGTTAAGGGAAAAGGTGTGGTGGTTTGGGGTCTATCGATGTGCAGAATGCGATATCTCAAGACGCTTCCACGCCGCGCGAAGAATCAGTTCAGGGAGGGTACCGTGGCACCGAGCCAGCGCAAGCGCACCAAATCGCAAAAGTAAACGCTCAACGCGTGGCTAACAAACTGTTCTCCTTCCTCCTGCATTCACCCAGTACTTGTTTAACGGGGGATTGGGGGCCTTCTTACGGACCGAGAGCCGACCAGCGCCTGAGCTGCTGTGCTTGAGGGCACCGCTTAGGGTTTGTTGGGAAGCAGTATCCCAGGGATGCGTCGGTGAACACCAGGTGTTTTGGGGGTTCATGGAAGACCTTATGGGGTGCCTCCTTGGGGGACTTGAACCCAGACACGTTTATTTTCTGCTGGAAGTTCTTGGGTAGTACTTAGTGGAGCCTTAGGTCTCAGGCTTTGCACCGAGATTGCACGATTGGAGAACTGCTTAAAAATGGAGCGTTGCAGAATGGGCGGAACTTATGTGGGTATTTCTAGTAAATACATTAGCACTATAACCAAACATTGAATCTCGTTAATCCCGGAGGCACCCATGGACATGCGCGCGTGCAATAATAGGGAGCCTGCGGTCCTTGCATGTGCGCGTCCCTACGTAAGCAAATTCTATATCAATGTGCCTGTCGGACGCTTTCGACAGTTCGCCACGTAGTCTCAATAATATTCGCAACTCACCGTGCAGGTACAACTTACTGTGTACTTAGGCGTTAGCATGCGCGTCACCGGATGTTCTGAGGCGCGAGTTTATCAATGTTGCTGTATGGTTGTGTCAATGGAGGTAGGTGCATGGCTGTGGTGGGAGGCATGAACAGCGCTTGCCACACATTCATCCGGTCAGCAGGCTCTCGCACGCATATAACAGTATCTGATGCCCTTGTGGCATCTAGCTACCGTCTCGCATACTTGAGCTGCAGCGAGTCTTTGCCCAGAAGGTGCCAGGTGTCCACCTGCCTAGGGCGACACGGGGCATGACCAGCAGGAAGTGCCAAGCACTAACAGTGTTCGTAGTCCACTTTGATACGGATTACAAGAAGAGTGAAAAAGACCCGCAATTCACAATAATCCAGGAGCGATCAAAGAGCCGTGCAGGGTGTTTAGGCCCCCCTTGTCAAGTGTCGTATGCCACTGCAGGGGGGTGGGGTCGGTGATTGCAGCACGCACATCTTCCTCAACTTCCGTTTCTTCCATGCGTTATTCAGTGTGCTTTTCATTTTCTCGCGTGTTTATCATCAAATATATGTAGCGGCGCAGTTTGCAGCTTTCTGGGGGCCTTCTAGTCGCACTTTCCAGAGGGGCCCCCCCTCGCCGAGGCTGTCCGCCGCCCAGCACTCGTCGTCGCCAGCGCCGTGGCAAATGGCCTCCTTCAACAACGACAAAAACGGCGTTGGAAAACTGCTGCATGCATCCTCTGGACTCTCCTGTCTCATCAGTGCAGCAAGGCGCCCCAAGGTACGCTGCAATCCCACTTTTCGAGACTTGAACCCTGCGCACTAGCTACCGATGATCCCCGGTTCTCCTAGCGTTTGGCATTTGTGGCGTAGGCCCTAAGGGAGGAAATACTGGGCCTCTCCTCCGCAGAGGTGCTTCTACTGTGCTACAAAGTGGGAGGCTTCGTAAATACGCTCAGGCTCAGCGGCCGATGGGGTCACCAGAAGCGGCTCCTTTCCTCATCCCTAGCGGCACTAGAGGCTGCTGCCGTTGTAGCTGCTGCAGTGCTGCAGAGGCCATGGGACGCCAACCTGAGGAATGCTCTGGTGCCCTTTTTGTGGGTCCTAGGTGGTAAGGCATTCCCTTGATGCTGGAGCCGCTTTGAGCCGTGTCAGCCTCCTCTGGGTAGCAGGTTTTCCATTGAGACGTAGCTACATATCCGTGTGCGGGGCGATCCGCAGAAACCACTCTGGAAGAGTGCTCTGCAGCGGGAAGCCTCTCAGGAGAGACTCCAACAGAGGCGGCTTGCCAAGAGGAAGCAGTAGTAGCGGTGGAGGGGCGTGCTAGTGAGGATGATAAGGCACCTCTCGGAGAGGCCCGTGGCAAAGGCCGTAACGATTTTCTGCGACGGCAGCACAAACTGCGAATCTCCGTCTTTCAGTGCCTCCAGAAGGCTCTAGAGAATGCAGATATCAAGAAGGCCCTCGAGCCTCAACTAAGGCCACTCATGCTGGGACTCATGGCGGAGGCGGCTTCGCTCCTTCTTACCAATGCGCTCTCTCCCTTGGTACATTTATTTATACATATGGCCTACAGTGGACAGTCTAAGTGCCTTCGACTTGCAACGGGTAGGGGCATCTCCGAGTTCACGATAGGCAGCTGTTTTTTTGCGCTTTGAGCCCTTCGCTGCAGGGGCCCACAACGAGTGCCGCGGCATTGTTCTCCATCTGTCGAAGTGCCTTTAGACCAGGCCTCTTTCAAGACCTTCTGGATTTGCTAGAAGCCGACCTGTCTGAACTGCAGCAGCAAGGGCCTTTGCAGCAACAATTGCGACGCCTGCTGCTGCTGCTGCTGCTTGCTGCCGTCCCAAACTCGAGGCTGTTGCAGCACTCCGAAGGCCGCATAGCCATCGCACAATTATGGGGTCGCTGCAGAGCGCTTCAGGCAGTGTTCTACCGCGTAAATTCCAGCCCCATCACACATTCTAGGAGACCCTTTTACGCACATGTGTCCCTATCGACGATATCCATATGTGGGGAGATTCGCTTAGCCCTTGTTCCTCTGAGGCTTGAGGTCTGTGAAGGCTTCTACAGATCTGGCAGGCTGTGTCTGAGGAACTAGAACGCGTGCCGCTCGCAGTACTGGCAATGCTATAAGGCCCAGTGTGTGGGGTTTGAGTCTGCCTGCCGCAGCATTTGGTGTCTCTGATTGAGGACAGGAACGTCACGGCAGGGGAACTGCAGCAGATGGGAATGCTCTTTCTGCAGGCGCTCAAGGCAAGGCGGCACAGAAAGCAGATGAGCAGCGACAGCCATAACAGGCGCTTGACACTCGTGCAACCCACTGCCGTTACGACCAGAGCCTCAAGCTGCTGCTGCAGCAGCAGCAGCTGCAGCTGTTGCAGCTTTTCTTCTGCCGCATCGCCTACTTTTGCACATCAAGTCTTGATCTACTGCTGCGCAGCTTACTTTTGCTGCACAGCTTACTTCTGCACAGCGAGTCTTGATGTACCGCTGCTGCACCTGCTGCTAGTGCTACTGCTTTTGTTCAGGAGTCTCTGGAGGAAGGCGGCATCTCGCTGGCATCGCAACTGCAGCAGCTGTTGCGGGCTTCCCTCTTTTCCCCCCTACAGCTTGCGCAGCGCTGCCGCTGCTGCTTGCTTCCGCTGCTGTCTCAACAGACCTTTGTGTCAGCAGCAAGCCGCAGCAGCAGGGCTGCTGCAGCTGCACTGATGGGAAGATCTCTCGCAGGATCCGCCTCAGAAGCCGCCGATGCAACGGGCAGACGTTCGGCCCCCCTCAGTGTCTGGACGCTCGCAGCGCCTTTTCTGTGGAGAGCTCTTAAAGAAAGTTCTTGCCCTGCCTAAATTTTTTCCCTCGCGATTAAGCACCACCAGGAACCTCAAGGCTTTCCGCGGCTGTAGCCAGGGAGGCACCCGGCTAGGAAGGCGCGAGCCATCCCTTAGAGGGCGACCTCAGTCTGTCTTGCTTTGTGGATTGCTACAGTGTGCGAACTGGTCGATCCGCCTCAACGCCGTCTGTCTTTGGCAGCTTCTCTGCTCCCCCCTCCCCATCAGCATTCAGCTGGAAACCAAGTGAGAGGCCCAATATGCCACCAAGAGCCCCTCTAAGGGGGGGAAAGGCCCCCCTGAAGTCAGTTTCCAACCGCTGAAAGGCGAAAGCCAGCTTCTAGGAACCTTTTTTCTGTCTAAGGCGCTTGCAAGGGCTGCTATTTATATGCTGAGCGATGCGAAATACGCCTTCTCGAGGGTGTTAAATAGCCTGCCCCTGCTGCTGCTGTTGTCGTTGTTCTAGGGAGGTGCTGGAGCAGATTCTGGAGGACCCCTCTCCTACAGTCCGCCGGGCAGGCGTTTCGTTCCTGCTGCAGCTGCTGCGCAGATGTTGCGTCAGCAGCGCGAGGCAAGATGTTTTGTTGCAGCCGTTTGCCCTTACGGGCATCCTAGAACTCCTCTTGCGGGCAGCAGCAGACAAAGGCTCTCCGGCTTTGCGGTGTCTCCTGGTCACTGAGGTGGTGGCCCTTCTGCAGCAAAATCAGGCACAAGCGCATCCCTTTGCTCGCGCGCTTGTGAGCGACAACGCACACTGCTGCTGCTGCTGCTTTCGCTACTGCTGCTGTAGTAGTTATTGCAGCTGCTGCTGGTGCAATAACTACCTTCGTGTCCGTCGGAACCCGTGCCGAAAGTCCTCCTTCTCGCTGACGCCAATCGCAGCCTCAAGCCCCCACCTTGTCTTGTGCTACTGTTGAAGACTGCGGGTCTTATGCCTTACCGGCGTGCTGATGCGTGTGCTGCTGCAGCGGCAGCTCGTTCCGCGGCTCCTGCAGCTGACGCAGGACGGCAGCTCCTCTGTGCGTTTTGCCGCTGCTCTGCTCTTTCATGTAGCTCCCTCCGTAGTCCCTTCCTTGTTGCCTCCCCTTCAGCAGCAGCAGCAGAAACAGCTGTTGGCGCGCTGCGTGTGGGATGGCCTCACTGGCCTCCTAAGGAGAGGGCAGCAGCAGCGGCTGCTGCAGCTCTCCTACTATCTGCGGAAGAGACGATCCGCTTGCAACAAGCTGCCCGCTGCTCCTCCTACTGCTACTGCTACAGCAGGAAGGGGAGCAGTGGCGAGTCCTATGAAGCGAAAGAGGACGCCCCTGACAACTCCTGAAGCCTCCGAAAGCCTACAGCCGCAGCTACAAGACATGCTGCCCCCCGGCGCTCTGGCAGTAGCAGCAGAATCAGCGGGCTCCCTTGAAGCTTCTCAGAGGATGGCTGCGTACCTGTGGAATCAGATTCTGGCCCTCTCGCTGCAGCAGCAGGTGTGTGCTGCGTGCATGTGGTGTGTGTTTATGTGACCGCCATGCACAGAGAGTGGGCGAGAGTCAACAGCCAGCATCCGCGCAACTCGCCACCAGCTGGCAGCAAGCTACAAGGTTGCAGGGGGGCTAGCTGCTCACATCTTCCCATGCGGTTCCAGATGCGTCTGTTGTGGGATCGTTGCTCAGGTGCAAACCGTGCAGCAACTCGGCGCTTCCTACCCCGCCCTCCTTTACGTCCTTGCTGGCTGCCTTGGAGCCTCCGTGGAGGCTTCGGTGGGGGTCTCTGCCTCCGTGCCAAGCAGGCATGTTGTTCACAATTACATAGACCGCTGCAAACTTGCAGCAGGGATCTTCAAAGGTGTGGAAAAAGAGGTGGGTGGACAGCTAACGGGGCCACTTTGAGGACTCCCAGGGGCCCCCACCTGGTCTAAAGACTGACTCGTATATGCGTTGCAAGCTTCACGAAGCCTTCTTTTTTTAATGGCCTGCAGAGGCTCGATGGCTCGAAGGCTTTAGGGAAGTTCACCGCGTATCGAAAGCCTTAGCCACTCTGCGGACAGATGCGCTTTTGTCGCTGCCCTGTGCGAGCATGTGGTGGTCCTACAGCTGTCTTTAGGAAGCCTGCCCGAAAGCTCCGAGAGAACTGGAACCGCTGAGCTTGACTCGCAGCCTGCAGAAAAGCCCCCTTCCATACTGGTTCTGAGTTGCCTGTACACCTGCGGAGCCCTTATCTCCACGAGAAGCGCTCAGGACGTCGAGCTAGTTGAGAAGGAGGAGCCACTCCGGCGCTTTATCAAAGGCGCCTTCCCAGTAAGGCCGTTGTTGGTGCTGCTGCAGAAATGTGGGGTTTGCAGGCACGCCGAGTCTGCCTGTTGAGGGCAGCCTCATCAGGGTCGGCTGCGATCCTAGCGTATGGCCTCACCAGTGTATCTTTCAAAGCCCCCTCTTGGCTGCTGGGAAAGGCTGGCTAAGGTGAGGAAGCGTGGAAGCGTGACATGCGCATTCCTCTTCGACGAATGTCGCCACTTGTGCTGTTGCTGCAGGCCTCCCTGTTGCTTCGCGGAGCAGGGGGCCCCCTGAGCTACTCTTTCTGGCAGTTGCTGCTGCAGCTTCCAGCTTCCCTCTTTGGTCTCTCGGGAGAGAATCCTTCTGAGAGCGAAGGGTCCGACACCACCAGCTCTCGGGATTGGATTGCTCCTGCTGCAGCCTTGGAAGAAGAGCGAGAGACTCCTTGCGCTGCTGAGGATGCCCCTTACGCTGCCGTGCTGCGGCGGCTCCTGTGCATCCTGGAAGAACACCTGGACGGCCGTCGCTCCTGCAGCCCGCATTCAGAGGCTGGCGTAGCTGCTGCGGCTGTAGCAGCAGACGCTGCATTTGCTGCTGCACGGGCAACCTCGGAGGCCGTCTTGTCACAGCAGAGCGCTCACAGTGGTGGCTCCATGAGGCGGTCCAAACGATTGCGAGACCTTTCCTGCGCCTCGAATGATGGGCTTCTAGAGGGATCCCAATCCCCCCCTAGAGAGCCCTCGGAGGACGCGAAAAGCCCCTCAGCTGAGGCAGGATCTCCCTCGGAGCAGAGTGCCTTGTTTATTGAGGTGCTACTCCCCTTCTTGCTGCGGCATCAGCCCTTGAGAGAGAAGCTCTTGGGCGCCCTCTATAGACGACTGCTAGGCCTTATCAGGGGTCTTCGGATATCCTTATTAGGCCTCCAAGGCGGCGCCTCTTGCCCCAGGGCCCCCAAAGGGACTCAAGGGAGACATTGTACCCGGTACGGTAGTGCCGCAAGGGCCCCCAGAGGCTGCGCAACTGGGGGGAGCCGCAGAGAGAAGCTGTCTTTAGTGACTGGAGAAGAAACCGATGAGCGTAGACGTCCACAGTCCCCCCAGCGCAGCAGCAGTAGTAGCAGCAGCAGCAGTGACGACGACAGCAGAGGCAGCTCAGCTTCTCTTGGCGCTCGCAGCACCCGGCTTGACACCTTCTCAAGACGAAACAAGGGTACTGGCAAGGTCGACGGGGTGAGAAACGCTGCAGATAGATCAGCAGCAGCAGTAGGAGAGCGATTCGAGGTCGTCCTTGCGGGGCCTCTAGGCACTCCCCCAGCAAACTCCGGAAGCCTCGCATCCATGGCAGCAGCATTGCAAGTGGCAAGCCTCCTGCGATCTATCGCAGGGGGCCGGGAGGCTATGGGCCTGGAGGGCCCCCCTTTTAGGGGCCCTCTTCCGCGAGCCGTCCGTGGGCCTTCTTTAGGGGGTCTCGACGGCGAAATCCATAAGCAGCCCAGCCACCAACGCCAACGGCAGCAGCAGCAGCACCCCCAGTTACAGCTTCCGGCGCAGGAGCTTCTGATGCTGACGATAGGAGAATACTTCAGGTCGCTTTCGGGGGTTCTCTCGCGTTGGCGTCCCTTCGTAAGACCCGCGGAGGCACTGCAGAAGTTGCTGGGGGCCCCCTCCCTAGGGAGGGCTGCTCTGGCGCAGCTGCTGCCGTTGCCTCTCTGGCTCATCCTAGGATCGCAGAGGGAAAAGCTTGTAGTCCAAGCGCGCCGGATGCAGTTCCAGTTATGTATGAGGGCTTTAGGGGCTCAGAGAGGTCTCTTAAGACAGTCCCTCTCGCTCTTCCTTGGCTTCGCGCATTTGGCGGCCGGGTACTGCTGCGAAGACGTCTCAAAGCCGGTAAGCTGCGAGCTTTTGCCCCCTGCCTGCCGCAGTGGTGTGAGAGGCCCCTAACACGAGCGCTTCCTCTCCTAGAGGCCATACGCTATTCGGCAGCATCGTACCCTCTTGCTTGTACTACGCTCGCTTGTACAGGGCATCTTTTGCTCTTGGGAGCCCTTGAGGGCCCTTGTGAGGGTGCTAGGGGACACCCGCTTCCTCAAACATGGAGAAAAAGTTCCTTTGCCGAGAAGCGCAGGCCCTCCGACGACTGAGGATTCGGCAACCCCCCTGAGAACCTGGCTCACCAGCGCGCAATGCGTCCTCGAAATCTATGGGTACCGTGCAGGCTTAGCACCCAATGCTGCGGCGTCCAGTTAGCTCGCTAGCTAGCACTGGTCTGGGCCTTCACCGTGAGAAATTCAGTCTGTGCGTGTTTCAGGGTTGTCTTTGAGCACCTAGCCGTGCTCTTAAGTACTGAGGCACCCCCCGTGCTTGCCATCGCGCGAGCAGGGGCAGGCTGCGAATGTCTAGGTGCCTGGCAGACCCCCGATACGGCCTTGGATAGAGGCTCTCTCGTGTTAGACGTGGTGCTGTTGTTGCCTAAGCTCATTAAGGCCCTTTTCGGTTGGGTTTCCCTGATGAGAGGTAAGGATTTCTGCAGACGCAGTTGGCTTGAAAGCCACCTAACGCCTGTTTGCCCCTTGGGCCCCACTGCTAGCGTGAAGTCCCCTACCAGCGGCTCTAGGGCCTTCTTTTTTTGGCCTCCTTTGAATCTGCGAGGCATGGCACAGCGCCTAAAGGCCCTTTCTGGCTGACTGTCTGCAGAGGGGGCTTCGGCAAGCTTTAAGAGCACCACAGTGGCATGTGACGGGCCTCTAGGTTGCGGGTGCTCCCCTCTTCTGTCCACCGAGGCTGTCGAGCATCTCCATCGGTTAGCTTGGAGGAGTGTCGAGGGGGCTTTGCTGGGGGCCTTCCGTTTCACACAGAGCTGCTATCTGCCCGGCTCTACGCAGGTGGTCCAGCAGCAGCGGCAGCAAGACTCAAGTGAGGCACGGCAGCTGCAGTGCCTGTGCTGCTGCTGCCGCAGTGTCACTGCATCAGAGCAACGTCGTAAAAGCAGCAACAGGAAAAGCAGTGTGGCAACCCTAGAGGAGCGCGCAGGAGATCCTACTGACTGTCTTTTGCAACAGGGCTGTCTGAAAAGCCTTGGGGCAGCTCTCCTCCATTGGGAGCCTTGCATTAGCGAGCAGACGGTAAGGCGAAGCGTGTCCAACTGGAATCCCTCCTGTGACACTTGGGGAACAAATATGTAAGGGAGGGGCTCGGTGAGGCCGCCGGTAAGGCTGTTAATGTCGTGAGAATCCGGCCCTCTTAATGCATTGTGAAGCCTTGCAATTTGCTTCTTTTGCCACTCTTGCAGGTGTCCGAACTCCTGCTGCGCATACACTCGATCTGCCCTCAGCAGCAGGTTTTGTTGCAATTTCTTGAAGCGTGCACAGCAGTAGCAACAGCAGAGAGATCCGCGGGCCGCAACTCTTCGCTTGCCCTGGCGATCCGTGTGCCTCATAGGCTGGAGGCTGTGCTTAGGGATATACTAGCTGTTGTAGCAACCAAGAGCCGTTAGGTCGGGGCTTCAGCGCAGTGCACGGCCTCACTATCTGGGGCCAAGGGGTACATTTGATGACACAAAGGCGCATTGCTGCCGGTTTTTTATTTGGATTGCGGGCCATACTAAATGGAGTTTTGCGTGGTGGCTTTAGCTGGCACATCAGGATACATGCCAAGGGTTAGCCAGGCACATCTCTATGCGACAAACTACGATTTGATAATGGGGTGCTCAGCTCTTCTCGCTGGGCAGCGTTGTACGGGTACTGGTGGGCTGAGCTGTCCAGTGCCTCCCTTCCCGGGCAAGTACAAGTGTGTGTTGCAAACATTCAGGATAATAGGTAAGGTCTGGCTATTTTTAAAAAAGTCGAAACCAGTCTTACCGGGGAAAGCAAAAAGGTAGAAAAGGCTTCATGCCTGCAGTGGAATTCTAGGCACTCCTTTTAGGCCAGAATCCTCGTCTGTCCGTACAGGGACCTGTACCTGTGGGGGCGCGGGGGTTGGGGGGTGGTCGGCCCCTGCAAAATTCTCCTGATAACAAATCTTCTGCTCTCACCTCCTTAGGCTTCTGCTGCATATGCCTTAAATATTAGAATCTATGGTTCTGGGTTCATTGTTATCTGCTAGGATGCGTGGTCAAAAAGTACACCCCTCAATGCCTTGGCCTCTGTTTCCCTCCCTCCGAAAGCCGAGGTCCTGTCCTCTTGCCTTGGGCAGTTGTTCCTGTTTCTTCTGTTCATCCTAGCTGTAGAATACCTTGATTTCGCCTTTGTCAGGCCCCGAATTGCAGGTTTTAGCTCCAGTTCGTCCGCTTGCCCTCCCCACAACCCTTGACGAGAAGGGCTTCTCCGCCGGATCTAGACATGGTTCCCAGCACACAGGGGCCCCCGCATGGAGGCCTCCCCCAAGAGGGTCCCTTCGTCGCCTCCGCAAGCTCTCATGAGCTCCCACTGCCGCTTCCGGTGCTAGGTGGGCGGCTGCTCAAGCGGGAGAGACGCTATAGTGAAGCCGGCGAAGGCCTCAAAGAAGAGGGTCCACCTGACGACAGAGGAGCACTCAGGGATCAGGAGACGCCATCCGGAGCTCTTAACGGCCCGCCAGCGGCAGACTGCGGGGGGAGTGGTGTTGCCTTGTGCAATTTGGCGGAGGCTTTGCTGGTGGGCCTGTCATCACCAAAAACAGGGACAGTGGAGGCCTCTGAAGACATTCAGAAGAATGAGCAGCCTTCGATCACCCCTGAGCTAGAAATAATTTGTCCTCCGAGCCGCACGGGTTCTCAGGAGGGCCCACCGCTCTCTTTTGTAGTCCCAGTGAGCGAGGGCCCCCACGAGCCATGGCCCCCAGCCGTCCTCTCTATGCCGCCAGCTGAAGTGCGCGCCTGGCGTGGGGATCTTCTCCCCAAGAGCGATGAAGAGACTATGAATCTGACGGCTCCCGGTCTTGCCCAAGCGCTCTGCCGTCTCGTTCTAGGTGACGGCGACACCTTCGCTGAGAATCTGCAGCAGCAGCAGCAGCCAGTAGTTAGTGCGGGAGGAGGAGCATCCCGTTCGGCAGCGCTGTCGACAGCAACGGGCAGTCTTAGCGGCCGTCAGAATTCTTTCCTCTCCGTCACCTCCACGACAGCCTCAGGTGCTGCGGGCACGTCGAGGGGTCCCTCTGCAGACCCCTGGAGCAGCGATCTCGGGGAGGCGTGCCAAGAAGCTCCTCCCTTCTTCCCGCAAGTGCATCAGAGCGCCTTCACATATCGCCCCCTGCAAGAGCAACAGCAGCCGAGGTCACCTGGAGACACAGGTGCAGCAGCGCTGTATCGCCGTGGAATGGGCATGTTCAATGTGCCCCTGCAGCAACAGGGGTACCACCAAGCCACGTACACGGAGGGCCTCAAGAAACCTTCGATTGCAGAGAATTCAAAGGGCGAAGGGTCCCAACGGCAGCACCCTATCGCAACGGCAGCGACTACAGACATTCATTCTCTTCTTTGTGGACACCTTCATGCACAACAACCCCGGAGGCACCAGGGAGCCTCGCGACATCCGCCCCCTCCGCAGCCGGGACCTTCGTGGTCCTCGAGGGGCCCCCGTGGGCCCCCCCGTAATCGCAGCATCAACAACCAGCAGCCTCTGCAAAGCTCTTTTTCGCAAGCGGCGGATGCTTTGTCCTGCTCGTACCCGGCAGCTGGTAGTGCTGTGGGTGGTATAGGGGTAGGAGGCTCTCAAGGTGAAACTTCAGCTGCTGGGACTGTATTGAGCCAAGCTTATGGTTGTAGCGGGCCTAGCCTTCCTGCAGCAGTAAATGCCGGAGGGTCTCCGCAGGTGTCTTCAGGAGACGTAAATTCGCTCCTGTCGTACTGCATTGAAGTGCTTCTGAAGCAGCAGCAGCAGCAGCAGCAGCAGCAGAAGCAACAGACGCTGCAGCAGCAGCAGAAGCAACAGACGCTGCAGCAGCAGCAACAACAACAGCCTCTTCGCTCTAGAGGCGTGCAGGTGCGGGAGCCCACCAGGGGCCCCAGTTGGCCGATTTGGGGGGCCCCGGCCGACGTGCAGCAGCGCAGAAGGCTCCACGGCTGGCGTTCCCAAACTCAGCAAGTGCAGCGGCAGCAGCAGCAGCAAGGTCGCCTTCCGGCAGCAGCAGCCATATGGCAGCCTAGCGCGAGGGATGCCGATCTGGAGACGCTTATTGCGGCGCTGCATTTTGAGGGGCCCTCCTACCGGGGGGATCTCGGCTCGGCTCACTGGGGCCCGCATTTTCCCCCCCGTAGCGGTACGGGGATTTCCCAAGGGTCCGCAGATGTTTCATCCGCAGCTGATTTAGCAGGGCTTTGGCTCTCAGCTGCTTTGCCGGATTTAGAGGCACGTGGAGCCAGTGCAGCCCAGCGAGGGCCCCCTGGCCTGCTTGAGGGCCCCCTTCCACGAAAATGAGGGGCCTTTGGGAAGAAGCAAATGATTGCTGGCCGAACAGCATACTTATTCAGATGCTCCCGGAAAGGAGAAGCTCATGACAGCACGAGAGCCACGGTTCCCGGTAGTCTTTTTTACCCGTGAGGCCTCTGCCGGGGGCTTTTTCGAATAGGCTTCCCGATGTGTGTGATAGTATGCGTTCAAAAGCGTGACCATGAGGGTCTGCGTGGGGGAAAACCCTCTCTCTGAAAAGGTGTCTTGGTTATTCTGTATTGTCTTTATGCGTCTCTCCCCGCATGTGCACTGAAGCAGTATGCTTGAGGCGGACCGGCTGAGGACGCCAGTGCCCGCTTTCTTTCCCAGCGGGGCCCCGGTTGTCTGCATGCATGAGTGCAAAGGTCCCCCGTAGATCTTGAAGGCATCCCCCTGTCCTTCTCCCCTTTTCCCTGTGTCCCCGAAATAATTTTTGCTGTAGTCATATGCGTTAAGGGCTTCCTGTGAGAGTTGCCATATTCCTAGCAGCGCAGTGAGGTTTCTCTTAAGATAGCTCCTATCTGACAGGGGGAGCTGTGCTGCTTTGTTTGATCGATGAAGCTTCGGGCTCTGGGGCCCGGGTCTGCTTGTGCCTGATTACGCCCTCAGTGAGGGGCCTCCTCGAAAGGGCCCTCCACAGAGAAGCCCTCCTTCCTTGATTACATCGCCTGTGTGTCTCGCAATAGGGCTCCTTCCCCGTACTCTTCGCGGATATTCCTTGCGAATGCTTTCATGGGGTTGCTGTGTATAGGGGGGCCTTGTGCCCTGTTTTGTGTTCAGCACAGCAAAGAGGACCCCTGCCCGGAGGCCGCCTACAGGCGCCGCTAGAGCAATGTCCACCTAATTCGTACATAGAGTATAATCAGTGTATAGGGCCCTCTGCTATGAGGCCACTACACCCATCTCCTTCCGCGTCCTGCGCTGCAAAAGTGTTATGTCCTGGCAGATTCGCCGCTGCCTTACCTAGGCTTTGTCTATGCCCATGGCTGATTTGTTATGCTGCACTTGTCGTGATTTTAAGCGTGCTGGAGGAAGGGGGGTGGATGCATGCATTGGATCATTTTTACCTGCACGTTTGTGTGTATTGCTTGAATGTGTACCTGAGTAGTTTTAGCGACAGGCGACATCCCAGAGCCTTGAGCTCTTGACCCCCAGTGGGCTTACGATTCTGCGATTCGTGAACCAGCCCACTAGAACTCCATCGAAGAGATTTTAAGGTTGAAACTCTGCGACACCAGCGTTCGTTTTACTGGAGCAGAATTTCATTGTTCTGTATAATTAATTAGCTGCAAGACCCACAAGACTAACAGATTCCAGCTGCGAACAATAGATCTTCAGCTACCCTGTGCAAGCACATCGGTGCAGATACCCACTTTTGGTTAAGTTCCACTCCCCAGCCCGATGTGTCCTATCCACCATGAAGGTAGCTATGGGAAGGGGTGCCTGCGAGGGATTCAATGGAGCGAGGCTTTGCGGAACAGGTGCCCTATGATGGGGCATTGAGGAGGAAGCTCAACTGATAAAGGGAAAGTACCTGCTGAGACAGGCCTAGCCTCCAGGGAGTAGCTCTTAACCCCCGCCTCGTTAGCCAGAGTTCCCCTAACAATGCCTCCCAAGAGTACTGATTTACCGGTGCAGAGCACACGGTTAGCGGACTACTAATGTAGACCAGGTTGCAACCAGCTTTACCACCTCTGCTGTCCGTCGTGCACGGCCCAGTCCTGTTCGAATGCCCCGCCTAAGTCTTCTGTACAGTGACAAGCAACTCAAGACTAAGTGCAAGCTTGACACAAAGATATGTAGCGTTTCTCAAATAAGTACTCCTCCTCTCCTTGCGCACCACCCTTAGGTTCCTGAAATAAGGGGCCTCGCACAGCTAGGGTGTGGGTTGCTGCAGCCTCTAAGCACCCCAAGAATTTGCAGCTTGTTGGACATTGCATCTGGCGGACATGCACACAGCATTGCTGTATTGGATCAAGCTAACAATACTCTGCTGTACAAGGATCTATAACCAGACAAAGTCATTGGTGGATTCTTTGCTAGTTTTAGCTACAAGGCAAAGACTGCAGTAGAAAGCGCCTAATTGCAGCTAAGCTTGCGCTTCAGGCACATGAGCATGCCGATCCGTGCCAGGCATTTGCAGCAGCAGCAGTGGCTTAATCCAAACTTAAAAGCTGATAATGTCTCATTTTAGCTATGCGTGTACTGCACGGTGAAATAGGAGAGTTTTGGTGAGCAAATTGCTGTTTCCAGGCGTAGAACGGCATCATGGGAAAGCCGTAGAAACAGCCCTCATAAGCCACCCATTAAGAAGCTCGTCAGTGGCTTCCTAGTGTCCTGTGTTTATTCTGGAAGTAGGATGCATTTAAGTCTAATCTGTTGGATCTGAACTACTACTTTCTTTGCAACCGACTGCATGCGCAGGGGCCGGGGCCCCCCAGAAGGTTTGTATAAGCGGGAGGTCGGCTGGCGAACTCTAGCCCAAGGGCCTGCCCTACCCCCAAAGGCCTAAATTATTTCAAGACCAGTGCTCATAAAGTGGTAGTTTGGAAGGTAGTGCTGCCTTCCTGGCCTCCTATGCCCGTTTGAGTCTCGAAATTTGGTGGCGCAGGGTGTACGGCGAAGGGTGTATCAGCCTGTTAAGGATCTTCTATAGCGAAGAACCAGCACAACGGACGTGTCTCATGGAGCCATCAGCGCATCACCAGGAGCCCCCAGGGGCGCCGGGAGGTGCAACTACGGATAATGGATCTGCTCACCTTGCTGCTGGCGGTGTTTCTGTAGTTGCGGGTGTGGCAACCACGGCAGAGGCAGAGGAAGTGCATGGAGAACCATCTGCAGAAACGGAAGAAGCGTCAGCCACAGACGCACCAACAGAGCAATCTAAACAGTCCAACCTGTCAAGGCCTGCAGAAGAAATTCCCCCTTCGTTTTCCTCCCAAGAGGCAGCAGTAGCAGTAGCATCTCCGAACGTGACAACAGGAGTGGCAGCCGAAGGCACAGGACCAGAGACAGCAGCAGAAGAGGAGTCACTACCAGCGGTATCGGATGAAACAGGAGATACAACGACCGCTCTGTCGGACGAGGTAACCACGCGTGGAGGGGTTGCCCCAACAGCACCATTGGAAGGAGACAAAACGGCGGATGTTGATGCTACCGCTGCAGAGGAGGACTTGTTTGGTCCTGGCGATGGATCGAGCCATGAGGGCTCCCTGGCTAGCGACGCAGATTTGTTTGGCGATCTTCAACCATCTCCTGCTGCTTCCATCGCAGCAGAGTCTGACTCAGAATTAGCCCCTGACACGGCGGGCCCAGTAGTCGCATTCGCTGCCCCTCTTACAGAAGAGGAAGCAGAAGGGTTTGGAGAAGAAGAGAGTGCAAGCCAGCCCTCAGAGAATCTCCCCCCTCAACAGCTGCGGCTGCGAAGTTCCTGGGTACCTTCTCTCCCTAAAGGAGCCTCTCTTCTCACGTGGAGGATTCCGCCTGCATTGGCACTTATCAATGCAACTGAACAGTCTCACGATCAGCAGCAGCAGGATCAGCAGCAGCAACATGGTTTTGCCATAAAGTGCGAAAATTGGCACGATCCTACATTAGGCAAGAGCGTTTGAAGCGCTTCACTTCTGGAGAACACGTAAGGGCTGGGCCGTTCGGGGTTTCAGCATTTGCGGTGTAGGTGCGATGCGGATGTTCCGCTCGCAGGTTTACTTATGATGAAAGTGCCGCCAGCCAAGGAAAATCCGCAGTAAGCTCATATCAGCGGTCTCAGTTCGGCTGTTTTAGTCTGAAGGTTGTGGGTGTGAGACAACGTTTATGCTTTTCTGACTTGAAACCTTCAATTTGGCGTGTGTTTGGGGCTTTTCAGTACACAAGCAACTGCAGGTTGGTGGAGTTCAGCGATGGTTCCTACTGTCTCTTTGTGGATGACAAGGGATTTGAATGCAATGTAAGTATCTGCATGGGGGTCGGGTTTGATTTTCACTGGGCAGATTTTCCCTCAAAAAAAGATGTTCTCCGGCCCATAAGCGTAACTTTCAAGGGGAGGCAGGGGGGCGGCACTTTGAGTTTTTTTTGAATTGAAGGTTTACTGTTTGTGGAGGGAGGTTTTTTGCAGACAAAGGACGATGTTTCATACATTTTCGAGTCCACCGGAGTGAGCAATGTGTCTTGACTGAGGCTTCGTAGCTTGCTCGGACTGGGTTCTTGGGGTTGAGGGATGCTTAACTTGGTTCGCCAGCGAGCCTTCTGTGTGTCGAGTCTGTCATGTGGCCGCCTAGCAGGGTGTCTGGCTGCTGGTTTTGTGGCTACAGTCGCGGGGACCTCTCTGTAGCGTCATGGCGTCTGAGAAGCGGCTCCAGGTGCTAATGCCTACTGGGCTAGGTGAGGGAAGCATACTGTGTGTTTCGTTTTATGTGGTTGCACTAGAATGTGGTAGGCTGACTGTCTGTGAGAAGGGCAGCAAAGCACACGTACAAGAGCAAGGTCACCTCTGTTGCTTTGAGTCCAGAGAGGCAGTATCAGGGAGGCAGAGGAAGACAAAGAGATGCGCCTACAGCCACCCGTTTGGATAGCTCGAGCGCTTATTTGCGCCCTCTTCTAGAAACACGTAGATTGCTGCTGCAACTGCAGCACTACCTCCAAGCAAAAGCCACACAGCAAGCCAGGCGGCTTACAACGAGCAAAGAGAACCAAAACTTTGGTGTGCGTGCTTATCAGGCGCTTCGTCCTTCTTCTCAAAGTGCAAATCCGCGGGACGAAGCGATCCGAAGAGCCGCACGGCTCTCACCGCAACTGAACTGGTTGAAGCTGCAGAGACAGCGGAACAACAAGTTGGTCCAAACACACCTTTCTCTTTGCCTTGCTTATGCGCCCACTCATTATTCCACCACCCTGTCCTCTCCATCCTCTTCTTTTGCTTGATTTGTGTCTGAGTCATGTAGCCTTACAGCCCTCCCCTGTCCCATTCCCTATGATTGATTTCCTCCTAAGACTCTTCCTTCACCTCGTTTTGTCGTCACAGAGCTTCCTCGCGCGACAGGAGGCAGCCCGCAGCCGCAGAGCCCTTACAGAAGCACAGCGAGGGCTCACCAGAGGGTTTCTGGAGGCAGAGGAATCTGACAACGAAGATGAACAGGGTACAGTCTAGGATTCAAGGCTAAGGTTTGGGGGTTTCGAAAGTAGAATTAAAAGTGCTTCAAACCATCTGCATCCACCCAAATTTGGTTTCCTGTTTAAACATCCCTTTATTTGCTTTGCGGCATGAACACCAACAGCAGCAGTGGTGCAACATGCAAGTGCGTGCGGTTGCTTTTCATCTGCAGGAGCCTCTCTAGAGAAGATAAAGGAACGTTTCAAACGCAAGCGGTTCCTCTGACTGCTCCGAGCCAAAGCCCGGCAGCTCAAACATCGTATTTCTTCAGCCATACACGCTTGTGGTACCCTTATTTTTTTTTATTACCGACCGAAGAGTTCAGCATATTTAGGTCCTTACAGGGGAGCATTTCTTTTACAGGTAGGAGCTTAGGTATTAGGTTTCGAGGTTCAGTAGGGTGGCAAGCTAGGGCCTTTTTCAGGGGATGACGAGGTCTCAAATAAATGAATCAAAGTGGTGGAAATACTAGCGAGGCATCGTAGTACTAGCTATCGCCCATAGTTAGACGACAAGGCAAGCAGAGATCGGCGCCATGACTCGAAGGTTTCAAGCAAAACCATAAGTTCTTATAAGGTCTGTTTCCTCAAGCTCTTTGGAATCACACGAACGTATTTTGAGAAGAAACGCGAGGGGCCCTTGAAGTGTTTCTTCAAAGAAGAGGCAGAAGCCGTGGTTACTGCCCTGGGTCTTTATTCAGGAATATCGCGCCTGTAATCATGCCAATTTCCAAATGCCATGTACTTCCTTTGGCACGACTGGCTATTTAAAAGGAGTCTCCTTTGCATCTCAAGTTTGTATCGGCAAATTACTGATGTGCGTAGGCTGAAGTGGAGTAACATGCCTGCGCTGAGACCTAATGGGAACCGTGAGTACCGGTACTCAGATCCTACCTGTCATGTGTTTTCTTTGTACGACCCTATTTATTCAAACATTTTTTTGAAAAACCAATAGTAATTCGGCTACTATGAAGTACCTTTGGAGGCCACATAAGAGCACACGTTTGTGCATCTAGTGTGATGACCAGGATGCAATGAAGAAGTCGGGTCACTCCCTCATCGGATCGAACAGCGCGCTGCTCATGAAAGTGCTGGTCCTGTATATGCTGACGCTAGCGGAAATACACAGTACTGCTCTCTTTGCCGATTCTGCATTCAAAGACGGAAAATCCCTCCCAAACCGCCTATACCAGGACTGTGTGTGAAGTCGATTTGCCCTTGTAGAGCTGGTCACAGGCAAACCATAAAAACCCATAGGCCTCAAGCACTATGCCATAGGCACCTGCTGCAAAATACATCCTTTTTATTTCCGCACGCGATCATGAAGGATAATTTACCCTCACAAGACGAAGGAGGCACTTACTGGGAGTCCTACTGGAGGCCTTCCTGGTGGGGGAATTCCTTCCCTTACAGGGGTCGGCACATGCGCTCCCAGGGGTGTCTGGAATCTTCTGTAGGTGATTCGAAGAGCCTCGAATGTGCTGCTCTACTGTCTACACGCATAGCGGAACACGCGTCAACCATTGGGGTTGCGGGCAACACCTGCTGCGACCCCGTTGGGTGGCAGCAGGGATCGGGAAGTCCTCTACACGCGGGGAGTCAAAATAAAGCTCTAGGTATTAGGTGTAAAGACATCTCAAGTAAAGCTCAAAAGGCAGAGCAGTTTCTGCCGTGGGCTCTCCCTGGTGGGGGTTTCAACCGGATGGGTGCAAGGCCACAAATGCAGCAGCAGGACAATATAAGCCGTGACAAATTCGGGAGACACAAGAACGCAAAACCTCGAGGAGTCCCTGTATCAGCAGCTACAGCAAGTGTAGTTACAGCACCGGCGCCCATTGCACCGTATCCAACAACAGATGTTCCATGGGTGGTAGCGGCCCCAGCGTACCATCAGCTCTGTTCGCTGAAAGGCAAGTCAACGGTTTATCATTCAGGAGTTGCAGCTCTGGGTGGAGGGTTCAGGATAAGCGTTTTTGAATTTGCGGGCTGTGCTTCAGAGAAGCAGAGGGAATGGTCAATCCGGTCTCGTAGTTTGCTGAAAATGGAGGAGAGCCGCCTACCCAGTCGCCTTCAGCTTCACGTACACCATGGAGCTGGGTACGGAAAGTTTGAATTCTTTCAACTACTGTTTGGAGGTAACGCCTCAAGTCTAGCGCTTTTTCATGATCTAGCCAGGGGTCTATTATTAGTATTTTGGTCGCTCTTAGTGCCGATGCAGCGATGCTTTTGTATTTTGCACTTCCTGCTCCACATTTTGCATCGAGTCTGCTTTGTTGTTGCTGTGCCCCGGGTAAAAAGCAGACAAGCCTCCCGAGCCGTTCTTACTACGGAGGACATGCCTCTTCGCCAGGCGACCGCCGCGGGGTGTACATACGCTCTGGCAAAGAAAATTTTCGGCTTTTTGTGGGAGCCTCTAAGTCCAACACTACTCTACACATATCTTCCTTTGGCCAAACTTGGTCTTGACTGATACTCTTGGTGCTGCTACGACTTTTATATCGTCACAGGGGAGTATCTCCTGCTAAAGTGCAAGAGCAACACGAAACAGTGTAACATTCCCATCTTTGTGTGAGAGCTGCCACTGCAGGGGCTTGCAGCAGAACTCGGCATTGCTGCATTCAGTGGAGCCGCTAGAGGCGAGTCTTGTGGGAGCCATGAGCAGCCGGCAGTGCCCTCCTGGGAAGCAGCGGGCTGTGGATCGTTCGTTCCTTGTTGCAGCAGCCGTAACCACACCTGCAGAAGCAGCGGCACATGTAAGGGCAGCGATTCCAAAAGCAGCAGCACGACCCAGGAAAAGAAATAGAGACGAAGAAGTGATCGAAAGGCATTCTGATAGAAAGGACTCTCGTTTTTCCTCTGATGCACAACAGAGGAATGCGACGCCTAGCAGAAGCCCTCGTTTCCAAACCGAAAAGAGCAGTCGCCAGGCCCTTCACCTCGTACACCCAGGAAAGAGCACATAGGAAAGAGGGACAGGGGTGGGACTACGGAGGTGAGGACGCGGCGGGAGATTCAGACGGGGGAAGGAAGAGACTGGAGTAGCAGTGTTCTACGAGGTGCATATATGGCTTTATGCTCAAGAAAATAGCTCATCCCTAAAGCGCTTGTGAAGGATTGCAGAGCCGCAATGCACAATACACAGTCACCCTGAGCCCATGCCAGCCCAGCCGCTTGACACGTGGAATTCTAGCTGGCCTTTGGCTAATCAGACAGCGGCTAAGCTAGCAGGTTAGTTGAGGGTGTATTTTCTCGAAGAGGCAGCCCCGCCCCTCGGTGGACGAGGGGGTGCTCATGCGTTGAGGCTTGACATACGCCTGCTCGGAGCAAACAGGCACCGCAGGAGAACATAGATTTGCTTCTGTAGAACAGCAGCAGGAGTGGTGGCAACAGTCGCAAAAGTGGACAGCATTGCTGCTACTACCTTAAAAAAGACGCGTCAGGAAACACAACTAAGCGCAACTGAGGGCCCACAATCGACTGAGAACCCCGAGGTCTGCAAGCCTTAGACTTTAATGTTTGCCAACAAGCACAACTTTAAAAAAGACAGTGTTTACACCAGCGCGCACGCCGTGGTTTAATGGGTAGCTGCTTTACATTCTAGTACATATATCATGGGACGCTGTATCGAGCGCCTATTTGTGGTTTGAGGAAGGTGTGAAGTTGATCGCATGGAGTCTGTAGCAGACACTTAGCTGTTAAAACATAAATCCTAAAATTGACATCGAGGAATACTCATTCCTCGATGTGGAAGCGGACATCCTACCATCTGCCTGTCATCCACAGCTTTTGTTTACCCCTGACCCTGCACTCCCACACTAAATTCCATGAGCTTCAAACGACTCAAACGTGAATAATGCTATAGTGCTAAGGTTGCGATGACTGGACGTAGGGCTTTGTGGGGCATGATACATCCATTTCTGCAGCGCAGCGAAAATCCGCGTTGGTGTAACCCCGTTCACCTTTGCATAATCATTCACATCCACATGGCGTGGAACGGGCAGAAATCAGAAGGAATATTCAACAGAACAACGCGGATGCAGCTACGGTTAGAAATACAAACGCGCAGGTAAACTAATAGGCTGTGCCGCTCTGTCCTTCCTGAGCGCACATGGTATCATACGGCTCCTCTCTCCTCTCCCTACTCAGAACAACTACAGCTATCCCTCTGTGTGGCTAAAGCAGTGTACTTCAGTGTCGCCACCAATATAGTTGAGCCTTCGAAGTTCGCGAGAAGATAGGGTGACTGCTCTTGCAATCGTTCTGGCTGCGGGTAAAATTAGGTGGCTTGCCACCAGCGTCTCTCCGCTGGAATGCCTGCTGGGTTCTTCTGCCACCCGTAGTGCCCTGAGGCCTGCACTACTTAGGCGTGGCGATGCTCTTGCCTACACTATTACGTTACACTCATCTGCGCCATGTAGTTATTATGTTTTAGCATTCATTTACGGAACTCTTTCTTGATGTTGCCGAAAGCCCAGCCGGCACCACAAGGCCTTGAAAAGATGGGGGCGGCCTGCAGATGAGAGTACGAATGACGGAAGCACACAAGAAGTCATATATCAAGGCAAAGAGAGATTGTTAGAACTCTTACACAATTCCAAATTCATCTGGTGGAAACCTTGAGGATGACGTTCCTATGCCTTTAAATATGATACTGAATACCTGGAAGGCGATCTTTCAGAGACTTTGGGCGCTATTATATACACCATTTGGAGAGTTTCTTCGAAAACGGCATTGCATTACACTCTAGGAAGATAGCAGGTGCTTCTGCACGTGATTGTTTTGCGGGGTGCAAGTCTCAACGCAATACACGGTGACTGCTTGCCCTTCCTCGTGGACCTTCTCCTGCTCCGAATGAGCAACATGGAATAGCATAGCTGTTGGGCGCTTCTCTACTTGGAGGCAGTCCAAATATTCCCTTGGGGCAAAGTCTCCCGGAGCAACCCTCACATGGAGGCCTCCGCTGAAGGGATCGGGGAGCAGGTTTGCATCAGCAGGCAGTAACAGATGCACAATTCTCTTCGATGATTTTAAAGCCACAAAAAGCCTTCCGGGTCTCAGTATTTTGGCAGATAAGGAACGCAGGCAGATATCGGCTGCGCTGAAGCTTAGACACCCACAAGAAGTGACCGTAGCAAGTTATGAAAAGCAATTGCTTTCACCTTGTGGAGAAAAAGGCGAACAAAAGACTAAACTCTCAAGGCCTAGAGCATCAACACACTGAACGAGAGTGATAAATGTTACATAGGAGGTTCTCCTCCAGAAAAAGTACGGGAAGGCGGACAATAGAGCTAGCAAGCAGTGGTCTAAGCTGTTTGTAGCAGGCAAAAAGGGGTGCCACCAAATGCCCAGGGAACCTTTCTACTTCATGCACTGCAAGACACACACATTGAATCATATCAGCTTCTTGTTGTGGTTCTCCTGCTTGTTGATTCCCATTAGATATTGTGGCTTTTGGTTACCAACTGTGCCTGTACACCATCAAGGCTTAAAGAAGTTAGTTTCATCCGCCTAGAGCAGAAGTTTGAAAGTGGGCGCCGCTGAGCATTCACATAGTGCAACGCTGGCATCTTGCTCGGTTGATATGTACGCCCGAGCTTAGTCAGAGGGCCACCAGATCCACCGGGCATTTCCTACACAAATATAGGCATCACCCTACGACTTACGCGTAAGAATTTCCTCAAGACCAGTTTCCAAGCCTCGCCAATAAAGAGTCGTGCGTATTGTAGCCACACACTGAGTCTCGTCAGCTGCGATGTAGGTACCTGTGGCGACGGCTATCTCGTTAGCTGTATCCAACCACTCGCATGCCATTTGAAGCGCACAGTAAATCTACTTCGAGCGCAGACGCTCAGTCAGATGATGATTGTTTGTTTAAACACGAACTCTTCATGGGATATGAAAATTCGTTGGTTGCTTTGTGAGATTTCCTGTGGCGGGGGCATTATTGCCGTTTATGCCATGCATACGCTGGAGCCCTCTACCTCTTTCTGGAGGTGTCAATTCAAAACAACACTGCAAATGACCCAAAGACGATTGAACTCGCCGGAGCCTAGCTTAAGCCGTGACCTTTCTGGACACCACGCTTCGGTGGCCGTAAGCTTCAAGGGATAAGGCATGGCCTGCTTGCTCAGTGGCAACTCAGTGCACCCTCACAGCTTTAAGATGCCGTAGGGCTTCGTATAGACTTCAGGCAACACACCACTAACTGTGCCGGAGACTTTTCTCTTCAGATGGAGTTCGCCCTTTCCCCTGCGGACACCTCGCCGTACAATCTCTAAAGGGACCGCTCCAAGATTTTTGCGGCGCCGGGAGCCAGCCTTAAGGGCATTTAGCAGGGCCAGGTAAATGTTTCTGTTGCAGTCGTATTACTAAATACCAGAATAAGGCCCAAATGTACGCTGCTCCTGCAGTGGCAGCCTATGGCCTACGCTATAAGAAGGAACCGGCCACCCCGAGCGCAAAGAGGTAGAAGACACGCGCTCATGGCAGAACACCAGGAGCCCCTGAGTTCCCCAGAGATCACGCACTCGCCCCTGAGCGTTGCCTATAAACAACCGTGCAGTGCCCTAAGCCGCTGCTGCATGAGCTGCGACGTAAACAAAAGTTCAGTGGTCAATTCAAACCAAAAAGTCTCCCTCAACAGCGCAGTTAGGGATATCAGCGCAAGGAGGACTCTGCTGCTTGAAAACGTTGTTGACCCGCATGTCGCTGCTTCGAGCATAGGTCCTCTCTGCATTTTCACTCTGCCGCTTCGTTGACAGCAACTGTAACTGTGCCCATAGATGAAGCAGCATGAGCCACTGCAAAGTTTATTCACTGTCGCTGCTATACTTTTTACTGGGTTTTGGTTTAGGGGTTTTCAGTTTCAATCTAAGGCCATTTCGCTTCTTTTCCTTATGCTTCTTTTTCTTTGAAGGAGATTTCTTTCTCGTCTTCCTTTCGACACTACTTTGCCTTTCTCGAACTCGATCGCGATCCCGCTCTCCATCTATCAGCTTGTCTCGGCCTCTACACCTCGATCTGTCCCTGCTTCTGCTTCTGCTCCGGCTGCGACGCCGTTTGTGAGATGATACATACGCAGGGGACAGTGCCCTTCTGGGCTCTGTTACGCCGGTCCTGCCGCTGCTGCTGCTACTGCTACTGCTACTGCTGCTGCTACTGCTGCTGCTGCTTCGCACATATTTACTGCTTGGCTCGTCCTCCCCCCGACACTCTGTTTTACCATTAACTTTGTCGGCAATTGCTTCCTCCCTGGAGGCGCCGCCTGCGGCAGTGTGTTTGACATTCTCCTTGGCAGCAGCAGCAGCTCTGCAGTCCGCTACCCAGGCTCGGACCTCATCCGCTACTTTGTCAGCTATAGAAACACCTGGAAGTGTTGCAGCGAATACTAGCTGAAAGAATCACAACGCCGCAAACAGGCTTCACGAAATGGCGCGCTGAGGCCGTGAACTTACGTCTGTAGATACAAGAGATGAAGACAGGACTCAGCAAGAAGCCACACGTCGGAAGCCGCAGAAAAATACTGCAGGACCAGGCAGCTGGCACCCACAATGAACTACAGCGATAGCAAGAGCAAACAACCAGCAAAGATGCCTTACGACAATAAGCAACTGACCTTGAGTTCCGCCGCCTTTTGCGCACTCTCTTCGGCCATCTTTAAAAGCTCTTCGTCTTGCATGAGTTGATAGGAGCGGAGGTTCTCGAAGAAGAGACCAAAAGGCCGCCACAGGGTCCTCTGCTGCAACAGAGGGGCCTTTTTATAGAGAAGAGACACCTGAGCCTCCAGAGCCTTGCACTCCAGTGCGATCCGTTCCTGAGGAACGCACCGAGGAGACATTAAGGCAAGCAGGACGATGGCACTATCAAGAAGACGGCAGTATGTGTTGCGCTGCGTTTCTCGCGTTTCATTTTGGTCATACGGAGAGATGGCATGTAGTATTCCAAGTAGCGATTACATATTCAGCTATAATGAACCATTCAAAGTGCCAAGAAAGGGATCAAACAGCAGTTGCGAACAAATGTGGACATACGGTAGTCCGCCGTTTGAGTTCCGCTTCAGTGAGCTCGTGAGAGCAAGAGGCAACAAAAGTGCGCAGTCCTGCACAAGTGCACTACAAAAGCATGATTCTGCGTATCTGGCGACCAGTACCCGCTTGACTTTTAGAAACTTCCAAATTGCAAAATTTTGACAGCTGGGCACTCTGAAAGCTAGCAAAGAAGGTAAAGCTTCTTACGGTTTCTGGCGTCTGGATCTCTTCGAAAGATATCGGGCTCGCTTTCTTCGATAGACACCGTAGCTTCAAATGCATGCGCTGCTGCTGCGCCTGCCGCGGCTCCCTTCTGCTGCTGCTGCTGCTGTTCGTCAGGGTCTAATGTGTGAGGCAGCGCTGGCCGGATCTCTTCCATCCGTTCTTGCAAGTACTGCAGCTGAACCTGTACAACGGCAGAAGCGGAAAGCTGTAACTACCCTTCTGCAACCTTCTCCTTTAGGCCTCCTGCAGGGGGAGGAGGCCGCCCCTTGCTGTGGGGTTTCGCCTTCTTCCTCTGCTCCAGAGTCTCTACACGCAGCTGTTGCCGAAAAGAAACGTGTACATGGTAGAAGCTACAGCAGCGCTTTTTCCCCGTTTCCACTCAGACGGCCATGTGCCGCCAGCCCTAAACTCCAACCCGCATGACTTACCTGAAATCCAACATTAGGATAGACAGGCCGTTTGCGCGTGAGAAACTCTAAGGCATCTTCCATCCGTAGGCTTTTTCTGAAGAGCAAATATGCCAGGATAATGCATGCACTCCGGCTTATCCCCTTTGCGCAGTGTACCAGCACCCGGCCTCCTACTTTCTTCTCTCCTGCTGAGCATGCTGTCTCACTCCCTGCCGCAGGCGTGCTGCCGTCAGATTCAGCAGGACCTAGACTGTCTTCTGGGAAGGCGTAGCTGTTAATTATACAGTCCTTCTCTACAAAACAATGGTTCCTCCTGCGGCTTTGTAGCAGCCGCACGTTGTGTTGCGGTATCCCTGCTGCTGCTGCTGCTGCCGCTGCTGCCATTTGCTGCTCGTCTGGAGCATGAAGCCGGTAGTTCCTATCACCGAGGGCTTGATCTATGAAGTCAAAGCAAAGAGGAAACAGAGGCAGCACCAGCTCCTGAGGTGTATCGACAGCATGACAGCAGCAGTACACGAATCTATCAGGGTGCACCGCAAGGTACTGCACCAGCTGTTGCTGCTGCATCTGCTGCAGCACCCGCTGCTGCTGTTGCACCCTTGCTGGCTCCGTTTCAGGATTGCACTTTAGAATCTCCTTGCGCTGCTTCATTTGCTGCTGCAGTTGCTGCTGCAGCACAGAGGGTGAGGCTGCAGCATTGTGAAGGCAAAGTATGTGTGTAATGCCATGATGCTGCAACCAGCTGCCGCTCCTCGCCGCAGCAGCAGACCCAAGGAAGAGACCAGGGAGGACCTCATGTGCCGCTTGGCGCTGTTGAGAAGAAAAAGGAGAAAAATGAGAGAAGAATGAATATCCTGAAGCAACACCACCACTGCTGCCTGCCCCAACAGGGGCGGGACGGCTATCCATTCCAGCTGCTGCGGATGCCGCTACTACTGCAGTTTCTGCCAGTTCTCAGAAGTCCATGGAGCGTCGATGCGACTGAAACTCTTGATTCGCTGAGCAACGGGCAGTGCAGTTGCACACGAGTAAATCGGATGTTGAGACACTGTAGCGCGAAGGGCCAGCAGCCTCAGTTGGGGAGCCTGGAGTCGCAGCAGCAGGCCCTTTGGGAAAACTCGGGATCGCTTACTCAGTGCCGCTTCGACTGTGCAAGACTGCAGAGTGAAGTTCCTCCTCATTGCTGCTCGCAAGGGGGAGGGAACGGTTCGCCTTAGCAGCAGCTGTTGCTGCTGAGGCTGTAAAGCCTCGGAGAACCCTCACAAGGGGACCTGCCAGAAGTGAAAAGATGAGAAGGGAGATATCGTAGGGAACCACTAAAAGGGCGACTTCGAGCCAAACTGCCGGCACAAACGAAATGGGAAGCGAGGGCCTTGCGGTGAGGCACTGGCAACGGCGCGGCGAGTCAGTATGAAAAGGTGAGCGGCAGCCACTCAATCACCTAAAATGGGCTGCATCACCGCAAATGGGCACATGTGCTACGCCTGACTGAGACCCAGTACGTCCCCATGCGCTTAGAATGGTTCAAAAGCCACGCGCATGCACAATGCATGCAGAACACGGCCCCCTTATTGGCGACAGCGTAGTGTTGCAAACACCTCAGGACTCGCAGGAGTACCGCTTTTTGGAAAGGTAATGTGTTTTGCCTAACCCAGCTTATATGGAAGGAACTCTCACAGTCATGTACACATGCTGGAGCTAGTGCGATTGCATGAGCAGCACCGCCTCGACCCCTCATGAGTAACTGCATGAGTTTATAGCTTTGTCTACATACGGTCACAATGGGATATATTTGACGCAGTATCTACATTCGTGCTGCATTTCAAATATAAATCAGTTAGAGCAGCCAATAGAAAATGAAATCAATGCATGATGTGGGATCAGGCGCTGCTGCTACTCCTGATGCAGCGGCAGCACCTGAAACACCAGTGCCCCTCCCGGTAGGACGAACCGTTGAGTCGGGTACATTGCCAATACGACGACATTTCAGTAGCAGCAGCAGTAGTAGTAGCACAAGTGGCGCCTCTGTTGCCTCTCAGTGGGCAGCCGCACCAGTGGTTTCAGGTTCTGGAGAGGAGGACGCTTCTGGGGGGCCCCCTGCCCTGTTTTCTGCCCTGACACCCCAGATGCCCCTCGTCAGTATACTGCACTCGCGTGCCTCAGATATACTGCAGCAGCGGCAACACAAAATGGCGGAACAAGGCATGCAGAAGGCCCCAATCGGAGGGTTTTCAGGGCGCATGGGAGGTGAGAAGTTAAAATATTAACAAATGACACTATGCAGATCTCATGACTTCGGAACAACGGAGAGCCACCAATGTTGTGTGGCCACTTTCTCTGTAACTATCATAGCCTGGGGCTCTTTGCATGCGTCCCCGTACGCATCCGTGTCTTCCATTTGGCTCTCTGCCGTGCTTTTCCTCCCTGTCCTTTTGCTCGCTCTCTTTTCCAGTCTGCCTGGGCACGCCACTCGCCGCTTCCCTTTGTGCGGTCACTCCCGCAGTCGCTGTGTTTACTCTGCCCCGCACTCTTGCCGTCTGAAGCTTTCCCTGATTATATTATTTAGCGCCGGAGTGCGTTTGTACGTCCCCCTTTGTTAAAGCGTGAGAGCGTCGTCTCCCTGAGCGTCTTCTGTTCCCGCAGTGTCAAACCAGAGTCGATTCAGGGATCTGACTGCCGGAAACAAAAGCAGGGGAGATCCCTTCAGGCAAATTACACCGGAAGAGGTATTTATACATATATATATGTATGTAGATATAGCAAATAAGCATTAACATATGTAGGTATCGAGTTTAATGCTCTGTCGATATTTTGGTCTAGCGATTTGTTTCCATCCATGTGGGCAGCTGCCTTGCACTGTCTCTTCTCTCTGCTCTCCTTGCAGCTAAGTGCGCACCACAGTCGGAGCGACTGTTGGGTGGCCTTAGAGGGCGTCGTGTATGACATATCCTCCTACCTCCGCTTTCATCCAGGGGGCTCTCAAGTACTCCTGGGGGTAGCGGGGAGAGAGGCGTACTCCGAATTCGTTAAATACCACCCCTGGGTCAATTATAGGTTTATTTTAGAGAACTGCAGAGTAGGAATTTTGACCACAAACGCATCTGCCAAGAGCACTGAGGCCCACCTTCTTCCAGGGTTCGCTCAACCATCAAGCAAACCCCAAAGGCGCTGCAAGGACCCCCTCCGAATCGCGCTTGAGCAGCCTGGAGGCGAAACTCCCAAGGGGCTACTTTTGCCCACCCCCGAAGGCTGCGATGAGGCTGAGGAGGGGTCACCTAGGACTCCGCAGTTTGGAGACCTTTAAACCCGTGATTATTAGTATTATGTATAAATGCAGTTTCGTTTCTGTGCTACGCACAGAGGGGCATCGAATGCAAGTATACAAGCACTCAGGGCACAAGCCTGCACTAGAAGGAAAAATTGAAAGAGCCGCTAAGAGTCCAATGCTAAGACAATAATGCAGGAGTATTCCAATGCCATGTAACGCCAAGCGCTTGAGCTACAGAATCTGGCAAAAGTCTGCTGAATGCCACCCATCCAGGTCCTGTGCGCGGCGTAGCTCGCTCGCTCGCTCAACAGATTCCTAGCTGTTTATTCAGCGACTTGGCATGCAAACTTGCTTCTTCCCTGGTGAGATGCCGCCCTACTGGGCATTTCTACCTCTTGCGCCTCCTAGGCTTCCCGACTTGGCTCTTTTTCAGGTTTTTAATTCTCTTCTTGAGGTTCGCTGCTTTATCCCGCACACTAAGCTGCTTTTTTTCCCTGAGGCGGCGGCTCTGAATGGATGCGCGCAACAACAGAAGTACACTCCTTTAAAGTGGGGTACGGGCATTGATAGAGAAAAGGGATGCAAAAAAGGAGACATTCTGCATCAATGGTGCAACAAAGTTGTCTTATCACCTGTTGGATCATAAGCAAGGGTTTCCTTCTGTCTTTGACGTGCTGAGGCGTTGAGCCCTTTTTGTTTTCAGTATCTTGCTGCCACTTTTTGCCACCTAGTTTCTTCTGCTGCAGCTTCTCCTCGCGTTCCCGGGCCCGCTCTCTCGCCCTGCGCCGCTTGCGGCCCGCAATACCTTCCAGGTCTCGCTCTGACACAAACCCATCCTGAGAAAGTAACACAACCCCACCCACAAACACATATACACCCTAGTGTTCCGACTAGGCCGTGGCATGAAGTGCAGGTGATGGGGAGGCCGTACAGTACAAAGACTGTTTAAAATAGGAATAATTCGGCATGCACAAGCAAGCGTAGTACGCGTTGACGATGATAATGAGCAAGCCCAAGGACACATGTACATAGATCTAAAAACAAACTGATGTGCAAACAGATGTACATGCATTTGTGTATGTTGCGAAGTTTCTCAACAAAAAAAACACACATCAAAGACATGAGCGCCCCTTACCTCCTGACGGTGTCCCTCAGTTTCATCCTCGCTGTCTTCGCTGTCACTGCTGCTATCACTGCTATTTGCAGCTTGGCTATCCATGTCTTCTTCCGCAGTAAGTAACTTGAGCAGCTTCAGATCCCTCTCCGAGTCAACTTGAAGGCCCCCCTTCTTCCGCGACCCTCCTCTGACCTGCTGTGCCAAGTGCTTTGCTCTCAACAAACGCAGAGCTGCAAAGTCTGCATCAGTTAGCAAACGTGCACCACCCTCTGGAACGTGATCCGCTTCTGCTTGCACTTCTGAAATCTCCTCCTTAGTTGCTGCGTCTCCTGCCGCTGTTTGAAGGCGGCGTTTCTTCTTTGGTGGCTGCCCTCCTTCGGTTGCTTCCTGTGTTGATTGTTGCTCTATTTCTATTTTTTCCTTGTCTATCTCTTCTCCATGTGCATCTTCGTCTGGCTGGCTGTCCTCAGCTTCACTGTCTTCTTCGTATTCGTCTGTCTCTTCTGCTTCATCTGCCCCTTCATCTGTCTCTTCACCATCTGTCTCCCCCTCTGTCTCGCTGCCCTGGGCGTCATCGTCTCCTTCCTCGCCCTCACTCTCACCCTCATCAGTCTCTTCCTCCTCTTCCTCTTCCTCCTCTTCCTCTTCCTCCTCTGCACCCCGCAATGCCCTCTGCAGCTCCTCCTTGGAACGCCTTTTTAGAGCCTCCAGCTGCGGCAGTAGACTGAGGGTCGTCGAGGTGGTGAGGGCCCCAAACTCCAGGGGGCCCCCCTGAGAACACACGTCACAAAGCCTGACAGTGTAGCTGCCCCCTTAGATTATCATCAGGGCTTTTACAAGATGCTTACACCAAAGTCGCAGTAACGCTGAGAGACAGAGAGCCATTAAGAGAAACGTCGAGAAAAAAGGCGTCGAATTGTGGAGGCGGCAAGGACGCGAATGAGAGAGGCTACCAAAGAACGGTCAACAAAAAGGAGCTTTCTCTCACTGTGTTTCGTTGTAGCTGTATGGCAGCTTCCTTGCCCAGGAAGGCTTTTGGAAGCATTGTCGGGCATACTTCCCTAAAGACATTCAAAAGGCCCCTAGCAGCCGCAGACACGCTTTTGCTGCTCTTGTGCTTAGTGTATTGTAGCAAGTCTCCGAGCAGCTCGGCCGTCATGCATTGCGGATTTCTGCTGCAGATCTCCATTATCTGCGCCATAGACACGCCCTAGCCCGTACGCCTTGTGGCCTCAACCTTCAATCTAAGATGACTACGATTTGAGGATCTGACTGTGCCACGGGCCAGGATTCGCTGTTGGTAAGACGCATATTGCGGAAAATGTTGGAGATGCACCCGCCAGATAGTGTGCGAGAATGTAGTTACAGGCTTAGGCCGTACAGGTATGGAGGACTTACAGCGTTGAGGCCCAGTGTGATTACCTCCTCTCCCCGCGTGTCGTTCACGAAGTTGTCTGCAATCGTTTTGACGAGGGGCAAGACTTCTTGGGGAGGAACTCCGGCATGAACAGCGTTGGCAGAGACCGCGAGAAGTGCAGGGACCAGCCGTTGCGTGGGATTCATGTACCTCTGTAAGTAGGGGTAGAGGTTGAACAACAACACCTTGTGATGCGAAATTAGACGGGACAATAAATTGAGGAAGACAACACGCGTGCCAAAGCTTTCGCGCTGCTGACGCACGCGGGCTGTAGACGAACAAATAGAAACACGCAAAAGCAGCCCATAGTCCGACCTCAAAAGCCAGGACTTACTGCATTCTCCACCCATGAAACATAGCAAAGAGCTTTACTTTTCTGAAAAGGCCAGAGCCAGCAGCTGTCTGTGCCTCCCATTTGATGACAAAGTACACGCCGAAACCAGGAGCCTAAGCGCAACGCGTGATCAGGAGATTCCACCCTAAACCTTAAACCCTGAACCCCATTAATTATTACCAAAAAGCTTTTCTGCGAAGGAATGGGGGTCGTAAATGAGATCCAAGATGGCGGTAGAGGCCGTAGTTCCCCACTGCTCGCGCTGTTCCTCAATTCGTTGCTGCTTTCGCACCAGACGCTTCTGCAAGCGTTGCTGCAGCAGCAACCAGAAGACATAGCATTGCAACATGCGCAGCGTACCAGAGGGGCCAGAAATGCATACCAAGCCCGTTTACATCCAAAGGAAAACTGAGCGCAACCATAGAAATCTTTCAAGAGTGTGAGGGAAATCCAAGCAAATCGTGAATCGCTTCAACGCGATAGGCCTCCACAGCGTATGCCTTTGTAGATTACGTAGGCACCAGCAAAAGCAACCGCAAGGGAATCAAACGGGGAGTGCCAGGCATTAGGACAGCGCTTTACTTCTCGGCACTTTGTGCTTTCAGCGCAAAAAGCTTCCAATGTAGAGCTCGAGTGATACAGCAGACCCGTTCAGTGAGCACATGGAGCCTAAGGCATGCCGATACCCCTCAAAGCATCACGCGCCCTCCCCCCCCACGAAGGCTTCCCACCTTTTGCTTTTTCAGCTTCCGTTTGGCCGCAAGCGACTTCTTCGAGTGCAGGGCGCTGTGCTGCTGTAGCTCTGCCGCTGCGGCTGCTGCCACTGCCTCCTCACCCTCTTCTTCCTCTGCCTGGACGGAATAGTTCGCTTGGGTTGCTGCGGCCTGCGAAGCAGCAGCGTACCAGCGGAATCACTTGCTCTGGTAAACACTCAAAGAGCCTCCCTGACGAGCACAAATCGCTGCCACTGGTGAGAACCTCCACCCAGAAGGCGCTACAGGCCCTCGCGGAGAGCGTCTAGTGGGGCCCTGGGGCCATGCGTCTGCTTAGCCATAGGATGAGGCTGTAGCTTCGCTTTTGCCCGGCCCAACCACATCCAGTGGCTAGCTCAAGAGAATGGTGGCTAGTACACTGCCAGCTTGGGGATACCTGAATCTCGCCCAGGAGGAATAGAGCCCCACTAGAGGCGAGTTTGGCGTCCGGTGCAAGGGTCGCCCCGACCACTGCGTTGACAACCTTGGCAGCGAAGTCGCTGTTGCGCGTCTGTGGCTTGAGGCTGAGGTGACGGTACACCTGAAATAAGCAGCAGAGTGCGAGCCGGGCTGCAACGGGAGAGGAACCGCTCTTCAGAAGCGCGAAAAGACGATTCAACAGCAAGCCCCGAGCCTGCGAGAGCATCACCGAAACGACAGAAAAACACCAAACATACAGCCACAGAGTCCCCTACTTTCAGATGCACGGCCACTGCAAACACAACTTATGAAACTTTCCTACAACAAATCTTCTGGTCCTGTCTTAGGATCCGCTAATGGTCCTGCAGACCTAGACAGCCATCGCCTCTGAAATCAAGCCCCACTTGGTTGCTATTCGTTGAACCGAAGACTTTCGCGACGTCCTTAACGACAAAGGCCATGAGACGTTGCCGCACAAACTTGTCTTTTAGACACAGAAGAGCCAGGGACTGTTGCAAGAGCTCCTCGCAGCTCAGCTGCAAAGACGCCAGACACCCTAAACCACAAATCTACTCATGAGGATACGCCTGTAGGTGGCGGCTGCTCTGGAGATGCCGGGCTACATTTGCGGAAGAAGGGTGCTGCTGTATAATTCAAACGCAGTGAGGGCCTTCTCTCGGCACTACCACAGGCGTTGAAGTTTTGTTTTGAGGGACTTTGCTTTTCGCAGTACCATCTTTTTACTCCGCAGAAGAAGAACAGCATTGAGCAGTGCATGGCGCGTTGTCGGGTGCAGCTCGGCGCTGCTAAGGAGCTGCTGCATCGCCTCCTTCAATTCCACGGATGGCGAAGGGCCCCCGTCGAGGGGGCCCTGGATGGAGGATGTTGCCTCAGGACCAAAGGCGTCGGACACCAAGGCTCTCTCTGAATTCCCCAAAGTCTCTGCATCTCCAGAAGCCCACGAATCGGCTGCCTCTGCGCTGTAGCAGGGGGCAGTCTGCAGGAGCCACACAGCGAACTAGCGAGCGCAGGTCCGAGGCTTCCTGCTCGTGAAGCATCTCCGGGAGGGCATTTTGCAAAGATCCAGACAACGCTGCATTTACAAGAAGAACGGGCTTAACGGTTTTGGCTTGAGGCTTTAGACCAAGAGATCGGGACTTACGTGTGCAAGGAACATGGCGAGGCTCTGGAGTTTTCTGGTTGGTCGGTAAGGCTGCTCTTTCAGCGCGACCAAGAGGCCTCTGAAGTTTGAGAGCTGCAGAAGAAACTCCTCGCGATACGCCTCAGGATCGCGCTTTATCTTGTTCTGCAGCAAACACCCGTAAACACTGGGGCCCTAGTTCTAGGCCCACGCGCGAAAGGGGAGGGCATGGGCCTAAGGTTATACAGCAGGATTGGATTAAATGGAGAAGGCAGCCAAAGAAAAGTGTGGCATGGCAATAAGTGCACGAAGGCGAGAGCGCGACGTCCAGCAGACCGCAAGGCAGGTTTGGCCAACCCTCGCGCTTGATCGCAGCTTCCGATCTGTGTCGCGTGGGAAGGCTAGGCTTGCCTGCAGGAGAGCCAAAGACATGACGGCGTCTTCCTGATCCTCGTTGAGGCCCCCCATCTTATCTACAAGCCGCTGAGCCTGACTGGGTGCCTGCAAGGCTTGCAAGTTTCGGAGCGCCCTAAGAATCCGCGGGGAAAGGGAGCTCAGCAAACGCCCCTGCGCCTCTTATCGCACCCAGAAAATTGTCTGTAGACTGAAGTTGCAGCTTTTCAGCAGTTTCCGCAGAGTACGCAAAGGAAGATAGCGGAAGGCGGCGAGGGACACCTCAGCCCCGCACAGCGAGACTCAAAGCGTGCAGTCCACGGCTGTGCCGGAGGAAAACCTTGTCTGTTTTGACCTATTTGGATGGAACCAGGCTTAGAGCTCGTCCTGCGGCACTGCTTGCGCAAGATGCTCCTGCAGAAGCAGCGATGAGGCACCTGAAGGTCCAAGGGCCTCCCTCCTCCCGCGGCCATACGGGGGGTTGGGGGGCATGCAGCGATGAGGTACCGAGAACCACCCAGCAAGGAAGCAGCGATTAGAGCGGCTCTTCTGAACCTTCCTGCTTATTCATGGGCAGTTTGGACTTCTTAAGGCCACGCAGGCTCCGAAAAGTCACGATATCTTCACCGGCAGCCCGTTCCTTTTCCTTCAGCGGGGGGCACTGAACAACGCGCTTCCCGCCACAAACCGCCGCTGCCTCACCCTGAGGCGATCACGAATCCGAGGTGCTGTGCCGTACAAAAAATCAGCGAAGGCAGATTTCACAGCCTCAAGGCTTCCGAGCCTGCCAGCCTGCCTCCTAGTCCCCAACCCCGAATTTCCGGCAGGATGGACGCGGAGGAAATCTCCCTGGGATTTATGACGGCCGAGCGGAGGGTTCCTCGATGGTTTTTCCCATCGAAGGTAGGAGGCCTCCCCACATGGCAGGCAGGCCCTCCTCCCGCCAATTTGTTTTGTACCGTCTGTTCGCCTCAAGTCCCTCTCACGCTGCTCGTTCAGGTACGCAGGCAAGGCGCAGCAGGGTGCTCCACGCTTTCTTTCGCTCGGTAGTTATGATTGCATGCGGCTATTCTGACTGTAATTCGGCTCTAATTGCCCGGCCGTTTGTGCGTGGTGCTGCTCTCGTCTTGTTAAGTGCCCGCGTGGCCTTGGGTGCTTCAGCGTGTCTAGCTGTTGTTGCACGTTCTGCGCTACCTGCAGGGAGCTTTTAGTGTTGTTTTGAAAATCTTTCTCAGTGGACCTCTATTCTATTGCTAGGGCTCCTGCGTTTATCTCTCTCTCTCTCTCTCAGATTTACGCGCCTGTTGATGGGCTTGTGGCTTCTTTTCACCGATCCCTCTACGTATTTTGCTGCCTCTCTTGCGGGGGGCACTTCCGTGCGGTGTCTTCGCACCTCCCACGAGAAAATGACGAATACCCGAGCTTCGCACTCTCCAACTTCTTTGCGTCCAAAAAAGAGTTTTGGCGGCTGTGGCAGCAGCAGCAGCTGGAGCAAAAGGTGAATACTTGCAACAACAATAGCAGCAGCACCTCAGACACATCTGCTACAGCTGCCATAATGGCGCCTTCAAGGGGGACTTCAGGAGATACGCACGGGCAAGCGCAGACAATTGATGAGGCAACCAAGGCGGCAGTAATAAGGCTGCTGCAGCGGGGTGAGAGACTCCGCCAGGTGTGCTGTTGCCCGGTATGCGGGCTCAGTGGTGGAGATGTCGTTTCCGAGACAGAACATGCAGCTGCTGTCGAACTGCTGCAGCAGCAGCTACTCCGAAACGAAAGGAGGCTGCAGGTGTTGTTGCGGCAACAGCAGGAGGAGGCAGCCGAAGCAGCGGAAAGTGACGAGGAGACAGATCCTTCGGGAGTTGTCGATCTGGACTCGACAGAGTTCGAATTCGAGGACACGGAGGCAGATCAGCGAGGGCTGCTGCTCTTGGATGGAGTTCATATTAAAGGTGTGTGCCTTTTTTTTTGCTTCATATAAATCCTAACCTCTAGGGATCAGTGCCAACTCGGGACAAGAGTTTTTGGTCATAGAACGTCTCGTTCAAAATTGAGGACGGCTGTCCTTTACCTTCCTTTTGCAGATGCTCGTTCCTGAGGGCCTATGCAGGCTTCCTCCCTTGACGAGCACACATCACTGCGTGCGCTGCCGTCTAGGATTTGGTTTTGTAAGCGCTCGTGTTTGGGGTGATTGCTCCGTGCGTGCAGCTGGTCGAGTGCTGCATCCGCGGTGCCTGAAGAGACTGAAGTTCGGTTCTGTATTTGTTGCCTTCCCGGAGTTTCCCCTGTCCGCTGAGACGGAGGAGCTGGGAAATAAGGAATCCTCAGCGAACGAAACTCTGGAAGCTGCTCTAGAGAGGCTTGGACTGGCAGGAGATAACGAACCCCTTTCTCACGAGGAAGAGCTTCTCAAGCAATACCAACAAACCATCAAAGAGACACCGGGTAAGCCTGAATCAAAATCAGACCGACCCCTATAGCGCAGTGTAGAGCCACCCGGGGAGGCCATGCTTCCGTGTTCCACGGGCATCTCGGAGTTGAAACCGTTGCACCAGCTATGCAGGAGAAAAGGGGTTTTCAATAAGGTGAATGCTTTTGTGATGGAATCTGCATTCGTTAAAAAGAGAGGCACCCTCTGGAATTGAAGCCTTTGTCCCGATGGTATACCCAATACAGAGGTTTTGCTTTATCCCCCATTTGCTCTTTGTTTCGGTTTCTCTCGTTTGGCGTTTGTGCGCGTCTCGGCAGTATTCCACCCTGGCTTTTGCTTCCCCGATTGCATGCGGGGTTCGCGCTGCGTCTCGTTGATTTGCTTGGTTGCTGGGGTTTACCTGCCTGCAGAGGCTGACCTGGATGAGTCGGAGACGGATGCTTTTGAGGAAATCTACCAGCAGCACACTTCGCAGGATCCTCAGTTGGAAGTTTTTCTTAAGCGTTGCGGAAGGCCTCATCAAAAAGGCCACGTCGTCCGGTATGCCCAGGGGGGCACCCCCCTATGGCCGTTCTCCAAGGGGCAGATAAAGCCAGCAGAGGTGCCTCCCTGCGCATGCGGAGCTAAGAGACAGTTTGAATTTCAAGTCAGTTAGTATGGGCAAAACATCCTGCCTCCCCTAGCGACCAACCGGTGGCTATGTGGTGCGGCAGTCGGGTTTGGTACTGTTGGTGACTTTTTCTGTCTCTGACCCCCTTTGATGTCTCGCTCGTTTTGGTGTTGGGGTCGAATCCTTAGCCAATGCTACAGAATGCATGTACATACATTTCTTATGTTGCCCCTACCCGCGTTTCGCCGTAGGCTTCCTCCGGTTTGTGTGTGCGTACCGGCTTGCCCCTATCATCTGTTCTGTTTCCTCTCTTTTATTTGATGAGGATCAATATTAGCTGTCCCCTTCTGCTATCTTCTCAGGTTCAGCCTCACCTGATCTCTCAATTAGCGGAGCGGGTTGGTCTGCACGACCCTGCCGGTGTTGCATCTGTGGAGCGCCTTTCTTTTGGCCTTGTAGCGGTCTACAGTTGTTCAGCACATTGCTCTTCCCTGTCTACCCTCCCCCGAGGGTACAGAGAAGAATTCGTATATGCACAGCCGGACCCCTTTTATGGATGAGCCTTTTGGCCTTGGTGCAAGATGCCACCAAGAAAGCACGGCCAGACGGAGGTACCCACAGTTTTTCTACTTCGGAGAGCGCAGAAAGCTCCAATGCACGCATAAGAAGCTAGCAGAAACAGAATAAGCAGTGTGGTATATTTTCCCTGTGAAGCAGAAAATGAGGCCTGGTGCGCTGTCAGAAATCCTGCACTGGGTGATTGCCGCTTCTATCGTTCCTCGAAGGAATTACCACAGAATTGCCCGTGGAGAGCACAAAATCCACCGGATGTACATAAAAAGTCTAAGCAGATGCATTCTTCTTTGGTTCCCAGGGTTACGGAGAGCATACAAGCACTACTGAAAATAAAGTTGCTGGGCCTGCTACAGCATCCTTAACTCCTACGGTTCATGTATCGGGGAGGTGCATCCTTGACTCCCACTCTAGTTTTTAGGGGCGCAACACTCATCTTTGTCCTCCAGCGTATGCCTTAAGTCACAGCAGGAACAGCCTGGACCTTAGGAGTGGGCGTAGAAGTGACGCCACGACCCTTCGTAGCCTCTACGGTAGCTCCTTGTGTTAGATTGCACATCGGATAAAGGGGCTAATCCTACTACCTCTAGGGCCCCCTAAATGTCGTGGATGTCTGTGATTTCCTTCGCGTGCTCTCGTGGTGGCCACGAGGTAAACGAGTGCCCCTATAGACCGGAGTATTTCCCTTGGGTCCCTACATTGCCTACACAGAAAGGAACTGGGGCCTACGATTCGTGTTGTCGACAAAGATATCTTCTGTCTCTTTGGCTAGAAAAACGGAAGAAGCTGCTTTGTGATTCGGTTAGAGGGGTAAACATGAAGGACATTTAGGGTCCAGCCCCAAGGCATCCCTGTCAATGTCAAGGAGGACTACCATCAGCCAGCTAGGAGGTAGGCACACTGCGCGCAAGTCTTGTCCATCGATTTATGCGCGCACATATGAATGGAGTTGAGACTAAGGACTATATTTCAAGAATGGTGTGAAGCCATGGGCTCCTCCGGCACAAGGCTCAAGGCCTCGTGAGCTGCCTTGGCGCCCGATCCCCAGGAGTCCTAGGGATTGGCCCCCACCACAATGACGCCGCTTCAGCATTTCCTGCAGCCTGTTGCATTGTTTTATAGCTGCCTTTATTTTTCAAGCGTGAGCCGATCTCATGACTCCAACCTCTAATTTCCATGTGCTCCCTACAATGAGCCCCCCTGACTAGCGAGCCGCAATATATTTGAAACCCTGACTATCTAGCCACTGCGCTGTCCCTCCATTAGGCTCTTGGGGAGGAATCCGCACAAGCCACAACAGCACACGCATGGACTGGCAACCTAGGCCTTAGAGCCGATGCATTTGGTGGGCTACATGCCTCAGCCCCAGAAGTCAATTACTCAAACGGTGGATCGTAATGCGCCTCAGTGAGGGATAATGTTGACCAGAGGCCCTCAGGGTGTGTTCATAGCTACTCTAGCGGCGCGTTTTACTGTGTGTGCGATTTCCGCTGCACTTTACAGGAAACGGCCATCCGCATATTTTGCTGAGCAGTTCCCCCACCCTATTCTCATTCACCGAACAGGCTCATGCATTCGGTGGACGTACACCCGGTTCCGACCAAGGGCACTGTCTCGCAGAGTCAACAACCGCCTGCGAAACCCCTACTGGCGTATCTCGAGCACGCGGGGACAATGGGGAGGGGGACGCTTCCTCTACGGCTTTCGCTCAGGGGGGCGCCCACAGTCTCTCTGCTTTCCTTCAGCACCATAAAAGCCCTCCCAGTAAGCTCGCAGCTCTTGAATGGACGGAGGCTCAGCAGCATCAGGCGCAACTCGTCAGCGCCAATGTTCCACGACGCGCATTAGAGGCAGCCGTGCGGGAGGCCTTCTACGCGTACCCCGTCTACGAGGGCAGAAGCTTCAGGCTACATTTGCAAAGGAGGGGACAGAAGAAACTGCTTGCCGCACTCAGCAAGCATGGGGCTTTTGACCTTCCTGTGCACGAAGCGAGCCAACCGGAATGGAGCTTCATGCAAGCGCTTTCGCGAAACTACCTTCGTAGGGGCTATCAGCTGTGGAGCTTAGGGACAGTTATGAGGCTTGAGCACTTACAGCTTACAAATTGGGAATACATCTATGAGCGTCTACACTTTGTTTTGCGAATCAAAGTTTAAAACAAGTGTTAGTGCTTGGAGTCCGATTCACGTGTGTACGTGCGTGCTTGCATCGAGTGGGGTGTACAGAGAATGACCAAGCTGTCAACGACAATCCGACCCGCGCTGTGGTTGACAAGTCCAGCGATCCTCCGCTGACGCATTCCATCTTGCAGTCTATGCTAGATATGAAGTGTACGAATACCACAACCACGGGTGGCCGGGGGGCGGCACGCGTCATCTATGGGGAGGTCTACTGCTTTTCAACTAGCAGCCTCCAGATGACTGAGATGGGCACATGTGTCGACGTATGCCTTCAAGAATTCGAGTGTCCTGGGAAGCCTGACATTACAGCAATGAGAGAAAAGCTGCAGCTGACGAGAGAAGAGCTTTTAAACAAGTATTGTAGTAAGTCGGGGTGCAACTTCCGGGCTTGTTCGCAGCGAAGGCCTCCCGCAGCGACGGGGCTTTTAACGGCTAGCCAGACACGCACCTGGACGCAAAAAATTGTGTCATCAGAGCATCAGTAACACCGAATTTCGTAGGAAACATGGCAGCAGCGGCAGGTGGGGGGGCGGGGGGGCGTGACAAGGGCAAGGAATTATGGTTGCCTTTGTGTATGCGGCGTTTCCACAGTGCCTTTTGGCGGGGTCAAAAGCCCGTTTATACGTGCTTTTTGCGCAGAAAGTTCTGAGCTGCAATTTCTCATGGATCGTCAATTTTGTGGCGACAGCAGCGTACTGCGCATGTTGAGAAGCGGGGTACCGCGCTGGTATTGCCTTCCTGCGTCCCACGAGATGGGCCACCTAGAACATCTCATGTGCTTCGGGCCCTGTGGTCAGAAAGTTGAATGCCTTACCCCTTTAACCCCCATTGTCCTTGATGGCGCCTTGGGGGACTTGCTGAAGGCAGTGCAACAGCACCTACCGTTGGAATGCAGTAAGCCGGGGACCGCCGCACGGAGCCGTTTTTGGCAGTGCTGTTGAGACAGCACGTTCATAGTGCTGCCAGCGTGTTGTTGTAGGTCGGGGCTACACTGTATTGCTCGGCATTCCCTGCATGGGAAAATGGGGGCAGTGGCGTCTTTGCACCCAGCCGTGAAGCCCCAGGTGGTCCTCCAGCTTGCAATGTCTGCACACTTGAAGAATGTGTCCTTTTGTTTTGTGCGTGCGTCGCTTCTTAGCTTGCGACGAAGTGCATGGAAGGGAGAACTACTCCGGCTGTCAAACAAAAACTCGTTTAGGAAAGGTCTGCCAAAAGTGGAACTCTCAGACTCCCCACAAGCATGAGGCCCTAAAGGACCAAGATCATAACTTTTGTAGAGCAGCAGATGGAGCCAAGGATATCTGGTGCTTCACTACGGACCCAGATGTACGTTCAGACTACTGTCAGGCTCTAGGTATGTACATTCGCTACACCCTAGACATCCCAAGTTATCTCGCGACCTAGTATATCTGCCATTGCATTCTTCCTCCCTCGCGTAGATGCATGCGCGTGCAAGTGCTCCCGAAGAGTGATCATCACATCTCATTGTCCGCTGTCCAACAATAAATTTGCTTGCAAGTGCCATTCCCACTTCTTCTGCTGAGTGCGTTTCACTGTTAAAACTTCGTCTCCCTAACCGCCTTTGCATGTCGACATCTTGTTTGAATGCGCATCTTCTGGCTTTGTTGAGCTCCTCCCTATCTGTATGGCCTCAGGGCCCAAGACCCAGGTGGTGCACCCGCAAGAGGTGTTCGACATCGTTCTGGAGGGTTCTTTTTATACGCCGACGTTCGATATTGCATTCTTTGAAGGTGATGAGAAGTTAGAGGAGCCCTGTGTCAAAGGGCATCAGACGGGGGACATACAAGTGCCCAATGCAGTAAACAGCACCGTAAAGAGGGTGAAACCTGTGGAGACGGATGGAGCTGTATCTGGATTGATTTGGGAAGGAGCAACGGTGGGCGAGAGCGCAAAAGGGGCATATGCCATTTGTCTCTGTGACTATACCTACTTTATCGGGAACACAAAGATCTGTAGCAAGCCCAGTGACTTCACTCTGCACGTCGGCTGGCTACAGGTCAAAGGTGAGGCACGACGTGGTGTACAAAGGCGTGCAACCATCCAGCAGCAGCCTGCGGGTTTAGCGCGCGCGTTCCTAGCATGCTTAAATAGCAGCCATGCAGGGCAGGCAATAGTCGCCATATTCAAAGAACGGAGAGAGACGTCCCACTTGAGCGCAATTAGAGGGGAGTGCAAATGCCGTCTGACGATTGAGTTGGGTATTGCCTTTCTGTTTCGTAGGTCCTGTTGGCCCTGAGGAGACCTTTAACCTTCAGGCAGGGCGGCCTGCATCTCTCAATTTGAGTGGATACGGCTACCAGGAGGGGGATACTGTGTCTATAATGCAAACACCGTACGAGTGTGACCGCGCCACCTTTACCTTTGCTGAGGCCATGAGCGGTCTAATTCAGAAGGGCCCAGAGGCAGCACTAATGATTCAGAAGGCCTTAGAAATCGGTGCAGCTACTGCCGCAATCGTCTCCTCCACAAGCGTCTACAATAAGGAACAGCTTGTCACAATGGTGCTCCCAGAGGTAACTGTGTATGGCATCGGCACATTTACTGCCTGTTGGAGATCTAAAGACAACACTGCATCGGCCTCCGCGGCCACCATTGTCGTCTCAGGTATTTACTCGGGCCCTGTACACCGTATAGCTAGGAATCAAGTTGGGTTAAGGGTGCCTTATACCACCTGCATGGCTGAGGGACCTGGTATGGCCCCGGACTCCGCCGAACCTGGGAAGATATTCTAATCTCATTCCTGCCACGGGCCATTCCCTGCCGCGTTTTACGTCTATGCTGTGTTGTGCGTAAAAAACTGCATGCAGTGCATTTAGATGGATGTACATCGTGTGGTCACCGTGCGCTTTCCTGGCTGTGTGCTTCAGGAGTTGAGTTGCGGCGCCAGTTTTATGCCTTATACGTAGCCAAATCCGCAGGAGTTGATGATCGCCCTTTTGCCATGTTTATCAAAGCTCGAGGAGATGTAAAAAAGCCTGGAGCAAATGATATCTACCTTACGCTTGTAGGGGAGGACTCGTGCGGTGGGACTGTTGTTGGCAGGTCTCAAGACGTCAGTGAAATCACGGGAGGCAAGAGTGAAGAGATGAAATACTTTGTTGCAGAGTGAGTCAGTACAGACCGACTGGCGGACTTACGTGAGAGAAGAGGGAGGCTGTAGGATAGCCCTCATGCCGTCTGTAGAGCAAGCCTCCCTGGCATTTCCAAATGGGCCGTAAGGGCGCGCTGCACGATGACCACCAGTTGCGTTGATTTCATCGGTCTGCCGCTGAGACACTGACGAGGAGCTTTGCAAAGCGTATCGCACGAAGACGGTATTGTTTTTGTCTATGTTCAGTTCCTTCGCTTGTGTAATTTAGTGCATCCGGCTGACGTTCTTGAGTTGGTGAGTTTATCTGTGCTTCCTATTGTGGTTCCCCAGGCAAATCACAGTGAGCAATCTATCGAACAGCGAAGGGAGTACTGCGAGTACTCTTGGAGTTTGTATGGATACAGAAGGAGAAAAGGTATTGTTGGGATATGCCTATGTATCCCGGTCTTTGATATATCCACTAGAAAGCCTTCAGTTTGGGCTTGAAGGATACACAGGGATCCCCAGCTATATTTTCACCCACTCCATCAACAAGTTCAGCGCTCTAGGGCTGCACTGGAATAATGTGCAAAGTGATTGCTTTTACGAAAAGGACCTTACAGCCTTTTTTGCAAAGGGTGACTTTCCAAAGGCCCTCAGCTATTGGGTTGGCCCATCAGCCATTACCGTCTGGCACTCCTCCATTTCGCGGCCTTCTCCCACGCCCTTCGCGAAGTTTGAAGTTTCAGGAGCCCGTGCCGTGGGTATTTCGGCTACAACCGAGAGTATCGTGTTCTTTATTGCCCTCACAAACCCGGCGCGCATAGAATCATACGACATGACGACCCCGGCAAATATCTGGGAATTGTCGCCAACAGCAACAACTGCAGATAAACTCAAACTCGAATCGCCCGTTGCAATGTCCATCTTACAAGGGAAGTCCCGGACACTGGTCGTTGTTGTAGATACCAAACTGCGGCAGGTGTTGCTCCTCGACACTGATCTGCAGCCTTTGGAAACCAAGAGCGTGTGGGATGGCATGATCAGACCTCTGGAAAACCCCAAGTCTATTTTCTGTATAGAAACACCCAGCAGAGTCTCTCCCGAGGTGTTTGACTGCTACATTACGGATCCTAGAAGAGATCGGCTGATCCTGCTGCAGTATGACACCAGTACTGGCTCCTCCAGCTTTGTCTCCGAGGTTTCAGAGGGCGACGATGAGAAACTCACCAGCCCGCACGTGGTTCTGGCACACCCCTTCAGCGGCTTTACACTAATCTACGTGGCAGAGGTGAGAAAGAGGAAGGACTGCAGCAATTAGGTCTATACGACTTTCGCCTTCCCAGTGTGTTGCTCTTTGTCCTTACCTAAATCATCATGTCCCTGTCCAGGAAGCTCGCTTATCTTTTCCACCGTGATCCCCTTTAAGAAGGGCTACCTGTGAGCAGAGAGCGGCCACTTGGGCCCAATCCTCTCTTAGTGACTCACAATGAGGTCTGCCTTTTCTTTATACTCTTCTCAGGAGGGAAAGGCAAAGCCGATGCTTCTGACGAAGCCTGATGGCCAGTCAGAGATTCAACTCTACCAGCGTCTCGAGACTCTGTCTGCTGGGGAGGTTGACATGCCGGCAATCTGCCTGCTGCAGACAGGACACGACTCTGATGGACTCAATTCTGTCTGGCTAATGGCCTTTCACAACTCCTATGACGGACCCTTTGTCAGTCTGGTGCCCCTTGATACCACAGCCACCGCCCCAGAATTCAAGTACACCCCAAGGGAGTGGTATGCCTTGGGAGAGGAACATAAACTGGAGCCATCCATTGTGGGGGAAGGAAGTTCCTCTGGGCTCATGGGCTTTTCCCTTAATGGTGCCGCACAGTCCTATCCATTTATGGAGAGGAATGTTAGCATCGACAAGAAAACAGGAACTCTCACCTTAAGTCTGGTTGACATTCAAGAGGGGAGCGTGACTGTAGAAGTTATCGGCAGTGGTATCGTGAACAGCGTCCATACGTCCTTTTCATTCCGCATAGGATGCAGGGATGGGCATTACTTCAAACAGGGAATGTGCATCAAGTGCCCCACAGGAACCTTTAACAGTCTAGCTCTCGTTAAGGAAAGCCCTGCGAGCTACTTCCACCAATGTCGACTTTGTGAAGGGAAAACGACCACACTCGCTGAAGGATCCACCAGTAATGAACAGTGTCTCTGCGAGAAGGGATACCACCGCGACGAAAAAGTCGACGCCAACGAATGTACACCATGCCCAGAAGGTGTGTTTTCTCAGGCGTTTGCCTTTCCAGTCCAGAGTTGGGTGTGACAAATGAAACCCAAGAGTGCCACAAGATTGTTGAGAGGCGTGGGAGGACTATGGAAGCGACAGTATGGTGTGCCCTACTTCTCACAGTTCTGAAAGGGAACTCTTCCAGCTAGTATAAAGCCACTAAGCGTGATGTGGGGGTGTCTGTGCAGGCTCCTACAAGGACATGGTAGCCAACTCGGGGTGCACCGGAGGCGGCTGCCCCCAGTTTTCCGTTTCTCATGTTGTTGGCGCTGTGTCGTCCGCAGACAGGAAGTGCTCGTGGTACTTTCCCGAATCTTTACTCGTGCTGGGTTGCCCTCTTTACTCCTTTGGTACTGCTTGACTCAGGAAGGTCCCTGTGTTATGCTGCCTTTTCTGTGTTTGCGTCCTTGTGCGTATGTGCAAGCTTGCCGGGGCACTACGCAGTGCATGAAAACGACGACTTAGAATGTAACCAAGTCGAAGTCGGCTATTTTTCTCTTGGCGGCTACGAGGCTCAGCGCGTGCAGTGCCCCCCGTTTACTTCGACCAACAAGGAAGGTGGTCTGGCCACAGACATCACGCATTGTCTCTGTGAGCCAGGTTTCGCCCCCGCAAATTCAGAGAGCTTGCAGGACCTCAACAGTCCGGCCAGCATGCTGAAGAGGTGGATTCTTTTGAATCCTGCGTACAAAGGCCTGGATGACTCCCAAGTTTGCATGCCGTGCGGGAGGAGGCATTACAAGGGGCGAGTTTCAGCCGAGCAGTGCATCGAGTGTCCAACGAATTCCTTTTCTAGCGTGGACAGCCCTACCAACAAGAGCAGCTGCAACATGTGTATTCCGGGATATTACTTGACCTCAAATGAGGACCTGCCTTGCGGAGAATGCCAATCCAATCACTTTTGTGTCGGATCTGAGCCCTCCGTCGCTGGCTTGGAACAATTTGCAGGGGAGAAGGTCCCCTGCTCTGAGAATACTGAGACGGTTGAGCCCAACAGGCAAAACAAAGACCCATTTAGCTGCATGTGAGCATGCATACCAGTGGGTTGAAGGGATTTCCAGTTTAGCCCTGATTAGCTTTGTAGTGTTCTCAGAAGCCCGATGGGTCTTTTATACTATATGGATTGCCTCGTTCAGCTGTGTGGACAAGTGTGTTCACGTGTGTCCTTGCACGCCCGTAGCTGTAGCCACTTGCGCTTCATAGTTAAATGAGCTGGAGCGAGTGGGCTGAGAGCCAAAGTCATAGGCTTACATTTGAGGGGTGTTGTGCCGAACAGGTGTACAGCGGGCTATGAGTTCAAAGGCATAGACTTCATCACAAACAAGGTTGTATGCAATCCAGTGGCTCTGGGGGAGTATAAGGACTCCTTGGGCAACTTGCAAGGTGCCAGCTGTCCACCAGGCAGTTACACGCTCAGGCCCACCTCAACCTCTCTAGCAGACTGCGTGTGCAATGCCGGATATTATTTGGATGAAGAGAGCAAAATCTGCCAAGTGAGAAATAGCCAGCTCTTCACCGTGTAATATCTGCACCCCACCCTGTTGCCACTCAGAGGCATGCCTAGCTGTCTACCTTATATGTTATCATCTGCAAAACCAAAGTCCTGGGCAGTTTAAAGTGAGGTATACAGGGCGCAATGAAGCGAAAGCTTTGGAAACACTTGCTAGGCGCTGCAGTGCATTGAGGAGCTAAAGAGCTTACGTCATTATTTCCCTTGCCTTTGGTGCGACACGAAAAGCTGAGGCTTCATCTGTTCGAAATTTACATTTTTGGATTTTTGTGAATTTTCCTGCCTCAGCCATGCCCCGTGGGTGCGTACTGCTTGGGAGGCCTTAATCCCGACACAAACCGTCACAGCGGTTTTGTGCAATGCCCTAAGAACACCACTACCAAGGATCAGATGAGCACGTCAGTCAGCGATTGTCTCTGCGACAAGGGCTTTTACCATTCTAGCACAAGTGCAGCATCAGAAGGACCTAGCTGCAATGTGTGCAGCGTCAACTCCTACAAGGACTGGATTGGGAACGAGGCTTGCAAGCAGTGTAGCGAGAACTCTGAAACAAACGCTACGGGCTCTACTTCTTCAGCGCAGTGCCTTTGCAGGCCTGGCTACTACTACAGCAGCAACTTCAGGGAATGCCTTGCATGTAAGAGCACTGCAAAATATTGTCCTGGTGGAGAGATGGACTGTACGGATGACGACGAAGATTGTGTAGGAGGCAAGAAGCCTATACAGCCTATCGACTGCCCAGACCATACACGCATCACCGAAGGCTTCGACACCCCCTCAACACTTGATGACTGTAAGCATCTTGTGGCCACACATATGTATATCCCTTAGGATATGCCACGTCATTCCCAGCTGCTTTTGCAGTCTGATTCCATCCTTTGCGGAGTTTTTCGGACGGCTTCGACCCCTTGGCAAGAAGCAGGTGGTCCAATGCTAGCTTGTGTGCTGCATCTCTTTGCGATTTAGGCAAGTGCGAAAGGGGCTACGCGTTTAGACACGTGGACTTGAATCTCCAGACAAAAGTTTGCGAGCCATGCAATGCGGGTTCTTACAAATCGACAATTCAGGATATCAACTGCAATGGTCTCTGCGGCGTCTCGTCAACCAGCTTGGTGGGAGCTCAAGCTCAAGTGCAGTGTTTCTGTGAAGAGGGAACTTACTATGCTACGGGATCGTGTCACACTTGCCCTGATGGGGCTGTATGCTCGGGAGGCCTCAGTGACTACGCCATCAGTGCCCTTCAGAAAGACCCCAGCTACGTATCTATCACGAGCGAAGATCACGTGAAGCCGTACTCTCAGGCGGGATACTATCTGAATAAGCTGAACGACAAGCTTGAATCTCCTTCCGACTGGCAATTTCTGCAGTGCCCCATCGAAAATGCCTGCTTGAAGTTCGGAGTTTGTTCTGCCACCATGACGGACTATCTGTGCAGCGAGTGTAAGTACGGTTACACCAATGGATTCGAGAACGACACGATCTGCACCGCGTGTCCGAACATGGTGCCGAATGCTTTGCTGCTTGTGTTGTACCAGATTGCCCTTCTTCTTTTCAACATTGGTATGGCGTACATGAATGTGGCTGCTGGCTTCAACCGGCGGTCGATTCACTCTGTTGTGATTAAGATCGCCTCCAACTTCATTACGTGCATGTCAGTGCTCACAGTGGTGGACTACAACCAAATAAACCTACCCACTTGGCTTACCAGTATCACCAATACTGTCTCTGAGACGATTACCCAGAAAGAGACTAGCACCCACATGATGGCCGTTGAGTGCCTGTTGCGTGAGGGATTCAACTTGAGCTATGCGGATTCGTTCTTCTACACGATGTTATTCCATGCACTGTTGCCGGTATGCCTTCCGTTTCTCGTGACCTTCCTGCTCTTTTTCTTGCTTAACCGGTTCAAGCAGTACTATAGAAACTCGATTAAGAAGAAGCTTCAGCTGCTGGAGGAAACTGAAAAGTACGGTCTCACTAGCTTGACGGAGCAACTGAGGGAACGCTACGAAGAGGATAGAGCCTTCATGATGTTTCGATATATTCCAATCCCCGGGGATTCCCAGTGGCGCCGCTTCACAAAGTTCGTGGAAGACATGATTCCTATCTACGTTACTGTCCTCTTCTTCCTCTATACTGCCACGACGCGTCATATGTTAAGTCTGCTAGATTGCAAGATGATAGACTTTGGCACGACGCACGGTTCCAAGTACTTCTTGAGTTCAGCGATGAGCGTTGAGTGCTCAGTTGACCCCTCAAAGGAGTACTTCAAGTTCTTCGCCCTCGGGATTGTGGGCATCGCTGTGTGGAGTATTGGTATCCCCTTGGGAGCCTTTATCGTGCTCTACGCCAACAGAAAAAATCTCAACAGCAGAGAAAGTCGACTTAAATACGGGTTCCTGCACAACGGATTCGTCAAGAAATTCTGGTTCTGGGAGACAGTGGTGTTTGCCCGGAAACTAAGTGTGCTCATTGTTTCGTCCATCTTTTTCAGCACGGCTACAGATGTCAACGGGTCAATCCTCTGGCCCGCAAGCGTAATCGCGGTTGTATTCAACATTTATCACTTAAAGAGTCAACCTTTTGACAAACGGTGAGCCAAACATCGGGTGCAGGGGCAGCAAAGATGCAGCAGAGTACAAGGGCGCAGACACGTAGAGAGATCAGGCTGTAGGGGCGAAGCCATGTGTGCCAAGTTGTCGCTCTGAAGGCCGGCTGCGTGCAACAACTGTCATTAGAGCTCTGAAATACTTGCCACAAAAGACGTGTACAATTTTGTCAACGATTGGTTTCAACTGTAGCCACTACACACCAGAGCGTTGGCTTTCGCTTCTTTTCACGTGTGCTTCCTGGTGTTGCTTTCTGCTGAAACTGGCAAAGTTTTCTTTCCTTCTTGTATGCAGGAGCTACTCCACATTAGACAATCTTGAAAATCACAGCATGTCCATCTGGACCCTTACTATCTGCGTCATGATGGTGGGTTGTAGGGCTTTAGAGTGAAGGATCCAGGTTCCGTAAGGCATGAGGGCGGCCAAACAATTTGTAAAATTTAGATTTGAGAGCGTATTGCATAATAAATGTGACATAAGGCCATATTAAGAGGTTGGTGGAGCTAGGGGATGAAATTTGTGGCGTGTGGCTTGTGTGCATAGGCTATCTCCGGGTCCAATTTCTCGGGGAACGTGAATCTGAGCCTGGCAATAATAGTTGTTGTTGCAATCGTTTTGTTTGCGCTTGAGGTGGCTGTGAATCTGTTGTTCGCTTACTTTGACAACGTGAGGGTTAATCGGTCTTTCTTCGGAGTGCCCGTGCTAGGGTATCTGTTTAGGGCCTTCGCGCGCTGGTCTGAAAAGCGAAAATCGTGGGAACCAATTGTTGTGTATGACGTGGAAAACGATATTATTCAGTTGGTAGCTGCAAAGAAGCAGCGTAACCTCAAAATCACCAAAAAACTATCATTGTCTCGGATTAATTCTAGAGAAAGACAGTATTTTATCAAAGTGATGGCAGAGACTTTGGGATTCGCGGTGGTGCACATGAAGCTTGATGTTATCCCGGGGACTTTTCTCGAATTCGTGCTGAGATTAGGCTTTGCCTTTCAGAAGCTGGATGAGGAGACACAGGAAAACAAAAAATCCTTGCAGGCTATTGAAGGAGGAGACATAGCGATGCTAGCTGACTGGTCTCACCAGCAGAGTAAGGAGCTGGCTCGCAGGGATGAAGTCACGAAGGAAGAAGTGGCTGCTGATGATTGTCTCGAGGGTTTCTTCGACAAAATTGAAGAAAAGATTGCACAAGGTGATATCGAAAGCGAACGTCTAGCCGACCTTGAAAATGGCTTATCTGCCAGCGAGCTGGATGAAGAAGAACAGGAAGAAGATGAAGTTGACGCTGCTGGCAGCGAGGAGAGCGAAACGGAAGAAGAGATGGGAAGAACGCACAAACGGGGTAAGCAAAAAGTTCCTCCAAAACGACGTCTGGATGACAAAAGTACCTTTAAGCAATTGTATTTTATTTAGGATACAAACCATGAAGAGAACATCCCTCAGCTTTGCAGAAGATAAAATGCAAGCACAAAGAACGTTGGAATTGACCAATAGGGAGCTTCCCTCTTTTCTCTCCCAGTCATTCTGCTCCTGCTGCCGTTGGCATCTTAAAGCTTGCACTTCTGGTCTCCTTTCGCGTGCGCTGAATTTGAATCTGGGTTTCGTGTCTGTTTTTCGTGTCTCCTTGTACAGCCCCACAAGTCGAAAGATTACTCTCTGAGCTGTCTAGAGAGGAGCAGCAGGAGACGAGATACATCTTTGATAACGAAGTCATGGGCTGTGGTATTCCCTTATCTGAGCTATACTTGGCGCTGCTTAAGTTGCAGCTCAAGGAGTCCGCAAGTATTAGCCACCAATTCGAGATCTTCAGGGCCCGGAAGGCGGCGTACATAGAGAGGGTGGCGCAAGCTCTCCGTAGTAGAAACAGGAAGCTCAAGCTAATTCGATATACATTACAGACAGCAAATGAGGAAACGGCAGACGAAGACATCGCCGCCCTGGGCTTTACCGCTGGTGCGTTTGAGGAAATGAAGAAAAGGGTAGATGCGCTCCTGAAAGAGCAAAGTCGTATGAGCAAAACACTCCAGAGATTACGGGACGACCCTGACAGCTACCAAGGAGAAGACGTAGATATAGAGTGGATGGACGAGCAACAGCAAGGCAGCACTGAAGGAACAAAAGATACACCGGACAGCGACGATAGAGAGCCCGCCAATTCCGATGAAGGCGATGAAGTGCCTCTGTCCAGCTATTACAGGTAGGCAAGGAGATGCGCATGCTCCAGAGCAAAATGTCGTAGTCTGCATCCATCTCTATTTTGTCAGAGACCCCCAAAAGAGAGGAGAGCGAAGCACGGTGTTCTAAGGGTGAGATCAGCAGTATAGATCTGGTCATCCTTGGTGCTAAGCGTTTACGCGATATCATAGATCCTGTGCACGTGCGTGCCTGCTTTTGTGCCTTATTCTTAGCGATTCTTCATCGGCATCCGACAATGATTTGAAGACCAATCAGCACATAACAATTTTAGGCATGGACGCAGAGAGCTGGGTAGAGGACAGCTGGGAATCGTCCGCGCGGAACGAGGAAGCCAAGTAGATAGGTAGCCAGTAAAGGTGTATCTTCCACTTTGTGTGTACATGGCTGTGGGTGTGCAATATTTTTGCTTTATTATCTGCCTTTGAGCGTCTTGACAGCCCGCTCTGTCTTTACAATAGAACAGCCACCTGTTGTCCGTCGCGGCTATTTTACAGCAATATTCAAATTGTGTGCGCTTGTGGCGGTGCACCAGATTGAGCGCAGTAACCATATATACGTTTATGTGCGAGTTTCAGTACATACTTCTACATTGGATACACATGTGTAAGTATATACGCACACCTCGGCATATACTGAGGCGCTCTTGCATGTACATATAGACACTGAGATTCCTGAAACACCCAGTTGGCATGGGTGAATTTAACTGAAGCAACTTTTCAACGTTTCGGCAACCAATAATAGTGAACAGCAAGGATGTAAAACCAGCAAATCGGCACGTAGCGTGAGGTAATATAAAAATGCTCCAGTAACGCAAAACGAAATGCCGAGACAAGCTGCAGCCGTTACTGTGGTAGCCTCTTAAGCAAGACATTTAAAAATGGTGTAGATTTGATATTTACAGACCGGCCACTGCTTGATGGCTACTCCTTGCAAGTAGGTTTTTGTCCTGTGCACTTCTTCGAGGCTGGAACCTGTCCATTGTGCAAAATTTTAATTTAGCTGTTACTTCATGCAAAAGGCCCAAAAAGGGTATATATATCCACTGTTTTATTAGGCATGTGGAAGCCTCTAAAAGGTTTTACTTTGTCGATCTTGCTCCTTTCCCTTTTCCCACCCGCCACTCTTTTTCTTAAAAAGTACCGCTCAATCAAATGCAGCCTCTTGGCCCCCTGAATTCTTCGTGCCTTCAAATTAACCTGCACCTATTGATTTCGCTCCCTGGGAGTCCTCCGTGTATGTCCCCCTTGCTGTGTCTCGGTGTAACCTCTGGCAAATGCAGCCTGCTGCCTGCATTTTTTTCATTTGCTTCACCGTTAATGGCTTTTTTTTCACAACAGCCTGGCCTCTTGTCCGGTTAAGGGTCACCGAGTATCGAGGCTGCCTGCCCCCGCGTTGTTGTGTGGTCGCCACGTGACTCAGCGGCCGGTGTTGCAGTCTCTGCTCCCGCAGAGCCAGGCGCAGAAGAAGCACCAGGGGCACCAGGTGGAATTGAGTCGGACACGGGGGTTGCTGCTGGCGTTGATGCGCATTCTGGTGCAGAGGCGCCACACTTACAAATACTCGTTGAGTGCCAAGAGGCCACAACAAGGGCACCAACCACAAAGGAGGGCACAAGCACGGCAACTAAGATCTTCCACGTTTGGTAGTCGGTCTTGCCCGGCTGCCCATCATCGTTAATAGCTCCCTGCGTCACCCCATACGCATGCACCCGCAAAAGCATGCACAGCCCAGCAGCTTAACACCTTTCTCCATGCATATGCAAGGCTACCAACAAAGGTCATGACTAGCTACTCGACACCAAAATACTGCAGCCTGCTAATCCCGATATAGCCCAGACGCTACCCCTGTAGTACGGGCCCATCCAAAGCCTTGCAAAAACAAGAGGGGCAGCGCGTGCTGTTTCCAGCGTTCATGGCTCCGCATCCGATACCTTTGTGAGTACTTCAGGAGCGTAGTCGTCAATCTCCCACAAAACGACGCGAGCATTTCCCCAGACATGCCGAAGCTGATCAGATATTCGCTGGCAGATAACCGTGGCTGCTTCTAACGCCGAGTAGGGTTCAGTCTCTCTGTGTTCGCTTAGGAACTGGGGTCCAGTGAAGTACGAGGCGGGGTAGCGAGCCGCGTCTGCTGGGGATGGTGGAGCCAGGGGTGAGGTGAGGGCCGCATGGAGGGGGGCAGCATACAAAGAGGTGGAGGGCTCGGCCATATCTTCAAGGCGGGGGACCCCCAGGATCTCTATGTGTACGAGAATGCGGCTTTCTGGTAACTGCATTTCAACAGAGCGTCGCTGGTGAGGAGTCAGATGACGACCAAATTCTCGCGTCTTGAGCAGCGTTGAAGTGCCAGTAGGGGACACGACACGGCGGCACGTCCCTTGCAGAATGATCCGGCTTGCGTCGATATACTTCCGAGTTGGGAAGCTGAGATCGCACGTGCAGACGCCAAACGTTGCCGCAATCATGGATTGAGCGCACGCGTACAGAAGCCGACGAGTCATGACCAAAGATTGCGCATAGGGGGGCACCACACGCCAAAGGACACCAGCTGGCGGATATTAGAGGCGAGAGAAACAGACACGGGCCCCGCAAGTCGCAAGACCCCGTGTCAACTTAAGCGCTGCTTCTCAGTAATGGCAATCAGCAGTTGTGGGCTCAAAGAGAAGCTCGCTAGAGGCCCATGCGTTCTGTAGACCCCTGTAAACAACCGCCGCCCCTAAACCTTCCCGAGGCTCTCTCCCCAGGAATCCATGAGGCAGGCCCGTATTAAACAGAAGGACATACGGTATCTCCCCGCTGGACGAGTTTAGAATAATGGAGTCTTGTGGGCTGTATTCCTCTGGAGAGTAGTGGGCATTCAGCTTATCTGCAGCGTCTCCTTCTTCCGATGAAATAAGCTGCACGATTTGTTTGGGGAAGCTGCGGATGTCCAGTCCCGACCCCTCTCCTGAAATCTCGATCAAGAGGTGCACGCTCTTCTCAGGAAAAAAGCCATGACCAGTGCAACCAAGCTGAGCGTCGCATTCACATCCGTGGCGTGCGGGGGCCCCCCCCACACACGGGGAGGGCGGCAACAGCCCGCGCCCGTCACTACATGCACTCTCCAGCCCCCTCTCACCACAAGGCAAGAGCTTCACCGTTGTCGGGGAGGAGGGCTCGGGGGGCCTTAGATTTGGAGATGAGAGAAGGGCATCGTCAGACATCCCCAGACCCCGTTCTCCGCGGATTACTGTCGAGGCGCTGCAGGCACTGCAGTGCTGAGGCACTACCATGAGCACTGCCACCATTGTGTCGAGATGCTTGTAGAGCATCGAGGGCTCCGCCAACAACAAACGAATCACGCGCTGCGCAGCGAGCTCGTTCTGCACAAACCACAAACCGCACATTCACACACACACACACACACACGCCAACGATTTGTGGCTGTATGTACATATATAAGGTCCCGGCCGGAACCCTTTCCTAGAGCCGGGATGAGACGTGCGCTCCGCAGCCCCCTACGGAGTTCTGGTTCGCTCCAAACTTCGCTAGCTACTAGCCTGTGAACTGACTGTCACTCCATCAAGGCCTCTGGGTGTCTACCTGACCTGACCATTGAGTGTCTGTGTAGCCAGGTAGCTCCTCGCATGAGGGGCTACCTACCAGCGCCTCTACACATGTGCGTGTTTGCTGGCATAAATTCTACTGCGCGGCTGCTTGAAAAACTCACCTCTCTGCCTAACATTGCCACGCGCCTTAAATCGCCCAAACCGGCGATTCTAAAGGTGGCCAAGGCCTCATTTTCGAGCAAGACGGATCGAAGCGATTGCACGGTAGCACTATCCAGACCTGCAGCTATCTGACCAGAGCAAGGATGTGCCGGCTGGGCAAGTTCCTGAATAGACCATCCGCCGAAGGAAGCAGGAAGAAGCAGACGAATCAACCGATTGTGTGCGCATACCTCGAAACGGAGAGGCACACCTCAACACGTGCTGTGTGGCAACTGAGTGGCCCTGCCTGCTCTGCCCTTGGATAAAGCCCCACACACCCCTCTGCCCCTCCCGGCTGTGAATGCGGAGGGCCAAAACAACACAATACTTGCTAAGGACTCTCGTCCTTCTATCCGAAAAGCATCTGCTATGCATCGGTGTGTTTTCAAGGGTTTATTTGTGCTAGTGTGCCACCTTACAGAAAAGCAGAATCCCAGCATGGTGACTCGATGACTTGATACAAACCAGGTGACCGCCCCGTCGATTATTTGTCTCTGCTGTCTTCTCAATTTATTAAGTCCCCGCCTTTGGCTAGGACTTGAAGCCACTGTTGAACGATGGCGAGCCCAACGGGCATATGAGGCCGGGAAGGACTTGTACAGAATAAGGAACCACAAACGGTTGATGCTAGCAGGCAACGCCCGAGCCAACCGATTTGGCGTTGCGGGCACTCCGCAAAATTTTACTAGCACGTGATACGTGAGGTCGTATGGCATCAAACGCGACAGGAGGTACCTGAAAACGATGCAACAAGTCACGCACGCCACAGAACCTCTAATAGACCCCACATTACACGCACATCCGAGCCCTTCCTCGTAGACCCTGCATCGCAGAGAGAGAGAAAAAAAAAAGGGAGAAAAAATACCGCTGCCCATGTATGCTGGAAAGTCTTACTGCGAGAGCTGCCGCGCCTCCTCAGTGGAGAGGCCTGGGGCGGTCTGCAATGCGAGTTCTGGCAGATTGCGGGAACCCTCCTGGGAAGCGTCTTCGGATATGCCTGCATCAGGCTCCGTTGCTTCCAACTTGGGGTCATCTGCCTCGCCATATAAACGATCGCCTCTCGAAAAACCGTTTTCTGAGGTGTACTCAGAGCTTGTCATACGCTTCATTTCCCTGTGGAGCTGAGTGAAAGCTTCCTGCAACGTCGTGCTTAGGGCTGACAACGCCGCGGGGATAGAGCCCGCCTCTAGGGGGGTCGACGTAGCTGCAAGCGCGAGGCCTCCTAAGGAAAGAAACATTGTAGGAAAGAACAAGAGAGAGAGACACACACAGACACACACATAGAGAGAAATGAGCGCAGGCGCGCGAGTTCAAAATCGCAACAACACACGAGGACGTCTTCTTTATCGTGGCCCCATAAGCGGCATAGTGTTCGAGCTGCTAGTCACTTCCACAAGAAAGCAACAGCCAGAAGAAGAGACGCACGCAGTGTGCATGGTTGGAGGACACACTGCGATGCGAAGGGAGAAGTGCAAGCTGACGCTCTGTCAGAGAGGCAGCATCGACCCCTTGTTACGCAGCTTTTGTGTTTCAGGGTCAGTCAGTACCTGCAGGAGCCGCTGTGCTGTTGGTCGCTTCAGTTTCTGCCTCTCCCTGCCCTGCCCAAAAGTCTCTTGCCGCAGCGCTTTTAGCCGCTTCTAAAGCCTGGAATTCCTGCACCTGAGCGAGGGCTTTCGAGACACTGCGCAGCACTTGATTGAGTTGGGTGGCCGCTGTAGCGACAGCTGAGGGAGCCTCCGGGGTCTTTGCAGAGGAGGCCCTTGAAGGAACCGCAGAAGGACCTAAGGCGGGGATAACAAATTAGGCGCGCGATTGCGAAGGCAGCAATGAGCAGAAAAAGAACCAGAAAAGGATACGGAAGCACGCCTTGTGAGCAATGGAGAGAGGGCTACTGGTGATGGCGCGATCCTATTTTCTTCTGTGGAAGGGAGGCTGCGAGCGAGTCTCTGCTAAGGAAAAGCTTGTTCAGAGGGCCTAGCCTCACTCCCGATATCGAGGTCGCTAACAAAGCCAGCGGTCGCTTCAGTGAGACTCCTGGAGTCCTCCTTTGTGCCAATCACGAGAGGAGGAATATGCAGAGATCCGCTCCACCCCCGCCTAGGGGCCAGGCTCGCACCAAAGGACGACTTGGGGGTGCCGTCTTCAGCAGCGACAGCGCTAGGCGCGAACACGCTGCTGCCGAGGCATGCGCACAGCAGCAGCAGCGGCAGCAGCAGCCTGGGCGTACGCTTACGCTGCTTCTGCTGCTGTTGTTGCCCCTGGAGGCTGTCACGGGGATCGCAAGCCTCTTGCGGGAGAGGCGGCCGTTTTTGCTGCGCGTTCGAAGTCGCTAGGCAGCGACCTTTGTCAGTCAGGAAAGAGGCCATATGGAGGCCCCTTATACTGCCTTGGATCTGCCATTTGCTTCTACGATCACAGAGGAGGGCCCAGGGGGGATCGGGCATGCAGTCGCTGGGCAAGCGATTAAGCGAACCGTGCCGATGACGTTCTTCCCGTAAGAGTATGCTCTTTGGGGGCTTCCGTCGTGGCTCCCCACGATGTTGACGGGGAGGGTCCTCCAACAGCGTCATACTATCACTACCGACGGCTTTCTGCCATGCTTCTGAGGCAAAGAGAGTACACTAGAGGCAGCGTCACGACGGTAGCAGCAACATCAGCAGCTGCTGCTGCTGCCCGGCGCTCTCGCTGTAGGGACACTCGAGAAGGGAGAGAGTGGGCGGAAGCCTCCCTACTTCTCGCAGTGAGGACCCCCCAAACCCCTTAGGAGCTCCACGTCATGCCGGCAGGAGGAGGCACCTCAGCCCAACCCAACCTATGCAGCGCACGTTGTGTGGCTCCCAGTAGAGGCGAATGAGCGGTCTACGGGAGGGCTTACTGCGTAAGGGCCCCTCACACGCCTCGCGAAACCCCTTGCCTGGGGATATTCTCGAGAAGAAGCTCGCAACGAGGAACCTCGGGGGCCAAAACGTAAACCCTGAGCTCCGGAATCCGGCAGAAACGTTGGATCGAACTCGCGTTGAGAGGAGAAGGGGACTCTCACCACTAAAAGGCAGGACGCCCAAGCGCCTCGTGCGTTCGGGAGGCACACATGCCCGCGGGCAGTAGACAGTACTACGGGAAAGGAGAGTAATACAGCGAAATAAACCACAGGTAACAAAGGCCTTAGATCCAAAGCCTCAGCAATATACGCCAAGCCTGAACCCTTCGAGAGGTCGTTCATCTTTTGGCACGCAGTAGCCTAAGGCTTATCCCGATGCGGACGGCCCCAAACGGCTGCATATTCGGCCTTGCCTCGCAGGTTGCTTCGTCTCTCAGTGACAGGCAGCGGCGCTGCATCGAGCGGCACTCTTACTTTAAAGGGTTTACAGCCTGGATTTGCGGTTTGGGGGCTGGAGTATAGAGTCTACCGCGGGCGATGTTCAGAACCACTCCGCTGGGCTTTGTTGTGGGGGCTGGTAACAATGCACTTTGAGCACCACGCGTTTTCCCCTCGTTTCGCGGAAAAACCTCTTTTCTCTTTGGTTATTGGGCTGTCTTCCATTTATTGAGATCCGTCCAGCGAACGTACAGCCTCCGGCCTGCGCCCTTTTACAAGCAGTGCCCCCGTGGCGCGGCGGCTTGCTGTACTTAGCAGCCTTCGTCCTTCTTCGCCAATAATAGTCCTTTCTCTCGAGGTTTTCTGCGGAAGAGGCGTTCGAAAATTGTGTAGCAGCACGTCGGGGGCCCTCCAAAGCCTGTTTTGGGGGTCTTGGCAGACTGCTCTTACCGTTTCCTTCATGAGCAGCGCCAGACCCTCTCTCCTGTGGTTCCAACTGTCTGAGTTGCATCCGAAGCGCGCGGGTTCAACGGCTGTTGCGTCATAAGGGGAAGCTCTCAGGCAGGCGTTTGCTGCCCTCTCACCCTTTCCCTGTCTTGCCGCTTTATTTCTCGTGTAACGAATTTTCTCCTATCGGCTTACGTCTGGTGCTGCGTTGCATCCTACCTGCGGGTTTCTGGTGCTTCCGCCCCCGCGTTGTAGTCTGCCTCCCTACTTCACGCTTCTTGCCTTCCCTAGAGATGCTGCGTCGCACTGCCCGCCTCCGAAAGGAGTATTTGTACCGCAAGTCTCTCGAAGAGAAGGAACGGCAGCTCTTAGACAGGAAGAAACGAGTGAAAGAGGCTCTTGAGGCTGGACGCCCGATCCCTACCGACATTGGGAGGGGCGCTGCGCAGCGCATTGCTCAGACGCTCGACCTGGAAGACGCCACAAGTCAAACTCGCGTGTCTGGCCATGTTGATGACGAATACGCGTATGCAGGTACGGCTTGAAGTGGATGGACACCTCAGAGGAGGGCGCTTTGTGTACAACAACGGAAGGCATCGGCCTCTTTCGTGCAAATCCTTTGCCGCCGCTGTCTTTGGGTGTTCTGCAGGTATATCGGATCCCAAAGTGGTGCTCACCACGTGTCGCTCGCCATCATCTCGCCTGCAGCAGTTCGCTAAAGAGTTTCGGCTCCTCATCCCTAACTGCCAGAGGATCAACAGGGGGGGTTTCATTTTGAGCGATCTCGCGGAGCTTTGCAGGGCCAACGACGTTACGGATCTCCTTATTCTCCATGAACACAGGGGTAAGTCGGGGATGAAGCGGTAGAGACGGCATGCAAATCTCGAGATCCTCGAGGACTGCCAAAGTACTCGTTAAAGCACTTTTCAAAAAAAAATTCCAAGATTCACGCTCATCTGTGCATAAGCCGTGATGGGGGCCAGCGAGCTGTTGAAGAAACGCATCCGGTTGCTGTCCTTACCGTAGTAGACCTTTTATCCGCTTTCATCTTTATGATCGTTGATTTGTAGGCTAAAATACGCTCCGCATGCGTAATTTCTTCTCTTGAGCTGTGTAGCTCAGTGAGTGGCTTTCTGCTCCCCGCTTTTGTATTTCCAGTGCGCATGTACTTGGGGTGTACGAATGCATTTCTTTTGCTTGGTTCGTCATTCCAATCTTACAGACGGCTACAGGAGTATCCCTTATGGAGTAATCTACGCTTGCAAGTTTATTGTCTTCATTTTGAGGGCTAGTGAGTGCGCTTCAGGTGAGCCCGATGGCCTCATCGTCTGCCACCTCCCTCATGGTCCTACGGCACATTTCTCCCTGAAGAATGTTTGCCTGAGGCATGACCTCCCGGAGAAGCCCGCAAACATGTCGGAGGTGAGCAGCTGTTGTTCTATGGTCCTATCCCATACCTTATGGACTGTGCTGCAGCAGTAGAACCAGCGCAGTACCTCTGTCTTTCATTTAGGGTTCGTCTATGTAGATATGTGCACATATATTTATACCTGTATGCACGTGTATGCTGTCGCCTGCTGTTCTCTGTGCGCTTGTGCGGGGTGTATAGGCGGCTCCACACTTGATCTTCCATAACTTTTCTTCTCGGATTGGCATTCGCGTTTGTTCAATCCTGAAGTACCTTTTCCCCCCGTCCAACGTGTCCAGCCAGAGAGTGCATGCCTTTGTCAATTTGAATGACTCGATACACTTCAGGCATTATACCTGGTCGGACACCCGAAAGCAGCCGAAGACAAGCAACCCTAAAACTCCTGCCAGTAAGTAGTCACTTCCGTGCCCTCATGATCAATGCGGGTGGGTCGTTTTGTATCGCTTCTTTTGCAGCACATGCGTCCTGCTTTTTTGCTTGTGTGCTGTCTTTGTCTTCGCATTCAGACGAGGAGAACTCAAAACCCAGGGGCCTTGAATTGGTGGAGGTGGGCCCCCGTTTTACCCTCAAGCCCTTCAGGATTGAATTAGGAACTGTAGAAATGAGGGACCTGGAGAGTGAATGGGCCCTGAGGCCCTTCTTTAACTCCGCTAAAGCGACACTCGGCTAGAATCCGGTGGCTAACCACAGAGTATACGGTGTATGATTCCACAGAAGCTGAGCGCCAGCGCGCTGTGGTGTTCGGGTTTGTGCGTTACTACACCCCACGTGGAGTGTGGGTGCACTCTACTGCGTGGATGGGGCTAGCGAGGAGAGGAACAGGCTTGGGGGCCCCAACATAGTCGTTTTTTTAGCTTTTGCTAGATTAACGGTCAGAGGAGCGTATACATAGCTTATGTGATATGGACACTTTTTGGAAGCCCAGTCTGGCATGAGAGGTGCGTAACCCCGGCCACAGGTGGATGCTGCACTAGACAGCTGAACCCCTCAAAAAATAAGTGCAGCAAGAGAAGTTCGACCTTTGTTAGGTAAGCGACCAGTAGCTTTACTTTGGCCAGTTGCCTTAGTTTAAGGACGGATGCCCAACTAGCTTGTGGCACAGCTGCTGGCACTCCTTTGTCGTTAGCAGACTGGACAGAATGTCTACGGGCGGGAACAGAGACCCCTGGGACCGAGGCGCGGTCTCTTATAATGTCTCTGCACCGCGCTTTACCTACACACTTGTGAGCTTCAACATAGTGGGACCCAATGACGGGATTTGCAGAAGGAATGCAAGCAACAACAAAGAATACTTACTCCTGGGATCCCATGCGTACTTTACCCTGTATCTTTCAACCCCCTTACATGAAGACGCTGCACTTCTCATGAAGCCACATGTAGCACACTACGGCATCATTGATACCCGTGGTGGGATGGGCATGCATGCAAGGAGAGCATGCACTTACCAAAGTCTCAACCTTACAAGTGCGAATATAAGTATTTGATTAACCATTAAAAGAAATCAAAAAACTATGGAAGACGCGGAGAAGAATATGTTTGGGGTCACAGAATTTCAATGTTCAGCCCCCGCTTGAACATCAACCCCACCACAAAACTTGTTTCCTCTCGTGTTCCTCTTTTCTCCTGAATCCAACAGCTCAGTTCCGGATACAGATCGCCTAGAATATTTTGATGGGTTACATCTTTCGCTTACCGCATGTGGGGTGTAATGACACCCATGCTCCCTTTAGCTGTATCGACCGACATGCTACACTTTTCGAATGCGTTAGTGTTGGCTCCGTATGAGACCCTTATAGCATTTATCCTACTAATCCTATCTTTCTATTAATTCTTTATGTGTGTGGCTTCTCACATCCTCCCCTAGCTGCAGGGATGAGGCGTTAGCGCCTTGCGCTAAGCCAGCGCACAGCACCCTGGCCTCCATCTGAGGCGGTTCATCATGCATGACTAGCCAGCACTTCAGCTGTTCATCTCCTTGCATAGATATGTGGCAAGACACATGGCCCCCTAGCACACCAAAGGGAAGCGGGGGCCCTAAGGAAGGCTCTTTCTTATATGGAAGTTCTTTAGACGGCCGCAGCTCGAAGGCACCTCGTACACAATGACTTCTCTAGCGCTCCTCGAACTGTTCTTTCCAGGAGAGGCACAGGATGGTTCGTTCCTAGCCTCTTTGCGCCACTAGCGCACCTCGTGCTCTTGCTGCATGTGCGAGTTTTAGGTTGCTATCGCTCTCGGTGCAAGCGTTTTGCCTCGTTGCGGGCTCGATGTGTCTACAGAAGGGCTCCAGCAATTCGTATCTCTTTGGCTAGACTTCTTCACCCAACATGCAGAGGAAGTCCTTCCAGTGGTCCGTTGGTTTGGTGCAGCTTGCCGCCATACCGCTGCAGTTCGTGTTGCTGAAAAACACTTTTCTGTAGTTGTTTGTCGCACCGCTTGCTAGAGACCGCTCCTTCCGGACCATGCGTCTACCGAATCGCTGTAGTCTCTACTGCTTTTTCCGTGTTTGCTGCCTCAAGACGCTGTGTTTTCTGCCCTTCATCGGTGGAAATATTTGTTTGTCGGCGTACGTGGATAGCAGACCTCTGGTGCTCTTCTGTTTTTGTCGGGCGTTCCCTGCTGCCTTTGCTGCTGCAGATCGATCCGTTTACACTGGAGGTCCCTCTGGTGCTCTCGCGTCTCATGGCGCTCTCTCCGCCCCCAAATGCTTCGGCTTTCCTCTCATCCCTCCGTTGCTCCCCCCAAGACCTCCTTCAGGCCATGGGTTGTGCGCTGCATGCTCTGCTGCTCCTGCCTCAATTCTCCTCCCAAGTGCCGGCTGCCTCTGCCGTTGCAGCCGCAGCAATCACGGAGGAAGCCGTCACTGCCGTCTCAGCGACACTGGCGGAGCTGCCAGCAGAGGCTGCGGAGCTGGCTGGGCTTACAGGGGGCTGCCCCATTGTTGTTACGGTTCGCCTTATCGATTTAGAGGCCCCTATCTCCTTCGGTTCTCTGCGGAGCAATCAGGTGCCTTGCCGCTGTTGCTGCTAAAATCAGCTTCTCCTTCCAGGCCGGTGCTGTGCCCCTGTGTGGTTGTCTTGCTAGTATGCGCTGGCGCTCTCGGATATGCATCCCATGCGGCTTTTCATTTTGCCGCATTTCCATTCAATTTATATCGCAGTGGCTAGCTGCGTTTGTGCGTCTCCGTGAAGAAACGCGCCTCAGAACAGTGCCTCGTGAAAGCCGACCCTCCAGGAAGCTTTCCTCCCTTTCTTGGTAGTCTCTTTGTGCCTGTCTCGTACGAAATGAATCTCTGAGTTGCCTAAGGGATGGCTCTTGCTGTGGCTGCACATAAGTTGACATCCCCTGCTAGATATAGACACAGAGAGAATGGGCTTCGTGGGGGCTCAGCTTTCACGTGGCACTCTACTGAGGCACCTGTCGTCATACCCACAAACGCATTAGCCATGTGTGCATGTGTACATGTATATGTATGTGTTGGTGTGTATGCATGTGTGTGTGTATGTGTTTGTGTATATGTACGCATTTGTGTGCCTTCATGTGTGTGTGTATGTGTTTGTGTGTATTCATGTATGTGTGTGTGTGTGTGTGCATGTTTATGTCTATATGTATGCGTTTGTGTGTATTCATGTGTGTGTGTATGTGTTTGTGTATATGTACGCATTTGTGTGTATATGTATGCATGTGTCTGTGTGTGTGTGTGTGCATGTGCTTGCATTTAGATTGGCCGCCTGGTGTCTATACACGGGGCCGTCCTTCGTGTGCATTCTCCCCAGCCCCTTGTGCAGCGGCTCGCCTTTGAATGCGCCAAGTGTGGATCGAGGACTGTCAAGTTGCTGACCGATGGACGGTAAGAAAATCGGGAGAAACTGCTCTTCCTGATCACATGCTGATTTGGGTGCTGCCGATGCTTCTACCCTTTTTTGTGGGCTGCCGAAGGAATCTTTCTTTCTCGCGCTGTCACCGCTGCCATCTTAGGCGTCGCTGTGACCAGAGTCGAGCCTCTGTCTCTCTGCTGCTGATGTTGCTGTTTTTTCTGGTGTCTCTACAGCTACGAGCCACCCCAAGGCTGCCCGACAGGCCGCTGTCCTTCTCGTTTCTTTGTTCCTTTGCGCCGCCTTGCAACTGCGGTGGATGTTCAGCGCATTAGGCAAGCAAAGCTTACGCTGCTGCTGCTACCACGGCTGCTTTGCACACTAGTTCGTCAACAGGGGTGTAGAGTGCATACTTCGCTTTCTGCCATTTTCGTACATTGCTCCCCCTGCTGTTTGGGCATCCTGCTTCGACTCTCCCCTCTGAAGGGATACATACCCGCCGCACAGCTATAGAGAGAGAGGGAGAAAAGAGGCGTCGGTGACATGCTGCTGCTTGCAGAGTGCAGGAGGTAGCAACGAGTCCAGAGAGCAGCTATCAAGGCGAGTCTCCAGAGGAAGCGGCACGGCCCTTGGCGGGAGGCATCCGTCCCGCTGCTACCATCGACTGCGAGGTGCTTTGACTCTAAAATCTGCTCCCCTTTCGAACACCTGTCACAACTGCCTTAAAACTCCGCACAAGGCCTGCGCTAACTCGTTTTCATATAGCACTGCCCTTCAAACTACAGGAACGGATGCTGTCGCACGCCAAGGCGTAGCGCAGGGTCCATGGATTTAGGGTATTTATGTGGGTGTAGAACTAATGCAGCTCACAGGATTTCTTGTTGGTCAGTGCAAACCTGGAGATCGCGTCTGCATTACGGGTACGTCGAATAGAATAGCCAGGAAGGCTTCCATAGTCCTTCTCCTGATCCTCACTCAGGCGTAGGGGTTTAAAGGGCCTCCTTTTTGCTGTCCTCTTTCTCATGGCTCCGAGGCTCGTGACACCAGAATTCAAAGCGCACGCCCACCTACGCATTGGACACAGACCTGTGCTTCCTCCTTTTGCATTGAGGGTGTCTATTCACCACACACATTGCAACGCACTCCTGAGAGTAGGCAGGATGAGGGGTCGTGTGCTTTATCGGGGTCCTGCTGCCGTGCCTCTCAGGAATCGTGCAAGCCTGTCAATCCTCTGCGGTGTCTGCACACCTTGCAAATCCTCACGCAGTGGACGGAGGCCGCTTGGGAGGCAGTAAGAGTTTATACACGCTGTATCTGCGAGCCAACTCCGTTTCTCCACTGGACAGGCGTGTGCTGCTGCTCCAACTGCAGCAGCACAGGAAGCGATGTGCAAGGCACAGGGAGACTCCCCGCGCACTGCTGCCGTTGCCAGCAACAGTGGCTCGAAGACCGCTGCCATGGAGAGACTTCACGGCTTCTGCTGTAGCACAGGAGGATGAAGACGAGGCAGAGACTGCCAGGGACTGTGCCTTCGGTGCAAAGGCTGACGCGTCTGCGCATGCCGGAGAGGGCCAAGAGACGGATGTTGCAGCCGCAGCCGCAGCACAGGCAGGCGATAGATTAATGGAGTTCATTGCAGATGCCTATACTTTGGAGCCTCGGCGATTTGAACTCCTTGTGGCGTCTATTGCCCCCTCCATCGTTGGCAGGCACATAGTCAAAGCAGGTCTGTTGCCGCTGCTCTGCAGCAGTCGATGCTTTCCTTTGGCGGGGAGGGTGATGGTTCGTTGGTCAGTAGGCACCACGTCTGTCCTCCAAGTGATGCAATGGTACCCGCGTGCGGCTTGCAATTGCTGCAACTCCCGCCTGTGTGTCTGCCGTCCAGGGTTGCTACTGGCCCTCTTAGGTGGAGTGCCCGTTACGTACAGCCAAAGCCAAGGGGGCCCCTGGGATGTCGGAGGGGCCCTGCAGCGCAGAGGGACGATTCACGTGCTGCTCTTAGGAGATGCTGGTGTAGGGAAGAGCCGGCTGCTGCAGGCAGCCGCTGCAGCGGCCAGCAGCAGCACCAGCACCCGCAGCAATGCAGCAGGGGGCAGCATGCGCAGCGTCTTTGTGTGTGGCAACACAGCCTCTGCCGCTGGACTGACGGCAGCGGCAGTCAGGGAAGCTGGCACTGGAGAACTCATCATCGAGGCCGGTGTGTCTTGTATTAGTGCGCAGCTTGCTTTTTTTGTAATAGTCCCCTCTATGGCTTCTATCCCGGTGCGCCTTTATGTCCTTCGCCCCTTGTCAAATGTACTTTTACATGGCGTATATATAAACATATATATATATGCCCTGACTGCATGGCTTCCTTCTCGAGATCTCGCGCAAGTCGCTTCCTGTAGTGTCTGCAACTCGACATGGCTTTGCATTGTCAGGGGCCCTGGTCCTGGCCGACGGTGGCGTGTGCTGCATCGATGAGCTCGATAAGATGCCGGCTGCAGCTGCTCTTACCGGAGACTCAGCGTCTTTATTGGAAGCCATGGAGCAGCAGACTGTCACAATAGCCAAGGCCTCATGTTCCTGCTGTCTACCTGCAAGGACCACTCTCCTCGCCGCGGCAAACCCGAAAGAGGGGCGATTCGAGTCAGATAAAACTGCCGCTGGTGGTGTCTTCTTTTGTTGCTGCTGATTTCTCGCTGCCTGCAGAGCAGGGGGCAGCCGGCCTCTCCACGAAATTGTGCTGCCTACTTGCCTCTTGTCCTTTTTCCCCTGTGTATCTGTTGGCTGCGCAAGAAATTCCAGAGTGCACATGGTGCCTTCACCTGCTCCCGACAAAATCTTCCGGCTTTTTGCACACCCTTGAGATCACGCGTATTCTGGGTGTATCGACACCTGTGCTGCATGCAGTCCTCGGAAGCCTTTGGCGGAAAACATCAACCTGTCTGCTCCGCTTCTTTCGCGTTTCGACCTCATCTTTTTACTGCATGACAAGCCGGCAGCCGCGGCGGATGCTAGGCTTGCTGCCCACGTTTTTTCATCCAGCCACAGCAAGCTGCACCCAGCAGCTGCAGGGATCCCCGCCCCACCAGCAACGGCGTCTCCTACCGGTGAAAGTACTGGGGGAACTTCTTGTTTGGAAGATCGACTGATGGCCTTAGAGGTGTGTGTGTTCTTCTGTCTTGCAGCGTGGTAATGACTGTGTCTTTGATCTGTTGCTGCGGTGTATGGGTGGCCGTGTTGTGGCTCCCGCTGTGTCTCTCTGCTGCAGTCAGGGGACCTGCTGCCATTGTCGCTCCTGCAAGACTACATTTACTATGCCAGGGAGCATGTACATCCCAGACTGTCTGTCGAGGCTGCATCAGTCCTCAAAATGTACTATTTAACGCTTCGGAAGCAGCAGCAGCAGCATCACCAACAGCAGGGACTTCGGGTGGCTACCCGACAGCTCGAGTCTCTCATCCGTCTATGCCAAGTACGTGTTTTTTCCGAGCAGTGCTGCTAGCGCAGTGGTGCTGCTGTCACTGCTCGCAATGCTGACGATCCTGCTGCTTTTTCCATTGCAGTTAGCTCTTTAGACTATAATTAGTTTTTACAAAAACATTTAAACAAATATTATACACCAAATCTAGCATTCTAACTGCGTTGGACATCATGACATCATGGATATACTTCATGAAGGGTATATAGTGTCCAACCAATATCTGAACCAAATTGGCGTTGCTATTTGCGGCTGCTTCTGCATTACACTTTGTGTACAGGCTCGGGCCCGCGCGGATTTGAGGCAGACAGCGACAGCAGGGGACGCCAGGGACGTCATTGAGGTGTATGGACACACGCCCCTCGCCTGCCCATCTCTACTGGCGCAGGCAGCAGCAGCGACGGGCTGTACAGACACCTCGGGGAACGCCGCTTTTGCAGTTTGCTGTGCCCGTAAGCCCACGGACCGCCGCTTTGTCTGCATAATTCCAACTCTTTGGCCTCGCCACTGCACATGCAAGTGGTTCCTTCTGCTGAGCCTTCTACAAGTGAACTCGGGTGTAAAATGCTGCCTTTTTGTTCATGCGGTTGCAGCAGCAGGACGAAAGCCAAGAAAGGGCCTCCAGGGCCTGGTCCTTGCTTTCGCCCGCGAGTGTGCAGCTGTCATGGGGCGTACTGGCACAGCCACCCTCTCACAGACGGTATTCTATACGCCTAAACCTTCCCTGTATTTCCCAAGCAGTTTTCGTCCGTGTCCACTCCGGTGCACCTTGTTGGTGGGATCTCATGCAGTGACGGCTTGTGGTATGTTATGCCTCAGGAAGCCATGAAGTGCGCCAGCCTACTAGTCTCTCGGGCTCAGGCGGCTGTTCCAGCCGAGGCCGTTGTTGCTGCAGCCAATGAAACGGGCTTGCTGCTGAAGCGTGAGGGTAAGTGGGTGATAGACAGATCTCTCCTTGCACAGTTTTAGGCACTCCACCGTGGCAAATGCAACAGCCACAACAGCGACAACAGCCATCAAGACTCCTCCCAAGCGTAAGTGCATGCCTCAGCAGCCATGCAAAGGAAGTGCACGTTGCTGAAAGCTCGTTGCTGCTTCTGCAGCACGCTCAGCAGCAGTCTAGTGTAAGCACGAAGGACTCTGACTTGGGACTCAGTTCACGTCTTCCTTGGAGTGGTGTTTTGCAATGACCTCCACCCACGCTTGGTTTCCCATACTAGTAAGGAATCTTTAACCATCTTAAGGGTAAAACACAAATTGCAGTGTGTACGTACACCGCAGTGCACGTGACCGGACCGCACTAGGCGTTACCCAAAATAACAAATAGGGGTCGCTTGCGCGGACGCATTCCTGGGCCGCTACGTTATTTTAGCATATATATTGGTATACACTCAAGTGCGCCGGAGGATCAGGAGTTATAAACTACTCTGGCGGGGAGCTCCCCCAAGGCCCTATCTCTGCCCCATTCCTTCCAGCGCCCCACAAGACCCCCTGCCACCCATCGGCCTATCCACGAACCCCCATACGCGATAAATGGGAGTGCAATGAGCTTGGCCTTGTAGTCATAGTGGCGCATAGAATAATGCACTACGCCTGTAGCGAGGAGGGCGCCAGCCCATACCCCGTTCTGCGCTACGACCTACGACACAGTACAACACAGAATCCCAGCAAAGGACCAAACGACGTTACGGCAATAGAGAGCTACATACGAGATTATACTCAGACATTGAGGGGAGAAAAGCGATGACAGCCGTTAGGGGCACCGATACGCCCAGAAAGGCGTTCAGACAGCCAATGGGAGACGAGCGCGCAACATAGGGGAGTCACACAACAGGAATAGAAGATAGCGCACTCGTTTTCGGATGCTCTCTTGTCTTCTTCTGCAAATATCTGTTGCTGCGTCTGGGCATTCACGATCGTAGGCCCTGGTTAGGACCGCCCTCATGCCCTGTCGGTCCAGCTTCGTGTACGCAAAATGGTACATGGGGGGTACACTCCACAAACCACAGCGTTCCAGGAAGCGGAGGCGACGAGGACCCGTCTGTTGCTGCGCCTCCAACAGCGTAATGTCAGAAGGTACCTGCAGACCGAAAAACACCATATGAGTAGCGGGAGGAAGCAATATATAGGAAGAAACGGAGAGTCCGGTACACGGACTGGCAGCGATCCGACCAAAAGGCTTTAATCCATCCCAGCCCATCACATCGTCGACAGGATGACGGCATACGACAACAAAAACACCCGAAATTTCCTCGGGAGCGTTGAACGAACCCCTTGCCGAGCGGCACGACGGGGTGCACGAAGTCACGTTTAGCCATTGCCACATGACCAGATGGCTTTCTTCACAGTACATCTCCAGAGGATCTACGATGAAGAGACCTATAGTGGACCCATGAAATCCGTTAGGGGTACGAGGCGGAAAGGTTTCTAGTACAGACAAAATCGCCGGAAAAAATGCAGTTCCAACGACGGAAAGAAACAGGGCCTTAGGCCGGCACAAGGCGCTGATGAAGCTTACCACCAGCTTCCCCATCGCTAAAATGGCTCAAATCCCTTGGAAATGCGAACTGCTGGTCTGGGGGCTCGTCAAGGGGCCATGTGGACACCACCCGACGCATCGAGCGCGCCGACGAGGGAAGGTGCAATGAGTGGACCTGGAACAGAAAAGGAAGGAATGCCACCACAATGCAAAGCAGTGATTGATTTAAATGCATTACCCCGTGTTAGAATGCCTAACAGTTTATTTAGAAAGTGGCTCAGAGGGGACGCATGCATGCATTGTCTCTCCCGAGCCCTAAACCCGACTAGAGCAAGTTTCTTGGGGCTAAATGAACTGTACAAGGGACCTTCATTAAAAAGAAACAATAATACAAAAACGAATTGTTCCAATCCATGGGGTGTGTACGCTCATAAGGCTGGTGCTGCTCTAGTGCCGATAGACTGCCACCCGTCCTACTGGGGATTCGGAGATGCCTGAAGCATACAAACTGAAGTCTTGCGACCAGAAATATCGAATCCTGTATCTTCTAGTACTTCAAGACTACGGCGCCATACTATTTTTCGGTCATGATTGCAGCATGCGCCGAACTAGTCTGTGTTTGTCCGGTATATGCGCCCCAAACGGGGGACACTCTCAGAGAAGTCTAAGAGCTTTGACACTACAGCCATCTCCGCTTCTATGTGCTGACCTCCATAGGATATGCTTCAGGTCACGTGCTATCCAGGCTTCGTAACCCGACGGTTGGCTGGATGCCGTGTCGCTCCACTAATGTCTCTGTAGGGAAACACGTAACTCCAGAGTCATCATCAGCTTAAAACAAAGTTATTGATTGAACCTCAGGGAGCGTTGACTCCTCGCTCCCCGTGCCCCTCAAAGTTCTCGAGATGAGGGGAGCAGAACAGCTAGAGTATGCGGAGCTATGACCCTCTAAGTACTCCGAGCGTTCGCGGTTACCTGCACATAGCATCTAGCGCAGACGCAAACAAAGTTTGTCTTCTTGTATAGAGCTGAGTTTATTCTGCAATAACAGGATATTTCAAAATGGACAAACCAATACGTCAGCTCTTTACTAGCTTTTCAAATTAGCATAACTAATGTAACAGAAAGTGTTGTGGTGTAGCTTAGCCCGCAACATGTTCCCTGTGACCTGTCAAGTAATTCTTCGAGGTGAACTATCGGGAACCCAGTGTGCATTGAGAGGCCTAAAGTTGACATACGTGCACCACATTCCGTCTTTTGTGGCACCGCTGCCGGGTTTCGGCCAAAACTGGCTATGCCAATCCTGCACTTAGCCGTTTTTCAACAAATCGTCCTCCTGGCGCACAATCTCCTTTTCGCGCTGTAGGGGCTTCCGATACCATTAAAACTAGTTTGGGGCTAACCTGATGATTGACGTAATGTAGTGCGCTAAACGTCCAGCAGTTGGCTAGCCTGTTGGTGGCTCGACCTTAGCACCGTCAACTCCTTACTATTTGCTCATACATGTTGTTCCTCGGCTGCACTTTCTTAAAGACTAAACCTGTTACAGAGCCACTTAGAGAAAAAGCATGCTCGAACCGTATGTTTTTACTGCATAGCTGATCCGCCCGCTCGATGCCTCTGCCTCTCCTTGTTAAGGTAAGGATTCCCGCTCACCACAGATGAAATGAGCATTGTTAGAAAAACGAAGAGTTGCTTCATGTCTATCGTTTCCTGTAAGATTTCCCTATACACCGCGCAGCCTTACCAGCAAGTGCGCATTCCATTGGGTCAATTCTAGGAAAGTCATGGGTATGTCATGGTGCACGGGTCCAACACTCAAGTCACGGCCCATGCTTATAGGAACCAATTATGACATTGTTACATTTAACTGCATTAGCTCTGCCAAGTATTGCGTTCTGCCACCCGTTAGCCTACTTGAGTGTGTGAGACTGCGCTAACATGTGACCAAGCATATTGTTTTTCTGCACCATCTCTTTGAATATTAGAACCCATTTGCCTTTGGTGTCAAGTAGTGCTCGCAATCCGTGACCGTTTATGTGAAGTTGTATCAGCGTAGACCTGCCCCGTGGTATGTCCCCAAACGCTACTCTATCCTCTGTAGCCGTCTTCACCGTCGACTATGTGGGAGTTTTTTGTCTCCCTCAAATGCTTTCTCATTCGCCAAGCAGCCTGCTCCGGCTGGTCCCAATTTGGCTGTTTAGGCTTCACCTGTTTTAACTACGCTTGCTGTTCCGGATGATATAGCCTAGTATCCCAACACGAGAACCAGGTGCTGTGTTCTTGGGGCTGCGCGGGGTTGCCAGAAGGGCGATTTCTGTCTGGCTTTTTCCTCTTTCGTCTTAGGCAGTAGGTTAGGGCCGGTTACGCATTCCCAACATACATAAGCACGAGATTTGGATTATACTTATGTCGGCCAAGTACGCAGGAGGTGCTCTCGGTTGTTCCCCAAACATTATCTAGCCGTCTACAACGCCTTTTGCGGGTTACGCTACAGTGAAGCACCGTCTTCTACATCATTTATATTATTCAAAAAGTAGTACAATATCTACATTGGCTTCTGTTAGTGCATTGTACACATTGCAGTTCTGTTTGCTCGATACAAGAAACGGCAATTGTGTGCTTGCACGCTTCGTATTCTCTGCAACTGAAACTCTGAGTACTCGGAGTGCTTAGAAAATGCGGCTGCGCGGATCCTAGCTTCCTCTACCATTATTTAGGAACCATGGAGAGCCTGGGCAGTGGGAAAGAAGGAATAGCTTTTGGAAGGACGCATAATACCACTCTTCGAACTTTTTCACACTGGAGTTTAGCATATCTGTGTGCAGGCCTTATGAGAAGCTTATCAATAAGAGTAGTGAGCTTAAGGCAAGCGTGATAAAAGTTAGTATGAGGGAATGAGCTGATACGAACATTAGGAAGCGCTGTGGAGAACTGGACGAGGGACTTTGGCCGAGAGGAGGGCACTGCGACAGGTCACAAAAGCTTTGAGCCTATCTTGATTTGATCACCTCCCAATAGACTTTATACCTCTACAAATTTTTAAAGCAACGTTTCCATCAGCTCTCAGGATAAACATAGGTACATCAGCAGAAACAAAAATTCATAGAGAAGCTGGCTTTAAAAAAAAAGCATTTCTCAATGCACAATACAGGTAAAATTACCTTTTCAAGTTTTTACATTTAATTATTACACAACAATGCTTGGGAATTCCTTTGGTGGTTACCAGCCTAGTCAAGCCCACATGCAACTTGGAAACTTCCAAGCAAAGGTACGCATCACAAAACGTGCGTCGCTGTGGCTGTACTCAGATTTGTTCGAACAGCAGAGCCCTTCATATGAAAAAATCTTCAGTTCCCCGAACGAAGCCCTTGCTTTTTACACGAAAACACAGTTCACTGGAGTGCACCGTAGGAAACTATATCCTGCAGCTCCGAGAGCGGTCTAGGCTGGCAGCAAAAGAAAGAGCATCTTGATCGCCCCAAATTTCGACCTTCATTTCTACAATGGTCATAGCCAAATTTTGGCGATACAATGCATGACCACATGCACAGAAAAGCGATAAATCTCCCATGCAGATTGCTCACCGAGCTCTGTAAAAAGTGCTGAATTCCATTTTCAGATTCGGGATATTTCTGAGCCCAGGACAGTTATAGAGTGCTGAGTGGCACGTTTCCCCCATGAATCGAATCATGCCCAGTGCAAGGTATGAGCTCTTGCGATAAGCAGAGGCTCCTAGTTTATCATTGTAGATGGAAAAACGAGCTGCTACGAAAAAATTCAAGGAAATTTAGAAACAGCACAGGCAAGTCCTTGACGGTTCGGTCAGAGAAAAAGCTGGAAGTAACGCTGAGGAAGCCAGAGAACGCCTGGACCAGCGAGCAGAATAAACGTTATGCAGCCGCTGGTTTGAGCATAAAAAAGCCAAAGACTCCGAGGCGCATGAATTATACTAAAAAGTTAGTGGGTACACACATAGCAGGAGCTGGCATTCAGTGCGTGTCCTGCAAAGTTCAGGCGAGTTCACACACTGGACGAGAGTGGGGATTGAAGTTCTTACTGCCAACACAAGGTTGACTACAGACACACGACCTCTAAAAAGCCTAAGGGTATTAAAACGCTGAAACTCTGCTATTCTTAGCGTTGCAGGCATTATAAACTGTTCCCCTCCAGAAGGATCTGACGCTGCACGGCGCAACGCAACCACCAGGAATTTTAATTGCAGTGACCACCAACTTCGGATATTTCATCTCGTCTCAAGCTTCACCGCCTAAATTTACTCATCGAGCGCACGTTGATGGTATTAAAACTCCTCTGCTTATACTCATTTTATGCCCCAGTGGAGTGCAGGTGTACCAAACTTGCGCCGTTGACTGCGCTGCCTCAGGAATCTTGTTCCATCCCTGCACCAGCCGAAATGATGAAGCATTTTGCTTCCGCTCTTCGCATATACGACTTTCACTACATTTGCCGTCTGCGTCGAAGGCGTATCGCCTTCCTGATCGCGTCAATACAGCATATTGGCAGGTGGGGGTGCCGCAGTGAGGGCCCTTGATCTTTTACTCAAACGCCGTGTTTTCACGATTTGTCCAAAACGATAATAGCTATAGCCCTTCCTATAACCCCTGGGCAGTGACATGACTAACTCACCTGAACTACAGCCTCGACTGATGACAAACTTCAGAATTTAGCACATTTACTTACTTCCGTCTACCACCTTTACGTTCCCAAGGGGCGTTCGCCAACTGGTTGTGACTAAACTGAAAACAACAAGCTGAGGTCATCCTCTCAGCTGCAACGAGTTTCCTCGCTTCCCCTTAAAACAAAGGTGTGGGTCTTCTCTGGCAACTCAGTATATCCAAAGCCGCACCACCGTGGCCACTGGCCCAGCGGTGCATGCTATGAACACTCATATCCATAGGCGTCTTTTCATCAGTTCGGGGATAAATCTTTCTGGCGGTGTTAAGACGGAGCCTCCTTGTTGAACCCCCAAGTTTTAGGAAGCTTCCCAGCTGCTCTGTGGAAACTAACTACGCGTGCATACTGGGCCGCCAAAACCCTTAACACTGCACCATAGCCCTTGCACACAAGACCTCATATGCATCAACTGCGGGGGAGGCACGCGAGCCCTTAAGCCCGACGCCACCCTGGAGGTAAGAAAACATCTGCTGTCATCCCTTACTCGGAACGACCGCCACGGGGTCCCCGGGGTCCTCCTCGTGGTGCCCCTCTGTATCCTCCTCTGAAGGCTCCACGGAAACCACCACGGCCCCTGCAAGCACAACCACACACGTCGCCGTGCTAGTTTATTTGCAGCACCTTGAATTTGAATGAGAAGTGCCATGACTCAAGTACACACCCCATGACTGCAAACTGTAAGTCGCAGTGCAGTGCGTCGCGTGATCGAGCCACCCGAAAAATGGCACAGCAATGCCTAATACGGACAGATGCACAATTTCGTACCTGCCTCTGCCTCTGAATCCAGTATTCTCAGCTTGAGTCTGCTCGGCGTCCTCCTCGCGGGCACCTCCGTCAACGCCCTCTCCCTCTCCACCTGACCCCAAGTTGCGGGGGCCCCCGCGACCACGCATTCCCCCGCGGAATCCGCCACGTCCTCTGGATGGGCCTGAGAAGTGCAAGCGCGAACAAAGTGTGAAACAAGGCGTCAGACCTTCAGGAGCTACGAATACGTCCCACTAGGCAAGGATCAGATACGGAATTCCTCTAGGAAGGCGCATTTGGCTTGCTGTTCGAACCACAGCAGGAAATGTAAAAGGCAAAGGAATCAACTGCGCTTTAAAAAAATACAGCTAAATTTGAATGTGAACCACCTTGGGGTCCACATTCTGCCCAGCTCTCTGGTGCGCCTTACCCCCCGGTCCCGGGGCCGCCTGGGGTTTGAATTCGTTTATGGTGGCTTCATCCAGTGGTGGCTGGTATCCTGGGTTATTCTCATCTAAGGGGTCAAATGACAGCTTAATCTCCAGAAAGGCGACGACACGTTCTTCTGTAACTTCGTCGAGCCCCTCCTCCAGGGGCTCATACACGAGAGAAACAGTCGTATTTCCGCAAGTGTTCAGCTGATGCAGGCCCTTGTAGCGCCTTTTCAGCTGTTCAGCCAGTGCTATGGCCTGACCGATGGCGTTACCTGAGGCCTTAATGGTCAGCTGCCGCATCTTCTGATCAGTTATAAGGGTCCCAGCATATGAGACATAATTCATAACTCTCCCTGTCGCCGTAACGCGTATTTCGTCGCTCCCCAGCGGTTCGCGCGCGGCACGGACCCTTCTGTACTTTTCCATTTTCAAGGAAAGGGGGGGAACGCGAGAGAGAAGGAGATTTGGGAAAACGGGGAAGGAGACGGAGGCAGTCCCCCGTAGCACCGCGGCGTATAGGGTCGAGTCTGCGAAGAACTACCAACACCCCAAAAAGGCTTACAGAAAAGGGGCAAGACTTTACGATAAACAAATGCGGAATCAGAGAGGGAAAAGGCGAATATGGATGACAGACGAACCCACGCAGCGCGGGAGCGCTGTCTGCTGCCGAGCCTGCACAGGAAAAGCACAGCAGCGCTGATAAACCGGTCGCAGTCCGCGAGTGCGCGGCCTGAAACCTTATTAGTACTTGTCGCTATTCTAAACAAACGGCCACAAAGCCTTGTGTTGTTCAAACCAAACACCAGCAAGCCTTCTTCAGATCTGCCCACAGTAGGGGCGCAGATGGTGCTGCATGCTGCTGCTGCGGCAGGATGGCAGCTGCAGCCACAGGGGCACGTCTCCCCCCTCCCCTAACGTACCTTTGTTCTCATTTAGACAGTGTATATTTAACATCCTGAAGAGGCCTTCTTCCCATCTTCAGAGGCTTCCTCTAGTGCTGATGTAGGGCAAAGTCAGACGTAGACAGATACCACTCAAACCTCTCGCCCCTTAGCCGGTGTGCTGCTTTGTCTCATCGCGTGTCTGCTGCCAATTCGAGTGCGCAAGAGAACTGCAAGCAGCAGTTGCATGCTTACCCCAAAGAAAATTCAGCAGACGTAGAACAATGTTTTATTCCCGCGGCACCTATCAGGGGGCTTTTGATTGCCGCTTTCGTGTGGCAATTGGGGAGAGCCCAAGGGGGGGCAAAATAGCACCACCCTCTATAATACTACACGATGTGCAGTAGGTGACAAGTGACAAAATGGAATGATCTGCAAAAATGTATACGAATATAAGCTCTAATTTTGGTGACTACTGCTCCCTAACAACCCTGCTCCATGATACTATTGAATAGGCTTTTACAACATGCTGGCGTTCACAGAGGCAAACAGAAAGCTGAATTTACTTCTTTTGCCACACTCTTCATTTTGGTATGCGAGCAATGAGACGCAAGAAAAAGAGTTGTACCGAAGGAGCCTTGTTTGGCGCTACTCCTCCAGCTGCAGACAATGCGTTTTCACGATGAGGCGTACTTTTGTGTTATTTTCGTAGTACCTCGATTGAGACAGAGCCCGCAAGACTATTGCTCGCAGGTCCCGTTAATAGGAATCCATGATGCGAAGGCTGGTGATCACACCACCAATCACAACGCCACTAACAGGCACTGTTGCAGGGAATAATGAACGGTGAAGCCTTATTACTGAGTGCGTGAATTTTGCATTCATCATATTGCTTTGATGTCAATGGGCAGTAAGGGTAATTTATTTTGTTGGCTAAACATGGACGGGGTTACTGACTAGAACATGGTGGCGTTGTCCGCATATGAACACGAACACATGTGTCGTCTGCAATTTTGGCAGACCAATGATAACAGGGAACAAATATATACCCGGACCAATTAGGGACCAGCTGAAAATACCAGCATTCTGCTCTCTGGTTTGTTGTGGTGTAAAGAGTGCGGAACAAACGCAGTCGAGGTGGGGTAGTCAGAGAGCAAAAACCACACGCTGCTAAGCAAGGGCCCGTCCACTTAATGTTTGAGATCTGAAAAAAAGGCAACTTTGAAATCCGATGCCTCATGAGCATGCATGCGCAGTCCCCTACCGCGAAAGAAATTCTTGATGCCTCCAACAAATCCTTTCCCCCGTTTTTTCAGAACCTGTCGCAGGGTCACGTATTTTTCCCGTGCAGCTTCTGATTCACCACTTATTCCTCCTCTTACATATTCCATTTCCTTTTTATCTGCTTTATAGAATGCCTCTCTCGCAGCGGCTTCCTCTTCTTGCTGAGGCGCGTAGAGAGTTTATGAGCCAAACAGTGTTGAAGAAATGAGACTTCTTGCCCAACAAATTACCTTGGTGAGCACCTTGATTCTATCCATCTGTGGAGTGGAATTGCATTAGGTTTATTTTTATTGCAATGGCAAAACCATAGAATAAAATTACTGGATTGTCGAGCGCTGCATCCTGGTCATTCAGCAACTTGCTCGCTATATCGTCGCTCCCACAAAGAGGTTAAAGGCCGAAAATGGAAGCTAACAGATGGATAAAAAAGCAGCGTACCGTCACTACCGGCATGCTGCGCTTCGATGAGCATTTTCTCATAAAGTTTGTTGAAGGTCATCATGGGCTGAAGTAATTCACGAAAACCTTCAGGATACGAATTTTTATTACAATTGTTATTTATCCCACCTTCGGTGCAATAATAATCAACGGCGTTTTTTGGGGCGGAGCGCCTGAGGATAATCCAGGGGCTGCTCCCGGGGTTTCCTCCTGCGCGTTTTCACCACCTAGACCAGGATATTCTGCAGGAATTATTAGATGAGCTCAATGAATTTCGTTTTCAAAAGCGTGTACACGGACGAATATCGAGTTTAATGCCATTAATGTTTGCAGGAGGCATGGAGAGTTGGGCATCATCAATGGTTGCCTGGGACCCCGAACCGCGAGAGTGCAAGTGTTGCTTCAGTCTGAGGTTTTCCAAATATGTTTGCTGTAGTTCACGTAAAAGCATAAGAAGGAGTACACGCATACTGAGCAATTTGTTGCTGAAGTTCACTCAATTGAGCGTTCTGCTGCGCCACGGTGGCTTCCAAATCGTCCTCTGCGCTCTGTTTTTCATCTGCATTTGCCGGAAATATAAAGAATCTTGACTAACCGCAGGTGGTGCAGGCCAACATGGCAAGACAAGCGACCAGGGCTAGGGCGCAGCTTAAGGGTGGAAACATCCTCTGCTGGAGCTGTGCAGGCGGGGCAGGGAAGACACGCTGAACATGTATCTGATGGATAGTGACACACAGCGCTGTGCGGCAGAGGGAAATAAATACTGGAGCCTGACAACATTCAACCAAAACCCACTGCAGCCCTCTCCACAAATCAGAGCATTACCTGTGCCACAACTGCTCAGCAGCACTACTTCAAAACTCCTGGTGTCAAGACACAACAAATGCGACTTGGAAGTTTTCATGAAAAAATAAGGTTTTCAATTAGACCAATTGCAACGGTCATTCCACGTTTCTTAGTAGCATACATATGATCTGTTCTTGTAATCTTGAGGGTTTCTTGACAAACGGTGAGAGCTGTCCCTCACATGTCGCTGTAGATCTTGATGTAAAGGACTATCCGCTTTGTGCATTTTTGAGGTTTGCTGCTCATCTGAACATTCTGTTTAGCACGAAGAACTCTCAGCTGCTCTGAGTAGTATCTTCGCTAGAGGGCACGTGGTTCATGCAGATGTACTTTGCTGTAGTCATTATTTTTTACCCATTGTTTTCTTCCTTTTGCATTCTAGCGGCAGAAGGGCATGTGATGGCCTCTTCCTTCCATTAATTATTTGAAGGACTCTCAAAATATGTTTTTTTCCATGGGACTAGATGAAAACAAATCGCGCCGCTAAAAAGGTGCTTTCCAAACTATTTGCCTTACGATGCAACTCAGATGTTTCCTCGAGGAATGCGCACCAAAACCTTTATATCCGTTCTTTCCATATCATGCACTTGACCTAAAGAATTAATAGGGAAGTTTTGCACTCACACATTCATTGATATTGCATGAAACGACTACTCTTGCAATGGCCTTGGGGGGGATCCACTGTTTGCTTGACGGACCCATTGGAGGCTTCAGCGTGAGTTAATCATGCATACAGGCTTTAAAACGTCACCGCAAAACCAAGACAGTATCACTATAGAAAAACGGTATATTTGGTCGTCTAACAGTGGAGTGTTCCATACAAAGAGTTCCCCCTCGCCATCGGTTTGAATCTAGTGTGCGTGAACGAGCCGGCAAGCAAGAGAACTGACTAAGGTTGCAGTCGAAATGAAAATCACGCAAACACCAGACAAGGTTTTCTTAAACTCAAGAAGGTCTTGGTACGTGACCATTGTAAAACCCGTACTGGGTAAGACGGCCCATATGTATGCAGCATCGAGCCACCTGAGATATACATCCGTGCGCATCTAGACTCTCGCCCCAATCCAGCAAAAAAAAGTGCATCGCTAACAGTCAAAATAAGAAGCATTTGAGCAGTTGAAACAAAAATATACATTTTCGCTTTTCGTACGCTACCACTTATGATAAACCCCACACAAAATGCTCTCATGTCTCATCACGACAGGTGGCATCTAAATAAGTGACGTGCCAAAGATCAACCAATTACTTGTACGAAACTGCAGACAATTTTTCAATCTTCAAAGAAGTCACCGGCGTTGGTTGCTTTAAGTATCATTAGGAGATCAGTTGAAGTGGTTTGTGCAGTACCCCTAGGTTCGGCGCGCTCTTGACCATCTACAATCCACAACTGTATAAAGTCGGCATTTCTAGTGTAAACATAGTTTAAGAGAAACGTAAACGATCGAAATATTTGGTTTAAGAGCGTCTGTGAGACAAATAAGTGCGAGTTGCGCTTCGTCCTGCACAAATTATTTTACTTGCTTTCTGCACTTCCATTGTATTTCTAGATATTTTTTGTGCACTTAGATTTTGGGCTCAAAGGACAAATCCAATGAGTGAATTAAACGAGCTTTCCAAAGCATTGTTCCAGGCAATCAAGTTTAAGCTACCCCAGAAAACAATAACTTGCCTGTGATCGTTTCTGAAGACTCGGTCCACAAAGGTAGCACAAATAGCACGAAGTAGTTGCCTAAAAATTATGGAAGACTAGGCAACGCACAATATGTGTCACTTGGTACTGAGAATATGGCTTATGCTTAGCCAAGTGAGTTATTGTTGCTTTGTTTCGCGTTATGAACCTTATTGCCGACGAGCTTCCTGGCTATCAGAGCACCTGCAACATTATTCGGAACGTTATAAGTGCCATGCCAAGTCCGTCTGAAATTAATAAACCACAAAAGATTCTGGAGCCGAAGGTGTACCGGCATTTTTCTGCGTTTGTTTCGCTCAGAGGGCTGCTTATCCTCATAGTTTGAAAAAGGCAGTTCCGCTTTGAAAGGAATAGACTTGTAGGGCACCATGTTACGTAATTTCGCGGAAAAGAACCGTTTCAGCGTTTAAGACAAGGAAGCAGAAAGATCAAGCCCATATTTGTTCATATGTTTTTTCATATGTGCGAATGTATGAGATTCATCCTATTCCCATAGATACAACAGACAGTGTTTTCTTCGAATGCTTAGAGATCCAGGACCAAGTTTTTCTTGAAGGTTGCCCATGGCCATCGACGCAGCAGTGGTGTGCGTCTAGTACAACGCTAAACATGGGAATTGTGCACTATATGATAGAGCAAGGCACTGCTTCCCACTCGTAGTTCCCAGCACTGGTTGTATTAGTATTTTGCCAATTTACCTCCACGAACAAATTGTGGATGTTGGGATCCCTAAAGCAGGACGGGACTTATGAACTGCTACAGCCTCATCGAGTTGTCGCAGTGTTTTTCGAACACCGTTCAGGTTGGAGCCTCTTCATGGTGAGAATCCTCTCTGCTCCCTATTGCAAAAGCAGTACGCGCTCGAAGCTATTGTGGATTACCACGTGCAAGGCCTCTAGTTTAGACTCTGAAACCAAATGCCAAAGTTTTTGATATGCAGCAGGAAGTGTTTCCCAAACTGATGGTCGGAGAAAGCATTAACCTTTGTTAGCTAAAAGGTGGCTGGTATAGCAGCCTTCCAGGCATCCTGATATCTGTTTGTGCCTAAATATCCTACTGCTGATGGACAAAGCCGTCGGCTGTTTTGAAGTGATTCCCCTGCATTTGTCGCTCCTTTCAATTTTTGTGCCCAGGATTTTTGAATGCCCACCAATCTGCTGGAAGAACTACAGAGGTAGTGGCATTCCAAAGGTGCGGGGAAACATCAGGGAAGATCTCTAGTGGCTCGATGGGAAAAAGATAAACGCTAGCAATCACGGGAACTCCTTGGAAAGTCTGTATGACTATCTATAAAGCCTAGGGCTTTCGTAAGTCTCGATGCACTGGATAGATGGATACCCACAAGCACTTCGACAATTTGGCAGGTTGCTGTGGCCAACTATGCTTAGGGGCTGTATAAACGTGGTTTCTTGTTCTGTGTCCGTTGTAAAAATCCAGCACTATGTCCCTAATTGGTGCATAGTTCCCGCCCTAAAGATACTTTGGTAGCCAGAATGCTCTAGTGGACCCTGTAGATGGAGGAAAAATGATATGTGTTTCAAGGGCACCAGCTAGTGGAAACACATATAAGTTGCTGTTGCCATCATAAAGGAGTCTGTGTGGGTGAAGTCAATGCATTTTTCACATACTGATGTCATCGAATAACGCCGCCGCTGTGGACAGCTGAAATTGGAAAATGAATGAAAGGAGGATATCTACGAACGCCACAAACTTGGCCCTTACGACACGTCCACGGTGGGGTCGTGCCCTTCTGCGGTCAGCCGCTGCAACATTTTTTATAGCTCTCTACAGATTCCATCAGCTTGAAATGTCTCGGTTGTACAGAGACCTTAAGAAGCATGCCAAAAATATCCTGGAAACATCACTATCGAAATCCCGCGCAGTACAGTAGGCATGTTGCTACAGGTATCGGCTTCTTTGCTCTCTAATTGCTTATTGGTTGGTTGGTTCTATCCGGAAAGTATAGCCACCTGTATAAACGCTTTCTGCGAGTTTTGCACGCTTGGCTAATCTTGCATATTCCCTCTCCAGAGAGCGGGCAAACAGTTTGCAGATGGCTTTTTTGCGCTGTATCTTAAAGCCACATAGCCAAGGCAACACCAGGCTTTGCACTGCATTCGTGGTGTTTGTTGAATAATTCTGGTTTTTCCTGAACAACCCCGGCTAACTGCGCTCCTACTTCGTGCCAGCCTCCTGCCTTGGGCAAAAGGATCTGCGGACGCTTGACTGGCCCGATTTTTAGTACTGAATCTCAATTTATTCATGAGAAGGCGAACTCTGAAGTTCATAAAGAAATGGGCATGATAGAGTGACCCAATCCACAACAAACTTCTGACAACGACAGCTAAAATCAACAAATGTATGTGCTCGGCCACACGGAAATTAAATTTCGTCGCACCACGACGCATAACCTCTTGAATGCAACACATAGTGCGTGTTACAAATAGGTGTCCGCCCCTACGATATTCGCCGAAAACTGTTGGCACTAACTGCTCACAGCAGCTGCAGCACTGCTGCATCTCCAACACCCCCAAGGTCTGCAGTGCCTGGCGGCGGCCATGTCAGAAACTGTGGAAGAAAGGGCAGGGAAAGGTAACAAAGACCCCTACAAAAAGTATTGTAGACCTCTTTGCTCTGTGCCCAAGGCTTCCTTTCCCTAGTGCACGCTGCAAATCTACCAGTCCCCGGAACACCGCTACGACGAAGTTTGCACAGTATGTTCTTCCCAGGCATCTCCTGACATTGATTTCATATGCGTTCCGAGAGTGCAACATTTTATCCAGTACACTTTCAAATACTGCTTCTATTTCTCTGCCAGATTGCGAAGCGTTGTAACAATTTCTTCCTCCAGAGCTTTGAAGAATGCCTTGAACTCGGCTTCCGGCTTGAGTGGGTGTTCAAACTTCATGTTTGTTATTTTAGATATCGTTGGACGCATGGTGTTGTAAATAGTGCTCCAGCCAATGCGGTGCTCACCGCCGGATGTTTCTGAGTGAACACACCCCAACATTCGCACTAGCCGGGTTGGACGTGATTATCAGTCTCCCGCAGATAATCAATCCGCAAGCCACTTGGACAGCAAAACCGTATATACATGGCTTTAATTTACTCCAGAACCTACAAAGACCCACGCATACACCCCAAAGTGCTTAGGGCAGTGCGCAGCCTTACCCTGCATAACGCGGAGACACTGGTCATGAAAGAGACATATGATCTTCATCATGCCAACCGTCTGCGTAACAAACAAAGCGCAGAATACCGTTTTACCGTTGCTGCTGCTGCTGCGCCGCCAGCCACCAACTAAGTGCACCCACCCAAACCTAAGACAAAAGACGAGACGTACCTTGTGCAAGGGACACATGTAATCGTAATCTGAGAAAGCATTTTGTTGCAAAAAGTCTTCTCTGATGATTTTGGCAACTTCCAAAATGAGTTTCTGGTCCTGAATATAATCCGTTGGGGAAGCATACACACAGATAGACCATCCTCCTTATTTCGCTTTTTTCCCTTCTGTTCCCCCTAGCCCGCCTCGAGGTACTTGATAAAACAACAGGTTACACTTGTGGCATCGCCGGAGCCCTCGTCACCACAGTACAAACGGATTCTTCCTGCCGCCATTCTCGCTAGCTCGTCTGCGCGCCTTGCTGCACAACGCAGCTCGATGAGGGGTGTAAAAAGAGGGAAAGGACAGACAAGGCCGGTAAAAAACCACGCACCTCCGAGAGAGAGTCCTTGCCAACGAGCTGCACGATGTCTGTAAGCTCGTTCTCCTGAGGAAACACGAAAGAACTCCAGAAGATGAGGAGAGTGCCGCTACACAACAGACCAACGCCGCAATACAGGAAGTATGCCAACTGTAGTTCCTCCGAAGACATCCGCAGTGTAAGTATCAGCACGTGAATTGTCTCGCTCTCTATATGTATGCATTCATGTACACGAAAAATATACACACGACACACACACGAGCGCATTTTGTGGAGATGCGTGCTATACCTGTTGGAGGATGTCGCTCATCTTTTGGCGAAGCCCCACGAATTCCGAGTCGTATGAATCAAAGAAAGGCTCTAGGAAGCGGAGGTACTTGGAGAACGATGTGGTCCAATTGACTGAAATTTCACGCAGAACGCCTTACGCGAAAGTCCCCTCCTCCCTCATAAACATTCATGTTTAGAGAGCCGTTCAGCACAGCGCTAGCGCATGAGGAAAAGGAGGGAAAAGGAAGTCTTTTTCCGTAGATGTCTGGCTGCTTGTACACTTGCAGAAAAGGCTCTAAAATGCCTTGCAAGAGCTTTTCTTTCCCCTCTCTCTCCCCTCCTCCAGCACATCGTCTCTGTCTCTGTCTGTGTCTCTCTCTCTCTGTCTCTCTGTCTCTCTGCCTCTCTGTCTCCCCAATCTCTTTCGCCCTTGTGCACACGCATGCATCCGCGACCACCCATTGCATCTGCGGCCCCTAAGCCGCCACGAGAACAACGCACCAGACGGGAAATGCTTGCGCTGCGCTAGCTTCTTGTCCAGCCCCCAAAAGACTTGCACGATCGACATGGTGGAAGTAGTGACTGGATCGGAGAAGTCTCCACCAGGCGGAGAGACGGCGCCCACAATTGTAACGGAGCCTTCGCGATCAGGTGAGCCAAGACACTTCACACGGCCTGGCAAAGGCAGCACATGCAAGCAGTGCCAAGGAAGAAGCTGGCGCTGCTGGAAAGGCCTCGCTCCTCGCCACGAAATTGCCCACCCTACTGCGCATTCGCCACTGCTCCCTCCCCCTGTAGTCCAACACCCCAGAGCACTCCGCGTGCGCGAAGAGGCCCTTTCGACATTTTCCCACGGTTCAAACCCGCGCAACCTCCAAAATGATGTGCATGCATCAATGCATGCATGCAATGCACACGTGCGTGTCGATAGGCGCAACCCCCTGACCTCTACCGTCACACATGACCACCCCCACAAACAACACACCCACAGCCGCTCCCACTCCCCCGCCTAATACGCTTCCCCACACATCTCGCCTACTTGCACGCTCATAAAAGCTAGCCAAACGAGCCCCCAAGTAGGCGGGGTAACCTGAGTCTGCTGGCATTTCAGCTAGCCGCCCAGAGATCTCGCGAAGCGCTTCTGCCCAGCGCGAAGTTGAATCCGCCATCATCGCCACATTGTAGCCCATGTCACGGAAGTACTCCGCAAGAGTAATGCCTGGCACCCACAAAGGAGGCCCCCCATCCCCTCGGCAGCTGCAGCCTATAAACCTTCTTCGAAAGGCGGTGAGAAACACCCATCCCACGCAAAACAGAAACGGAGGAGAAAGCCCTCAAGCTTCTGCCAAGCTTCCGATTGTGACTGCATATCATGTCGAAAGCGTGCGTGCAGGCAGGGAAGGGAACGCTCGAGGTGTCAGGACAGGCAGGCAGAATCGCCATCCCCAACAGCCTAGCACACCCCCGCAAACAACGAGAGGCCCCACCTGTGTAGATAGAAGCTTCTCTCGCCGCCACGGGCATGTTGCTCGTGTTTGCGACAAGGCACGTGCGCTGCATAATGCCTTCTTCCTTGCCGTCCACAGTGGTCGTAAGCTCTGGAAAGTCAGCTAACACTTCCGCCATCTCGTTGCCGCGCTCCCCACAGCCCACATACACAATCACCTCGCTGTTGCTGTACTTGGACAGCGCCTGCAGCGGCAAAAAACGCATAACGGCAGCACAGAACACGATCGCCAGGCCTTGAGCAATGCGCTTATCCCCACGAATACAACATACCCGCACTCTTCCCCAAACACCCCTAAGAAAAACGCTCCTCCTTCGATGCATAACGCCGAGGATCAATCACCTGTGAAATGCAAGTCTTTCCGCATCCGAAAGCCCCTGGTATGGCGCAGGTTCCCCCCTAAGCAAGCGCATGCAGCAAGCGCAGCAGAAAGGAACCACTGCTTCAAGCAATGGACGGAGTGTCCGCTGGCACTGAGGATGTCTCCTCTCTCACACGCGCGGTGTAAATACAGCGCTCCAACTATTCGCCACCGATGCCCAGCGAGAGGACGAGGGCAGCAGCAACGCTGCGGCAGCAGCAACGGAAGCTCGAAGAGCGGCAGCAACACTGCGGCTGCAGCAACGAGGCTTTACCTGAACAGTCGGAAAGAGGCAGTCTAGAACACGCTGCCCCGTCAACAGCGGCGTATTTCCCGCAAGCTTTTCCAGACAAGGCCTGGGCTCACGCACGGGCCAGTCGTGAGAAAGAGCGACGTCGTAAACCTTGCCTTGAAATTCCACTTGCGCGATAGGGTCGGAAACAGTGTACTCCCCTGCGCGCACAGCGCACGGGTAGCGGCAGCAAAACTTTCGGCAGAAAATTCGCGCGAAGAAGCCCAATAATCGAAACACATGCATACATGCACACTGCACCGCAGATAGGCAGGAACGCAGCGATTACCCTCGCAAGAGGCCCTCCTAAAGGGAGAGAAAGAGGCAGCGAGAGCGACGCAGGAGCAAATGCGGAAGCAGTCAGAATTCCGCTCAAACACGGGATCTAGAGTTTACGGGATCTAGACAGGGGATCTGACCGGCACTCTACGCGCTTAAAAGCCTTGAAAGGGAATGCGTGTTGTGCTGTACAGACACACACTAAGGGACTTAACAGCGGACCTGCAGGGGCCACGTAAGTGATTCTCCCCTGTCTTTTGGGGGGCATGAGAATCCGGTGATTCTTGAAAAGATTATTTTCAAAGACAGTGCCCAAAATATCGCCCCCTAAACGGATAAGCACACCACAAGACAAGACGGCCAAATAAGAAAAACCTCCAATTCCTTATCGGCGCGGGTGGCGCCCATGGAGGCCTTCGATCTGCATACATATATATTATATACATATATATATATATACATAATATATGTATGCATATATGTACGTATACGTCTGCGTGCCGTTGGCTTGCACAGGTCACCATTAGCGCCGTCGAAAGAGAACTTGAAAAAGGTTCTCTAGGCACAGCGAAAGGGCAAGCACATGCGGCGAGGCATTTATAGACATATAGCACACACATACACAAAATCTGTGCTGCTGGACTGGCGGAAAAGAAAAGAGTTGGGGGGAGTTCTAAAAAATTCGTAAGAGCACAAAGGCCCTCCTCCCTCCAGAGAGCAGAATGAATGCAAGAAAAGCACCGTAAGACGGCCTTTCTCGCACAGTGCGAGCAGCAACAGCACAGAGCCATCAGGATCCCTTCAGTTTTCACCGAGACAGACCTGTCACAAGATCTCCGACTTGGAGGGAGGCTGCAGGATCAAAGTGCCACTTCTTTACGGGGTCAAGGGGAGTTGCATCGCAGCCCTTTGCAATAAATACGGAGGCGCATTCCGTGGCGATGCGTTCCAAAGGCCTCTGAATACCGTCGAAGATATTGTCCAGCAAGCCTGAAGAGCAAAGAGCACAAGAAGCTTTCAAATAAAGCCAGGGAGAGAGAGACTTCCGGGTGTGGAGGCCATCTACGAAGAGCCTCTCCCAGCATTCGCACATCTAACCGCAGAAAAGGAGCACGAGGCAACATCAAAATAGCCCTTCAGACCATAAACGCGGTTCGCGCAGGCGTACTACAGCACACCATGAAATCAGACAAACTGTTTGCTCTCTTTCTTCTTCTCTTGCTCCTTCTGTCTCTCTCAATAAATCAATATCCACACAGCACAGCACAAAAGAGCGATGGACAGAAAGCGTTAGCCCCCAAAGTCTTAATTACCTGGTCCGAGTTTGACGCACAGGGGATGGCCAGACTTCAGAACGGGGTCTCCTACGGATAATCCCGCTGAAACAAACACAACATCCCGAGCAAACGAGAGACGAGGAGGGTGTATGGACAGCACCAGCAGGCGCCCGCGCAGAAACAGCAGAACCGCTGGCGTTTACAGCACGAGCAAAAAATTCCTTACATGCACAACGAAAAAAAGCGTGCAAAAAGAAAAACAAACACGACCCACCCGTCTCTTCGTACACCTGAATATACGCGCTATCGCCTTCCAGACGGATGATCTCGCCAACAAGCCGAAGCCAGCCAACCCGCACCAGTTCGTACATCTTCGTTCCACTCATTTGCTCCGCAACGACCACTGCGACAGCAGCAGCAAAGAGATGGCCACAGCAGGTGCATTCTTCTGAACACGCTGTCAAAGGGCTCAGACGCATTTGTGTGTGTATGTGTTTGAGTGTGTGTGTGTGTGTGTGTGTGTTTGAGTGTGTGTGTATGTGTGTATGTGTATGTACTGCCCAGTGACCACCCCTAGACCGACGTCCACAGCAGATCAATTCATCTTTGTTGCTGTCGCTCATCCCATTCGGCCCTTGAGGAAAACACCGGTTCTTGTGTTGGATTATGCGTAATTCTTTTGCAGCTGCAGCAGCGCCACTTACAGGGTCCCGCCACCTTGAACACGACCCCAACTTGCGGGTTATCCTCTCCGAAAAGAGTTGGGGCATCTTTTTCTGTGGGTGGCGCCATTGTGCTCTTCTGTAATGGCTATACACTCCTGCCTGCCCTTTCGTCCGCGTCCTGCCAGCACGCCTCCTGAGTTGTGCGTCGGCTACTTGTGCTACACAACGAGGTCTACCCCGTGGTACGGCGCAAACAGATCGGTTCAGAGGCTGGGCCGCCGTGTTTCCAGCTGCGCGCGCGCGGTGTACATACACTGCTGGAGGACGACCACGAGAAAGCAAGCAAGGGAGCGGCAGTCGCTGCTATTGCCGTTGCTTCCACCAGCTACGGACCACGAACTAAGGCTAATATAACAGTAATCAGAAGAGGTCCTAAAATTTTCACGTGAGAAGTCCAGCGAGCGCCACCAGCGGCTCACAGGCAGGCTTAGCCGCATGCGGCTGTCGGGTGCCAGCGGCGAAGCGCAGAGCAGCTGCTACTGCAGCACGAGCAGCATAGAAGTCATGAACAGCAGGCGTCGGCCGCGCCGCCGCACTTAAAATACAGCGGAAATACCAGAAACTTCTGTGGTTTGCGGCGGCCGCCAGCACTTCTAATACACAGAGAACGAGATATGTTCGCGCGTGGTATGGCTGGCTTTCTAAGAGTGGTTCCTTCTTGCGCGCTTTGCTAGAGTTTTTGACAGCTCTCTTGAATGCATACCCCCAAAAGCTTTCCAGGTTGCAGTATTCCGCGCGTGCGCTGTACGTACACCTCTCACCTCGCCTAAGGGCCGCTACTTCTAGGGCTCCTGCTGCTGCTGCTGCACTTCGAGCGCTACCGGGTTAGCTCTCGACATCACCGCACACAGTCGTCGACGCAGTCTAGCAGATTCGGCATTTCGTGCGCTGCACCAGTGCCTCCTGCAGTGGCCATCTCTGCCCTGCGCATCGCGTGCTTGCCGCTGCAATAGGGGAACTCACTGCAACCGCGGCGCTTCGGTGAGGAGTTTCTTCTATCTTTATCGAAGGCCTATCCCGCCAGCGGCAAACGCAGGAGGAGGGGGGTGAAGGAGAGCAACGGCAGGGATGTCAACCACATCCACAGCTTCCCGTCTCCCTTCGGATGAAACATGCAACAGGAGCAGTGTCGCTTGTAGCACCGAGTCCGTTGCTACTGCAGCGGCAGCGGCTGCGTGGCCAATCCACTGCGGCCACATAAGGGGCCTTACGGAGGTTTCCACAGCTTTTGCGGCTGCCGCTGCCGCCGCAAAAGCTGCAACAACAACCCCACCAGCAGCACCCGCAAGGGCTGCCGGTCGAGGTGCCTCAGAGGTGGATGTACTTGCCGTGCATAATGTTATGGGATATGCACAGCTCTGCTGCCCAGTCTCCCTTCCTGCTGCATCGAGGTGAGCAATCCTGCATATTCATGTGCTCATCGTAGGGGCCGAAAAAAAGTGCTCTCCATGTGCATACATATACACATACACACATGCATATATATACATATATTTATATATTTATATACACTGGCTACATGTGTAATTGCCTCTTCTCTCCGAATATGCCTTCATCTTGGGCTGGTGTATGCGCGCGCAATGCACATGTAATACATGTACGTATGTATATTCCATACGTAGCACAGTCTGTGTTTGGATGCTGTGTGTCTATGTGTGTTTTATGCCTGCACGACCCACTGATCGTCGCCCATGCCCTTCCTATTGCTGTTTGGCCATAAAGTGCTGCAGTGCTAAACCCTTTTAAGGCCATTTCCATGTGGCTTTGAGTGGCTCCCTAAATTTCTCTGCCACAGCTGCACTCTGCCTCGGTGTCGTCTGTCTCAGGGTTCTAGGAAATTCTGTCTTTTGTCCCCGAGAATTTCACTCCGTGCGAGTCGACGTCCGCTGCGGTGCCAATGGCATAGCCTCCCTAAATATTTTTGCGTAAGAGGTGCTGTTGATGTTGCTGTTTGTGTTTTTTTGTCGATGTTGTTGCTGTCGATGTTGTTGCTGTTGGTGGTTTTGCTGTTGATGCTGTTGGTGTGGTTGCGAGGGCCCTCGTTTTGCCCTTCAAGTCTGGGGTGTAGTGTGAGGGCTTTCACGTGCGCAGCAGTGGCTGTAAAACGCCTTGCTGTCGCTCATGTGCGGGTGCTGTTAGATGCCTTTTTGTGTCTGTACACCTGTACGCCGCAGCTTTTTTTTTGTTTTGACGACGTTGCTGCTGACACCCTCTTGCGGATTTTCGTGCATGCAGCAACGGCAAGGTTATGGGGACGGGAACGAATACGGTGATGGCCTTGCGAATCGCCATGCTCAAAGTCGTGCGGCGTCTAAGAGCCCACGGGGTTGTAACTCCTGAGACGCGCTTGCGGCATTTCCGTGTTGGGAACTTGCTGGCTTCTTACGCTCTACCATTTCCTCTGAAGCTGCAGCAACTTGCAGCGCTTGCCACTGCCAGCCAGGTGCAGTTCGACATGGATCCGGAGAGATTTCCTGGAGCTCGGATGAAGATTCCTATGGGGGGGCCAAAGGCCGCACAGGTGTGTGCCCCTACGTGCTGCGTCGCCCACTTTTGCTGCAGCCGCTTGTAGCTTCTTGCTTTATTCGTGGCGCGTGCTTTTTGAGGGGCTTTGCCATACATGGTGTATGTGTGCAACGGAGTTGTAGCCGCTCGATGCAGAGCGCCGGGATGCGTGACAGTGCAGTGGTGCATTTGGAGAGGGGACTTTTTGTGCAATAGCGAACTTTCGCCGTCGGGTGAAGGGTCCAAGTCATGTTGTGCCAATATGGGGTCATGTAGGTTGGTCGTTGCGGTTCTCGCGAGGGAGGGGGCGTTGGTGGCCGTAGAAGTGTATTCTTGCATTATTGCCTTCCTAATTTGGCGTTTCTCTCCGGCACAGAATGTGTAGCATCCCAAAGTGCCTGTGAAGCGGGGGTAGCCAGAGAGAAGGTTGTTCAGACGTCTTTGGGGCAGCTTGTTCTTCTTTTGCAGCAGCGCGTGCTGTGCGCCTCTTTTGGGGGTAGTGCATGTAGCTTCTAGACGCTTTTTTGTGGTGGCAGTTGTGTTTCGTTGCGTGGCTTTCCGGTTCGCCCCCTTGTCTGGCATTGGCTGTTATCAAGGTCGGTGGTAAGGCTTCCAGCGAATCGCTGTGCAATCGTCTTGTGCATGCAACATGCGTGCGTGCTCCTGTTCCCTAGGGTGACGCGGGGGAAGCGGAAGGGGCCTTTGGGGCTTGGACGCGCAGCAGCAGTCAAGGGGGAAGTTCTGGGTCATACCCAGCGCGTAAGGCCGAGGTAGTAACGCTGCATGCATTTAGCAGCGGTAGGCTAACCATCACAGGCGCGCGGTCTGCAGCTTCGCTACAGCAAGCGCTCGTGTCTGTGCTGCCGCTGCTGCTTCGCTGCCCTGGGCAGCAAGTTCATCATACCGCAGGCCATAGAGGGAGAACCATATAGATAGACATGTGAAGCGCGCACGAGCGCACCAAGATGAGCAGCAGTAAATAGACCTTGTATTTTTAACTAGTATTTCTAGTTGAGTCTTTGTGTTTGTTGGAACACATCGGAGTCTGCGGAGCAGCCTGCAGACGTCTTTCTCGTGCGGAGAGCGAATGTACCTGGACCCTCTGGGGCATCCTGAAAACGGCACAAACCTGCAAGGGGCGCAGTACAGCGGCCTTTTTATGCGCTCTTGCTCGGGGTTGTGCAGAGAAGTCTGCATGCATCTCTTCGAGCATTTCTATAGTTCCTCCGCGGCGCGTGCTGCTCACAAGGCAGCTTCTACAGTGGCCCGCCCCTTGTGGGGTCAATCCGGTTGGAGAGGCGCCTTTAATATGGTTTTAAAAGCCGTGTGCATTTAGAAACTTTTGCGTGTGCAAGTATGTGTATGCATTTAGACATATTGTAGAGGGCGTAAACAAGCGGAAAAGGCATGTTTATATAAAGGGAGGCTTTTATGTGCGTCTCTAAGTGGAAGCCTCTATAAATGTTTACCTAAAAGTACACGCATCGATGCGTAACGCTCTTCACACTTCTATGTGTATATATATTATAGTTTAAATATATGGACATACATATACACATAGGTGGCGGATGGCATGCAGAACAAAGCCCCTGAATCCATGGGCGTGCTGGAGTGAGACACTTGTAGCCCGCCCCCTTAGTCTGTCGACGCCTACATCCCAAGCAAACGCGTTCGTAGAGGCTTGCAAGAAGAGGGTGTTGCCTGTAGAGGGACGACTGGTGTAGTTATTCAAACATGTACGCACAAGGGCGGTTGTGTAGGACTATCCCTTCGTGCTTTGTCGGAAGACAAGGCCATGGAGGCTTTAGGTCATGCCGCTCTCGTGGAGAGAGTGGCATGACTCTCAGCTGTCCCCGAGGATTTCGTGGGGACCGCGGGGGAGGGGGGGGCGATGGTGGTGGAGAAAGGGTCCGGAAACGCCTTCAGGACGGCGTGCGAGCCTCTTAGTCTTGATCTTGTCTTGTGTATGTACTCATTGTTTTCGACTGTATGCACAGCATGGCTGAGAAGCAATTATCTAGTTGTGTGATAGAAAGCGTCTGGTGTAGGCTAAAGCCAGCCAAAGCCGTGAATGGCCTCCCCTCGCTTACCTCAAAGCCTCCCCTCGTCCGTTCAAGAGGCCAAGTGTTGGGTTCCCGAAGAAAATTAGCCTACTTTCCGCATCCGACGGATCTGGGCAGCTCTCAGGAAGGCCCTTTTAGGGACCAAACAGGTTTGTGGCACAACCAGAAATCGTTATGTCGAAGTGCACCAAAGAGAGAAGCGACCCTACCCTCTCTCTGTCCCTTAGTAATAGGCCTTTGCCCGGTGTTTATTCTGGCCCTATGCACTCTCTTGGCCGCTATGGGAGCATCGCCTCGTTGCAGACTAGCCAAACGTCGTGCACAAAAATTCAGGGAAGGATCGTATTTACTCTAAAGCCCATCAGACCTGACGGTCGTCCAGCCTGGTGCGCCGTCCCCCGCCTGCAAAGGGGGTGCTATTCCAGCAGGCACAGGAACAGCTTCGGAGAACGTACACGCCTTGCGGAGCCTTAGCTCCAGGGGAGGCTTCGGAGGGGGGGGGGCCCGCCCCTGAAGCGTCCCCTGGGGGCCCCCGTGGAAGGGGCACACTTTACGGGAGGCCCCCCCCGGGGGCCCTCTAGCGGGGGCCCCTAGTGACAAGCTGCGGCCCACCGGGGGCTGGCCCTTGGCCATAAGCCCCGCCAGCAAGGGCGCAGAGGGAGATGCAGAGGTGCAAGCGGGGGTTACCCCCACACGGGGTAGAAACAAGGGCAGAATTTCTGTGGCTGCCGACTCCTGCAAACGACGAGCAGCTTTAAGGCTCTCCGTGACTCCAGACGGAGCAACGGGGATAGTGGACCTTGCGGATGAACAACAGTACGAAGGACGACGCGAGAACAAAGCACTTCGGGGCTTTAAAGGCAGTGGCAAAGCAGTGGCTGCGGCAGCAGCGTTTTCGCTCTCCCGCTGCACATGCTGAACACTTGGAACCCTCTTGACAGTGTGCAAAGCAACGCTGCCTCCGCCACTTCCCGGCGGAAGGGGAACGTTGTCGCCACGCACCAGAAAAGGTTGTGGTACAAAAGGAGTGGCCCGCAGATTGCCGCTGCTGCTTGTTCTGGGCTGGGTGTGGCGCTGTTGCTGTTGCCTGATGATATTCCGTCCGTCTATGGGGGGCAGTGGTGGGGTTTGTGTTGAGAGGAGCTCATAGATGGCGTTAGCGCCGTCCCGGCGAAGCGCCTGCAGATGGGCGATTAGCGCCTGCCGTTCCTGGTGCAGTTGGATGCTTTTCATGTGGAAGACACGGCAGAGGCGCTTGTACCTCTGAGCTTTCGACTTCCAGCGGAAAGCGGCGGCTTGCAAATATGCATTCTGCCAGTGCCGCTGCTCTTCGCTTTGACTTTCCCGAGTCGCCTCTACGCTGCGTGCCGAGTGCTGCAGCAGCAGCCCCTAAAAAGTCGCAGTTTTATAGGGCCCTGCTAAAGATTTCGTGGGTGCGTCTGTGGGGATAAGGCCCCCCCCCCCCTTTGCCCCCTATACTTGATGAGCAGTCACATTATTGCTGGAAAACGGGAGGGAACCTCACCTGAGCATCTAAATCTCTACTGGCTAGGCCCTGCACGAACCGCTTCGCAATGCCCTTCGCCTCAGATCTTTGCGTCCTCGTTTGGGACGTCTGCTCAGCAGGGGCTTGCTGCTGATGCTGCTGCTGCTGTTCAGCAAGGCTTTCTCGCTCCCGCTGTATCTCCTCCATGAGCTGGCGGTGTTGTCTCTCCAGGGCAGCCAAGTCGCCCCGCACCCTTTGACACTCCGCCGTCTGTCCCTCCAGGTCCTCTGCCATCCGTTCAAACTAACAGAGCAAACTCAGCAACGCAGATAGCAGCCCTGATGCGGCAGCTTTTGCAGCGAGTAAGACTCTGCATTCTACTAGCAAGTCAGGTGATGAAACGCCTTCTACGGGAATTAAGTGCCATGCAGGGCAGGTTTGAGCCAGTAAGTTGGCCTCGCTGCAGTAAAAGCAGGTCCTTTGTGACGTGCACGTTCTAATGCTCGTTGGCACCAGCGCCGTTCGATCAAGTACCCCTTACTTTCTGACGGAAGACTTCTGCGCTTTTGCGTTCTTTAGCAAGGGCTGCAGCGGTCCTGGTGAGCTTCTCTTGAGCAAGGTTTACCTCTTGCTGTGCTTCCTGAAGCTTCTGGTCACTCTCCCTCCGGAGGGACGAAAGCTCCGCCAACAAAGAAGCCTCGCGGGCCGCCGACGCTGCAGCCTGCAGCACAGCAACGCAGCCTTCTCGGCTTGCATGCATCGCGTCAAAATTACTTCCCCCAGCCCCAGCAGCTGGCTCGGCGTCCTAACCAGCAGAGGTTGGGGTGTGAAGGGCCCCCACCCGAAGCTCACAAGCGCAAGAGGCAAGAAGCTACTCTTCGAAGAAAGGGAGGGAGGCTTTAGGAGACTAAAAATTGGGATATTAAAGGCAGGGCTTACCGCTGCCTTATGTTCTTGCTGCAGCTCCTCCGTTGTGGACTTGAGCACGTCCGTGGCTCTTTCAAGTGACTCGCGATAATCCCTAGAAACCAAGGATTATATTGTGAACAAAGCAGCATGCGGCTTTTCGATATTCCGCGATATGCGCTGTAACGACACTGGGGCACGGGTCAGGGACAGCCGCGGAGCAGCAAGTTGGGAAACGCACTCTGCCTCTTGAGTTTTCTCTTCGAGCTGCTGTGCCAGTCTGGTCGGTTCCTTCTCCGCTTGGATCCTCAAATCGCTAAGCTCAGCTGTCACGGCGGCAAGCCGCTCCTGCAGCAGTAGCTGCTGCTGCTCATACCGTTGTTGCTGCTCTTTGTTCTCTCTCAAGAGGGCAGCACTTGCTTCGCTGTGTCTTGTCTCTGCATCCAAGGCCCGCCGCCTTTCATCCGCGAGCCTGCAGCGCAGCGTTTGAACGTTTCAGCACTTTAGATGACCCAATAGTCAGTGCAGAGGCCTCATGATGAGGCTCTGTAGCGCATGCATGCATTGCACTTAGATATCCGTCCAAAGACTTCTGGTGGAACGGGTAGGGAAGAACTCAAAGGGAAGAGGCCTTATTATCTGGTGTCCACCCAGCGAAATGCAATGTGCCCTTCCCATGTGCGGTCTGTTCGGCTTTAGATGACAGCGCACTCTTCTGTCAGCGATGCCAGACGCGCTGTCTGCTGCTCTATTCTGAGGCTCTGCTCGAGTATTTCTCGCCGATACCCGCCAATCTCCTCTGTCGCACACAAAAACGCCCTCAGCCTGTAAGAAATGACTCCTAAGAGCGCCTTTCTTCTCGCCTTAATCTGTCTTTTTGTTTGTGTACGTGTCTGTCCTTGTCTGCCCATCTCCTCCACTCAGGAGACTGGAGCACACGATTTCACGCATGCAGTCCCATACCCGCCTTTTAGACTGTCGCTATCAGTCCATTGACCCCACACAACACGGGCATTGCAAACACGCCGCCGTAGCACTCTCTGGATTCCACATACGCTTGTGTGTTGAAAGGCGAAAACTGCGTCACATCAGACAGGCCTCCACTGAGCTACAACATACCGGAAAGGGTTTCCTTCTCTTTGTGAAGCCGCGCAGCCCGTTCTGCTGCTTCATCGGCCAGCCTTGTAAGTTCCGCGTGGGCTGTCTCTGCCTCCGCCCTAAAACATGCACATACGTGCAGCAAGGCAGTCTAAAAGCCTGCTGCCAAAGCGGCGTCTTGTCATCAAGACCTCGCGACTAGACACACACTCACACTTAACTATCCTAAGCAACTACTAGGGGGAGCACGGGGCCCCCTTGAAGCGTTCGGAATTCTCGAGACACGCGAAGCGGGGGGCAGTTCATGAAAGATTCTGCAGGGACAGTCCGGAGGAGGCTCCCACCGGAAGCGCACAGCTTCTTGCCGAGCAGCAGAGGCAGCCTGCCGCAGTTCCTCTGTCTGCTGCCGTTCCAAGGCCAGCTGATCTACCAGCTGCCGCTGCTGACGAAGACTTTCCTACACGAGCGAGCATCCAGCGAGCGCACGCATGCAAACACAGAAAAGAGATTGATAGGGGGCAGCGGCTGAAAGGGCACTTAGATAGGGCTCGTGTCGCAGTCGACAAGACCATCCACTGCTGCTATGTTTTTCAACGAATGAGCCAACAACATGCTCTGGCTTTCAAGCCCGAGTAAGGACTGAGTGATAGCCAGCATGCTTCTGTGCTCCGTCGGGGTATCTTAGGAACAAATCTAGGGTGCACATGCACTTCGTGAATGGACTGATGTTGCTGCCGAGCAGTCTGAAGTTCAATCCCCTGCTGCTCAACACTGCACTCCAACGCGGTGAATTTGGCTTGCAGCTCTACTCTTTGCTGCCTCTCCTGCTGTAGCTGTTTCTGCATTTCCGCAAGCTGCCCCTTCACCTTGTTGTTGATCTCGTCCTCTGTCTTGAGGCGCTCCAGTCGCTGCAGCAGGGCAGGGAACGCGGCTGCCTAAAAGGTGCCATATATATTTAGAGCAGCACTGCATTTTTGTGGAGGCTTCACCCTGCACCCATCAGCTAGACAGACAACGCTTCAGCAGCAAGGCTTCCACGAGGCCGAGCTTTTAAACAGCCGTTGCCGCCTTGACAAGCTAGCTACCACCCACAGGAGGAGGCTCCAGTGGGAACGCTCAAACTCACCCCTAGAGTGCTCTCTGAGAGGAAACCACAGACCTGCAGACCATCTTCCTGCAGGCACATTGCGAAGTAAACTCTAGAGGAAGCAGCAGCTATTGGGGAGGCACCTTCAGGAAGACCTGTGGCGTCGGGAAGAACTCCTGGCAAGAGGTGCTCCATACACAAAGGGAGACAGTGTCAGCGTGGCTAGAGGTTGCGAAGGGACCTCCTATTGGACGCTGCGTGCGGAGACAGAACATTCTGGGCTTTTTCTCGCAGGTTGCCCTTACTAGTTCCCCCATGCTGGGCATATTGCTTCCTAGACTACTGCTGGTTCTGGCATCGGCAGACGCGAGGCGCCTAAGGCATTGCGCTTGCAACTCGACACCCTTTCGCGGCACTCCCGCCTCCTGCTCAAGGCAACAAGGACTCTGGGTTGATAAAGACAGCCGTTAGGGCCCTGGCTGGGTAGAAACAGGCTTTCTGACGCTAACCCCCCCTCCGCCTACACGCGCTCTGGAGCAGGTGCAGTGTAATGCAACAGCATTTGTGTATGGTCCTGCCCAGTACTAGGAACCGTGTCTTGACAGCTCCCCCGCGAAGGAAGAAAGTAGCATCCAGGAACTCGACCTTGCACCTACCATGATAGCCGCTACTTGTAGTGTGTTGCACGGTATCTTTTGGCGGACCTAGTTGGGTAATATGTTGCGGGCAACAGTTTTCCCATGCCATGCCTTCTGAAGACCAGTGGTTTTCAAAGGAGCCAACTGGCTCCAAGTGCGCATATAAAAGCACCCGCCTACGTCTGCCTGACTCTGTATCCAATGTTGATCGTGAGATACTAGGCACCCTGCGCTACTGCCTGAAAAGACCCTAGCTGCCCCCCGACAATGGGGAGAAAGTTTCCTGGAGCTGTCCTACTACATGTTGCCACTTTATTTCGCGTAGTTTCTGTCTGTTTGGGTTGGGTACATACTGCGCATTTGGCGTCAGGCCAGCGACCACAGGGAAGGGAGGGGAAGCCTGGGGGTTCACTTGGGATTAGCTGCGCTGAAGAGAACGCATTAAAGAAGACGAAAATGCCCGGCTCGCCGACCAAATAAAGCGAAAGTGAGATGACAGAAGTGGGGTTCGAACCCACGCCCTTTCGGACTGCGGCCTTAACGCAGCGCCTTAGACCACTCGGCCATCCTGCCAGGAGCCGCCCATCAGGCGTGCATACAAATACATAGCTCTTAGCCCCTAAGCCACAGCAGCGTTGCGCTCGCTTTACACGCCTTTTGCCATTTAATGCCTGCCAGATCACACATCCTGTGCCATGATCTGTCCGGGTTAGTCCAGAGCCAGAGACGCAGATCCTGAAACGCGGCAGCGGCGGGGGAAGGTCACCTCAGCGGCAAAAGATAAGGCAGTACACGCGAACGTATCTTTAAAATATGCCAGATTAAAGTACATTATTTGGGCTTTTGAGGCTCTAGGAGTGTGGGAAGGGCCACATATGCCTATGGGGCCCCTGGCAGAGCAGCCCCCGTTCCTACCTGGTCGGTGAGTCTTCGTGCATGCCTCCTTAATAGCTCGGAGGCGCTTGCCAGCGACACAGCGGTAAAAGACTCTCCCATAGACCTCCCAGCGCAGGGAGTTACGTGATTTACGAAGCAGACAGCTCTGGGAGGGGAACCAGGGGAGCGCTGGCGAAGGGGTCGACAACCGCATGCGCGGTGATGCCCCGTAGTGGAAGGGAGGCACACAAAACTGATGAAATGCGATAGATCGCTGCGTGCAGAAGAAAGCATCCGCCTCGCAGGAGCATCGACAGGGACCAAGGTCACCTGGGAAGCGTTTCGGCCAGGCGACACAGTCCGGCAGCCTGCAGACGTACTGACATCTCCAGTCAAAACAGACACCCTATGTGCGCTGTATCCATGGCTTGCATCTGCGCAAAATTTGTATAAACCCCTGGTAAAACCAGCATCTCACGCAATGCCGTTCCATTGCTGAGGAAGCCCAAACCAACTTCCCTTGCAGCAGTAAGGAACGCCAAAGTGTATAGTGTAGAGACTGGAGAATACGACAGCAGTTGAGACAGCCGTTCGCTCTGAGCTGAGCCAGCGGGTAGGGCCCTTACTTAGTGGAGCATCATCTTGCAACGCAGGGAGGCCCTGCGCGGCAGCCATCGCAGATTCGCTAGAACCTTGCATTCGCATACAGACTAAGGCTCGCTAGTACCTAATATCGGTGGCCACTCACAGCAAGCTGCATTGTAGCCGACTGAGTGGGTGATTTGCAGCACGGTCCTCCCCACAAAACAGGAGCAGCGAAGCGCTGACGGCACTTCTGCGGATGTTGCTAGATTAGACACCGCGGTCAAAATTGTGTTTGCACGTAGATACGCCTTAGTTGAGTATCCCGAAACTCCCATAATGGAATTTAAAGACATGAAGGTCCCCCCTTTGTAGAGGCGATCGATTGGGGGAGAAGCCTCCGCTCAATCACAACGGCTGCCTCTGAAATTAAGTCATCAGTGGAAGTGCTACGTGAGAAAAAATTTGCACGGCACATCTGCTGCTGCTTGATGGAATGCTTAAAGCCCGCTTTACTATTGCTACGTAACCACGAATTCTTGCGAATATCCCGTGCTCGAAGCTGGTTTTAATCGGCAACTTTGCCCTGTGAAGTGAGGCCAGCCCAGAGGTCTCCTAGGGCCCTAAAACAAGTCCATTCTACAACACCAAACGGGGGCTAAATGGGAAAGTCAAACACCTTTTCCGCTAGCTCCGCACATATGGCCAGGAAAGCAAAGGCCTCCGCACTGTTTTGTTGTAGCTCTGCGCAAATCTAGGGGGCGTTCTGCCTTGTCTTCACATGCTGAGAACGTCTCTACCGGAAAGAAAACCTCGGTAGCGTTGTATGGCTATGTTCTATCCTCGAATGCAAATGCTGCTACGCTCAGCGACTCTGCGCAGTGCCCGAATGTGACCCCACGTTCTGCGTGTGCGCTGCTACACTGGGGAGTCAACAGTATCTCTTTCCCCCTCTCCCTCTCTCTCTATATGTCTACATATCTATACATATACAGCGCTTGCTCGCGTGAGAGAGAAATATATGTATCTAGATGTAAGAATAGGGCCGCCCCCGACAAACGAGATCGCTAGGGAGAGTACAGGGCGTCACATCACACAGACAGAAAAAGTGCAGTTGTGTGTCTTCACGGGAAAGAATCTCCCCCTTTTCTAACGTTGCGCGGCTCGTTTCGCAGTATTCGGGTGTAAGTGGATGCAGCACTCAGACATCTGCAAGTAGCGATGAAAGAAATCGTGTTGCCTCCACCTAATGTACCTCGCTCTCCGCATTTCCCGAAACAGCAGCACCATTCACAAGTCCAGTGCCGCCCTCTTCTGTCTCAAGGCCTTCGACATCGCTCTCCTCCTGCCAGTCCTCTGCTGCTTGTGGTGTCTGAACGCCCAGCTGCGTTCCACAGTTACCACCACTTCCTGCTGCTGCTACAGCCCCTGCTGCAACTGCTGCTTTGCACAAACTTGTGGAAAAAGTTTTTGGCCTGGCTCGCCGTCTTCGCCGCTCGCAAAGGCCCTCGATGTTGTGAGCCACCCTGAGTTGGATCCAGCAAAAAAAGAGCAAAAAAGCAGATGCGCTATATACACGACGTACACACGCCTGGCAACAGCCTACATCGGGCCCTTCTACACACGCCTGGCAACAGCCTACATCGGGCCCTTCTACACACGCCTGGTAACAGCCTACATCCGACCCTTCTACACACGCCTGGCAACAGCCTACATCCGACCCTTCTACACACGCCTGGCAACAGCCTACATCCGACCCTTCTACACACGCCTGGCAACAGCCTACATCCGACCCTTCTACACACGCCGATTGACGCTTCTCTATGAGACAGTATATTGTGGCGCTTGTGAAGAAATCGAAGCCATGCACACCCTGCTAACCGCGCCTACTACCCCACAGCCCCGCTTTCCCAGCGAAGGCCTCCCGAGCGGCGCACTTAAGCCGGAAGATGAGAGCCTTCATATACTGCGGAGTCAGCGTTAACTGAGGCGCCTCATTTCCAAATCGCTTAGAGACGGCAGCTCGCAAGAGACTCAACAGAAAAGCCCCCATGTCCCTCTGAGGGTCAGGCACCAGATCGGCTTCCTCGCCTAACGCCAGCTCCGCATAATCCTGGCTGTACAGACACGGAAAAAGCCTCCCCACAGCACAGCACACAGATAGATGCACGCCGAAACGCAGTCTCGAAAGCAACCGCGAAGTGTCAGAGCACACAACCGGATAGGTTCCTCCGAGGAGGAAGAAGAAAGGGGGCGAGGCAGTGCAAAAAATCAGATTGGGCAGCTGCTAGCAACGCACATGTCACCGCGGCGCAAGTGAAAGATTAGGACCATATCCAAAAGAAAACGGCCGATGCGCCAGAGGGGAGAAGCATGCAACAACCGATCCTTGCTGCACGTGACAGCACTGAGCTGCTTCCGCAGTGTTGCCTCCACAGCACTGTCTGACTCCTGCTGCAGCTGCTCCAATTGCCGCTGCAGACGCTTCTCGTTGCGGTCCGCGTCCACCCAGGCTTCAAAGAGCTTCGTCGGCAGCAGCAGCAGCAGCAGCAAGAGAGAAGACAACAGCAAAGCACCAGCATGCATGCTCAGCAAAAGTACTGTGGGCTTCAAGAGACAGAGAGAGAGCAGGGTAGGGCAGGCAGCAGCAGAGGAGGGAAGAAGGGACAGCCAGCAGCGTCTGTGCAGGAGAGGCGAGATATGCCTCTACCAGGGGTGACAGGCTGAGAACTGGAGGGCTTTTAGGCATACGCGTTGCATTTTCTTGATCTTTTCAGTGTCTCCGGAAAAGAGCGAAGAGGTTTTAAATGCTCGAGAGAAGAGGAGGGCTGTCAAACGATCGTAGGACACGATGTTGGTGAGCAGCACGCGCCGTACCCAGCGCCGCTGCAGTCCACGAGAGAGAAGTTGTAAGCACAGAAGAGGGCAGACAGTAGAGAGACAGAAGGGCAGCAGTGCGCCAGCGGTGCCCCGTAATATGTATATATATACCGCGTGGAGAGAGAGAGAGAGAGACAGAGACAGAGACAGAGACAGAGACAGAGAGAGAGAGAGAGAGAGAGAGAGAGAGAGAGAGAGAGAGAGAGAGAGAGAGAGAGAGAGAGAGAGAGAGAGAGAGAGAGAGAGAGAGAGAGAGAGAGAGAGAGAGAGAGCAAGAGAGAGAGAGAGAGAGAGAGAGAGAGAGAGACAGAGAGAGAGTTAGAGAGAGACAGAGACAGAGAAAGAGAGACGGACAGAGAGAAAGAGAGAGAAGGAGGAGAGAGATGGACATGCGTGGGGTAGTGA